TTGTCGCTCAACCACCTCCACCATGATGAGGGCCAGTTCAGTGCGCACAAACTCTATCACAGCCTCTCCTGCCAATGGCTTTTAGCGCTTCTGATATGGACAATCCGTGTATTTGTCAGACGCGACGAGTTCTTCCATGAAGTATCTAGGTCTTGTGCTGATATGAAGTAGTAGTAGTAGCAGTAGTAGTAGTAGGATTTAACGCCAAGGGGCCTGCCGCAAAGCGGCGGCCCTGGGCCTCCAAAAGGATGCGCAAGCGTGCCAGGCTAGGTCTTATACTATATATATATACATACAGCTGCCCAGCTAGCAGATCTCGTTCGTAAACAGCCACTGCATCTAAGCAGCGGTTCTCATCGTGTCCCCCCTCCTCCGGGTGAGGGTTGGTGCCGACGTCCTTCGCAGTCTTTACGTTCCTGGCATAGCCAAGTTTAAACAGCTTGATTCGAGCTGCAAGGTAAGGTTTATAGAACTTATTGTTGGATATCATACCAGGCTGAGGCTTTTGGGGCTGAATGCTCTAATTGGCTTAACTTCAGGGCATTCAGCTGGCGCCATTATCGTATGATTATCAGGTCACCCTGATGGCACACCTGTACATATATATGGGGGCTTCTCCCCCATAGATCTTCTTCTCTTTCCTTTCAATGTAGACCGGTTTGAAATCTCACACTTATGCTCCTGCTTCACGTGCGAGTGCACTACAAAAGAAAGAGATGTAAAGCAGATCCCCTAGACGCCGCTCAAATAAAGAAAAATGCAAATGCCATCAATGGCGAGGGCAGATGCCGCCATAAAACTCGGTGGCTAGGAGTAGGTCTCGGTACACTGTAGGAGTGGTCATGATATCACGCAGGTAGCGTTGCCGTTCCGGCCTGGTAGGCCGCCTGGAGTGGCCCATGGGCCATCTCTTGTACTTGTCAGATATCATAACAGTGGCCTACTTAGCCTTGTTATGGCGTCGTCCTGTGGAATCACATGTTAGCTGTCAGAAGGCCCTTTGACACCTATTTAAGTAGGATGGTACAGTTATCCCTTCTTTCCCTTCCAATACTAGAACACTTTGAAATCTCACAGTACTGCTTGATGGATTTCTGGCAGTGGACGATGTGTTCCGAAGCTTTTGCCCTCCCGCAAGAGCATTCCCGGTTGGTGTTTATATGCTCAAACTTGTCGTGGTACCAGGCAAAGTCACCGTGTCCTGTGCAGGTAGCTAGGTAGTGATATAGTGCTGGCCTAGTAAGCACCTGCAGCTCCTCGTGACAGCGTAAGTGATACTCAAGGTTCCAGTCCTTGTAGCGAAATGATAGCGTTGTTTACGCCTTGCTCGTTGCCTTTTACGTCGCAGTTGTCACGGCGAGCGTACTGAGGACCTGGGACATGGCCGGCAGCAAGCAGCTATTACTCTATTGACGAGAATATCAAGACTAGAGAGGAAAGGAAGAGAGAGAGAGAGATAGGTACAGTGGGAGGTTGCCCCTTTAAGGGGATCATCTGGTCAGATCCTTCCCCTCTTAGGAAGTATCCGCTTGTCATGTGGGAAGGTCTGTGCAGGCCGTCACAAGTAGCTTGACTAGCTCTTCTTCAGATATGTGAAGGAGGTCATTTTTCAGGTCTTGGAGGTCTCCGCTGAACATCTGATCTTCATCAAAGATGACGTCTCGAGTGGCTATCACCTTAGGGATTCCATATTCGGTAGATGTTTGTCGAGTTGTAACCAACGAGGTAGCCGATCCAAGCCTTTGGATTAAGCCGCTTCTTCCGCTGCATCTTCAGCTGCGCATCGCTTGTCAAAGTAAATGCTTTGCATCCAAATACTCGGAGGTGTCCCTGCTTGGGCTTTTGGTCTCCTACAAGTCCATCTCTGTATCCCAGGTAAGTGTAGAAACGTTCATAAGGAGTTATCCATTTATAGATGTACTTAGGGGTACGATTGTATAGATATACCGCTGTTCGGAAGATCTCAACCCATAGATATGCTGGCAACTTGGCTCCATTTTGCATCGAACGAGCCTTGTCCTTAATCACACCCCCCGAGCGCTCGGCGCCTCCATTCTGGTCTTGTGTGTTAGGCGCTGAGGGTTCCACCTTCATCTTCTTGGTCATGATGAGAAACTGATACACACGAGGCTTCTGGGTCGTGAGCTTGTTGTCGCATTCTATCACCTCTGGCTTGACCTGATTCTGGTGCTCCAAAATCCCGAATAGCAACTCAAAAGTTGCTATAAGCGTATCCGTCTTTCGGTTGCTCAGATAGAAGTCCCAGATATATCCAGACCATTTGTTGGTAATAAGCATGATGCTGTTCAGTCCGTCGCTATCTCTGTCAAGGTCGTGGAAATCGATTGTTAGGCGGACTCCGGGCTTCCCAGGTCTATCCTGCCGTGTACGTCTTCTTTGCTTCTTGGCCTTCCTGCAGACACATGCGTCACATTTCACAGTTATGATACATTCTTCTGCTGAATCTCTAGGCTTTGAGTCCTTGATCTTCACCCCCCAAGAGTGGCCTACAAGGTGATCAAGAGTATCTGGCCCTGGGTGACCTAACCTGAGGTGCCATCGGCGGCTATCGGCAGTGCAAGGCGCCCTCTCGGTCCATGAGTTGTATTTCTTCCTTTGGATAAAGAATGCACGTCTTGTTAAAGACTCAGGCAAATATTCAATCACGTATTGCTCATACCGATCCGTCAGCTTGCAGAGGATCAAATCATCCTTCCTCCAAAGATAATTATTGCTTCCTTTGTTGTCCCACTAGTACCCCTAGCGCTTGAGAAGTCAGAGTGATACCAGGTTACATGCAAAGCCTTTGCAGAATGCCATATCATATAAGCGCATAATTCTTGACCCAGAAGGGCCAGTAATGCATATATCGACATCTCCGTAGCCTAGAATAGGGACTACTGTGTCTCTTGCAAATATTGCGTCACCCTGACTCGCCGACCGGAAGTTTAAAAACCTGCTGATCATGTTGAATATGTGTAAGGTAGTCCCAGAATCCAGGATTGCTGAGTTCCTCAATGGATATGTGGCAGTACTGAATGTGGCAGCGTCGGCTGTAAGGAAGGCGGCCTTCGTCTGACCCATTGTCCGCACTAGTCATTCGGGCTTGACGGGTGTTGGCTTCCGGTTAATTCTTTTGATCAGTTCTTCGAGGGCAATATCTTCCTTGATTTGCTGGTTGATAACTTTCTGGTATCCTTCGTTTGGATGCCAATGTTCTGGTGCCTTCCCGTCAATAACATAATAACACTGGGTTATGTTGTGAAATCCTAGGCATGCCTTGCAGGTAGGCCCATCTGGATTCGTTTCTATGTCGGCTCGTCTTCGCTTAGAGCCTGTTCGAACTCCTCTCGTCCCGCGTCCACGTGGTCTCTCCTGGTTTCCTTTTCGACCCTTCGTTTTGTCTATTGGGGACAATGGATCAGAAATGGTAGAATTAAGCTCTTTTGTGTCTTCTATTGACACATCTTTGTCACATCCGTAAGTAGCTGTAAATGCGCCCTTAGCGATCCGTGTCGCTGTTGCTCGGTAATGGTCTTTGGTGTATACTCGCAGAAGCCCTGCCATCTCTATGTAGCTAATAGAGCCGTTGTCGATTTCCTTCTTGTGCCCCATTCTGAAGCTTGTCGTCTAGTCGCCCATTACTAACGATAATGCATCTATCAGATCTGTGGCCACTGAATTTGAATCGATAGCTTCTGGCACCCCCTTTTCTATAGCATACGCAACGGCAGTTTTCCATTGCGATATCCATGCACCCAGGTCTTTTGGCATCTTTGTGAGATGTGTCATTGCCCGTCGGTATTGGTTTCGAGCCTCCGGCTTCTGGCGGGATGTATATACGTCACCAATATCTTGGAGATCCTTATACCACTGGTCGATCTTTTTCGTGATCTTGAAGATTGTTGCTCGGTATGGTTGTTGAACGGTATTCAGCATCTAATCAGTCATGGATTTGATGTTCTTCCGATGTTCTGTGTATTCCCTGCTCTTGTGGGTGTAATGATTCCAATCCTGGGTATATGCCGATCTACCAATCTTTGTCATTTCTATGGTGTTTGTTGGCGTTCTATTCGGGTCAACTGATTCTTTTTCTCCACTAATGGTTATCGAGCTTGATGTTCTCGTTCCTCGGCCGAGCTTCTTCGGGTAATTGGCGTATGAGGGTTCTTCTGACTGTGTCGGCCAAGCAACCTTGTCTTCTGGATTGATGTAATCCCAGAGGTCAAAGGCTATGGCTTTAGTCTGGAATTCGGCGTTGAATTATTCCTAGTCTTCGGGGCGAGAGAAGATAGTGCAATCGTTGTTCGGTATTGTCATTTTGGTGATATATAGATCTAAAAATTGTTTGATCTTTTGTAGGTTTTCTCCTTTCAAAGCAAATGAGACTCTTAATTATTAGATGCAAGCGAGTTCAGATTATTCAGGTTGTGCCGTGTATTCTGTTCTTGTTCTTCTCTGCTCTGCTTCTTCAGCGTACAGAGATTGATGATCTGTCTTTTTGGTGGGTCCGATGCCCTGTGCGTCTCTGCCCCACTGGAGAACTTCCGGTGTTTATTTCCAGCTCCCATTCAACGATTATAATTTAAGTATTTAAATCTATTTCGGATAAGATCCCTTTTTATCCGAACTTAAATAAGTACCTACTAGAATATAAACCAGTTACAACCAGACTTGTAATTAATTAACGTTCTGGTGCCGCTACCACGAAGGCACAAGGTTATGAGAATTTCAAAGAAGTAACCTAGAAGGCTGCATGCTCATTGTATGGGTCAGATAATGACCTATTGGTTGAGTCGGACACATTCGTGGTATACAACAGGCAGATAGGCAGCCATGTCGTAAGAGGAAGAGTGGTAGACACAACGACGACATATGTACGGTTACAGGCTGATTTCTTGCCAGCGCTTGCTTTTGTTGCAGCCTCAGTTTGTCTCCATTCGTCCGTTTGCTCCTTTCTGTAAGTAATGTACATGCAGGCTGGAAGCTTGGTATCAGCCTCAACCATCAGACAGGACTCTGGTCCAGTCAAACTTCCTCCAACGCTTCTTGAACCCATCAGCCCGTCGATCCCCCTTGTGCCATCGACCCTGCTTCTTCATCACATCGGGCTCGGCATCTATCATACCACCTAGGATCTCTCTAGCAAACAAGTCTCCCCTCGGCCAGCGGTTCGCATCTTCCACCACGTGTCCCAGGCCTCCATCGAGACTAAACCATGCGTGAAAGTATGGCATCTCCTTGGCAATGGATCGTCGAAATGCCAGCTTTCCAAGCCCATCTCGCGCCCGGGCCCCCGTATCGATGATCTTCTTGTGCTGTGACCATTCCTCATCCGCAGAGAGCATCGCCTCCTTGAAGAATGCCGGCGCCGTGTCACCCAGAGCATACGGTATCGGCACCGCCTGCATCGCCGCGTGCATGTGTCTTTGGGGCGCTGCTGCGTTCTCGTAAAAGACCACTTCCCTGCCCTGTTCGTGGTACATGCGCGTCAGACACTTCATGAAGTTTCGGATCTCTTCCCACTCGTCGTCGTCGCACTCGAGCAGGTTTCTACGGTGCTGGATAGGCACGATGACCGCACCGCCTTCGCTCAACTCGGGCTCTGTGGGCAGTGTCAGGTACACGCGGGTCGCCAGTGAAAGCACGGGTGCCACCGGCGGCTGGTTGCGGTCCTCATGGTGGCAGAGCTGGCAGTTGTCAAGGATATTGTTAATCTTCTGGAAATCCCCGACGGCCGAGTTTTTGAGGTTGATCTCGGACTTCTGCACACGTCTGGCAAGCTTCTCGGCATTCTCGTCCATGTAGTCGAGGTCGTTGTCGAACTTGCCATCTTTGGCGATTCGTTCAGCCAGCCGTAGTCCATCACCTCCCGTCTGTCCGCGTGTACGTCTCTCCTCCCTGACCATATCTTCGATCGTCATGTCATCATTCTGCTCCATGTGCCCTCTCTCACGGCCTCTCTTGGTATCAACGGCCTTGGCCTCGCCACGGGTACCCGCCAATAACCGGTTGTCCATCACATTGAGCACCACAGCTTCAGGACCTTTAGACACAAACGAGGCGGCTGCTTGGTTGTACTCGACCTCTAGCTTGGCTGCATCGGGCGCCTTTCTCAACTTCGCCTTCATCATTTTGGCTCGTAGACGATTCAGGCCGGATTGATCAAGCTGGGTCGGCAGGTGAGATGATGCATCGTCGGGAATCACAGTGCCTTGGTCCAACTCTACAGGCGCGGGAGGCGTCTGTCGTTTCTCTCGAATTCCCTCGTCCAGCTTTCTCTCTTGAAAGAGCTCTCCGCTGGGCTTCTCCTTGCCGACGCAGCCTTCACCGTAAACCTTTCGTCTGTCCACCTCGATCTTCTCCTCTCGTGCATCGTCAAACTCGCGAAGGCTGCCAAAGCGTTCAACGGCAATCTCATCCACCGGGCGGCCAGTTTGCTCCGACGTAGTGTAGACGCCCTTCAGCTTGGTCATCCTCCATTGCGATCCACTGTCGCCAAAGGTGTAGTTAACCTTGTGCTGGGCTGGTAGCTCAAGCTCGTCCGCCGGCTTCCCATTGTTCAGTTGATGCAGTTCCGCTGCGTTGATCTCCCGCTTGTGTATAGCCCTCTGCGGCTCCTTGCTTGGTGGCGGCGCAGGTTTTGAAGGCTTGGCCCCCTTTTGGGTGTAGTCAACATCCATCGCGGAGGGAGCTGTCATCCAGTCGTCGCGAATGAGGGGCTCAGACCGCTTCGGTTTCTCGAAATCTTCGGCAGCAAGTTCCTCGTCCGGTGATGGAAGATCCTCCTTGGGGTCCGAGTTTTTGAAGCGGGTTTGTTTACTCAGATCCTGGTCTGCCTTGGACTGTTCGTGGTGGTCGCGGCGACTGCGTTCCTTGCGGTGGTCGCGATCATCTGTGGTATGCCTTGACCGCTTGTGACGGTGGCCATCTGCGTCTTGGTCATCCCCATCGTGACACCGTAATCTATGGTGTCTGTGGTGGTGACCATCGCGGTCTCGTTCGTCTGATCGATCTCGTCGGTGGTGATGTCTATGCTTTCGGTGCTTCTTCTCGGAGTCGCGACCTTCGCGTTCTCGTTCAGCCTTCTCCGCAGCAAGACCCTTCTCAAACTCGTCAAGGCCGTCCATGGTGGTGATCCAAGGGGAGAAATTGAATCCAGTCGGTACGCAGGCTGTTGCCGGAACGCGTGTCAATTCATTTGGCAGTGGATGGATGCGACAGAGCGCCGAAAAGTAGAAGTGACGACAAAGCTTCGATATTGGATGTATATGTGGCTATATGGATATTTGAGTATCGTGTATTGAATGATAGTAGTATATGCATGTAACACTGTACCCCGGTGCTTGGTGCTGGGTGCAACACAAGCAAAACGCACTTTTTCGCCTGGAGCCCAGGACTACAACATTTGAACTGCCACTGCGAGGGACGTATCGAAACGCAGAAATTGACAGTGTCTCTAATTTCAAAAGTCTGGTGTTGGTGACAATAGCACTCGAACCCCCTAAGCGCCAAAACGCTAAGAGGGCTGACTCACCGCGGCAGGCTTTTTGGCTGAGGCACCCCACCAAACATTGGTCAAGGTTTTGCAGTCTCTGCCGACACACCACTTGACCATCACTTCGTCCCCCTCCATTCTGTCCCTCCAACCCCACAATCCAAGCCAGATCTCAATTCTCCCTCGCTTTTCACCGTAACTACACCCCCTTCACCTCACTTACACCAATCCGTCCTCGCGCCGAGACCCTCACTCTACTCGAGTGTCGTGTCTGGTACTGGCGGCTGCATAGTTCTTCGTCTGTTCTGTTCTTCTATTACAGTTTCGGCATTCTAATCTGACAATCTCTGCCTACTCGAGCCATTCTGGTCTCCTCCCAATGGGCACGCAGATTTGGCTGGCAGGAGTTTGCGTGGCCCTCACCATTGATCAGCTTGCAGCTCATCAGTGACTTACAAACCTTCGACTTACAACCAACTTACAACCAACTTTCACATTACGCGACCTCCATATCACGACTTCTACAACACTTGACTTCACAACACCCACCAAAGACAACCTCAGTTACAACTACTCGTCTTTAATCACCCGCATCCAAGACTACCTCCATAATCAATCAGACACCCCTTCCATCATGTCGTCTTTCCTGAAGCCTCTCAAGGGCTCAGGCAAGCCTGGCTTTCAGATTCGGCCTCGAGGAGCTGGGGGTGACCGCATCAGGGAGGTTCTGAGCCAGAATCGCATTGCCAGTCAGAGAGCAATGAGCATGGATCCTACACCACCTCCTCAACCAGCTGCAAACAGCTCGACGCAATGTCCCAATAAACAATGCCCCAACCGCTCAGCCCCCATCGTGGAGGGATTCTGTTCAGCCTGTGGTCGCGAGATTGATAACTCCAATATCGTCGCCGAGGTTCAATTCGGAGAGACCTCGTCAGGAGCTGCCATGGTCCAGGGAACCTTTGTTGGAGCCGACCAAGGTACGACGCGGGGCATGGGTCCTGGAATGAGGCGAATTGGTGGTATGGTTGGCGACAACAAGGAGAAGACTATCCGTGAAGGTACGCAACCCCCGTTCGTCTTTCACTTACATTGTTCAGTTGCTAACTTAGATGTGCAGCGAAGAACATGATGTGGGGATTCAAGTCGCGACTCAAAAGCGTCAGCGAGAGCGCCATCGACTCGGCCATCATGATCTTCAAGCTTGTCCTCGGCGAGAATTGGCTTCAGGGTCGCGGCATGGACAAGGTTGTTCCAGTCTGTCTCTACACTGCCTGTCGCCGAGAGGAGAGATGCGACGTCATGCTCATCGACTTTGCCGAATTGGTCCAAGTAAGTCTTCAACTCTGTTGTATCTTTGTTTGCCTTCCCAGTGCGATGGTGATGGACTGCATTACTGACCACAATCCAGATCAATGTGTACGAGCTCGGACACGTGTTCAAGGACCTCGGCGACATCTACTCTTTCCAGAACAACAATGTCCGATCCATCATTCCCGAGGATCTCATGATGCGCTTTGCCGAGAAGCTCGACTTTGGCGAGTTCACCAACAAGGTCGCAGCCGATGCGACTAGACTCTGCCAGCGGATGGGCCGAGACTGGATGGTTATGGGCCGTCGACCTTCGGGCATCTGTGGGGCTTGTTTGCTGATGGCTGCCCGTATGTGGAACTTCCGGCGGACCGTCAAGGAGATTGTCTACGTCGTCAAGGTCACCACAGTCACCATCGAGCAACGCTTGGACGAATTCACAGTCACCGAGAGCAGTGACCTGTCTATTGAAGACTTCCTGAATCAAGAATTTCTCGAGTCTCGGCATGATCCGCCTTCCTTTTACAGACAGAGCAAGGAATGGCAGGACAAGAAGGAGCAAGAGAGGGCCGAAAGCGGACGCAAGCGCAAACGTGTTCTCGAGGACATCGGTGACGACGAGCTGGATGGCGATGCAACTACAGGCGAAAGGGCTGCCTCCCAGGACGGCTCTACCCCAACACCTAGGCTTTCTTCTGCTACCACGAACATGCCACCCCCACCAGTCCCTCGCCCGCCGCCTGACGTTTCCAAGCTTGCCAAAGTCACAGACTTCTTGCCTCGAGCATTTGACAGTACGGAGAATAGGGAGATAGTAACCCCTTTCGACCACACTCAAATGCCTCAGCCTGCACCAAGACCAGCCCCTGCTAGCGATAAGGACGTCGCGGACGGTCTCAATGCTGAGAACCCAACGAGCGAGGAAGCTGTGGATGAGTTGGCACAGGTATACGGAGCCCCGACCGAAGACGCAGAGGAAGCAGAGGAAGCAGAGGCGGAAGAGGAGGTAGAGCAAGATGCCGATGAGGAGCCCGAACCTCGTCGTCGGAGACGGGGCAGGAGAAATCAACTCGAGCCGCTTCTCAACTTCGATGAAGAGTGGGAGAGTGACGAGGCCCTACTGGAGAAGCAGATCAATGAGGTGATCAGCGACCCTCACAGTGATGCGCATCAGAAGGCACTCGCCACCGCTGTGCATCTCGCCCACATCAAGACTCAATGGCAACTATCGTTGCTGCCATCCCGGAAACCGAATATGGAGGAAATCATCGGTGAGGATGAGTTCGCTGATGATCCCGAGGTGCAGTTCTGCAAGCTGGCGCCGGACGAGGTGAAGATCAAAGAGGACATATGGATGAACACCAACAAGGACTGGCTGCGCAAGCAGCAAGAGAAGAACTACCGGAAGCAAATGGAGGACTTGGGGCCACCAAAGCGCAAACGCAACCGAGTGAAGAAACCTCGCATCGGAGAGGGGCAGCTCACACCAGCTTCCACGCCCGGCGAGGCAGCTGTTGAGGCGATGAAAAAGCGTAACACGGTTTCGAAGCGTATCAACTACGACGCCATCACGAACCTCTTCGGCAGCAGCAAGCGACGTGGACCCGGCTCAGTGGCATCCCGCTTGGACAGCGACACGACCAGCAATCGGCCCAGCCGTGCAGGTAGCGTTTTTGACGAAGGCAGCCCGCGCAGCGCCCAGAGCAATACCCACACACCACCGGCAACGCAGAAGCCGGCCGCGAATGAGCTAGGGCAGGACGGAGAGGACGAAGAGGACGAGGAAGCAGCGGATGATACGTATGACGGTACCCAGGACGATATACCCGAGTGGGACGAGAACGCCGCCGATGAAGACGAAGATGAGTGGTTCTGAGTGGCCAATTTAGCCATGCTGAGCGGTTGTAGATGGTACGGTCCATAGATACCCCAGGTAGACATCTGATGATGCTGCTTGAAGCGTGATTTACATGATCTTTCTATATGTCTTACTGCAATGTCCCTCGTGTCTGGGACTCACCTTTTGGCAAAGATCGTTGATTGCATTATGACTTGGATGTTGAAGACCTTGCCATGACCAGCCATGACCAGCGCCATGACCAGCGCCTGATACCCGAAGGTATCCGCGTAGACAATATATACCCCAAGTGCTGGAATGACTGGTTCATAAGTCTAGGCGATCAAGAAGTCCCCATCCCGCAAGCGACCGGCCTTGTCAATGTCCAGGAGAGCAGGAATGGCCGTTCGTCACCTCAAGCCATGAGGCGTGCGTATGCCTCTTTAACTTGCTGATCTCGACGATGAATATAGCCACGCCGTCGTCCTTACACCTGTGGGAAAGTCTGGCATACCCACGCAGTCACATTCCTTTCGAAGCGAGACCAGGGCACTATGGGAATGGTAACCAGTCGATGCCGTAGCCTGTCATTGGGTATCTTTTCCATAAACTGCCGTAATGCTAAGCACCCCACGCCCATCTATTCCCGTTGCAGCACCACCAACAAGCCCATGATCCCCAACATGGCCGTCTTCAACCAGGGATGCTCACTAAGCATAATCGTAACGTAGCCCACAAACGGGATGTAGCCCACGACACTCCCAATAATGTCCTTCCTCTCAAGATAGTCCTGGCCCTTGGCGTAAAGCTCCGTGTCGTCGGCGAGGTTGTTGTCGCCCTTGGTCAGCAGCTGGGCCTTGTCGCCCGTGCCGAACTTGCGCACCACCCGGTGCACGATCGGTATGTCCTTGTCCCGCACGTTGTACACCACCACCTCACCCACGTCCGTCTCGGCTAGGAAGTTCCGGTTCCATAGGAACAGGAGGTCGCCGCGCTGGAAGGCGGGTTCCATGGAGCCGGACAGGACGACGACGATTGGGGAGGGCGAATTGGCCGCTACGGAGAAGCCTTTCCACATCTGTATGAGGGGGGGTGTCTGGTTAGCTGGGTGTTGCGCGTGCGTGTGTGGGTTGAACGGTTGCGCAGGCAGGGCGGAAGGCGACGAACCATGAATGCGGTGGATAGAATCAGGGCAAAGTTCAGCAGCTGGGCAGCAGCTTGCCGCGGGTTCTGGAGGCTGGACAACATAGTGGATAGTTTGGGGGTCTCTGCGCGCAGATTCGGAGTTCCGTTTGTGTAGGTAGATGGGAGAATATGCGGGATATGGCTGGCCTCGTTGGGTAATTGAGGCCAGCTTAGATGCGTGTCAGAAAGTTGTAGCTTCGTCAATGTGCTCGCGAAGGTGTCCTTTACCTACAGCTGGTGCGGTGGCAGCTGGTGGGCGAAGGATCAGTCTACGTGGCAGCTGGCATCTCACGCTGACGGTCCTACGTGTAAGTCAGATATGCTCCTGGACTTGAGCCTCTTATTCATGAATGTTAAATCCACAGATTTCGTACAGGGAGTGCGAATAGACCTAGATATTGTTTCCAGTTTCTTTCATTCAGACTCTATTCTTGATTAACTTGTTGCCAGTTCAAATCGCAATCTGTTCTCACAATGAATACTCTATGTGGCTGATCCTTATCAAGGTCCACGATGGCGTCAACCGTCGCGCGAACCTTGATGGCAGGAAAGCTCCAGTGTATTTTACACGGACCTTGTTGTGTTGAGTTGGGTTCGAATGGGTGGTTTAATGGATACAGTGTCCTTGGGGTGTTCTCTTCTTGACTATAGAGTTCGTCATTCATACCAGACCCAGTCCTCGGGGCCCTGAAGTAAGGTAGGTTGCGATAACACGAGATCCGAATCCGACGAGATTCTCATTGAGAAACGTCTGCAAATCCTAAATACGAAGGGACTCCGCAGACCGTTGATTGTTCACGAACTACCTAGGTACCTATGGTTTCCCTTGAGGCTACTACAAGCACCAAAACCAGCGGATGACACGTGTCGGCGACCATCTGCGCAACTACAGAAAACCATTCCATCGTGTTTTTATAGTGCTCTGACAGGCTTCGATTGTGTCGTCAGCTTTACACGTTGCAGGCACACTGTACTCAACTCTTGGAGGAATGAAGCCATCACAGTCTCCCCTTTCTCTGACCACATTGTAACAAATCAAGTTTCTACACACTCCGCGTCGTGCTCGTAAAATGGAGTGACATTCCAGAGAGGAAGGGGACAATTTGAAGGAGTTGTCGTTCAAGAGGTTTTGGAAGGTGTAGCCAACCTGGTGGTCCCCCTTTGCCCGATGATGAATGTTACGGATACACCTTCCTCACGCTCACGATGCTTCCGTCCTACAAAACACTCCTACCTCATGCTCGTCCCTTCCCTCGTGTATTTCCCATGTCCCCGGTGTTGATACGGAAGCCGTTCTCAAGCCCTTCTTCCTCCGGCCCTCTACAGCCCTCTACTCCACGAAACACAACCTTCGCTTCGCTCAAGAGCTCATCCGACAACCTACTACGACCTCGACTGTATTCTCATCAATATAGCTTCCTCGAATTGCTTCACCCTAATATCCAGTACTACTCGCCGCCATGTCGGACGACGCCGCGAACGACGCGAACGACATGACACCTCTGCTGCCGCGTCCGACTCCAAACCCTCCACAAGCAGACAGCCATGTGAGTCTCGATATACCATTCCGAGGGACTACGAGGGAGGTCTAACAGCCTGGCAGCCCATCTACCTCCGAGCATGCCATTCACCGTGGAAATCTATCAATCAGAAGGCCCTCCTTGCCATCCGCACGATAGTCGCTGGATACTTGACCGCCGTCATGGTTGTCTCGCTCATATACAAGCTCGGGAATGGTGATGACCATGGCCCATTGCGCATTCCGTTCCAGTTCTCGACCGTCGCCAACGTCTTGCTCTGGGCATACCATATGCAAGTGACGGTCAGTTTGAGCCTCAGGGCCTCGCCGTCGTAGGTTGACTCGCTGACACGCACCGGCAACAGCTCTGGACCGGCATGCATCTGTTCATGCCTCGCTCCATCGAGGACGACCCCGAAATGTGTCATGGTCATATGCTGAGAGTCCGAATCGCCCGCGTGCTGTCCCCGCCGGAAAAGGTGGACTCGTACAACAAACGCTTCACATTCAGCATGTTCTATACCATCGCTCACGTCTTCACCTTCATGAACACGCTGATCTACTGGGGCATCCTCGTCCCAACGGGCCATGGTGGCTTCAAGCCTCCCACTATGCCGCACCACGACCACCCATCGTCGATCAGCACCGCGAATGGCACCCCGATCACACTGTATGATGCAGGTAAGTGACGAGTCTGGCTCCTGGAGCCTGTAAACTTCTTCGATAGTTACTCCCACTCTTGGTCCATGATACTGACGCTCGCACAGACAAGGGTTTGTTCGAGGAGGGTCCACTCAAGGCGTTCAGCATCATCAACGTCTGGACGATCACGTCGCTCATTGCGGTTATCGAGATTCTTTTCCTCAACAGCATCAGACGCCAGAACGTGAGTGCCCTACTTATCTGTTGTGTCGACTGGGGCCACCGGCTGACCACACCGTTACCATAGCCTGTCGCAGGCCACGTATATGGCTGCGTGTTCTTGAGTGCCGTGTACCTTGCTTGGGCAGGCTTGGGCATACTGTTGACTGGCCATGGCGGGCTCTTCTTTCTCGATCCCAAGCTCATGGGCGATGTCCCCGGGGCAAACATCGCAGCTGGCCTCGCATTCATCTCGATGACTCCTGGAAGTGAGTATTGCATTTTGACCCCTATGAACTGCCGTGAGCGTATTCTGACGTTGGCGCCTGGACAGTCTTCGCATACATGTACGGTCTCATTGCGATGCGCGAAACGGTGACTGCGGCCCAACGTAGTTCATCTCAATGATTACGCTCCCGATGTCGTACTACGCGCAAGGCGTGGATGGCTTCCGCGAATGAAGGTTGCGTCAGAGGCTGCGTGGACACGGCATCCATCCCATTGGTGGAGTATAAGGATGACTGAAAGTCGGACAACTCCTTGGAACATCAGTCCCATCCTAGCTTTGCTGTCGATAAGGCTGTGAGTCAGAGGTGACGACCAGGATTGGACTATGCTACCGGATATGTGGTCGAAGGATTAGCTCTATCCTTCAAAATCAGATTGGGATGCTCACTGGGTAGATTGGGTCTGTAATTGTATGTGCTCCCTACTGCCCTGATAACAATAATGAGAACGAGACAGAGACAGTATTACTGGACAAGTTGCCGAATGGTGTCAATTGGAAATGCCCATCGATGCTCGAGCTTATGATCTTCGTCATGGCTGATGTCCGGTGCAGGTCCATACAAAGGAAGCACCCGATCTCCAGAAAATCGTCAAGTGACGTAGCTGCTGCCATCCCATGTTCCCAAACGGCCTGAGATTCGAGATGTACTAGTTGCAGCCGTTCCTGGCTCTAAGCTCGAGTGGGTATGATGCTATGCGCCGTTGTCCCCGTAGGGCCACCAATGGTGCCCAAGATAGGGACCAGCAACCCAGGGACCAGACCCGCGGGATATCGAGATGGAAACAACCGTTTTTCGACAAACTTGAGGTATCGCCGCCTCTGGGATTTATAGGGAAGCCTCAATGGCAAAGGGAGCCTGTCCAGTTTGCTTCTGTGTGCAGAGGCGATGGCACTGTTGTGAGGCAGTGCTGGGCAAACCAATCACCCAGCTCTCAAGTGGCCATTGAGCTTTTTGGAGGAGCCATACAAGGAAAGCCACGAATCACCTGGGCCTGCAAGTGACTCGCAGTGCGCTTGCTACGCTCTGCCAAGATGGGGCAGATTCGCTTGAACCCTTGGCTTTCCACTGCCTGGTCCAGCCAATATGTCTTCACTTCACTTCAATGTGAATGCTACCTGTACGCAGCGTAGTACGCAATGTCGTACAGGAACATCTTCTCACGTGGCTCGTGGCCAATACGGTGTATTCCCTCGTCTACACGGCCGTTGTTATCCATCTTGGAGGCAGAGAGTCGTCAGCATGCAAGGATGACTCCAGTCCACTGGGACGCGGACGCGGACGCGGGCGACACACCATACGGGTGTGTATTCACCGGAGATAATCAACGACGATCTGAGACCCGGTTCAGCGGACCCATGCAAGTCGATGGCTGCCGTCATACCGCCACCCCAGCTGCCCAGCCAACTGCCAGCAGCGGCAGCCTGCCTGACATGGTTCGCCAATGGAGCATCGAGGCAGCGATGAAGGCGCAAACAGGGGATGGGGGCCAAAAAGTGCAGATAGTATAAGTATATGCGATCTCCCCCTCCAAAACTCCCCCCTTCCTTTTGTTCTCCCTCCCCCACCACAACCATCAGGGTCGCAAAGCACCATAAGGATATCTCCAGACACATTCGTTTACTCTCGAATCGACTCTGGGATACGCCCGCCCGGACCCCTGCCAATCATTCATTTGTGCGTCAACTCAAACACCCTCACACCCTCCTTCACTCTTTTCGTCGCTCTCTAGCCAAACACCACACCGTCCCGAACGAACCGGCACCACGTCGTCGCCTCGATTTCTCTCGCTCCTCCGACTCACCGCCGCCGCCATGTTCAAGCGCTCGGACCGGAACCGGGTCGACAAGTCGGCGAGGCTGAAGAAATCCAACACCGTTCGGGATCCCCAGAAGCTGTCGAAACTGCAGCGGTCGATCGAGGAGACGCTTCCCGTGAAGAAGACCCTCAGCTCACCCATCGTCACCCTGACGGTCGGGCGTGAAGGTCGGCTGTTTGCGGCGCACGAGGAGGTCCTGTGCCAGTCGCCCTTCTTTGAGCGCGCCTGCCGGGACCAGTACCTCGAGGCGCAGAGCAAGAGGATCTCACTCCCAGACGAAGAGCCCGGCATCTTCTCGGCCGTCCTCGAATACCTCTACAAAGGCGACTACTACCCCCGCCTGCTCCACAACAAGCACCGAAACTCTTGGGAGCTCGAGGACGCTGTGAGATCGCCGGACCCCTCCGAAAACAACCGAGGTGGCCGCGGAGCCGTCGAGGCCACCATGCACGTGTCCAGCGTGGACCAGTTTCTCCTGCGCGACACGGTCGTCTACTGCGCCGCCGAACGGTTCGGACTCGAGGAGCTCAAGTGCCTTGCTCTCCGGAAGCAGGGTCTGCAGAGTGGGATCGACGTCGGGACCATCCTCCGGTCAGCCCAGTACGCCTACGACCACACGCCGGACTCGGACTCGCGGCTGCGCGCTCACTATCTCGCCCTGATCATCCGATGTCGCAAGACGTTCAAGAGGAGCGGAACCATGCAGGCGGAGATGGAACGGGGCGGCAAGCTCTTCTTCGACCTGTTCGTGGCCATGTGCAACCACCTCGACGACGTCGTGGAGCTGAGCAATGCTCGGACACCCAAGACCATCTGAAGAGTTCTGGCTTGTTGTAACAACATGTTTCTGTCACCGAATATCTGGTCCCTGGGGGGCGTAACATGGCGCTTGCCGTTTCTGGCGAGGAAACGGAGTTCACGAGGATATGATTGCCTTTTTCATTGTACACCGGTTTCATCTTCCCTCACTCATCTCTCCCAGATAGCAGCACCCCCATCAGATTGGAAACACCATTTGGGAGAGTTTACTGCACCAGCGAACACTCCACTTCTCATCGAGGTTGGCCGACCATTCCGATGATGACGCTTTTATCCACGGAGAGAAAGGGGGGTTATGAAGGTACATGATGGTGTATCATTCCCGCCTGCTCTCCCATGTCTTATGACCCACACTCGCAACTCCATATTCACCCCCCACGGCTCTCTTACCCCTGTTTGTCTTGGGACTGGTTCTGGTTTTCCGACTGTTTGCTCAGGAATTGCTCTTTCTGGCTGATTCACTGGTGAAAACGACGAGAAAAACAGAAACACAAAACGGTTCGGAAGCTACGGGACAAAAAGAGAGAGGAAGAAGGCGGTTTGCCGCCATTGCAATTTGTCTTTTGAACTGCGTTGCTTTATTTACGGCGAGCCACGGGATACATGAAAGGCATTCCCCCGATACCCAGATTGTTAACCAGCGAATTTTGTTCTCGTCATTTAGGCAAGCGGGGAGGACGATTGGACCACAGGTTGGCGCGCCTCCTTTCGCTGCCATACCATCTCCTATGTGTCAAGGAAAAGCCAAAAAAACAAACAAAAGCCATACAAAATATCTCTTCCGGGGAGGACACCACCGCAGGAAGGAAGGGGGAAGAGAAGATTGTACTGCTGGGTTTGCATACACATGGTTCCGCTAGCGCGACGAGCTGGCATCTATACTGTTGTACAGAAGCTGTGTGGGATGATAGGTCTGGTCTTGATGGCCAGCTACTATTTCTCCTGGCGAGACGGCCGTCCCTAGTGGATGGTGGCGTCGAGCACGGCTTTGAGCCCTCGTCAGGGCGAGATAATTGAGAGATTCGGCCACCTCAAACTTGATGTCTTGATCATGACGAGAACTCGGTGATAATCGTACGGTTATGGTAAGTATTGATTACGCTGCGCTTATATGTCCTAAGTCGAAGGTTTGATGCTCCGTGGCCCCTGACTTTGGATAAGGGGGGAGTGGCAACTCAAAGCGGCCGCATTTCTGCAGGTTCGCGATATTATCGCACTTCGTCATGCCCTGTGGTATACTCATCACTTGCCATTCGAGCTTCCACTATCAGAAATATCCTTCGTCAACTGTCTCAGGAGTATACAGTTTGTCATCTGCCTGCAAGTGTTAAGACTACTTGTCCCAGTAAGATCAACTTCGGTATAACAGCCTCCTCCTGGGTTCATCCTTTTCAAGGAGAGTCGCCATCGAAGGTCCCAATTCCGCTGACGGATGTATATAACACAAGTACACTTGACCTGCTCGAACGAGTTCACTACCGTTGTGGCAGCATGGTGGTCTATCACTCTGATCTGAGCAACTACACCCAAACACACCTCATGAGGTCAGGGGGTTAGGGGGTTAGGGGTCCGGGGGGTACGTACCTGGAGCTCCCCTTTGCCCCGTCTGCCCCTCCACCCCGCAATCGATTCAGTTCCAGGACACCCATCCATAGGATATTTTTCGGTGCTATTGGCAAGCTCCATCCATCCATCTTCGATATCGTCTTCTTGTCAACATTCATTCCCCGGACTCGGCTTTCTGTCGAGCAACGGAAGCAAAACAGGATGGCTAGTGCTTCGGAACCCCAAACATCGCCAGCGACGGGCACGCAACCCGTCGCCATCGTCTGCGTCGGCATGGCCGGTTCTGGAAAGACGACATTCATGCAGCGCATCAACGCACACCTCCACGCTCAAAAGGAACCGCCATACGTGATCAACCTGGATCCCGCCGTCCTTAACGTTCCCTTCGAGAGCAACATCGATATTCGCGACTCGGTGAACTACAAGGAAGTGATGAAGCAGTACAACCTGGGGCCGAACGGTGGGATCCTGACCTCGCTGAACCTGTTCGCGACCAAGGTAGACCAGATATTGAATCTGCTCGAGAAGCGCACTGGCCCGGACCCGGAAAATCCGAACAAGAAGATCGTCAAGAATATTCTTGTGGACACGCGTATGTGCATCTCCTTGCCTTGGTACCTTAGCTATCAAGTCTATCTGACTAACCAACCTCTCCTCAGCTGGCCAGATCGAGGTTTTCGTGTGGTCGGCCTCGGGTCAGATCCTCCTCGAGTCCCTCGCCTCCTCCTTTCCTACCGTCATCGCGTACGTTATCGACACGCCGCGGACCGCTTCGACTAGCACGTTCATGAGCAACATGTTATACGCATGTTCCATCCTATACAAGACGAAACTGCCGATGATTCTCGTATTCAACAAGACCGACGTCAAGGATGCAAGCTTCGCGAAGGAGTGGATGACCGACTACGATGCCTTCCAGACAGCCCTATCGGAAGACGAGGCGGGGAACGCGTTCGGCGGGGTTGAAGGCGAAGGCGCAGGAAGTGGTTACATGAGCAGCTTGTTGAACTCGATGAGTCTCATGCTGGAGGAGTTCTACTCCCATCTAAGTGTGGTTGGAGTTTCCTCGATGACGGGCGCTGGCGTCGACGACTTCTTCGCCGCCGTACAAGAGAAGGCAAAGGAGTTCAATGAGGACTACCAGCCAGAGCTTGATCGCAAGAGGAAAGAGAGGGACGAAGAGAAGAAGAAGAATCGCGAGAAGGAGCTGGACAAGATGATGAAGGGCATGTCTATGGCGACGGGTGCTAGCAGCAGCACGACGCAACGACCAGGTCGAGCAGGGGACGACGGTGACGACGTGGACGTACCGAGCGACAACGATGATGATGAGGAGGACTACGACGATGACGACGACGAGGGCGATCGGGAGGGGTTGCAGAAGAGGTATGAAGCGGCCATGGAATCGGGACGGGACTCGACCATGGATGACGCAAGCTTTGCCAAGTTCCTACATGCTCAACGCAAATAGGAGGAGCCGTTTGGTTGCGAGGAAAAGAGGCCTGTGTTGGTTGCTTTATATTATGATGGCATAGACGGCGCAATGATACCATTCTGATTTCTGAACCCAAGAGACAATATCACTACCCCGCGTGAACTCCCAACTCCATCCATGCTTTGCCTAGCTGTAGAACGACGAGCCTGGCCTACTGAGTGTTCCACTCCATCCTCCATATCCCGTACTCCGCAAGCTGTGCCAGAAGACGCAGCCATTCGGCGGATCGTCTACAGATCCAAGTCGGTTGGTATCCTGACGGAATCTCTAGCAACCGGTCTGGTTCATCACCGCGCCTCGAACTGCACCATCCTACCCGCAACAAGTCAGCCCGGATCCAGACCATCAACCAGTCAATCCCAGAGAGGCAGACAGGCAGACTACTAAGGTAAGGAAGGTACTCACCTCTTGGTCCGCTCCTTGTACAGTATGCGACAGCCGCACTCCTGGCACCGGATGTTGTCCTGGCGCCGCAGCGGGAACTTGAAGCCGCAGTCGCCGCAGATGTAGTTCATGGTCACGCCCTCGGTGTCGAAGGTCCGCGACAGGTTGGTGCCGCCGCCGGGCGCGCTGTTGTTGCCCGAGGCGGTGGGGACTTGGTAGGCTTCGCGCGACATGGTGGGCTGTTTTGTTGTTGTTGTTGTTGTTGTTGTTGTTGTTGTGCGTCGTCTGTAGTCTGTAGGGATTCGGATTCGGATGTGTGGTCGAGCCTATGTTGTTTGCCTTGTTGGATGTACGGGATTCGCGATGACTGACCGACGGAAGAGGTGGAGGAGGGGTCTTGATCGATTGGAGTCGAGACGGGAGACGGAATGCGATCAAAGGAAAAAGGGCGGTGACGTGGGGCAAAAGACGGCGGCAAACGCCTATCAGCACCGTTTCCAGCGCTGGGCTCAACTGGTCCCTGGACCTCGGGACTGGGCCAGGGACCCTCGACGTTTATTCGAACTTCGGGACTTCGCCGTTTGGGTTACAGCCCAGTCACTTTGCATCTTTCTCGTCATATATCAACATTGAATCAGCATGGACCCGTACAGGTAGACCAGAGGTTGTATATGCGCCAATGCGCCAGTGTGATAGCCAGAACCAGCGACCCCTTACCTCCTAGTACCGTACACAACCATCGCCAACGACCCGAGAAGAGCAACACCTATCAGGTAGACACACCAGACACCACACCAGCCATGGCACCACACCCCTTCGACCCGCGCGCCCTCCCACCAGATGTCCCCTGCCCCTTCTGCAACATAATATCCGCCTACCCTCCCTTCCCCCCCTCAGCGCCCCCCTCATCCACCTCACCCGCCATCGACCCGTCCAAGCTCGCGCCGGCCGCCTTCATCGTGCTATCCACACCGACCCTCGTCGCCTTCCTCGACATCATGCCCCTGTCTTCGGGCCACGTATTGCTGTGCCCGCGCGCCCACAAGCCCAAGCTCACCGACGTCTCGACGCGCGAGGCCGCCGAGCTGGGCGCGTACTTGAGGGTCCTGTCGAAGGCGCTGGTGCGCACGACGGGCGTGCAGGACTGGAATGTCGTGCAGAACAACGGCGCGGCGGCCGCGCAGGTCGTGAACCATGTCCATTACCACCTCATACCGCGGCCTGAGATCCGGGCGAGTGGGCGGTTCAGTGAGAGCTTCACCATGTTTGGTCGTGGCCAGCGGCAGGAGTTGGACGATGAGGACGGTGTTCGCCTGGCTGGGGATTTGAGGCGCAACATTGCTGTGGTGCTGCGGGAAGAAGGGAGCAAGGGAAAGTTATAGCTTTGGCTGTGTAAGAGGACGGAACTACGGACATATCTCGACATATGATGAGGGAACTTGGGACATGGGCACAGTAACGAAGCTTCTATTGGTGATTGCGTCCTTGCGAGTCTATATCTATGGTCCTCGCAAAGTCTAACGGTCCGCCTACCTCACAATGACGAACCGAGCCAAATGCTCCCGTCCTGGAACAACTCATTCGTCATCGCCAAAGAACACCTTGACCGGCAGCCAGTCATCACCGCAGACCTTGAAGCGGTCCTTCAAGTTGGACAGCTTGTTCAGCTCGTCGTCGGTCAACGACCAGCCGTCCAGAGCAAAGTTAGCCGCGATGCGCTCCTTGGTCACCGACTTGGGGATCACGTCCCAGCCGTTCTGGATGCCCCACTGGAGCAGGCACTGCTGCGGCGTCTTGCCCTTCTTCTCGGCGAGGTCGAGGAGGGTCCGGTCCTTGTACAGGGGCGAGTTGGTGCTGCCGAGGCACGAGTAACCCGTGTTGTGGATGCCCTTCTCCTTGCAGTAGGCCACCAGCTTGGGTGACGGGTTGTTGGGGTGCAGCTCGATCTGGTTGACCGAGGGCTTGATCTGTGGGAAAGGTCAGTCTGCTGCTAGCATGGCCGCACGCGTGACTGGTGGTCTGTCTCGACGAAACGTACCTTGCACGAGGGGTCGTTCAGGAGCTTCTCGAGGTTCTTGATGCCAAAGTTGGAAACACCAATGTTGCGGACCTTGCCGGTGCCGACCAGCTTCTGCATCTCGCGCCACGTGTCGATGAAGTTCCAGTCGTCGTAGTGTTTCTTGAGGTCGTCGGGGCGGGTGCTGCTGGGCCAGTGCATGAGGTAGAGGTCAACGTACTCCATGCCCAGGTTCTTCAGCGAGGTGTCGATACCCTCGGCGACGCGCTTGTGCCAAGGGTTGTCGAGCTTGGTGGTGATCCAGATCTGCTCACGGGGCACGCCGGACGCCCTCACGCCATCGCCAACCTCGGACTCGTTGCCGTAGGCGAGCGCGGTGTCGATGTAGCGGTAGCCGATGTCGAGGGCGTCCTTGACGGCGGTTGCCACTTCGTTCTTGCCCGATTGCCAGGTTCCAAGGCCGATAGCCGGCATCTTGTCCCCCGAGGGAAGGGTGTAGGTCTTGCTGTACACACGAAGGTGGTCAGTCAATGTCCTTCAGTACTTCCCCGCTGCAGTAATTGCAACGTGGACATTGGGATACCCACCTGGTGTGCTTTGCTTCCGCCATGATGTCGTCTGGATGTGATATACTTAGGAGGTGGTGTAGTATAGAGTTGACAATTTTTTGGTATGATCAAAAGGGAAAAAGGAAGAGGGAGATATTTACAAGAGCCTCGCTGCGATGGATGTTTTCTCCGTGTGGCCACCTCTTTCTTGTACAACTTGGTCAAGCTTGCATATGTGGAAATATGACGCCAGCAAAGGCCGAAAACCCACCCATCCGATATCGTCTGCCTTTCCCCTCCCTCCCTCCCCCGTCCCCCCACGTGCCCATTCTCCATCATCATACCTCATACCCGACTAGAAAGACACTGGCGCGCGTAGCTCTTAGCTGGGTACTTGTGCTATACCCCGAGACCAGCTTGTAGCGCCTCAAGTCGTGATGTCACTAGATGTAACTGCAGTCCTGACACAATGACGGGGCCCCGTCCTGCTCGGCCAATTGTGACCCTCAGAACTATTCAGGTTTCCATCTCGGGTATAGTCTCCAGGTACGATGCCGTCCACTGCGGGCGGGCTATACCTTATCGAGGAATTCGAGTCATCGCTCTAAATGCGCGCCAATGACAGCGTCCCATCGTGCCCAAGGTGGCCACCAGTCGCCGACTTGTGACCGGCCGATTCGCTCCGGCTTTGGTTTGGTGATGCCGCTGCCGGCCGGAAGAATTGTGCTCAGATTTGTCGCGATCCTTCGAGTTCGATGCCTGTTGTAAGCCAGGCTTACTTTGATGGTTTGTGAACATTCTTAGGGTCATCACAGACTTCCTCGACTGCTGATAGAGCATTACCGATTTAGATGGCGTGCATGGCAGGCACGGCGCCTACCTGCTGTCAGAAGCGGACAGGTCAGATGGTTGCTTCAAGTGCAGTGTGGGCTGCAGTGACAGCCAGGAACCATTGTTGGAGCGGAATATCTGATTCTTGTAGCTAAAACTTATTTCAGGGGTTGGTAGGTTTCTGCAGTGTGCAGACTGAACTTGCTCACCAAGGCCGATCTCATTCGACGCCTATCCCTCGAGTGAAGCTTCACATGTCAGATCGTGGCATCGAGGAAAGACGGTGTACTTCATTCTTCATCTTCCCCAGGATCAGGCCGACACCCAGACACACCATTATGGGTTCACATATCGAGGTTCCCGCAAGACAGACTCTGTGACCTTCTGGACTTTCAACGAGGACAGATCCACCCCTTCCAGGAGTCGGAGGTTCACAGGGCACATCGCCATCCCCCTCGAAGCCCATTCGCGGTCCTCCTGCGACATGGCCGCGAGCTGCTCGTCCGTGAACTCGAAACGGTTATGGATGGGCACAAAGCAAGTCTTGCAGAAGGACTTCTGCCCTATGCCCCGTCCAAAGGCATAGTAGGACAGGTTCTCGGCGCCGTCGATGGTGACTTGGTTCTTCTTCGGATAGACCCAGCAGTATGCGTTCTGTGGCGAGATCAGTATACGACACATGACAGTCTCACCAGACCACAACTCGCAGACTCCGCTCCGAGATGAGGGCGCTCACCCGACTGCATATACTGCAATTGCATTCAATGACCTTCTCTTCATACGTCTCGTCAAGGGGCTGGGATTTCAGAGCCAGTGTGACTGCACCGCAATGGCAGCTACCCGTGTACACCTTTGCCCTTTCGATCTCAGCTCCAGGTTCCTCGCCCTTGAATACCGGCGGCTCGTACGCCGGAAGTCGTGACGCACCATCGTATCTGCGAGGCCAGAGTCAATCCTGGTTCATACTCATTCAAAGCTTCGGGGTCATCCTACGGCACAATGTCCAAATCCCACACGCTCAGGTCCTGGATAACTCGAAGCTGGAAGCAATAGGTCAGACTCTGCGCATGAATAGCAGATACCTTGCTATCTTACTCACGTTTACATAGGTGACCTCGCCTTGTGGTGAGGTGGTCGTGACGGAGCAGATCAGATAGCTCCCACAGCTTGAGCAGAACTAACCACAGGTCAGTATATGCTGCCAAATGCGTTCCTTGGATGGTCAACCTGATGCTTGAACCTCTTGCTACCAAAGGTATACGTTGACAACGTCGCTGGATCCCCTTTCACGAACGTGACCTGCGCGGTAGTAGGGCTGCAGATGGCTCCCCTCTTGTAACAAGAGCTGCAGTTGCACGGGATTCCCTTGCTCACTTCTGGCAGCTTGGCTTCGAACACATAGGCGGCGCAGTGGCAGTTGCCGCGATATATCATAAGCGGTTTCTCGTCGTCTGCAGTCATAATGGTTGATGATTGAATTGTGTCCGGGTGGAGAGAGATTAGGTGGCCGAAGTAATAACTATGCATACCAACGGAAGACTATGACAGACCGGTTGAGTCATGAAGGGAAGATGGCGATGGTCAATATGTCTCACAGCTGAGCCGTGCTGACCAAAGGAGAGGCGTCGCAGTCGGATACTTATCGGAGACTTGCAGGCTGTGAGACCGTACGACGTCCGCCCACTACATCTTGGCCTCGACTTTGGGCGATTGAGAGAGTGGCTTCGTGTCTATCATTGCATGTGCTGACCGCCTTCTTTCCCAGCCTTGCGTTTAATACTGGCAGGGTTGGGTTGGCTGATTAGGGGGTCATCACTTCCCTGTTATATGGCGACCGCGATGTCGAACAAGTTCAATCCGAAGCAACCAAGACCCAGACGGAGTATGATGGTCACTTCCAACGTTGACGATCCACCATCATGATGAAATCCGGCGCAGGTCCTGGAGTCGCTCCCCAACTTCCAATATCCCTCAGGCTCACGACATATCAGGAATGGACCAGATGTGCCCTTATCTAGTGCGATACACCTACATTGGTACGGACGGTCCACTCCGCCTAGAGAATGGCGTTGTATATAAGTATTTTGGAAAGGTCGAGCCGGTCTTCAGTCCCGTTCAATGCTAACATCGAATAGCCAGGTCAAGTGCTCCTGAGGGTCTAAGATGGAAGCCTCAGATATCATTTGGCACTCTCATTATTCCAATAATAGGCACGTGACATCAGAGCCTTTCCTGCTCGGATTCCCTTCTGGGCAATGGAGAGTTGATGGGCTCGAAGCGGATGTTGTGTGCACGACCAAGTGAAGCCTGCTTGCTGTTGCCGTCGGTCGACACGCCGAAGATGGTATCGCAGCTGGCCATGGACAATACTGAGCATTGAGGGGTCGGGTCCTCATCCAACGGGTACGAGCATCATTGAGCCCCTCACGCGAGCCGACCACCCCTCGGGTTCAGGTGCACGAACCACTCCGTCGTGTTCTCTTGCTCATAAGGTCTCTCGTATCGCGAAAACTCGACGTAGGTCTCACCCCTGTTGAGCACACCTCGCTGAGCAAAAGGGAGAAGAAAGAGAAGTCCAGCATCTCTCCTCAAGCTTCTCCAGCGCCGATCAGTACGATACCGAGATGTCACGCGAGCGTTGGAGAACGTAGCAGGCCAACATGCGTGGCGAATCCCGGCCCATTCGTTTGATCCGCAGCGCGGGACAGGACGTGTCTGCAAGGCGAGAACGACGGATAAATGCTTGTTTCGAGGCCAAGCTTGTGCGAAGCTTTGCGGCTCTCGTGGGGGTGAAGCCGGGTTGGGATGCCATTTCATGGGATGCATACGACGTTGAGTACACTGCCGCTCCGAGAAATGTTCGAAAAATTGCTTCGATAATAGACCCTTGACGCAGTTGGGGTCTCACTGCAACCCACGGGGTCGTGTTATTGCCCAACATTCGCCTAAGTGTGCGTATTTGGAAGACTTCCGTCCGTCCGTCCGTTGGAGTGTCGCTGTTTTGGTTGCTGGCCACGGACGAGCACATGCCGGTGTCTCTGCCTCCCAGCATGGCCCTGACGAGATCTTTATGATCAAGGTTATAACGACACTGTCAAGCTCACTCTGATGGGACAGCAGCCGACCGTGGGCGTGATTGTGAATCAATGTATTCCATACGCCGTCTCACCCGAGCTTCGTTCATCCGCTTAAACCAGCGAAGGGGTTCTCTGGTGCTCCGTAAACATCGTAAAACCCAGCGCCAACGCAATGCTAATAAGAAAATACACCTAAAACGCCCGCCAAATTCAATCGTTGAAAGTCGTAAGAGAAGACCCAGCCCGCAGGTTCACCACCACAGCTCTAGTTCTTCCGCTGTGCATCGTACGCCGCGACAGCTGCCTCAAGCTCAGCCAGGCTGGAGCGGTCACCGTAGGCGTCCATCATCATGGCATCGGATTGCCGTCGAACTGCGGCCTCTGCCTGCATGCTCTGAGAGTACCGCCGTTGCTGGTCCATGCTCTGCTTGTATCTCGCCAGACCGTAACCTTGTAGCGACGTGTCAGTGAGTGATGGCTACGAGCACTAGGGACAGCGGGAGGAACGTACCAATGCCGACTGCAGCGACGGTCGCCGTAGCCAGCTTCCTCTCTACGCGGCGTGATTTGTGCAGCGTTGGGAGGTACGCCGGGTAGACCTGTGATGTGGTCGAGAATGGTCGGGAGGAGTGGGAAGACATGTTGCTCGAGCGAAGTTTGGCGACGGTTTGATATGGACAGTAGAAGCGTTTTTCAATGACGAGCGTTTGTCGACGACGGGCGTTGGGGTTCAGCTCATATCGATCAACTTCAGCCGGCGTGAGGGCTTTATGAGGCAAAGCTCAGGCTAAGTCAGGCAGAGGCGCAGGCAGAGGCAAAGGCAGAGTTGGAGATGGAGATGGAGATGGAGACAGACGAAACACAGATATATGAAAATGCTGGCAAGGGCCTCGTTGGAGTTGTAGCACCTACATATGTCAAGCTAGACCTTGCGAAGGCATGATATCCGAACTGTTCCTGGTTGTCCCGCCCTGGCCGATACACAAACGTGGAGAAGGTTGGCGGCATGGCGGGTATTTGCCGACAATGGAACGATGGAGGGTGGGGTACTTGGAAGATCGCCCCCCTATCCCGGATGCATACTAGTTAGTACCTCCCTAGGTAGGTATAGACCTGGGGAAAGTATAGCATCACCCGTCTGGTCGCGGGGTGCAATCGTAAATACTACAGTAAATACCTCCACCCTACCTTCATCAATATTGAACTAGTCATTCTTCCCACTCTGTACGTGATAGCCGGGGCCAGCCCAAGCCTCATGCTCGACCAAACTGTCCTGTCCTGTCACTGCCACTGTTACACTATTGGTCTCACAGGCAGCCAAGATGCTATCCAGTCCACCGGTCCACTTATTAACGTTGAAACCGTTGCACGGGTACTTGTGCCTGCTGATCATGCTGGCCTGTCCGTACCAATTACCGTTCAGGTCGATGGTCGAGAATAGTAGCCAAGCCCATCTGATGGCCTGGGACATATTTGCCATACCAAGACTCTCTCAGCGGTCCGATATCATCGAGGTTTGAGTCCATGAATAGCCACATGCTTCTTTTATTCTGAAGAGACGAAACATCACGAGCTAGCTGTGATTGTCATGAGCAGAGCCGAGGCACGAGACCCAGCAAGTTACCTCTAGCTGAAGCCTAAAATGTCACAGAACCGCCAGAACCCTAAACCACTTTGACCGAGTTCACGATGTCGGAGAGTACCCGTAATCGATGCCCGCCAATACGGTATCAATCCATCTGTTTGAGTGCTCAGGTTCTTCGAACGCCTTATCCTTCGCAACCTGCCTCCAAACCTATCAGACCGCATCTGCCATAGGGTGCCTGGTATCAGTCCATATGTCTTCCCCTACGCAGCGCCACAAGGGAAAAGAATCCACTCACATCAGCTGGAAAGGACTCCGTGATCAATCGAATAGGTCACAATCCACGTAGACAGCGAGAGGCATGGATGCAGGATCTCGTCACTCCATCGTGATAGGCCAGACCCATGACAAGGTGAGATCAGGGCGCCCAACCTCCCACACAGGCAGCAATGCTGCAATATTCTCGACATGTGAAAAGAACGATATAGAAGGTTATACTACGAGACTCGAAGTCCCGGGAAACCTCACGGTACGGACCGTTCAACCTCATTACAACCGCCTGGGCCAAGGCATGTACACAAGTCTAAGAAGGCCGTTGCACTACTAGTCTTGGGCTCTAGACATCAAGCCGGGACTTCCAAGCACATACCTACCTCTTCTACTATTTGCAAGAGGGCCAAGAAAACCCCATATCAGACAGACAAACCACCAGACGACACCCCCAGCCCACGATGGATGCATCCAAGCGCATCTACACCCAAGCCGCCTGCATACAGCGTAAGCACAGCTACCTTGCCGCAGCAGAAGCGGAGGAATCAACAGGACGCAATATCAGCTCCCGCAGCTACCCCATACTCTGTCTGACTGGCTGCAGGTTGACATGCAGATGGATAGTCGCGCGAAGTTGCCACCGCATGCGAGGCAGGCCATCTCATCCCATCCCATCTCATCTCATCCAACCCCTGGAGTGCATATAGTCCAACCGCAGGTCTGTCAGCCCGCATCGCATGGCGTTTGATTGCCATTGGCTCGCAAGCCATTATCAGATGGCTTATAAATCCCGCATGTGAGCAGATCTAGGCTGCCTTTCGTCTTCGAGTCTTGGGTCTGGATTTCGGCGGCTGCTCCGACGAGAACGCCTATCACAGCACTCCTGCGCGTTTTGTTCCCACGCTTGTACCTTGCTCTTGCAGCTTTGTGTCCCAGCTGAAAGCCACTCCGGCTGCGTCTCACTGGAGTACGAGGTGATAGCTGCATGTTTGTGTTCTGCTGCTGATACTCAGCTTGGATCCTGGGAGGTGAGGGAAAGGAGGGCTCGTTCTGCCACAGGACACGAAGGAGTAGAGCGTCTGCGCTGGCGAGGCGCAGATGTGCTACCTGCATCGATCACCGGAGGTACACCGCAAGATCTTGGCTTGATCGACATGGGCATCGTGCACTCGCAGTGCCCAATCAACTCTCAGACCCCATACGGGGGAAGGGAAGGGAATGAATCAAGTCGAAACATGTCGCATTGTCTAGATTATCCCGAGTTACTCCAGCACCAAGTTTTGATCCATGTTGTTCTAACTCGAGCTCTCCACCTGGAAGGCCTGGACACCATCACTGGGATATCAAGATCTTGCAAGTCCCCTTTTCCAGTCTACCGCCGTCGTGCATGAGTCTACTTGAACACCGGCTTCGTATCCCGTTCGTTCTCTGCTCAACGCAATGACCCAGCAACTCCAGTCCATAATCAGCGCTTCTAGGTCATATACCTCAAGCAGCGCCGGTCCCGATCTTGTTCAGACCTTTGAGCGATCCAAGGCTCAGAGCCAAGCCTTGCGATCTGCTTCTTATGCGGACAAAACCAGTGATAGGCCCATCTTCGCCTTCCTTTTCGATGCTCAAGTTGGCCAAAGCATCCTCGCCTATAACGTATTAGTACTTGTCCTTTGTAGACACTTATATCGTAGAGTACTTACCAAACACACTCCTGGCGTACAGATTCGCACTCAGGAACTGACAATCGCCCTTCATACTAGCTTCGGGTGTCAGGCAGTTCATGTTCGTGCAGGCCATCAGCTGCTCTAAAAAGTCGCGCAGCGTCTTGGCCTTGCTGTTGATGTTGACCTTGTTCTCCCACTCGAACTCGGTCCACATGGTGCGGAACTGCGTTTCTGTACATGTGGCGGGTTGGATGTAGTCCATAATGTCAACATGCAGGTCGTTGAGAATGACAACATTGGTATCAGTGCTGTGCGCGCCGTCATATACCACGTTGCCAAAGATGACACCAGTGTCGGTCGACGACACCTTGATGGTGCATTGTACATTGTGGAAGTCGTGGGGACCAAGATTCTGCGTGGTTGGCCGTTCTACCACCTTAAGGTCGCCGAGTGTCGCAAACTCAACAGAAAGATTTTGTAGCGTCTCGGTGGTCTGGTTGACTAGAAGCACGTCCAGTACAATATCGAACTGGTGCACCTTGACGTAGGCCTCGGCATAAACAGGGTCTGAAAACCCGGTAAGCTGAACGACACGGCTGAGTTTCGAAGAGAGGTCCTCAGCTGTTGACTCTCCGCCGGTGGCCTTTTCAAGGTCAAGTTCGATCTCGTCGGTACCATCGCCGACGTTCTTCTTAGAAAGTTGTCGGATCTGCACCACATCATCAACCTGGATGGCAGTCTTGGCCTTTTCGTCGGCCTCCTTTGCCGCCCTCTTCTTCTCTTCAACCTGCACCATGGCGCGGAATGCCTTCCGTGTGTCATCGAGGAAGACGGTCTCGAGCTCCTTCTTGTGGGTGAACTCAGCTAGGGACCGGACGCAGGACATGATTCTGTCGGTGGAGTCCTCGTCAATGGGCGCCTTGACGAACTGTGACTGGCCGACGCGGATGATGGAAATCATGATCAACATAGCCTCGGCCTTGAGGGCATTCGTGCGCGCCTTTTCTGACGAGATCTCCGAATGCCGCATGACGAGCTTTGTGAGTGTAGCAGAAAGAACAGTGGCCAGGTAGTAGTCTCCGTCGAGGATTAGCTGTCGCAACGGGGGCTTCTGAGCAGCCTTGACGGCCTCTAATTTCGCAGCAGCCGCTGAGTTGCTTGTCAAGGCAGTCTCTGTCGCATAGGTGCCGTCTGCTAGAACTCGTCTCGACCCTGAGGGCTGTGCTGGTTTGGAGTGGCCGTTAACCTGCTCCTTCTCTTTCTCCTCGTCGCCATCCGTGTTGTCCAGTAACCTCTGTTCAGAAGCAAGGATGGGTATTTCGCCCAAGCTTGCCCGTATCCTCTTCCACGCGTCTCTGATGTCTTTCTCTTCAAGCGAGTACTCTCCAACTATCCAGATGATCCCGCGGTAGACCTTGCCGGCCCGAACCTCACTAAGGGTATCGACCAAGCGCGACACAATTGACGACCGCAGGTTCGGGAACTTCTCCACCACCTCCTTGACAAAGGTGATGACATCGACAGCTGAGGTGTTACTGAAATCGGAAATGAAATCCATCAACAGATCCACCACGCTGGCAGCAACTTCGGAGAACTTGATGGCACACTGGTGGATAGAATGGATGAGCAGCTGTCGGTACTCGGCGTTCTTCTCGTACTCCTGATCAACGGTCTTGGAAAGCTCCTTCTTGAGCAGCAGGATAACTTCTTCCACGTTCTTGCTAGACACCATCTCCAAGGCAATGCTGAGGGCCTTTCGTCGGACATCGATATCGGGGCTGGACAGGACGCGCAGGATCTCCATGACCAGATCGTCCAGCACGCCCGGGTTCTTCTGGCGCAGCTGGTCTACTCGGTCAAGTACAATAAGCTTGACATTGTTGTCGGCCTCCTTGATGCTCAGCTCGATGAACTTGGCGGCCGCGGCTTTCACGGCGACAGGATTACTAGTCAGTGAGGTCAACGACGAGGCAGCTTCGTACACAACCGTCGAGGCACCGGCTTCCAGGAGGTCGAAGATAAGGCGCAGATACCGGGCCTGCCCACGTCAATGTCAGTTGAGTTCTACCATCGTGTTGGCAACTGCCTGTCTGCCCACCTTGTGCTGCGTGTTCTGCACCGCATCTTTTCGGATAAATTCTAGCTCAACCAACTGAAGCAACTCCTCTGCGTTGGGGATGCCGTCGAATACGGAGCTCAAATAGGCTAGGGCCTTGTCGTGGTCGATGCTCGAAAGGGCGGCAAATGCATTGCGCTTGCAGGTTGCGTCGCTCTCTCCCTCGAGGAAGGTGGCGATGAGTTCCGCGGCATCGGGAATCAGGGATGGCGAATGTATGAAAATGGAAGAGACGGCATAGACTGCGTTCTTTCGCACGTAGGCATGTCGGTGCTCGAGACATTGTCGCGCAGAAGACAAAAGGGGCTCGATCAGTTCCGGTTCCCGTAGCTTGCACAGGAAGCGCAATGTGTTTCCTCGGATGTACTCGTTCGCATGCTGGAGGTCGTTTCTGATGCCGTTACTACGGATGGGCGGTCAGCAGCAATTTCCTCCAGACCAACCGCCGCAGAACGATTGTACTCACCAGACGAGAATCATCTCCTGCTTCAGCTTGCCAGTGGAATCAAGCTTGGGGCAGATCTCGTAGTAGAAATACAGCAGCTTCTTCAGCTGCTTGGACCTCGAGGGCATAACGAATCGGATGATGTGCATGAGCAGCTGGGGCATGGGGTCGCCGTTGAGCATGATGGTCAGGATGCGCTTCATGGTTTCGACCTTGGTCTCATCTGTGCCCTTTTCCAACTGGGTGCGCAGCTCGGACATGGAAGGGACGTCGGCAGCATTGTCTTGATGGACCAAGCTGTAGGTGTGGTCGAGGAAGGACGACATGCTGGGCAATTGCTGCGGTTCTCGACCGCCTCGTCAATGTCGGTTCGAATCGGGTCAAAAAGGGGTCCGGTCAGTCGGGGTCGAGGCTAGGGTCGAGTCGAGGTCGAAGACGAAGAAGGGCAATCGTGGTACGGCCTGACAGGACGTGTAGCCTTGTGATATGGGATTCGTGTCGAGATCCCCTCAAGCAGGTGACAGGCGAGTAGAGAATGACGGGGTAATTGGACAATGGTGGGATCGGGTCGCCTTAGCAGACAGGAGGTGGTCTGTAGAGGGCAATGCGATCACACATCACAATGCCAGGGACGAAGCGACTCGGCGGAGGTGGGAATGGCAGTTGGCGTCGTGAATGTGGTGTTGGCGAGTTCCAGTATATCGAAATGTCCACATCGGCCAGCTCGCACCATCAATGGCAGGCATCCCGCACAGAAATCTGTCCCTCCTGAACTGCCTGAGCCTCCTCCAGCCTCTAGGGGCAGGGTCCAATTGAACGGGGCGGCACCGGGGCTGCACAGGGCACCGGGGGCACTGAAGAGCAAGGGCCGACATTCTAGCGAGGGCATCAGCCACACATTAGTGCACTCTATGTGGCTTGAGAGCTGACCGCCTTCACCACCTTGGTAGGCGGTAGGTTGCATTGACTTTCTGCCCCAGACGGTTCAAGGTGCTGCCCCGCCAGCCCGCCAGACCTCCGTCCAATACATGGAGCTGCCTTGCTCGCTTTCTGAAGTTCTGCCTCGTCAAGTCACCTTGATTACCTACCAGTAGAGCTTCATTACGCACCAAGAACTATAACCTGAACGGACTCAGTCCCTACGCGACACCAATCACGCTCGTAAGTGCCGACGACAACCTCCCAAGTTACCTACAGACGAACAGACACCATGGCTTCGTCTGGCGAGCAGTTCTACATCCGCTACTAGTACGTCCTCCCATACCAGCGAATGCGACAGGCGACGGGACGGACATCAGCTAACATGTGTCTTCTACCCAGCTCAGGCCACTCCGGACGATTCGGCCACGAGTTTCTCGGTGAGCTCACCCCGCCGGGCTTCGCGACGGAACAAGAGCTGACCGGGACGCATAGAGTTCGACTTCAGAATAGTGGGCGACGGACGCAGCGCGGTGGCCCGATACGCCAACAACTCCAACTACCGAAACGACAGTCTGATCCGCAAAGAGAGTACGCACGCATACACCATTCCGCTTCCATCAACCTCTGCACAACTACGACCTACGAAACGGGGGCGTTTGGCTAACTTGGGGTGCGTACAGTGTGTGTCAGCTCGCTGGTCGTCGACGAGATCAGGCGAATCGTCAAGTCGAGCGAGATCATGAAGGAAGACGACGGCAAATGGCCCCAGAAGAACAAGGATGGGAGACAAGAGCTGGAGATCCGGCTGGGCAATGAGCACATATCATTCGAGGTGAGACAAGAACAACAGCTCCTGGCAGCCTCCACCCTCTGTAGTGACTGACATTGCGACCTCGACAGACGGCCAAGATTGGCTCCCTGATCGACGTGACCGAATCGGCAGACCCCGAAGGTCTGAGAGTGTTCTATTATCTGGTGCAGGATCTGAAGGCGCTCGTGTTCAGCTTGACGTCACTGCATTTCAAGATCAAGCCCATCTCGTGAGGGACGCAAATAACGGGTCTTCATGTACACGGACTACGCCTCCCCTATCCAAATGGAAGATACCCCTTGTGGCTGTTCGTGAAACGCAATGCCCCCCGTCCGAAGCCTTCAGGTTCCCCGTGAGAAATCTCAACTGAGGCCAAGTCGTCAATCGTGCGTCCCGTCTCGCGTCAATTCGGCTCCTGTATCTTCTGGCGATGTCGATACGTCCGCGCTGATATCATCAAAATGCATTACTCACGCCTTGGGAATGATTGAGCATGGTCGCAACCACTGATCACGCTATCCTTGCCCCCCGCCCCTACTCCCACGTCACAGCCGATGCGAGACGCTATGCCATGGTAATCATACGGATGAATAAACATATCCGTTCATCGAAATTCGATAGCGCTGAAGCAGCCCCGGTCTTCGACGTGTTTGAGTTCCAATTGCTGGAACCTGCAGCCGGCGGTGTCAGTCATGCGCCCAAGAGCGTGGTCAGCCATTGATGAGGTTGCTGAGGGCACTTACTTCTCGCTCTTGGAGTGGAAATAGATGCCGTTGACACTGCCCTCCTTCTGGTTAAAGCAGATGTAGTAGAAGCCCTCGAAGCTCGCCCCATTGATGGTAGTAACACGATGATCGGGCACGAGGAAATGCTCCTTCCACCGCATGAAGATGTTCTCCCGCTGGGCCAGGTTCGGTATGCTCACAGGCCCCTTACGCAACTGGTTCTTATACTGTCGAAAGGCCGAGAACTTGCCCCAGTGGTTCAGATCAATCTTTTCAGACGCGCCCCAGTCGTCGTGTTTCGTGATGAAACCGTACTTGCTACCGATAATCTCGCTTTCGAAGTATGTCGTAAGTGTAGGGTTGTCTGGTGTCAGTCCTGGCGCATTGTGATGTTAGCGAAAACCACCGCAAGTGCATTCTGTCGGCGACACTTGATGGACTCTTCCGAGGGGTGAAGATTTGCTAACCCTTGATCTTGAGATAACCGCACAGGAACGACTCTCTCAAGTCGACATACTTGATCTCGACCTGTACGTCGTAGACCTGTCGTTCTGATTGTTGCGTGCCATGGAACCTGCTTCCTGGCCGTAGGTAGGATGAGGACGATGTAGGCATTATCTTGAAACGCGGTCAGCAGGTAGTCCCAGGCTGAACGCGATGGCTGACAATTGAGTTTGGCGCATGGACGTACCCGGACGTTAGAAAACTTGTATCCCATCGAGGGCGCATAGCTGTCATCTGGGCTTCTACCCGGCATTACGCAGTCTTCCATCTTGTCGTTGTCTGCGCCAGTGGCCGACATGATATCGTAGCCAGCGCTATGCCGTTGTGTGGAAGACGTGTGGGTGTCGCCTAACCGTTCTCTGGCCAGTCCATCGTCGTCGTCGATGTCGGTCGGCTTGTATGATGGTGTAGAAGAATCGATATGTTCTGTGGTCGTGGCTTCGGTGTCGCTTCTCGAATCTGGTCTCGGCGACTCTGAGGCCGATCGCGAGTCGGTCGTGCCTTCCACCATTTCGGAGGGTGGCGCGCTAACAGGTTCAGGGGATGTCATCTCGTTGCCGTCGACATCCGTCTCCAGCGCGTCTTGATCCGGCCGCCAGCTGCTCGGGTTCCGAACCTCGTCGGGACATGATGAGCTGTGGGATCGCGGTGGGAGTTCAGGGGGAGGGTTGCTGGACGGTGTAGGCATGGCTGACGTAGTATTAACGCGGCAGCTGCGCGCGTGGCGGAAGAACAGGGCGCAAACGAGCTCGTAATGTACAGGGGAAACAGGATAAATAGGAAGACAAGTGAAGACAATTACGAGAGATGTGCTGACGATGTCAGGCGCAAGATGCAGACAGCCGATACAGCTTGTCGTGGTTGACAGCGGTTTCTGGTGTGGTGTGGATGGTGGCTTTGGAGATCAGATGGCCGGGTCACACAGCCCACGGCAATGATATTGGGAATGCTGCCGTAGGTAGAGTATTGTACCGCACTGTGCTGCCTCGTGATGTGGTATCGATCGCGCAAGAGTGGCAATTGAAGCCAAGACGTGGCACAGCGACTGAATCAAAGGAAGGAATGGAGTGACAGGGTGAGTGGTCATTCCACGGTTGTAATTAGACGCAGATCGGATACCGTCTCTGAATTATTAAACACCCACGCGATGAAAGGCTGAATATCTGGGAAGACGAAATGCCGTTGAATAATACTTGCGTAGAGTGTGACGGATGAGCTGACTCGTTGCACAGTAGACAGCCTAAAGACACACTGTTATTGACGGTTATCGTGACCGAGTAATGAAGATGTCGCTGAATCCGAGTCGTTGATTCGCTGACTGACCTGGGCCTGCTGGGGCGCAGGGGACTCCCTGGCGCCTGGATAAACGGTCGAGGGTGTGGGGATCGTGTCACAGTGCGTACAAGCCGGTCCATACATGACGGTGATCATAGACGACAGGCAGGCACGGGTCCAGTTATTAAATTCAAGTGTCATTCCCTTCTTCGCCGCGCATACAATTATGGCAAGTTCGAGATCACCGTCATACCATGTAAGTACATGAAGATGCATGCAGAGAGCTATGTCAAGATCAGGACGATGTATCGGACAACAGAGGTTGTCGCTAGAGATCATGTAAGTTACGGCTTATACTAGAGTCAAGGCTCGTCAACACTCAGGGGTAACAAACCAACCTACCCTCAACTTTCATTGCACATTAAGGGGCAACGGCTGCTGACATATATTTAATTCCGATATCTATACTCTTCTTCACAACGACTCCTATTTCAGTACTGTGCCCAGATGCGCATGGGTTAGGTACTCGTACATTTTCCCACGCACATGGATCGCAATGACGATCTGCCGCAGGATATCAAATAGTTGGGGGCATCTGCACAGTAAAGGCTCTGCATCCAGTCAGTTGTGTTGTCATACTCCTCATGATGCGATGCTGTACGCGCACGCCGTGTAATCACGTTGGTTAACGGCATCACCAGCACAGCCTCCCAGCCGCGTCATGAAGCATGCAGGTTACACGTCGCAGCTGCAGGAGAGTACGGAATCGAGTTGTGACTGCGATTGACCGCTGGTTATGGTCCATAGCCCGAAATATCACACGAGATATAGCAATGTTTCTCGTGAGGCGATGCAGGTCAATTTGTCTGCCCAGGGTCCGGAGTATGTGAGCTGTCTACCCCTTACTTGTGAGGGTATTGGTGCGAATATGCCAGTACTGGGCTCCTATGAATCAAACCGATGGCGTGGCTTACGTACAAGTCTGACTGCCAAACCCTCGACCATCTCCCTCCCTGGCTGCACAGAGTGACAGAGCCAGAGGAGCACAGCCAACATGGGCATTGATCTGGCGGGACTGTCTTGGGCACGGCTTGCACTGGTCGTCGCCCTGCTTTACCTACCCTGGCTGGCCTTCTACAGACTATACTGGCACCCGCTCGCGAGGTTCCCCGGCCCGCCGCTGGCCGCACTCACTCGCTGGTACGAGGCTTATTATGATGTCGTCTGCGGCGGCCAGTACACCTTCAAGATCGCAGAGCTGCACAGGAAATATGGTAGACCCCCAGCTTCTTCCCGTTATACCACACACCAGCTGACTCTGACTATGCCCCATTGTCCGAATAAGCCCGTGTGAGCTCCATGTCAACGACCCTGCCTTTTACAAGCAGCTTTACACCCAGGATGGGCGCTGGGACAAGTACGGTTGGGCCACCGCGGCCTTCGGAGCGCCAACAGCCACTCTCCATACTCTTGATTCGTACCAACACAAGCGCCGTCGTGCCGCGCTCAACCCCTTCTTCTCCAAGGCCAACGTGAACCACCGCGTCATCGGATCCATGACCGAAAAGCTGTGTCGTCGTCTGAGTGCACTCCCCAGTGGAGAGACCATCAACCTCGGAAATGCGATCAGCGCCTTGACCAGGGATATCGCCACCGAGGTCCTCATCGGTGGGAGCTTCAACCATCTGGAGGCAGACGATTTCCACGCCGAACTAGCGACGCTGCAGCAGAATGGAGGCGAGATCTGGCGCACGACCAAACACATCCGCTGGTTCGGTCCGCTGATGCAGTCCTTGCCCCTCAGTGTCGTCGAAAAATTGGGGGACAAAGGTCTCTTGAACTTTCTGTCGTATATTGAGGCAAGTCTCGAACGGCATCCAACCTCTCCTCGTCCTGCCACTTGACCTGGGTGCGGGTCTGGAATGCGTTTTAACACCCAGTGGGGCATGATGAAAATCACGCAAGATATCTTGTCGCAGTTTCAAGCCTCTGGTGATGAGTTCTCTCTTGGAAAAGGCGAACATGCCCCCACCATTGTCCACCAGGTCCTGGCCTCTGACCTTCCGCCGTCCGACAAGGCCTTCGAGCATCTCTCCGAGGAGGTCATGACTGTCACAAGTGCCGGCATGGAGACCACTGCCAACTCCCTGCGCGTTACGACATACCACATTTTCAATTCCCCTGATGTCCTCCGCCACCTGAGAGAGGAGCTCACTGCTTCCAGTGTCGACCTGTCTGACCTAGAGACAAAGGACGGAGCCCATCTTGCGACGCTCGAGGCCTCACCGTACCTTACTGCGGTACTCATGGAGGGACTACGACTTAGTACACCCATTGCATCGCGCTCACAGCGAATAGCACCCGACCGCGAATTACAGTACCGTCAATGGCGCATTCCCGCTGGCACCCCTGTCGGCATGACGCTCCTGTTGATGCATCGGGATGAGAATCTTTACCCAGAGCCCAGCAAATTTGACCCGGGCCGGTGGCTTGACAGTAATGGCGCGGTTATAAAACCACGGGAGGGATACGAGCCATTCGGACGCGGAGCTAGAGCGTGCCTTGGAATGCAATAAGTCTACCTCGTCGCCACAATCCTTCCACGTCTACAGAACCTGCGTGAATTTCGTGATCGTTCACAGATTATCGCCAAGTCCGCATCATGACGCTGGCTGACTGTCTGCCCCCTGAAGTCTAGCATGGGCAGAGATTTACATCGTCATTGCGACGCTGGTCCAACGTTTCGATTTGCAATTCGACGGTGTAGGGCTGCTCGACGTCGAGCCAGTGAGCGATAAGTGGATGGCCGCAACTGCTCGGCAGAATGGGTTCAAGGCTCTTGTGACGCCGCGTCTGTAATACGGGCAGGGGGGAGGACAGCTTTAGCTGAGTTACCAACCCAAGCAGCTGGGCCACGTGGTAGCTGGTAAGTTGTTGTTCCAGAAGTCGTCAGCATCCTCACCGGGCATGGGGGGTTCAGACGCCAAGCTTGCGTGTCACGAAGTGTAAAAGCATGCGCAAACAGCCAACCTAAATTTTGGTACGAGAGTTACGGCCTCCTGACAGCGTCTTGACGTTGGCTTCCAAAGGCCAAAAGTCTGTACATTAAGCATACCTAGGCTACCTGCATAGGGCTATATTATCGCGTGCTCACCCGCTCAGACCAGTCGCTCAGGTAGGGCTGATAGATATTGCAGCAAGCTTGGATACGGATGGACAGTTCTAAGCTTGATGTCGGGTTGTACCGTTCATCCCGGAGTTCGGTATTATAAACGGGATGGATAGGTGTTCATGGCGCACCCCGTTGACCAGCACAATCTCCCCGTCATATCCTATACCGATGCCGCCATAAAGGGCCCTCAACTTGAACAGATTCCCCTTTTTCACTCCGCACGTACTCGTCGGATTCACCGGTTCGGCTTACGGACCAGCTGATTCGGAACTGACGTGCATGGTCAGATTTGTCGCGGCATATCCATCGAACCACCAGATACTGCCAGGCCGGGGACAAGGTGTCTTGCTGTGGGAGAAGTCGGTTTCTTCTCACCACGTGAAAACCCCGGTAGTAACTGGCGATTGGGTCGTTATGCAACTAGATATCTTCCTGTTTGTCTGCCTGTCTATCCGACTGCTTGGAGCATCCATGTGCGTGGGAGGTTTTCAGGTCGTGTTCAATATCTTGTCTGTAGCAGCATCATCTGTAAGATCTTGCTCTGACTTGAAACCCCGGAAATAGTGCCGGCGGAAAGGGTTCAGGTCGTCTGCATTGATGCCGTTCGTCTGGGCTTCGTGCTTCATCTTCTTCTGCTGCGCGAGTGCTGACAAGTCAACCTCAGCATCTGGCAGTCGTCTATAAGTGATCAATCTCCTAGACCCTGATCCGTCTGTCAGTCCAACTTATCACCATTAGAAATTGTTGGAGTTGGTACACCTACATTTGTTGAAGACCTGCGTGCATACCACGACGATCGCGAGGCAAGGGTGCGTCGGCACACCTATTTCTTGCTCTTCATCGTTGGCTGTAGGCATCCAGAATGATATCCGACCATTGTCTACCAGTGTGTCCGTGGCGAAGTTGAGGATATCATCTAACATGGCCATGAAACTATATGGCTTCTTTGGCGCCACGAATGCCGGGTCCCTGGTTCGAGTTAGTAACATCCCCATCGACACTGACTGTATGACTTACCTGTACATCTTCCTTCCCTTCTCCACTACCCAGGGTGTACTCTCGGGGTCCTTACAGCCCAAAACTTTGAGCCCTTCCCTCACTCCGTATGGTGGATCGCATACGATGCCGTCGAGTATCCTAGCTCTGCGTACGGGACTGTTCGTCAGGTCGCACACGAAGACGTCACCCAACAGCTTTTCCAATCCGTATTGCTGAAAGTTGCCTCTCAAACTCTTCTTCCCGCCGTCTCCCCTCACGCTACGGCCATCGATGTCGCTACCGAGGCCTAAAGCTCCAAAATGGGCGCAGGCAATTGGGAAGCTTCCAGTACCGACGAAAGGGTCATAGAAAATCTTGCCTGGAGCGGCAAGCGCAATGTTGGCAGTGACCAACGCCAGCTCCGAGTCCATAGAGGTCGTACTGATGTAATCTCGTTTCTTCAGATCAAATGTGTGGATCAGGTCCCTTACGCCGCACGCGATCAACCGACCGAAGTGAACCTTCAACGGAGAAGGCAGGTTCAATGGAACAGCGTCGAACTCCCACTGTTCGAATATGGTGAATTCTTGGTCCGGACAGGAAAGCCGGATAGGTCCCTTGAATGGGAGATAGGAGAAGGAGTTGATGAGGGCAAGCTGCTTCTTCGACGAGGAGCGAGAGCCTTGGTATGCATCAATGTTCATCTTGAAGGATGGCTCGACATACTGCGGCCACAGATGGGCAGTGTCTCTCTTGATGATGGGGTGCAACTCGTCGTAGGTGTCCGCCGTACCCCAGTGCTCATAAATAGCATGCGCCAAGACCGAGCGTCTCATGATTGCTCTCGCAGCATCTTCCGATGGTAGTCGCACCACGCAAAATGGAGACTAGGATGATGGTCAGTGTACGCATCGCACAGGTGTGGACGTCGGTCACTCACCTCATCACTGTAGGATATGACCCTCAGGTCCACACCCTCAATTACGGCGATAGCCTGAATCTCTGCTGAACGAAAGGTCTCGTGCAGCTGGGAGAACCGAATCAGATACTCCATGGCGTGTGAAGGTGGTTGGGCGCTGCCCTAGAATGCCCAAGACACTGCAGAATTTTTATTGGGTATTTGACGTGTAGACCTGTCCATCTGGGTGTCAAGACTCAACTAGTTGGGCGATGGGGATATATCGGAAATCGAAAAGATGAGTCAAATCCAGTTGTGAGTAACTTCAATAAGTTCAGGTGGCTTGCGAAGACTGAAGGGACGAACAAAAGGGGGGCGAGTCAATAAAGAAAATGGCCGAGGGGTCGTGACGGGGCTATGATACGTAGATGCATGAAACCTTTTGTTGCATAAAAGGTGCAACTGTCCAACAGTTGTCTTGCGTCTCAACCATTTAGGCATCAGCTGAATCGCCAGACCTAAATTTGCGGCGGAGGGTCCAACTAAACTCCTTAAAATCACCTTCTGACGAGGACGCTGCTATCTCATCGCGTTGAAAACCGACAACAACCTCGGTGAAGCCCCTGGAGAGCTTCCAGTATTACTTGACTCACAGCATGTTCGCGTTTCCCTCGCCTAGCGTCTACCAAACGTCGAAATGCTTCGTCACGTACGGCACAATGGGACATCCCGATCCCAAGCAGCTCCCTAATAAGGGAAAGCCATGGAGCAGTATACTTGCGCAAGACTTTGTCCACAAGGTGAGACTTCACAAGCTCAAAACACACCTTGCAGTGCTGATATGAACCAGGTCGACTTGGTCATTCCCGAGGAACTACTGCAACTTGTCCAGGCTCAGATCACGGGAGATCCAGCTCGAGCGCCAACGTACCATCGAGTCAACATGACTCTTGGACAGGTCCTTGAGGGCGACTTCTTTACCCAATACATCAAGATCGGTAAATATCCCACTTGGACTTTGAGCTGAGGTTTTGTGGCTCACGTATGTCACAACAGGCAATACCATGATGCTTTCCGAGGGAAAAGTCGACTCTCACAATGTCTTCTCGCTGAAAGAAGGTACGTCGTAACATCCTGTCACGAAGCTTGCCGCCATTCACTAACTGACATGGTCCTGCAGGGGTCCTTACTATGTACCTTGAAAAGGAGACATATGAACGAGCTGGTCTTGTTGGGAAACCTCATGGCGTGAAGGGCAAACGGGGGCTGAAGCCGCGCTGGAGTACGTTCAAGTCATCGCAGGATCTACCTTACAAAAATGCTAACGGTCTGCGTAGTCGTCCAATTTGATCTCCGAAGTCCTTCAATGCTGCACGGAAAGAAAGGGTTTGACAGACTGGTATATGCGTGCAAGAATGTGTTCAACAAGCCAACGACATGGCTGTTCTGCAACCTATCCCAAAGTGAGTCACGCCAGGCCGTTCATGTAGAACTGCTCACTAACAGGATACCCAGCCCCTGATCCTGACCCTTTGGCGCAGCACTTCCCCACTAGATACACATCGTCTCCTGGCATTGTTGGTGGTCTGGACGTAAAGATTCCACCATTGAAGCCCCCACAAGCTATCCTCGAGAATCAGAACAGACTCGACCTGGACGAGTATGCGACCGAGATCTATGAGTGGCTATCTTTGCTTCGGCTGGAAAGCCCTCGACTGGACCAGACCGATAGCATCGACCCCTATCTCTCCGATTACGTGGTTCCAGGCAACTCCGAAGAGGTCCACGCAGGCAAGCTGTGCAAGGTCAGCTGGCAGGGTTTCATTTCACCAACCTGGGTCAGACAGACCTTGGCAGATGTGATCTTTGCTCTTCCCTCCAAGTCGTGGTTCTCGTTGAGCGCAACATCACTCACACGGGGCACCATTGACAGCAGCACAGACTGCACTATTCTGAGACCACCACAATCACCAGGAGAATACTTTCTCTGGGAGACCAAGGGACACGATTGATGACTTGGTTTTCCGATCCTCCTCATTGCTCTATTAGTCCTGTCTCGACCTGACATTGCGATCTGCGAGGTTACGATCGCCGACGATGGCGTCTTGGACAAGCTCTCTCAAGGCGGCCTGGCCAGCATCGGTGTGAAAATCGTCTCGGTCGGCCAGCTGCTCTATCCTTCTACGGAACTCGGGGTCTATCTCGGCCTCGTTCTGTTCGGCAGGTGTAACGGTGCTGACGGAGATATCGAGTCCTTCGGGCAAGGTTGGTGCCGCGGTACCATCCTGGGACACTCCGTTGGTTCCATTCAATAGATCCCCAACGCGACCGGCCTCCTTGCTCTTCAGGTACTCGGCCACTTGCGGGAAGTCGCCCTCTTCACTGATCTTCTGGGGGGCGATGTTACCATCGGCACCTTGGATCATGACATCGGCACCCAACTCCTCGACCAGGACCCGGGCGGCATCGACAGTCTCGACGACGAACAGTGCTGTCTCTTTATCCTCGTCGCGCAGGTTGACATCGACATTGAATTCTCGGATCAGAGCTCGTAAGAGGTCGAGGTGGTTATAGCTGGCTGCGGCGTGGACGAGCGAGTAGCCGTGCGCATCCTGTTGGGAGGCGAGCGCTGGGTTTTCGCGAAGGAGGGGCAGAAGTGCCGGGCTGTTGTCGGCAGCGAGGAGGAACGGGTTGGCGGACATTGTCGAGGAATGTTTGCAAAGGGCAAGTCGAGGTGGAATAGGAAGTACGGTAGAGTCGGTAGTACCTGAGCGGAAGATGTGCAATGGAACGGCGCAGCTTCACTTCCTGATTGTCGTCAGTCACAACAGTGTGAAGGCAAAGTGAAAATAATGAATGAATTTGACAAGGGTATGCGCTCGGTATGACGCATCGCGGAAACCCCCACCAGCCCCTACCTGACTGTCAAGCGGCTAAAATAATAAGTTGCATAGGGTACCTAGGTATTCATCACGAATAACCGTTTATTTCAGTAATATACCGCTTTAATTTTCATGCTGCGCCGTTGCCTTAGATCTCCAGGTCAGTCAAGTCTGTTGGGCAGGAACCAACCAACATAACCTGGAAGGTACAGGTACAGGCCAGGTGACTCATGCCGGCAGTCGTCAGGCCCTCCAGCTTTCACAAGAGGTTGTTGTTGTATGCACCTTCCTCAAGCACCTGAAGCGCCTACATAAGACACCTCACTGACTGTTTGTTGTTAGCCGCTTCTATCGCCTGACAACACTCCCAACTTTCAACAACCTCAGACCTCTCGTTTCCGTTTCCTCTCATCCATTCAGGTCCCCAATTCAACCTGTCCCCGTGCCCCAGACTGTGCTTCACCCCCTCACAGTATCCATCAGGCATCACCATCACCATCACCATCACCAGCCCACCATGGATAGTCCCCGGGTGCAGGCTCCGCATTGCGAGCAGGACCCTCAACAAGTCGCCAATCTAGTCCGAGGCCTAAGTGACGGCATCAGCAGGACGAAGAAGGGATTCAAGGCCAAGAAAACAACCTTCGAGATCCAGGGCTCGCGAGACGGCTTCACCGTCGACTCCTGGCGCTTCCACGACTGGGACTACAAACGACCTGACCTGCCCACATACGCCCGCGGTTTATTCACCACCAAGAATCGCCGCGGTGACCATGAGATTGCTGTCCGAGGTTACGACAAGTTCTTCAACGTCGGCGAGGTGCCCGAGACGAAGTGGGAGAACGTCCAACGCAGAACTAAGGGCCCGTACGAGCTCACCTTGAAGGAGAACGGATGTATCATCTTCATCAGTGGTCTCGAGGATGGAACCCTGCTTGTCTGTAGCAAACATTCGACCGGAGATCGTGGTGATGCCGAATTGAGTCACGCCAGTGCCGGTGACAAATGGATCGACAAGCAGCTGGCTGCCCTAGGCAAGACGAGAGAGAAGCTCGCTCGCGAGTTGAGACGAAGGAACATCACCGCCGTCGCAGAACTGTGCGACGACTCGTTCGAAGAGCACATTCTCGCCTACGGACCCGACAAAGCCGGCCTCTACCTCCATGGCGTCAACGTCAACATACCCCAATTCATGACATACCCCAGCGATCTCGTCCAGCAATTTGCCGACGAGTGGGGCTTCCGTAAGGTTGGGCTCCAGGTATTTGACGACGTCGAGAAGGTCAAGTCCTTCCTGGATGGCGTTGCCGAGTCAGGTGCCCACGAGGGCCGAGACGTGGAGGGCTTTGTCATTCGTTGCAGAATGTCCTTGAATCCAGAGAAGAAACCCTACAACGACTGGTTTTTCAAGTACAAGTTCGACGAGCCGTACTTGATGTACCGTCAGTGGCGAGAATGCACCAAAGCATTGATCGCCGGCAGACCCCCCAAGTACAAGAAGCATACGAAGATCACTGAAGAGTATCTCCTGTATGCTCGCAAGAGACTAGCTGCAGACCCCAAGCTCGGCAAGCTCTACAACCTGAACCACGGCATTATCGCACTCCGAGACGACTTCCTTGCTTTCAAGAACCTGAAGGGATCAGATGCAGCCAACTTTGAGAAGGAATTTGGCAGCACCGCCTCGACCGTCTCCAGCGATATCGTCCTCGTGCCTATTGCTACGATCGGATGTGGCAAGACAACTGTGGGCATCGCTTTGACGCATCTTTTCGGCTGGGGAATCGTTCAGAATGACAACATCCAAGGCAAAGGACGGCCTGCCAGAATGGTACAGGCTGTGATGTCCTCCCTCATGGAACACCCGGTCGTCATCGCAGACCGCAACAATTCGGAACGACGAGAGCGAGAGCAGATCCTAACGGACGTCATGAAGCAGCACAAGAACGCCCGCCTCGTTGCTCTGAATTTTGCCCATGGAGATATCGACGAGATTCGAAGAGTCACGCGTGAGCGAGTCCTGAGACGCGGCGACAACCATCAGACAATACAAGCTGCTTCAGACCAGAGTAAGGTTATTGGTATCATGGAGAACTTCATCGTTAGATTTCAGCCTTGCAACCCGGAAAGCAAGCCCGATGACGGCTTCGATCTGGTCATCGACCTCGACCCTGCCCAGGACAGCCGAGCCAACGTGGAGACAGTTGTACACGAGCTACATAAGAGATATCCATCGTTGATCCCTAATCTGCCCAGTGCCGAGGACATGGATGAAGCGGTCAAGGCCGCCATCCACGATTACAAGCCTGAGTTGAAACACACCATCCCAGATCGCGGCGGAAGAAAGGATAAGCAGCAGAGAAACCAGCAGCCACAGGCACCCAAGCGCAAGCCTCTGGAGTACATGTCCGTCTCTATCCCAGCAGCAGATGTCAACGCAGCACTTGAATCCGCCTTCAGTGGTGTCGGTCCAGAGGCCCAGCGATTCTACAAGCAGCTGCAGCAGACACGCCGCATCCAGCCAAGCTTCCACGTTACGCTCATGCACCGCGTATCAGCCAAGGAGCATCCAGAACTATGGCAGCGCTACACCACCCTCGAGGCGGAGAGGGACCCAGCCGACAAGCTGGGCGAGTGCGACGTGATGCTCGAGCGTGTGGTGTTTAACGACCGCGTCATGGCCATCGTCGTGCGTCTGGTTGACGAGGAGGTGAAGTGGACTTGCGTCAATAAGGTGGCGCATGTCACCGTAGGCACGCGTGACAACGGAGTCAAGCCTAAGGAGAGCAACGACCTGCTGCAACGGTGGCTTGAGGCTGGCAGTGGAGAGGAGACGGGGATTGGAGAGTGGGTGTTTGAGGGCAAGCCAACGGTAAAAGGAGTTGTCCGTGGGGTCCAATCAAGATAGGATCTAGAGGCTGAGCGCCCCTTGGAGGACATGCTAGAATAAACCAGGTGCATCACTACTCTTGGCTGGCTTTAAGTGTTGCAGCTTGTACTATGTAGCTGATTAGCACGATGAACATAGGCATCTGTTGTAATAGACACATGCCCTTACTTCTGTTGACTTTGATCCTGTGTGACTCCTTACCCATGCAACATCTCTACACGAACAGATATATGCCTGCCACTGTTGGCGACTCCCAACCAGAACATAACACAATTTGGAACAAACACTCTGCAATAAGCATGAAAGCTGGAATCTTAATCGAAGACTGCTTATTCCAGCCAGATGAAGGTCTTGAGACCAAGACAACGTTGGCTTGCGCCTACGCGACGAGACAACGACTGTGCCCTCGAATGGTTTTGTCTGGCACCAGGTCACTTAGTAATGATGTCCGTATCCGCGGCCTTTTAGTCGTGACTGAGTCTAGCCTGATACCTTGTGGCATTGCTACGAGCTGCCTTGGCCCTTGTTGTCCTATATCCCCCTACGCCCCTGGAATACCTGTTCAACCCAATCCCAACAGCAGTGGTATCCTACTGACCTCGTACCCTGAATCTAAAATCCCAAATTTGATCTGGCTCGAAGCCGTTGATTTCGTGTGGCAGGATCGAATACATATCTACGATTCAAGCAGACAACTCGTTCGTGACTTTTGCAAATGCAGACCACTGCCTCCAGGCCTCCCCGCTCTTTACTGCCCATCTCGCCCTCCGCACGCCCTCCTTCCAACGGCCGTTGCCCGGTCCCCTCTCGGTGACGACCTTGCCATCGTCTTCGGGGCCCATGGCGCTCGTGTCCGCCTCGCAGACGCCCGAGACGACGAGAAGGGCCGCCGTGTTCATCAGCACGAACTCGAGTATGGGGTCGTCTTCGGGCATCTCTCCTCTCAGTATCCTCCGCAGGATATCGGCGTTCTCGTGGGGTTCCTTGCCTGGCGACACCGTGGACAGCGGGTGTACACTCAGGCCGAAGTCCTTGGGCTCCAGCGTGAAGTGCTCCACTTCCACGACGCCGTCGGCGCCCTCGACAAGCTGCCAGCACCACGTCGGCCCCGCGCAGGAGATCTCATCGAGCTGCTCCTGGCCGCAGACGACAAGGCCCTTCTTGGACCCCGCGAGGCGCAGCGCCTCGGAGAAGACGGGACCCAGATCGTCCCGAGCGACACCTAGCATGCGCGCCTCGATGGCGTCGTTGAGCGGGTTGCTGAGCGGGCCCAGCAGGTTGAAGATGGTGCGCCAGCCCAGCTCCTTGCGGATGGAGGCTACGTACTTCATGCCAGGGTGGAAGACGGGTGCGAACAGGAAGGCGTAGTTTGTCGCGCCGTAGATGGTCGAGATGGTGTCTGGGTTGATGCGGGAGAGCTGCGCGGGATGCGGACGCATGTTCATGAGCAGGTCTGCCGACCCCGACTTGGATGTCGAGGCGCGGTTGCCGTGCTTGGCGATCAGGAGAAGGGATGACCCTAGGATCGAAGAGGAGGTCGAGATGTTGAAGGTGTGGTGGGAGTCGCCGCCGGTGCCCACGATATCGCACTGGAGGGACATATCAATATTCCTGCTACTTGTGACATTCGGGATACCTTATCCCGTCCGTCCGTCCGGAGAGAAACTCACAAGTCCGCCCTGGTACTTCCCCTCCGGCCGTCTCCGACTCGAGAAAGCAGCTTCGAGTTTCTGGTAGTCGATCTCAGCAGAATGACGCCGCATAGCCGCCGAGGCCTCGGCCAGGACATCGGCGCGGCGGTCCCAGCTGGTGAAGTGTAGGGCAGTCAGGAGCGAACCGGACTGCACGGGACTCAGCTCGTTGGTGAAGATGAGCGCAAGGGCGTCTGATATCTCGCGCGCCGTCACGTTCTCCTTCTCCGGATCGGGCCACAGGCGCTGGAGTATGTGACGGATGTCGACCACAGCAGGTTGGTTCTGCATGGCGATGGACTTGGGTTGTTCCATCGTCCCGGCCATGATGTTCGGCAGTGTTCGTCTGAGCTGTAAGATGTCGCCTTGCGAGCACTTCACTCAGAGACGTCGTTGGATGCTGATGATGGTATGAGTCGGCCTAGGGAGGAGAAGCTGAGTTCACCAAACTTGAGACCATAGGTATTTGCAGAACCGATGATTACCGCTCATCACATCAAAACGTAACATGTGTATATAAGAGGAAGGTCGGTCGATTTTGGTGAGTACTACTTACATGTAGTGATGGTCCATTCCTCAACTCGACTGCCCCGCCACGCGGCACCGTGAACCGTCCAGCCATGGAGGGGCAGCTATTTGGCATTTCGGCTGGTGGCATCCATTGGGGGCGGTCAGAAATGGCATATTCATCTAAGCGTACAAACAACTTCCGATGACCGACATCCCATTTATGTGAACCCGCCCAGCTTGAGACAGGGGAGGGGAGCACGGTCCAACTGTGTTCAGTCGAGAGTGAAGCTTTTCGCGAATCGCGATTACTTCAGTTCGTACCCTCGTCAGTCGTCGAAACTCGACGAACCGGCGCAGCACCTCGACATCGACCATAACAAAATCCGAGAGGGGCCGAGGAGTCGAATCGATATAACAGTACTCGGCTGTACCTTCGACGATGCCACCGAGACTCAATTGCTCCGCCGGGAGCGGCCTCGGTCGAGCTCTTCAAAGGGCGACAACTGCGCAGAGATCAGCAACCGTCCTTCCCCAGAGCGCAAAGGTCATACTCTCGAGGCAATATGCCAGTGCCGCTGTGCCTCCGATACCTCTCGGGTCGTTGAGGCTACCCGATGACTACATACCGCCTACACAACCGCCCAGTGCCCGACGACCCGATCAGCGAAAGGCCCAGCTTCTTCGATCGTACACAGCCCTACTCCGATCTACGCCCCTGATGCTCTTCTTCCAACACAACAACCTTACAGCCGTAGAATGGTCTGCTATACGGCGGGAGCTACGCGCAGCATTGGCCGCCGTGCCAGCACCTATCGTAGGCCCCGACGGAGGAGTGCCGGTGGACATCTCATCCAGCATCGAGCTGCAGGTGTTGCGGACGCGCATCTTCAACGTGGCCTTCAAGATTGTCGAGTTCTTCGATGGCGAGGCCCAGACCGGGAAGTCGAACGCATACACGCATGACTTGTCTGGTACAGCCTACAAGGCCATCACTGAAGCTACGATCGACGAGACAACGACGTATGGGCAGATCAATCCTTTGCTCGTTGGACCAGTAGCTGCCGTCACGTTCCCATCCGTGTCGCCGGCACATCTAGCAGCCGTGCTCAAGATTCTGGCACCCTCGGCACCGGCGTTTCCAGCTCCGACGAGGAGGAAGAACCCCGGATACTATGACGCCTCCGCACAGAGCGGCCTTCAGAAGCTGATCCTGGTGGGAGGCCGGGTGGAAGACAAGGTGTTCGACCACGCCGGCGTCAAGTGGGTTGGATGCATCGAGGGAGGCTTGGAGGGATTGAGAGCACAGCTGGTGGCCATGCTGCAGAGTGCCGGCCTCGGTCTCTCGACGGCTTTGGAAGGTCACAGCAAGGGTCTGTACCTAGCTCTGGAGAGCAGAAGGACACAAATGGAGGAAGAGGCGGATGGCGGCAAGAAAGAGGCTGGAGCAGGAGCAGAAGAGACGAGTGCCTAGATGGCGTGTATCATGACTGTGAAATAGAGTGCCGTGTAGGTGTGTATAATTGTATCATCACCGAGACATATCCTAGCGTCACAACATATCCCTATCCCGGCCAGAATTTCTGGTCGGGAAATGCAAACCGCATACTTCGACATAGGACTGTGAAATCCCATACACTGTTCAATCAATTTACATTATTGGTTTACTTTCCATCTCGTCGTAGTCCACTCCGGGCAATAAGGACTGCGTTTCAATGTTGATAGACCGAGGTCGTGTCGTTTTCAGGGGTCCCTAGACTCCAATACAGCGAACTGGAGGTCTGAGATGAGCCGCTAAAACGGACCCTGCATCAGCTAAAAATACGCGGAAGATCCAGCTGTCCGGGTCGTACGCGCAGTCGCATTCAGCTGGTGGCAGCAAGCAGCCAACGTCATCTCGCTTTCCTCCCACCTGTCCCGCAACATCGTCACCTCATACCGACAAAGTCACACCAGCCAGCTCAGCTCAGTCATACAACCTCATGACGCCCAAGCGACAATCCGACCATTCTCTCAACTGCAACTGAGTACCCAAGCTCCGGACCTAAAAGCAACATCCAACATCCCGCAGTATCGTCGACGACAGCTCCCCCGACTGCCCACCATGGACTTCGCGCCCTACCAATCCTCACCACCCGAGAACAACCGTCCCTTCTCACCGCCCATCAGCGGCGCCACCTCCCCGCGCGCATCCCTCGACAACCGGCGGCCCTACTCGCCGTCCCAAAGAGGCGGCTTCGCGTCCCCGCCTCCGCTACAACACCCGCAACCGCAACGCTCGTGGCAGCCCACGCTGCCGGGTGCGAATAACGGATATGCGTCCGAGGCCGGCATTGGAGGAGGAGGAGGATATGGTGGTGGAAGGGACGGCGTGAGCGAGTTTGATACGAGTCTGGGGATCCGCTTGGACTATGAGGCGTGTCTGGCGTATGTGGGGTTGCCGCCGCTGGGGGCGATTGTGCTGCTGATCTTGGAGCGGAAGAGTGACTTTGTGCGGTGAGTCGATGGACCTTTGGTTGTCCGTTCATTGGGTGCTTGTGATGTTCGAGCAAGGTCATCTGCGATCATGGGTCGTTCACCCGACCCGTCGTCTGCACCCTGCTCGTGGAATGGTATGGGAGGAGAGCTGACGTTCTCCAGATTTCATGCCTGGCAGTCGAGTTTACTGTTCACCTTCATGTTCATCATACACCTACTCTTCTCGTGGTCGAGATTCCTAAGCTGGGTCCTCTTCATCGCAGATCTGGGTTTGATGGGATGGCTGGCCTTGCGGGCCTACAGAGATGCAGATACACTTGACAGGTAAGCTCTCTTGTACCGGGTCGCTGTGGACAAAAAGCTAACGCTGGACGATGTAGATTTGAGGTACCGGTATTCGGACAAATAGCGAGTCGGATACTGGATGACGAGTAGACTGGAGTCGGTGCGCTTCCACTGAACTTGAGCAGGGACGGGGTTGATGGTTAGAGTCTTGGGGCGACGCACATTTCGTGTGTCACTTATCTTTGCTGCGACTGTACATATACCCATCGTGCTGGTGCTAGGTCCGGGCACTTACTCTAATAATGAATACCCTTGGCTGATGAATCTGAACACGATGGATCTGGGGAAGAGTGCTTATTCCAAAGGGAAGAAATACTTTGTATCCAAGATCTTGGGTACGTGGTACACTGAACCTCCAGAAGTCTCCGTACACCCCTCGTTCACCAAGCGAAAGGTGAAATCATTATAACTGGGATCATCAGGCTGGAATAAGTATCAAGCATGGCTAATTGGGTTGGAACTGCTTATTCCAGGGTGCCTATTCCGTTAATACGAATCTTGCTTGAATATTTCAAAGTTGACAGGAGCATGACGGACGGACACATATGAGGGGTGAGTGTATACGGAGACTCCCAAAGGCTTCAGTGTACCTCTGCTAATCACAATGGTGCTCGAAGTGTGGAAGCAGAACTCTGGGTATATCATTCATTGACGCCACTATATCTGGAAGGCTGTGTCTGGATGGCCCTCTACAGTGGCCGAGGTCCTGCCCTGGTTGCGGTGATTCAACTGGCAGCATCTTGACAGCACCACTCAGTATTCCACCGTTCTTTGGGTCGACCTCAGTCAGCTCCTCCATTGTTGACGAGTCGGCCAGGGTTATCTGCTCGTTCAAGGTATCGACGGCCAATCATTGAAGCAAGGAGATAGAGTCGGTAAGAAGCCTGAGCCGTGACTCGAAGGACTCTCCGGTGGCATGTGGGCATATGAGTCATGATCCTTCGGCTCCTGTCTTGGTTGACTCGTCGATGAGCTCCCGTCTTCTCTTGGTCAGTCGCTTCATCTCGGCATCGTACGCGCTGATATCTGCGAGCTTTCTCTTGAGAGTGCCGTTGTTCGTCTTCAGGGCCGTGATTTCCTGTTGTAGGTCTGTCATTTGCTGTTTGACGTTGGCGTTGCTCTTACTCTCCTCTTTAAGGCGGTCAACTTCTTGCTGGAGCTTGGTCACCACCTTGTCCTGCATCGTAGCACCGAGTTTCTTTTGTTCGACCTGGAGCAGCACCTTCAGCTTATTGATCTCAGCTTGAGCGGTGAAATTCTTTCGGCGTTCCTGCTCTTCGGCGGCTTTACTGGCCGCAATCTCGTCGTCCTTGCGCTGGAGATGGTCCAGCACATTCTTCTTGCTGTTCTGTTCGATCTTCGACAGAGATTGGGAGATAGAGTCGTTGAAAGCGAGCATCGACTCGTTCACAGCCACCATAGAGTCGGTGACAGCCAGTCTCAGATCATCTTCGGTGTCGACCTTTGGGTGTCCACGGCAACGAACTCCCCATCGCCATTGGTGCCTTGTGTGGCACTGGCTCCTTGCACTTGGTCCCAAAAGTCTGCATACGCCTGGCTGTAAGGCTTTTCGTATCGGCCTGGGCGGCGGTCGATGAATGGGAATAGGGTTTCTGAATCCGGTTGCTTGTCGAGCTTATCACCCCTCATGACGAGTTTCTTCCCTGTGAACACTATTAGCTTAGGCAACTGATCAATGATACCTACGTGGTTGAGAGTAGGCAGGTACGTTGATGAACTTACATTCCGGGATATATCCAACGAAGGACCAAATGTAGAATGCCATGTGCCATTTCAGATACTCCTCCGAGACAGGGGGAGAAAGACCCTGTGCGTAGAGCTGGTGCATCGTGAGGTTTCGGATTCTGTTCACATTCCGACCACGGAAGAGGACATTCGGGTCCTTGGTGCCACCTAGGAAACGATGCAGCTTGGTGCGCATTCCAAGGTCATTTCCTAAGGACGCTTTGTTCTGGCTGGTAGCAGTGCTTGATGATTTGTCTGGAAGACTTTGCTGGGACTGTTGACCCTCTTCATCTTGTCGTCCAGGGCCCGAGTGACCAGCAGGGGACGCCATGGTTGCTGCGACGTAGACTGGTCGGTGGCGAGATATCGAAGTGGGTTCAGAAGAAAAGAATCTGAGGGACTGGTTGTAAGGAGATGGTAGAGTGTTCGGGTAGGGAAGTATTGAGGCGGACTCAGGGCACTTTTGTGCACAGGTAAATCTGAGGTGCTGGGTGCAGGTAATAATGAGATCCCTCAAATACGGATAGATATCAGTTATCCGTACTCGGGAGAGTTCGGGGGAGGCGGGGTTGTTGAGATGGGAAGTAGGTATCGTTACCCGGATGTACACTGAACACTCATAAGTCTCCGTGCATGACCCTTCCAGCAAGCAACGGTATATTCATGAAATCGGAATAACCACACTGGAATAAGCAGTTTGATCTTTATTTACGATGCTTGACCCTTATTCCAGGGCGCTTATCCCATTATTTCTAACTCTCCCACTGGTGGACTGGAATCTTGCCAGCATGCGCTTACAGAGACTTATGAGGGCTGAGTGTACCTAGGAGGGAAGTGTCAAGGACGATGGTGTGCAGGAGGAGGAGCCTGTGCACGTGGATTTGATGCGCAGAAGAGAAACTTACACTTCGGGGGGACCAGTCGAGAAGGATATCTCAGATGTGTTATCGTCCTCTTGATCGCAGAATGAAGAGAAATTTGTCGTCGAGGTTGTCGAGGTTGTCGAGGCTGATGATTCTGTGAGTCAGATCAAAGTCTAGGCCACAAGGTCAACTCTGCTGTGCATGCGAGAAGCTGGGTGGAATGGATGATCGCGAGGTCGCAAATATTCGTGAGTTGGCACCGAGGGTTTGGGGCAGGTGCGCCATATGTGTTGTGCTGTGCTCTGATCTGTTGGGAGCTCGACTGCGAGGAACTGCCTTGTGGAGTAGAACAAATGTCTGGGAATCTCCTCAGGTACTAACGCAAGCTTTGATGGCACGATTCATATTGGTCTGAGGCATCGAGGAGGTACACTGAACCCTCATAAGTCCCCGTACACCATTCGTCTCAGCAAACAACGGTAAATTTAACGAATCGGGATAAGTACTATGGAATAAGCATTAAGGGTGACGTATCAAATTAGAGCTGCTTATTCTTGTATGCTTATTCTAGTATCTCTAACTATCTTATTGGTGATCTAGAGTCTTGCTAACATGCGCGTACGGAAACTTATGAGGGCTGAGTGTAAGAACGGTACACTGAGTCCTCAGAAGACTCCGTGCATGGGACCCATCAAGATACGAGTGATTATTCCAGGGTGCTGATTATACTGTCTGTATCCTGTCTGGGGAAGCACTCCCGAGTGCGTGGACGGAAAACCATGATGGTCGACTGTAACAGAGACGATATTTATTAACTCATCGAATGTAGCAACTACTCTCCTCTGTACTACCTTCCCATGCCCCTATATTTACCTCTCGTGTAATCATCCTGGAATTATCGCATGCTGCTTTTCACACCCTCCGCTGCGGTCTCCTCAAGTCTCTTCCTCCTTCTCCCCATGATTACCCGGCCGAAACTCACATGTGGTGAAGTAAGTTGTATCCCGTCGTCCGGTATCGATCCAGTCGAGTGCTGAGGGTATTTCCGTTATTTCATCCAGCCGTATGATGGTTTACCTCCTTCGTCTGTCCGCGATACCCGGTGAGATGGGCTTGATCGGGTGATGTTGGGTAGCCAGGCTGCACGGGGTGCTGCATCGTGTACCCGGGCTTGGGGCCAGGCCCATAGTACATCTGCTGAGGCATCATTATAATGGGTGCCTTGAGTTTATTTCGCTGGGCAGTCTCGACACATGCGCGGACGGAGAGGATAAAGTGGACGACGCTGAAAAGTCTCAGCTTCGCGGACAAACGTAGATGGGCGGAACAGGTACGTACACCAGTAGAGCAAGAAACGCGATCAGAGGTTGTAAAGAGTTGACATAATTGCTACCATAATAGTCGGAGTAATAGTCGTAGTAGTAGGAGGAATAACCATCGTCCGAGTTAGACAGCAAGGCCAGAGCGAGAACCCAGCCTGTCAAGCCGACTGCAATACCGAAACCTAGCCAGAGGATGAGGTGAAGGACGACATCTAGAGCAAGATCAGCATCCAAATAGCTTGCTCCACCCACTCCTACAAACACGATGGATTCATTTTGGTAGACTACCACACATCTGTGCATCTGGTGGTGTTGCAAGTCACTTACGAGCGCCAGGATGGATGCCTCGATGTCCACTTCGCGCACATATCGTGACAAGTTCCGCGATGGACCAGATCAAAGCCACCCCGGCTTGTGGTATAATCCAGACGATTATGAAGCTTAACACGTCTCCGCTGACGACGGTAGCGATGTATATACCTATGACGATTATACAGAAGATTATCGAGAGGGAGGTGAAGACGATCTTGGTGTTATGCCAGGCCTTGCTGACTAGAACGCCGGGGGCAGCCTGGTATGGAACAGCCTATGGCTGAGGTTGGTTCGGCTCCATCGTGTGCCTTCAACTCAAGCCGAGCTCCTTTCCGACTAGTCGAGCAGGTCAAAGATGTTCCTCTTTCTTCTTCAGTGGCTGTATAGGTAGGAAGTGCTCAGGAGTGGCACGCAGCGGCCACCCGTCGCGCGAAGAGACGAGCTAACGTGTAGATGGAAGGCAAAACGACGGGAAATTCGAATGAGACCTAGGTTGCGAAATAGGAAAGCTGAATAGACCGACCTGACATTCCAGATGCCACCTCCATGCTTTTCAGCTCGTCTTCCTTATAAGAGTAGACGACGCCTCAAACACGCCCAATAAGCAGCCACTACCTTAGGGTATCCCAACGTCTAAACGTCGAGCATTTGCCTGCCGGCAACGAGGTAAGAAATGATTGGATTAGTCACCTCACGGTGGCTTCGGGTGCAATACCCTCCCTGTATTCCCAGATACTGAGGAAGCCTGGCCTGCGGACCTCAGTCAGAGCTGCCGTGTCAGGCCAGTGGAGAGCGGCACAGTCGCCTCTCGTGTTATCTCTGAGGTACCAGGCTCGCGATAATATGCTAGCGATGATATATTCGAGGTCGACTTCAACGGAAGTAAAGAGTGCCCAGTTTTCTGCGACTCAGCTGGAAGACGGTGGCGGTCATGCGCCGTCTTAAGATGGGTGTCATGCCAAGAAACCCCAATTTCTCTTTGACATTGGCACCGCCAACCTGTGCCCCTGTTAGTGGGTGAAATTCGATCGTCTGACATCCCCCTCAGACCTCCATAGGACTAGAACTCTAGAACTAGGACTAAGGAAAGGGAACACTGCCACTAATAAGAGTAAATCTAGGTATCAGCCGCCATCAAAGCGACCACGTTGGGGTTTCCCCCAGCAGCAGCCGAGTGCTTCCTTCGACAGCAAGAGCTCTGGTCAACAGTTTGGCGGATGCGAAGGAGGCAATTCCAGAAGAATTCCACGGGGGGGGGGGGGTGGCTAGGAACCGAGAGCTTTAAGAATGGTACTGTGCCGAAGGTTGAGAACACCATGGCCCGTCTCTTGCCCGTGTGCGTGGTGAGCTCCGTGTAAGCCGGACCCGTCCACCGGAGATCTGTGGGTCAATGGGCCGGGGGCCACAACCGGCCGTCGTCGGTAGAATCCCCAGAAGTACCAGAAGCTGACAAATGGCGTTGGACGAGGTACGCCTCGAGGTTCTTGGGTCTGGGACTGCCTAGGTAGCCTCTTCTTGGTCCAACAGCACTAGGGTTTACTACCGTCTCCCTTCCTCGATGCTGGCCATAGTGGTTGTCGGCAGCCTTGACAACTGTAACTGTTACAGGGAGTGGATGGCTTGCTGCTGCGTCTCGGAGCTATGGCCATCACTTCACACCGAGCTTATCAACGAAGAGCCTATCATGTCTGCTAGAATTATGCGAATGATACTGGATTTCCCCTAGTCAGCATTGGACCACTTTGGGACTAGGTATCGTAGGCCTCGCTGAAGAAGAGCTGGTGGGAAGGTTCGGTAGCTTCAATTATCGACTGGCGTCATGATCTTGAATGAGAGCTTGTAAAGGGTGCCAGAAGCCCTACGGTCAACGTGGGCATGAATGGAAATATCTTCCACCCAAGTCCTGATCGTGCTTTAGTGTTATCGGAAGGTCACCTCAATCCGACCGGGCCAAGGTTTGAGAGCAACATCTGATGACGATATGCGCACTCCCTGATGCTCCTCACCGTCAAGTTCCGTCGCTATACGGTACAGCCTATAGCACCCTTGCCAGAGACCATGTGCGCCTGGGACACGGCATAATCGTCGTCATGATCTACATGGACAAATTCAGGCCGAAGCAGGTAGTCAGGGGCATGTTTCGACGAGCTACTGTAGAGCTGCCAGATATACACCCGGTCTCGGAGCCGTGCGCTAACACTGAACTGCATTATATTCGTGCCTATTATAGCGAGACAGGTCCCTGCAGGACAGCATCACTTGCCTTATTAGAGTACGGGGCCCACGCGGCAGGCAGAGAGGGAGAGAGATCGACGATTGACGCGCGTTGGATCTTACGGATTTATATTCATGACTCAACGTCACTGCCGTTACTGTTTAATTTAAAACTCGGAAACAGTTGAGTCAGTGCAACGGGCCCGCGAGCCTGGGCCGTTCACCCATACATGCGGGTTCTGCTCGACTGACTCGGCCCCTTGTACGAGAATCAACAGCATGGAGTCGCCGCCGCTGCGAGCGCGGCACAACTAGGTAGATTAACGTCTGGTGGGATTCTCTGTTCAAGAAGCCAAAATATCACATGCTTTGGCAATGATTACCATGATTACCCACGATGTGTTTGCGTCCCCCGGCTATCGCATTGTGCGTGTGGGTTGCATGTTGGCCGTCCACCCAAACAAAATGTACGGACTAGCCACGGGCCCACGACGCCGACGTGCTCCGATTTGGCAAGATCGGACGGGCCAATGGGGTTAGCGTATTACTTTACTATTGTATAGGCGAGGCGACGCCTTCAGGGGTCCGGGGATCTCGTCTATCAATAATCGGGGACCGGCCTAGGCCAAGGCGGAAGCGGACTGCAGTCATAAGCCATCGCTCGGGAGCTGGAGGACAGGGCGTAACACGGAATACATACGCTACCTACTACATACTTGCCATATTAGCAGCAGTACTATAGATAGTTGCAGTGGACAGCAGAAGCAGCATAACAAGCCTGACTCGAACCTTCTGTCAAGTGCTTTGTGCCCAAGATCAAATATGTCAGGGACGGCCGACAGATGTCGCCATGCTCTAGTGTTGGCCGTCATCCCATGAGACAAAGGTTTATGACTGTATGACCAATGGTATCAGCAATTCGCGGGATGGCGCAATGTGACAAACCCAGCCAAAATTATAAACTCAGAACCTACCTACACACCTGCAACACCTGTGACCTACCTTACATACATACTTACATACATACTTACATACCTAGGGACCTGACCATCCGCTCTCACCTGTGTGCCAGCCAGACGCAATACTGTCAATCATCTCGCCATACCGCCCGTGGATGATACCGCGGAAGCAAATTGCAAGGGGTCGACTTGGGTTATATTGCAGTCACAGATAGTGAGAGATCGCTCATCTTGTGCCCCGTCCGATCGCCAGCCTGCATCGGTGAGTGCCCTCCTCTCCGACGTATATAACCCACCTGGAAGCCAACCTCCATGCGATAGACTTGAAGACTCTCCTCTCCAAGCAACCTGTCTTGTCAAGATTTCCATTCGCCATTGCCGCCACCACTGCCTCTCCCTTTACATCTCCCAGGCCCCTCAACAGGCACCTCAACAGTCATCCAGAGAGAACTGGCAAAGAGCGCGTTATGGCCGTCCATCAGGCAGCCCCTCCCGTCTCCGGACTTGACGCTGCGTTTCCCCTTGAAAAAGCACCAGTGCAAGTATCGGCGCAAGAGATTGAGTCGATCGGACATGAACTCACCAGCCCGTCGACGGACAAGACGGGAAACTTCCTTGTCGTCTCGCCCTACACCGAGAAGGAACATCTTCTCGACCTGAGAACACTCGACACGGAAAACGCACTGCTCGCCCAAGCCCTCGTTCACATGCAATGCCTGCGGCCTGATTACGCCACGGCCCCCTACGTTGACACATTCAACTGGCCCGAGGTGGTCAAGGAGGTGTCACGACTGGCACGGCAGCACGAGCACCCATGGAAGGAGACCTCGTTCTATATCGTCGTGTTCCGGTCCCAGATCCCACCGACCACAGTGTACGCCGAGCTGGGTGCGTTGGACAAGGCAGCCCATGCAGAGGCCACAGCCAGCGGCGGATTCCTGAAGTAGGTGCTCCCCTTCCGAACCAGGTGTCCAGAGCGGCATGCTAACATGGTCCAGATACTGGTTCGGTAGCCCTGACAGGGACGGCAGAAACCTTGCTACCTGTCTGTGGAGAACCCCGGAAGATGCAAGAAAAGGAGGAGTCGGTCCCGCCCATCGACAGGCGGCGTCTGCAGCGCGACACTTGTACTCCCATTGGAAGATTGACCGGCATAGGCTTATCATTCGAGACGACGTGCAAAGCTGGGAACTCATTGACTGGGCTTGAGAGGGTGGGGTAGTATCGACTGCATGGCGGCCAGATGGTCTATCGAGAATGAGGGAGGGTGCCTGAGATAGAGGATACGGCGTTGGCGAATGGGATGGTTCCCTCCGGCCCCGAGCCGCGGTTTCAAGGGGTTTCTCGTCGCTTAGAGAGTTCTCAGAGAGGGTGAAAAGGTATCGTCGTACACGGTTTGATTTCTGACGGTGGATCATTGATAGATGTTCGGCGCAATGGAAGGCAGCGACACAGCTAGATAGATACCGCTAGACAGACAAGAGAGCGAATGGTCTTAATGAATGAACATAAATTGTGCGCTGATCGAATGATCGGATACTCATGTTCCCTCGCTCCGAATGGGGAACTGACTGGCGTAGAGAACCAGCATGCTGTTCGCGGGACAGAATAATCCCAGACTCCCAGAAATGCTGACCGACCGACAGACAGTCAGGCGGGAAGAGAGGCAGGCTTTGGCGGCGCTGTGTCCCGCTCTGCCGTGATGGAGCCTGGCGCTGCAACATGGTTTTGTGCCAGCATGTCCGAGCCGTGGCCGTTGCTCAATCCATACGGTAGCCAGCAGTCCTGACTTCTAGGGGGCGGGCGATCTCGTGATATCTGGCTGAAAGGCTGCATACACCGACCGACAGACCATATATAGGCAAGAGGCGACGTTGCTTTGAGGCTCTTTAACGAAGAGTTTATTTGTGGAATGCCGACATGGAACATGACAACACCCGCGTGGGGGGACAGAGTGGGATGGATTCGCTTCAGATTGACCAGACTCCAGTGACTTTACATCTTGAGACTTCGACGCCGGTGGCAAGCATTTAGGGAGGCTTAGTTGACTAAGGCGGGATAAGCAACTGAGTGATGAACCAAAGATGAATATGCATGTATAGGTAGAGATATACTTCCCCACCGTGCTTTCGGAGTTAAGAATATTCCAAGGTTAATGCACTTCGCACATGTTCTGCCACTGCGGTCCGCCCATCTCCAACCCACACAAATCGCATCCCACCAAAACCACAAAATCTTCAAGATTCCCGTCTCTTGCGTCTACAACGAACGACTGCAGCCCCGTTTCTGACCACACACTCCAACTCCACGACATAGCGCATCTCAGGCGCCTATCACCGTGACCATGGCCGACTTTCAGAGAGATACCTCGTTCAAGACGGTCCAGGTTGAGTCGCTGGTTCGTCATTCCGTCTCCTATCTTCCCGAGCCCCTCCTTGATCGCCCTCTGCTGTAAAATGGCGTGTAACTTACCGTGGGTGTACCATATAGGTTGTCATGAAGATCGTCAAACACTGCGCCGGCACCTTCCCTACCACCGCTACCGGCTCTCTTGTTGGCATGGACCAAAATGGCGTTCTCGAGATAACGAATACCTTCGCCTTCCCCACGACCGACGTCGCGAGCGTAGACAGCGGCAGCCACCAGAACGACGCATCCTCTCTGGCCGCCGCTGCACCTCGAGCGAAGGCCAACATGGTATACCAGACTGACATGATCCGACACCTGAAGGAGGTTAACGTCGACGCGAACAACGTGGGCTGGTACACAAGCGCTACGATGGGCAACTTTGTCAACCTGGGCTTCATCGAGAACCAATACCACTACCAGCGCGACAACGAGCATACCGTCGCCCTTGTGCACGACGTCAGCCGCAGCTCACAGGGCGCCCTGAGCTTGCGGGCCTTCAAGCTAACACAGAACTTCATGTCCTCATACAAGGAGGGCAAGTTCACGACTGAGAGGTTAGAGCTCCCTTTCAACTGTATAAGGCCGTCGATATTAATTCGTACCAGTCTGCAAAAGTCTAAGCTATCGTTCAAGGACATTCTCGTCGAATTCCCGGTCAACATCCACAACTCGCACCTCCTGACCTCCTTTATCCACCAACTACCTACCATTCCCACAGACGCCGACGTAGAGATGCCGATCTCGCTTGCCGACCTCCAACGCGACCCGATCAAGATGCCCCTCGGCCACTCAGCCGAGGCACTGGACCTCTCGATAGACCCGTTCCTGGAGAAGACATGCGACCTCCTGCTCGAAAGCATCGAGTCGCACTACACCGAGCTCAACAACCACCAGTACTACCAGAGACAGCTTGCGCGCGAACAAACCAAGATCACAGCATGGCAGACGAAGCGGAAAGCGGAGAACGCGGCGCGTGTTGCAGCGAAACAACAGCCGCTTCCCGAAGACGAGTGGCAGCGTATCTTCAAGCTTCCCCAAGAGCCCAACCGGCTGGAGGGCATGCTGAACGCCAAGCAGGTTGAGCAGTACAGCAAGCAGGTGGATGGATTCACGGCCAGCGTCAGCGCCAAGATGTTTGCGGTCCGTGGGAACCTCCTGCCGGAGTAGGTCGGGAAGTGGCATGATGTTTTACTTGACAAGATATGCATGCATCTGGCACGGCGTTCGGATGATTTAGGGTTCTTGGGGTTCTATAGAGAAGAATCCATCAAGTTCTCGGGGCATTTTCTCGTCTCATCGCCGTCAGAAGGGATCATAGACGAGGCACTCCTGTGAAGACGTCGGGACGAAGAAGGGGCGGGCAACTGGGACAAGAACCGTGGTGGCCGGAGTGGAATGATATGGGGTCACGACATGTTACCGTCACAGCATGAAAGCCAGCGTGCTCGTTGAGAGCCATGGCTGCAGACGGTTCCACCGCAGAGAATCTAGTTCTGGATCTGCAAAGTTGGTATCATCGTCCGCCGATGTAGACGGACGCTGCCATCAACATATACAATTCCTACTCTATCCCCAACGATGGTGATTATGCTCGGCTCGCTATGAACATTCTCTGTGTGTCAGGGTCAAGTGATAACGTGCAGTTCATAATTGGCTATTGTAGAGCCGCAGTCACATGCAATGGTATATACAGCCTTGAGCAGATGTCTTTCGGCTACTACGTTGGACCGTGTCTTGCTTGCGTGGACTGATGGCAAATGTTTAACGTATTAGTGGTGTTGTGATCTTAATCTAGACATAGTCAAGCTCGAGTTTCCAAACATCCTTTGGGTTCGTTCGGTGTCAACGGTCGAAGCACCTACAAATGCAGCCTCCTCCAACTGCTTACATCGACCCCGTTTAGCAACGTTAGAACCCCAAGCACATCTTGGAACGGATAGCCCGCTCATCCTCTAGGGCAACTCTGCGGTTCGACATGGCCCAAAGTTATCTCTCTGATACTTGCAAATTCAAAGCGAGAAACAGTCTACACTATCACAGGTATAACGGGAGTGTCTGCTTGGTTGGCCGAGACAGACTGCCGAAGCGGTGGATTCAGCATTGAGGGGCCTGGGGGCGTTTATCATTTCTGGGCACGTTTTCAGGGACCATCCTCCACTACGCCGAAAGGGGATTTAGGGGACCAATGAACGACTAGTCACCGAAGGAATTTCGACGGTTTGAATGGAGGGGCAAGATTCATCGGCGGGTTTTGGAGCTCTGGAGGGGCAGAGGGGGTTGCTAATGCCCGCTGTGCTGGTCGTTGCCATGCAGGAGAAAAAAAGAGGAGGAAAATTCACACATTATTTGACTGGCCACCCCCACCTGGCTTACTCTCACCACCCACCTATCTCTCCCATATCACCCTTCAGCATCTCTTCCCTCCTCCTCCTCTTCTCGCCTCTTGTCTCGTCCCTTTCAGCATCTCTGCATCTCTTGTCCAGGTAAGCAATTGAATGTCATTCCCTCAATTCGCGGTGTTCTTGCGATCAACTGCTAACCAGACTCGCGATCAGCATTCGTGTCTCGGCGGTTTATCATTGACCCCTCACTTTTGTTCCTGACCGCCTTCACCCTTCACCCCTACAACCACAGCCAGTCAGTAAAGCACCCTACTCCTTGAATTGTGATAGCGGCAGGAGGACGACAGAAACACAGGGAATAGCATCGTTACGGAACACCAGATTGACACAATTCACTGTAGAAATGTCTGCTCCCGCCTCCAAGTTCAAGGTCGCCGACCTGTCCCTCGCTGCCTTTGGCCGCAAGGAGATTGAGCTCGCCGAGAACGAGATGCCCGGTCTGATGGCCATCCGCCAGAAGTATGCCTCGGACCAGCCTCTCGCCGGTGCTCGCATCGCCGGTTGCCTGCACATGACCATCCAGACCGCCGTCCTGATCGAGACCCTGACCTCGCTCGGTGCCGAAGTCACCTGGACCTCGTGCAACATCTTCTCCACCCAGGACCACGCCGCCGCTGCCATCGCCGCTGCCGGTGTCCCCGTCTTCGCCTGGAAGGGCGAGTCCGAGGAGGAGTACAACTGGTGTCTGGAGCAGCAGCTTGGCGCCTTCAAGGACGGCAAGAAGCTGAACCTGATCCTCGACGACGGCGGTGACCTGACCCACCTCGTCCACGACAAGTACCCCGACCAGCTCAAGGACTGCTTCGGTGTCTCGGAGGAGACTACCACCGGTGTCCACCACCTGTACCGCATGATGAAGGAGAACAAGCTGTTGGTCCCCGCCATCAACGTCAACGACAGTGTCACCAAGAGCAAGTTCGACAACCTGTACGGCTGCCGCGAGTCTTTGATCGACGGTATCAAGCGCGCTACCGATGTCATGATTGCTGGCAAGATCGCCGTCGTCGCTGGCTTCGGTGATGTCGGCAAGGGTTGCGCCATGGCCCTCCACGGCATGGGTGCCCGCGTCATCGTCACCGAGATCGACCCCATCAACGCTCTCCAGGCTGCCATGGCCGGCTTCCAGGTCATCCCCATGGAGAAGGCCGCGCCTCTTGGACAGATCTTTGTCACCACCACCGGTTGCCGTGACATCCTGGTCGGTGACCACTTCAACGCCATGCCCAACGATGCCATCGTCTGCAGTAAGTAATGCGCCACGCCTACATTGTGCCGTACCGTTCTGACGTTTCAAACTAGACATTGGTCACTTCGACATTGAGATCGACGTCGCCTGGTTGAAGAAGAACGCCAAGAGCGTCCAGAACATCAAGCCCCAGGTTGACCGCTACGTTATGGCCAGCGGTCGACACATCATCTTGTTGGCTGAGGGCCGCCTCGTCAACTTGGGCTGTGCTACCGGTCACTCTTCCTTCGTCATGTCCTGCTCGTTCAGCAACCAAGTCCTTGCCCAGATCATGCTGTTCAAGGCCGAGGACAAGGCTTTCGGCCAGAAGTACGCCGCCTTTGCCAAGGCCGGAAAGCTTGATGTCGGTGTCTACGTGCTGCCCAAGATCCTCGACGAGGAGGTCGCCAGGCTGCACCTGGCTCACTGCAACGTCGAGCTCACCGCCCTCACCAAGACCCAGAGCGAGTACCTCGGCTTGGACGTGGTTGGTCCCTTCAAGAGTGACCAGTACGTATACCCGTTTCGTTTTGACTTTTGACTAGAATGTGCTAACGACGTCGTTCTAGCTACCGATACTAGGTTCCTTACTAGGCTCCTTGTAAATAATCGTTTTCTTCGCGCGACTTCCACATTTATACGGAAGCCAATTGTGTTTCAACAAGCATGAATATGCAGCATCAACTGGCACTGGGGTGTTCACATACAGGGGTTTGGGGAATCAAAAAGGATAAGAGGCCGGTCATATTTTTTCAACAAAATGGCGTTGGCTTTTTGATGCATGATTCCCCTCATGGCGTTTGATCTTTACAAGACTCGAGAGAGAATCTGGTCAACCAGATGCAGAACAGCTAGCTATTTAGCAGCTGACCATGATCCGTCAACCGGATGTGGATAGAGAATAGAAGCTGTTCCGGCTTTCATTCCCTTCTTCAATTGCCGGTGATGACTCCCCGATGTGCCTTTGTGCCCGCCGGCCTTGCACCTTTTGCGACCCTGACGACTAGCGCTTTCGGGGGAAAGTCAGTCTCCTCGTGACATATCTGTTGTTGAAGACGATCACCCTGTATGGTGTGGGTAAGTCTGTATAGGCGAGGGTCTATGGACAATAGCACGCGTCCCGTTCTCACGACAGTATCAAGGAGCTTATCTGACCACATTGTACAGTATTGATTAAAGCATCGCCAGCCATTACAGAACTATAGGTTCCATCCTCGCCAGTAACACCAGCAGCAGTCACAGTAGCCCTTCTGGCCTGTAACGACTGACATCTACCTGCCAAACGCCCCCCCTTCGCCGTATATATGAGGTAGTTTACAGTACCCTGTTGAGATGCAGCGTATCTTGTTGGCACCCCCTACCATTTCCCCTGTCAACCTCGCCCGTTGACTCTTGCTCCTGCTCCTGCTTCTGCTTCTGCTTCTGCTTCTGCGTCTAAGCACCCATCGCAGTACATCCCCCTCTGCTCCGGCACGATACTCCGCAGCCGGCTCTCCCCGACGGCCAGCCGCACGTTCGACAGCGTCCACTCCTCCATCTTCGTCTGCGTCTCGACGGTCCAGGTGCCCATGTGCGGCACGAGCAGGACGCGCGGGTTCGCCAGCAGGCCAGGGTGTATTGTGGGTTCGTCCTCGTACACGTCCAGCCCCGCGCTGGCGACGTGGCCGCTGTCGAGCGCGGCTACTAGCGCCGCCTCGTCCATGACGGCGCCGCGGGCTGTGTTGACGATCACGACGCCCGGCTTGGTGCGCTGGAGTTCGGGCGTTGAGATTATGTGGTGGGTTTTGGGCTGCGGGTAGTGGTTTGTTAGTGTGTTAGTTGGATTCGGGTAGGTCCTTCTTCTGCTCTGGGGAATAGGATAGGGGGAATGGGGTGGATGCGCGGAAAAGGGGGAACGCTACGCACATTCAACGGCAGATTCAGACTCAGCACATCACTCTGCGCCAGCAACTCCTCGAAGCTGACGTACACTGCACCGCACTCCTCCTCCACCTCCGGTTCCAGTCGCGAGCGGTTATGATAACGCACGCGCATGCCGAACACGGCTGCCTTGCGCGCCATGTTTCTGCCAATACCGCCCATACCGAGAATCCCCAGCACCTTGTCCCGGGGATCATGCCCCAGCGCCGGCAGCGTGCGGCCACCGCGCCAGTTCCCCTGCCGCAGCGTGCTCATGCCCACGCCGACGTTGCGCAGGGCGCCCAATAACAAAAACACGGCCATGTCGGCCGTGGCGTCGTCGACGGCCGTCGGCGCGTTGGACACGCGGATCCCCCGCGCGCTGCACGCCACCACGTCGACCGAGTCGTACCCCGCGCCGTTGTGGCAGATGAACCGGAGGGTGGGCGGCAGCTCGGTTAGGAGTTCGGCGTCGATGGGGCCCGTGCACTGCGCTGTGCTGTCGAAGGTGCGGTAGGCGACCGAGACGCCGGCGAGGGCGCCGGTGCGGCACTCGGCTATGAAGTCGCGGCGGTTGGTCGCGTGAGGGGTTATGATGGTGGCTAGTTGGGCGATTTGGGCCCAGGTTGCGTGGGCGCTGGGAGGGTGGTGGTGTGAGAAAGGGGTTGGGCATATGTGCAGGGTGCAACGTGGTAAAATGTGAAAGGGGGTTGGATGTACACCCCGCTTGGGGCAAGATACTTCATAGCGAGGAAGAGTAGGTAGGGACTCTTCGACGTTGAACCAAGAAGGCCAAGAAAAGGCAAGGACTACGACTATGAATTGATGGAAACTCACTGCTCGATCTTGCCCAGGATCAGGACCTTGGGCTTCTCCATGATTGACCGGATGTAGCAGGGCTGAGTGATGTAGTACCGATAATGTAGCTCGCCTTCGCCTCGTACCACGTGAGGATGATCGGCTACTGGGATGTGAGAGGCGAGCGTGGGGGGTTCCTCGCTCGGCTATCTATGTACCAGGGAGGCTTGAAAGGCCAAGATCGTGGGGTTCCTTCGCTTGTCTTCGTAAGTCTACAGACTGGGGATTGGTGTAATATCTGGAAGTATACACGTACCTCTTTCTAGCTGGCTCTGGGCGTGATATAACAAGGTGTGATGTGATGTGGTGTGGTGTGCCTTGTAGGACGGCAGGATATATCAAGAGGGATTTGCGTGACGACCTGGGGATTCAACGGGTAGGTAGATGATGATCTAGCTAAGGGGTATCGAAGATGACAGGTTTGCGGGTTTGACTGATATGGAACAGCCGGCGCTTGTTTGCTCCAGAGAGTCCAGAGAGACGGTGAACAGGGTCGTGGATGGTGCTCTGTGAGATTGCCACGGGACACGGTGGCCCGGTTGAGGAGATACTTCGTGAATAGGGAAAATGGACTTCCCAAGACAACCGGCAGCGATATCGCAGGAGGGACTGCTTTGGATGAATAACCCGCTGTTTGCGTTTGCGTCGGTGTAGAAGGGATCTGGGGGTTATGTGTAACCGTGGAGTGATTCAATGGTTATAAGCGTTGTTTGGTAAGTGACTGTCATATAGCTCGACATGGGATGATAGGGAGCAAACAACAAAAACCCCCAAATGTTTGATGTGAATGTGTAGGTCGTGACAGAGTGAATCCCGAACTTGACGTCCGTCGATGCTGTTTGGCTGGTCTAAATCTCATATCAGTCTTGATATTAGTCTCATGTGCACGGCATGATACGATATGAAGTTTGACTGGGCGCTGTGAATCCCCGGGAACTGATATACCTTGGTGAAGTATCGGTAGATATCGGACATAGGTCGTCTTATACGAGACTTGGCACGTCGATGAGGTATCGTGGGGTATGTAGTATCCAGCATGCGGTGAAAGGAGAGGTTGCAGTTGACCGAGGCGCATTCCATACTGGCGTGATCAAGGGGAGACCAGGCGTGTATACGTCTCCAAGCTAGTTTGTGTGCTGCTATCTGGTAACCCTCACATGCAAGACTAAGTCACTTGACCGGCCATTGACCCAGACAGACAGCTATGATGCGAGATAGCGTCCGTGGACGGTATGGTATCATCGTGCAGCATGTAGCAGTTTTATGTAGCAAGGGTCACTTGAGACGGGATGAGCTGATGGCAATCAGAGAGAAAACACTGGCCTTCCGCCCTACACACGGACTCGAGGGAAGCCTGCTTGCGTCTATGCAGCTTAGTTCCGCCCATTTGGCCGGGGATTGCCTGAGCCAAGTTATAACCCACGAGAGGGCTGTCCCTATCAACGATCGGCTGTATGTAAGCACACAAGGGGATATATCGACCGGCAGGACTTCCGCCAGTGGGTGATGTCTGAGATGCCAACCCATGAACCCTGGAGGCTCGAGACCCGAAGTAAGTTCCCATGATAGGATACCTACATCTGAGGTAACGTGGCTGACAGGGTTCACTTGCAGCTTACCATCAGAGATTGCCAGGACCGCCCAAGTCGTCCTATCAGAGTCTCGGGATCCAAGCCTATCAACGCAGTATGTGTGTCTAAGTTGACAGTCGGTAAGCTATATCAAATCACATCGAACCATTCCTGTCCCAGTCAGTTGGTTGAATCGGTTGAAGAGAGCGGTGTGCATGGCGTCATCGTGCTCTCGAAGCCACCAAGGCTCCGAGGGCTGCTCGCGGCAAAGTAGACGCACAGAAGAGGAAAGTGACGTTGTGCGGCAGGCAGGTTAGCCGGAACGTAAAGCCAGATTTAACCATATGGTAGGTGCTTCCTTCGTCAACTGCGGCAATCCAGGCTATTCCATTTACTCTGTAAAGTGACCTATCATTTGTCCCCTTGCCGGTTGACCGGTTCTACTGTCGACGCCGGTATCGCTTCGTCCCCGTTCCCGAGTCATCGTCCCACGAGACCGGCGAGGTCGGCTGCATTCGTCAAGGGACTCGGGGATGACCTCTCAGTAGCGGAATGTACGGTCGGTGTTCTCGAGGTGAGACCGCGATAAGGGGGGCTTGGCAGGCACAGATATCGGTTGTCGGCATAGAAAAGGGGCCACGATATACATGTATGCATGCGAAGGAGGCTTCTGTTCCTCGGCGGTCCGAGTACAACATGGCCACCGATAGGAGAAAATGGAGTGCCATTGGTCCGAAGTGGCATCGAGATGATATTGCCGGGCTAGGTTCATTCGTGAAGTCTGCTTACCGTAGGTATCAAGGGATGGCGACTAGAGTAGCGTAGCCGCGGCATTTGGCCAAAGGGGACATCTGTCGGGTCATAATGGCGATGATGGCCCACGTCGCATCGGACTGCTCTACGAGTGGGACGGCGCGGCTCGCCATCTGTTGTGTGCCAGCTCCCCGGTAGGCGTTGACCCCAAATTCGAAAGACACGAATCCCGTACTGGACTCGCGTAGATGGAGACCTCGCCCTCCAAGACTCCAAGAGTGATGTCAGCGGCGGCTTTGCACCACTCCAAGATGTTCATGCAGATGGTATCTGTAATAGCATCAGAGCCTGGACATCATCAACTCCCGATATCTCGCGGTATTGTCGAGGTAGTCAAAGTAGCCAGCCCACTTCCTTCTCGTGCCCCTTATACAAACCGAGTAGTGATGGACAACGTGGAATTCGTATACCCAATCGTCGGGCTCCTGACTCTGATGGTTTCGACGGCCCCCGACTCAGATGATTTCCACCGCAGGCGTCGAAGTCATAGTCATCCCGCTTAACATTGGAGACATTGAAAATGGAAGTCTTAGGGTGTTGGATTTGATTGTAGTCCCGAACCTGGCTTCCAACGAGCATCGCATCAGGTATCTAGCAATAACTCGGGCTTGCATCTAAAAGTCAGCGCAATCGTGATTCGTCTTCCCCTCCAGCCAAACATTGCTGAGAGGCCTATTTTGCCCAAGCTCTGTCTTCAGAGATTCCCGGTTCCCTTCCCAGCCCTTTCGCCGGCATCTTCCAACAATAGTTGTACAAGATATCAAGACACTAAAACAACGCAAAATGCAGTCCCATTTTGTTGATCCTTTGTATGCCGCAATGCCACGTTTTATCCATTCGTCTCAGTCTCAGACCAAATGATCTCTGATCATCTTCATTAATATGCTGTGCTGCCAACCTCGGGCAATTGGCAAAGGTGTTACGATACCTAGGCAGAGGCCTTGATCGGTTGCGGGGGTCGGTCGCGCACCACAGCAGCAGTCTTGTCGTAGAGCATAGCGCTATCCGACGCCAGCCCAGTCATTAGGTGGCAGAGAAGGGAATATTAGTACAGTCTAGTTCGCCGAGGGTTGAAGTAGTCGGGTCTCCTCATCGTCGGACAATGTTGCTTCCAGGAACGATGAAAGCCCTGACGGCAAGTTCTGCGAAACGCCGCACAACGTTGGTCGTGCCTCCAGTGACCTGCGCTTCGTCTTGGATGAACTTGCGAGCCACCGCCAGCTTGCTTTTCGGATCGGTCTCATCCAGGTGAGGAGGCAGAGTGGTCTCGAAGTCGGACGGAAAGTTCGGGGCCAGTGCTCGGATGACGGCCAGAGAATAGAGAACATCGCGGTTTTCTCGCCCATCCAGCAAGTCGCGCATTTGCCCCAAAATTTCTTCCCTCTGGAATGTCATATCCACGCCTTCTCGATCCTTGACACACAGGAATTCGGCGAGGCAATGCCAGAACTCGAACGCCCTGTTTCTTCGGTAGTTGGGGTCCATGACATCCACATGAAAAGGTGGCGTGAGCGGGTTCTGGTCAAGGAACTCCCCGGCCAGCAACGCTTCAAACACAACAACCCGGCTTTGCACCTCATGACCATCATCAGGCGATAGCAAGCTGCCGCCACCATTGAGTCTGCCTCCTATTGTGCCATATACGAGTGTAGTTAGTGCCCACACAACCCGGAACTCCAAATTTGCCGAACGGGCCATTGCCGCGACGTCATTGGTATCGTTGCTTCTGGAAAGGGACTGCAAGAATGATATAGCCGTCTCGTTGACACCATGATTGAGTCCAAGCGCGTTCAGACCCCGAGGTGACTTGAACCAATCGGATTCAAAGAACTCTTTCAAGCCGGGTGCGTAGACCTGGTCGTAGAGGCTCCTGACCTCGTCCAACTTTTCCTGGTTCAGGCGGCCAAGGATCGAAGGCGGAGCAGCGCTCCCCAAGGCAACAAGCTCGTGGACCTTCATCTTGGATGCTGAATAACCAGAGTAAGCCGGGGTTCCGTATTGATAGGGCGATGACGAGTGGTGCGATGCAGAAGGGTACAAGGGAACGGAAGAGGAACCGCCGCCTCTGAGATGCGGCGGGTTTAGTGTTCTGTGGTGAACGGTATGAGGGATGACGGGCTTGATCGCTGGGAAGTGGGAGGTCGACATACTCGAAGTTGCTAGTACGCCTTCTAGCGAGGGGTCAAGGGAAGTATATTGGTGTCCTTGGCTGTTGATATCCGATGCACCTGCCGTCACGGATGCGAGGCCAGGACTATACGAGGTGGTCCGGGGAGCGGTACTAGAGTTGGCCGAAGGGAGATTCGCATACGATTGCGGCGCGGACCCGGGACTAGCTGAGGCGGGAAGGCCGTTGGATGGGACGGACGAGGAGGGGGATGTCTGGGTATTAGGTGCAGGTTGGATGTTGGTCGGGTGTTGTTGCTGGTTCTTGAAGATGGGATCGTATCCTTGGCACTCGCGCTTTGATTTCTGGCAATTCTTGCAGACAGGGTGTGTCTCGTCGCACTGGAGGAAAAGAAGGACGATCAGTCAATCAGTGACCCGAGATGGGGTAGAGGCGCAACAAGAGACGGAGAGAACGAACGGAGTGCAGATCTGCAGCAGAAACCCAATGCGCGAGGGTATCTAGAGAAAGGAAAATTGGAGTGCGACTGCATCAAAAAGATGCGACAGAATATCGTGCATGCAAATGAGGTAAACAGGTGACGAACTGGCGGGGAGAGGTGACGCGACGCGCAATGGAAGCTTCAAGCTCTGAGATTGAAGGTCTCCAGAGATAGCTTGCGCGCTAGCGGGAGTGCTAGTAGTGGAGTGCTAGTAGTGGTGGTGGTGCTGTGGTGGTGGTGGTTACCTCAAGGGTAGGGAGGAGGGTAGGAGATAAGTATGGATCAGCGTGTGGGTAGGAGGGTAGGGAGGGTAGAAGATATGGATCAGTGTGTGGTGTGAATTGGTGTGAATTGGTGCACGACACTGGCTCGCTCGCTTCCCAGTAGCGCAGGTTGCTCATGGTCAAGCGAACCCCAAGCGAGGTCAACGGCAATTCAAACCCCAAGTCCAAGACCAAGAACAAGTCCACTTCCTTGACAGTTCAAATGAGAGACAGTCCAACTTTGTCTGCTTCCACACCGCGAACTGCCTCTCCCTTCACATGTTCATTCTCTGCTACGACCTTCTCCAATTCTCATGCACGCAGATCCAGACTCGAAGGGGTAACAAACAAATAATCAACACACACCTTTATGCGACGTTTGCGACACGTCAAGCAACCAGTCTTCGTGCGACGCTTGATCTCCTACGACACGCAAACAACCCACCCGGTTAGCCAGCTTCGACGAGGGGAACCTTCTATCACGCCCACTCACCTTCTTGTGGCGGCCGTTTGCCAAGGCGGAACCTGGACCGCTGGGAGGCAGAGCATAGCGTTGACCCAATGCTTCAGGTGGCAGGCCGCCGCCGCCATACGCATTATTGGCCATGCCGCCCATGGGGACCGCTTGTCCATAGTAGGACATGGCTTGCTGCCCAGGGACCGACGACACTGGTGTCACGGGCAGCGCTGCCATCGCCATATGCTGCTGTTGTTGTTGTTGCTGCTGCTGTTGCTGCTGCTGCTGCTGCTGGGACTGCGGCTGTACGTGGTCCAACGTGCGCATGCTCGGTAGCGCCATCGCACTGTTGGCAGCGCTCTGGCTCGCTCGATAAGCATCATGTCCTTGGTTCGCCATGTTCTGGTACCCATAATGTGCATTGTTCATGCCAGGCACCGAGTATGCTGGCGCATGCTGCTGGTAACCGACAGTCTGTAGAGGCGGTCCGTTATGGTGGGGCTGGTTGTTCGACATGGCTCCCGCTATCGACGCGACGCCGTTTTGCTCGCCCTCCGGTGTCTCTCGCTGGTTTTCCGGATCGCTATTGGTGTTGGCGATACTTGCGGCAGCTGCTGCAGCCGGGGGTGTCGTCGAGTGGATATCGAGGTCGGTAGCGACAGTGGCCGTAGGAACAGGCAGAGGTAAGGATGTAGGTGGTGTCGTCGTGGGATTAGGGGCGTCGGTAACGTGAGCCTGACCAAGGTGACGGGCGTCGTGTGCTGCTACCTGCTCCTCTGCCGACAACCTCTGCTCCGGCTTTGAGGCGGCGTCTAGGTTTGCATACGGGGCAGCATCTGTAGACGGTGGTGAAGTCGGCCGTGATAATGGGGCGAGTGCCTGTTGGGAGACATGGGCGTCTGCCTCTGGAGGCGTGCGAGCCTGGACCTGAGCGTGGTGTGCCTGTTCCTCTTGTGTCTTGTCCCAACCCTGGGAAGCTTGTGACAAGGACCACGACGGGGACTGAGCCAACAGCGGATGTGGGAGGGCATGGGTTGGTTCTTCAGCGGCGGCCGAGACAGGTTCAGGCTGAGGTTGAGCCTGTGGCTGTTCCTGTGCCTCTGCCATTTGATTTGATTTTAATTTGGATTTTTATGGGGGGAACGGATCGGGAAGCAAGCAGCAGGCAGGCCAGGCCAGCAGGGCAGCCAGCAGGGGCACGCAGAATCTACACTGCTGCGATGCACTGCGTAAGGGGAACCAAAGCCGCAGGACGCGGCCAGGTGGCAGGGACCGTGAGTCTGCACTCTGCAGGGACTGGACCACACACCCAGGCACCCAGAGGAGGTTCAACCGTTCAGGCCCTGCCCTGCCCTGTCCTGCCCGGGCGGTGCTGCGTGATGCGTGATGCGCAATGTGTGCTGCTGCGTGCCAGACTCCTCCTCCAGCTCCTCCCAAGGTACCTACCTACCCACCTGCCAGCAAAGCTAGAATACCTATGTAGAGTTAGGTAAGTAAGGTAGGTATAGGTAGGTATGTAGAGACGGTTGACCAGACCAGCGTCCACGGGTGCCAGCTATGCGCGGAGGGCACGGACGAGACGGGCGGGAACAACGGGGAGCGCGCCAGGTCCAAAAGCGGGAAGCACACGCGCGCGTGCGCTCAGCTGCTGGCGGCGGCGGTGGCAGCGGCAGCCGTAGGAGTCGACGACGGTACTGGTGGAGGACGACTGGGTGGTAGTGGTGTTGGTGCATGTGGTGGTGGTGCGATGTTTGAGGTGTTTCGACGCGACACTGGGCCGAGATTCCTGTTAGCTCGATCTTCGGCGCATCTGCTGCATTTTCTCCGTCTGGAGGGTCAAGAGGGTCTCCCGTCGACAGCGCCGGCAGGTATCGGTACGTAGATACCTACAGGCTACAGTACAGTACCAGCGCACCTTCCAATTGGCAGCAAAACCACGCCACGCCTTGCTCCTTTCGTCCTAGCGCAGGCTACAAATCAATAATCAATAAATGCACAAGCAACTGCAATGGGATGCTCTCAAAGCTCAAGGGTGATGCCACCATACACAGACCAACAGTCAAGAATGCAACGATTTGGAGAATGGAGGTCTGAGGCTGCTTGGGCGGTCCGGCGGTGCAGCCATAGTCGCACAGATCCATGCAGATACTCACAGCCACTCTGGTATCCCCCTACATCCAGTCCTCATACTTCTACATCACACCGAGTACACAGTAGAGACTAGGAGAATGCAGTAAGGAACCTTGAATCGAAAAGGAGGCCACGGAGGAATGGAATGGCCGAGTAACACTCACACCTGGCGTAACGCATGTTACGGTAGCATTGTATGTATCGTACCTGGTAACGGCATGGAGATGCAAACGTACCATTACGATATTACGATGTCTGGATGTCTGGACCTCATGGGTGGGAAATGGATATCCAACCCTCCAGTCCACCCGACATAGCGAATTGAGATGGGAAGACAGACCGTAAAGGCAGCGGGGTGGCGTAGCAGCGTGGCTGCAAAGTATTGACTGACCATGGCCACGATACGACGTGGCGAGCGTATCGATCAGGCAACTTGGAAAGAGACAACACTGGTATGTCTCCCCTCTGTTCTCTCCATGCATGACTGGAAGGCTTTCCGAATTCTGTGTCTATTCGATGCCTCAAGTTATGATGCTGTCAAAATGACAAATTCCACCAGACCAACGGGTCGTTCGCCAGTCGACCAGGGTTACCACCACAGCTCAGATGTGGCGCCCGAACAGGAAGATATCTGAGCTGGACTGACCGGCTTGGCCCCTTGGCGGGAAAACCGTTGACCATGAGGGTGGGAGAGAGTCCGACTGACGAGAATTGCAACTTGCGCAAAGGAATGGGCGGTTGGCTGCAGGAGAGGAGGAGGAGTCGTTCACTGTTCAGCTCGGATCACTCCTGTCAGAAGTACCTGGAGGTACGATGTATATGGTGTATATGCATAAGGTATGCAGTTGAACGGGTATGGATCACGGGCCTAAGGTATTGCGCGCTTATTAGCCGTTGGCCGTTGGGGAGACGCGTCAAAAGTCGCAACCGCTTGCTCCATCAAGGTTGGAATGACCGAAGACTATAAATATTATTAATTAACGGATCTTTCTGTATTATACACCTTAAACACCTTACCTTTCCGGCATCATGGCATGTAACCTGCATCCCGGCGTCACCGCAACCCACAACAACCGCTACAGAAGACTTCCATGCACGAGATGTCCCAGTCCTGTCATTCTTGTCATTCTTGGCATCGGAACTCTAGTCTTTGGGCTCAAGAGGACGAAGCATCTGAACTGCTAGACAACGGCAACACCACCGAGGGCATGTCACCTGGATGTGGATGGCCTAGGCTACCCGACCGAGCCACCATGTCGGTCTTCGCCAGCTACCGACAGCACACGCAAAGGCCACTCCTCGAAGAACCAAATCCAGATGGCTGGCCACCGTCGAACGGGATGCAGGTAGGCCATCGAGACGTGCCATGCCATCTGCTACCTACCTAGGTATGATAAGCATGGCCTGTGTGTGGCCGCATCGTTTGTAAATTGTCAGATATACCCGGATAGCCAGGACCTGCCTGCGCCGCACGAAGGGATCACCTGCATCCACGTGCCTGCCAAGGTGCGCTTTCTTCAGTTCTTCAGATCGTTGTCAACATTGAAGTTTACCCGTCAATGACAATATGGCCTGAGATCGACCATCATATGCACATGTTCTCCTCCCGAGCTGCAGTACGTGCCACTAGAGCCTCGGCGGCTCTCATCAGATTGTTGCGCCGATCCATTACCAGTATCTGCCTAGGTACGGTACTGTACCTTGCATTACTGCTGCGTGTTGGGTACACGCAATATCCAAAGGGCCAACTTCTCGACACCCTGGGAATGCGGAAGGCCAGACGATTCGACTCGGTAAACGTGCCGGACTCGGCTGCTAATGGATCGACATGCTTGACTACCGACGGATTGATACAGCAATATCCGCAGACATGCTGTGACGTTCTTAGGGAACTTTACCGGTCAGTGTCACCTACCTCTAAGTGACGTAGGGCAGGTACAGTCAGTTGGTGAGGATACGTTCGCCGGTCGCCGGTCGCGAATGAAGCGAGAGACCAACAATATTATTTGCAGTCGGACTCTGACTCGGCGAGCATGCACGAGTCAAAGAACGGCATACTGTATGGTCTATCCATGAGGCTTGCTACTTTCTGTCTTCGAACACCTGCACTTCCCTGATCGACATCCTGATCTACATCTGCGCGAATGAGGTGCATGTATCGTCAGAGGCTTGACCTCTGTTGCTGTTAATATTCACAGGGTTTCATTCCGGTTGGCGAGGAGTGTCCCGTCCTGCCTTAGCCCCGGTAATGTCGCCTATGTTCAAGGTCGAGCAAGTTTCAATGGACTCGGTCAGCCAACTCCCTACATGAGCCATCGCACATGCCCACGCGATACCCACGACGCGAATGCTCCGGCCCCGATGCAACGGCACGCGAATGAAAGTCTTTCTACTGCAGGAACCGACTTCAGAGCCTTGATACTCGGTTTTGGCTGATAATACGGCCTTTTAGGCTCTTTGATGTCGTGCATCTCGCTTTCGAAAACCCCTGGAGCAGTTAGCGATCAAATTCAGGGGAGGAGTCTCGATCTCGTGTTTTGGTTCAGGGACGTGAGAGACGCGCGCCACCCCTTCTTCAGACCGTTCTGTCTTCCTAAAAACGCATGCGCGTCCAGCCAACGTTGAGCACATGTATGATGAGAGGCCTACAGCAGGGCCGGCCATTTATGGGAGAGCGGGCCGTCTTGCCGCCCCCATGGCAGGCCGCACTTGAAGAGCCCTGGAGAGTTGCTGCAGTCTAGGACAGGGCAGCAGACGTAAGCCACATGCGAAGGAACGGAATCCGGCACAGGATGCCAACCTTCTCGAATGATTTTGACGTTCTGGAGGTGACCTTGGCTTCCATCTGATTACTCCGCCATCACTGCAAGCGTCTCGACTGTCTCACCGTGCCATGTCAAAGCACCGCGACACATTGCGAAGTCAGGGCAATGCGCGGTCGCATCTCTTATGACCTGCTTCAAGCCTTGACACGATGTTGCAGTGGTCATCGTGGCTCCGAATCTACCGGTACTCTCCACCCCTTATCTTACATGTAATGGCGCGGCACACGCTCGGAACCGGCCCGCAAGGTCCATAAGTGGTGCCTATGCGGCGCGCGCCCTGTCACGCAATACCGGTGATGAACCCTTGACCCTTGAGGTATGCAGCGCGGCAGCCACAATTTTCACGCTTCTGCAAGCCGTTCAGGGTGTTTCGGGAGGAGTGAGGACATACCGGTGTGCACCATATTACAGCATGGCCCGTGGTCCGGTTGATTGGAACCAATCTAGCCTGTTGAGAAATACGAGATTGGCGAGGGAGTCGCCCGCGGGTCGACTCCCGTCGAGTAGATCCGGTCACCGGCTTGACGGAACATGTCATTTGAACGACGACGGACCGACTACGAGCCAGACTGGCAAGAGTACATGGCCTGGGACGATTTGAGTCCTAGCTTCGACATCAGAGGCACTGCTAAGTTGCTAGTATGTGCCTGTTGACATGCTAATCCATACTGATAAGTGACGGATTAATTCGTTCATGCTGCCGGGATCACATATGCCCCTGGAGGAGAAGCTTTCGTAAAGCGCCATATGAGAACATCACTCGCAACCCATCTTAACAGGCCACAATCACAAAGACTGCCAGCCTCATCAGAACAGTAGTTATCTTTGAACTTATCGTTTGGTTCCATCTTGCCGCATCCGAAGTGACTCGGGTCAGCTTCAACCTCTCGCTGCAGACTTTAGTATTCGGCGTCATCCTGGGAATGCAGCTCACCCCTGGCTGTTGCTACGCATAGTGGCTTTCATACTGAGTGTCTAGGTTCACGTGCATCCACCTCTAGTCGGACCATCATTTCAGCAGCAAACGAAAGACACAAAACATGACCTGAAAGCCTGAAAGCGCGCCCAATTTTAAGCACATACCCAGAGCAGTGGCAAGACGATGGGCGGTTGTAAATAACGCCTACCGATGAACAGCACGAGTCTCTTCATGTGAGGTATGCTAAGATGTCTGTCGTCCTTTAGCCATGCCTCGAAGACATCGTACCGATGACTGACCCTGGGTCACTGCAACCTCAACATCCAACTCCTCAGCCCGGGGTCATGTCCTTCATTTGAAAAATCTTGCCAGGGTCAACCCCTCAAGGCTTTCCATTGAAACGAGCAAATCAGCCATCCCTCCTCCAGTATTCTGGCCTGGATAGTGTGTCCCCCTTTCATAGTTGTCCAAGTGGCCCAATACCCTGACTAGGCTATTGACCGCCTTCGAGTCTGACATTCACTCATTGGCGTCAATACCTTGCTAGGAAGGGACACCACTCCTACGACGCGCTCGCATGGTTTTCGAAACACCATTTGGATGTGATGTTGCGACATGGCGTTGGATCTTTGGTGAGCACGGCACGCTCACAATACTCGATACACCGCCACGCCCCCTGGCTTAAGAGGACGTACCGCATCTCGATTTCTCTCATACTTCCGTTCCACGATCTCGTAGACACATCGAGTCAATGGCGGAACCCAACCATGCGGCTGCGACTAACTGCCCAAACGACCAGTATGTGGTGATCGATAACAGAGACAGCCGCATCATCAAGCCAACAGTGAAGGCAATCGTCGCGGACGCAGAGAAAAAATGCCAGATTGCGAAGTGAGCACCGCGGATCCCGAGGATCGGCTTTCCGCGTTCCGTTCTCTGCTTTATTCATATGTGTTGGTATGTCCGTGGCTTATTGCTCGATGGTACTCACAAGGTCGATTGTACAACTGGGAGACCTGAAGGAAACAAGAGTACGACGGTCGAATAAACTCACGTCCTCGGTGTGAAGATATGAACCTTCCGTCCAGACGACTTGATCTCTAGGTACCCAATGGGGAAGGATGAGGTATGCGGACAGACGGCCAGTGTCAAATAGTATACAGCAAGCATATATATTCGAAGGTTGGGGCATGGACTGCTCGCATATATAGGACGCGGCCAGCTTCTCTTGGGGGTAGTGCTGTGCATACACACTCTGAGAACTGAAATGATGAGATGTACCCGAAATTTGTCAGGATGGGGGCGGTCTTCGATATTGTCCTGTAGGACGTCGGAAAAAAGCAAAGATAAACAACGGGAAAAGACGCTGCCGGAGGGCTATCGGGGTCAGTGTGAATCAAAGAAGCAACTTGGCTTCATATGTGCCGTAAGCTGAAGACGCGATCACGTAGCTGCGAAGCAGCATTGACGGTATTCTCTTGTTTGGGTAGGTTGGTCCGAATGTTTTCTCCTGGTCGTGACGGCGCTCTCTTCACAGTCGCTCGCTTTGGGCCCCTTTCTGGTAGATCATACCTCGCAAACAAGAAGGCGGAAATCAGGCTGGCGATGAAAATTGCACTGGAGGACGTAGTATGGAAACGTATACGAGCCCCGACTCCTACGAAATCTGTGTCGGTATGTGGCAAAACGTCTGGGCTCCTGTTACATGCCAGCCGTGGAAGTTTGAGCCGCCTTCAAGTCTGGAGCCATGTGTTCGTCGAGAAGCTTGACTGGCGAGCTGAAGTCATTGTAACGTCAACCGAGTCCTCGGCCTTCCTTCAGTCGAAGATACGTAATTGGTGACGGCCAATGTCACGCTGAGCAGAGAGACCGATGGGAGGCATCCAACAAGTCGCCTTGGGCGGCTCCGTCGGTATTGTTTGAAGGCAGGTGCCTAGCTGAGATCGAACTCGTGACAAACCGGATGGTATACGAACGTCGTGGAAGATCCGCAGACGTCTTTGCAAACCGCAATCGGTGTGTACGGGACGTAGCAGGCAGGTCTCCGCTTGTGATACGGCTATCGTTGGGCTGCTGTCCCTCATCGAAGATGTCGTCTCGTGCTGTCAGCGGGAATGCTGCCCGACGAGCTGCGGAGCCCGAGTCATCTAACGAGTAGAATCGCATCCCGGCGCTCCTCCCGTGGCAAGGCATACCGCTTCTGACAGGCTATAATCGGGCATTGCGGTTTGTGGATTCCGTAGAGAGACAGACGAGACGGGACCACGTACGATAGGTTAAGCAGAAAGAAGCATGTATGAAGAAGAAGGATTGGTAGCCAACTACAGTAGCATTCATCTATCCCTTGAGTGTGACCGCTCTTCAGCTGAAGGTCGACATCAACGTGGCGGCCGCCTCTCTGCAGGTTACCGCCACGCCAGGTCCTAAAGTTAGCACGTACATTCCATACAATGTTGTTCAACTCCTGGATATCGTAGTTCCTTGATTTTTGTACCATAAAACCCATATATCGGATAGTCTGCAGCAGTTCCATACAGTTCCCTATCTACATCAAGATCCATGGTCTATCCATTCATCAGTGACATGTAAGACCTATCTGGCAGCTGGGATGTTCCTCTGAATGTGACTCTACGGACGAAAGGAAGGCTACCAAAGCGACCAAGGTTCTCCTCTTGGAAAGGATCGTGACCAGCTCCGAACTAGGGCTACTATGGCAGGTTCCACCATATATGCTACGGTACTCGGTCACGAAAGGGGTTAGAGTCTAGGCTCCAGCAAATAACCCCTTGCACCAGCCTGGGGAACTTACGTGGTCTATGATCCTTGAGCGGACTGGGTAACGGCGGAGGCCCCCGAATGGGACAGCCTCCCCCAATGGGACAGTTCCCCCACCAAAATCGCAATATTGCAACCCTTATAACTTAGCCGAGAATAATCGCACGATATATCCGTTTAAACGAGAATATTCGCCTTTTTCTCTAAATCTGTAAAGCATAGCTGCTCATAGTAACTTATGTATATAACAAAAGTTATAATAAAATGAAGTTTTACCCTTACTAAGTTTTAGCGGCAAGGCTGCGGCAAGGCTAGTTTTCCAGACCTTTTAGTGGGAGCAAGGCATGCTTTAAGTTCATAGTACCGCTATTTAATCAATACGAAAGCGGTACTTAATAGCCTACATATCACGAAAACACCAAGCAAAGGGGATTCCAGCGTAATATTTACAATATTTACAGCTTCATTAGTCATGGAGATATGCATAAGTGAACATGGTGATATTTGGTGTGGGAACTGTCCCATTGGGCGGGGGGTTGTCCCATTGGGGGGCCCCCGTCGTTACATGTGCTTACAAGCACTCCCCCCTCATCCTCAAAGGCAGATCCATGTATTTGCCATGTCTGCAGAGGTCTGCTCTTATTCGAGGGTTGCCCACGGACAAGGCGCAAACCCACGGCGAGTGGACTTGTCAGTTGTCTCTTGAACGCTCGCTGTGTCGACTTGAAAAGGGGAAATATCACATAAATCCCATGAAGCCTTGCCAGTAGGTCATTATATGCTGATGCCTGGCCGTTGAATTTGGTCAAGCGGCACACTTCAAAGCCGGCAATGAACCCTGGTGGGCCAAGGGGGTTGAATCGCGTTAGCTACGGCTTCTTTCCGGAGATCACGCGAAGGATCATCACGCGATGTCGATGTCTACGTGGAGGGTGGGTCGACCTGGGCTATTCGCACAATAGGACTTGGCATGGTGGTGCCGTAATGGTGCCAACATCTCGGCATGGTATGCGGCGAGCATGGGTCCTCGGCCCGATCCTAACAAGATCAAGGAGCGCTGGGCGACATGGTGGCTAGATACTGCCAGTAGACTATACCCCATGGGGATCTGGAAGCCTCGATGGCTTCTCGAAGCTATGTGTGCACAAAATCGTGGGAGATGGGTTGAAACCCGAACAGGTAGCTGGCTTGCGAGCTGAGGATCCTGCCCCCACTTTGATAGGGGTCGATGTGACGATGTCGTGCCTTTGCCTGATGAAGCATATGGGGATATGGGGAAGCCTTGTCTCATGTTATTTTTAGATGCATGGGTATACATAGAACTCCACTCGTTTTAATGAGACGGCGTCTTTCGAACAGGCACAAACCCTCGTTGATGAAACGTTCAACAGCCCAGGCAGTTCAAGTTCACGCAGCCGGTTCCTCACCTATTGTCCACTTGCACGAGGTGAAATGTGTAGTCGGTCATCTTATGACGGCTCTAGATACCGAAGGGGGCTCGGCGAAAGTGACCGGTCTATACTGCAATAGTTGAAGCGACAGACAGCTTGTTTCCATGAGGATGTCAGCCATAAGTCTCGGGCACCTCCTTTGGGAAGGTTGGTGACCTGCGGGCAGCAAGACCGGCGTCTATCCGTATAGTATAGGCAAGTCCTCACGGTCATGTGGCTTGATGGCGGGACGATCCTGAAGATGAAGCTGGACTATGCAGGTTTCAACGTCACCCGGGGCTGTCAGGTACGCGAGACACCTCTTTGGACTGCAGGCATCCATGCCCCTGTTCCTCGGCAGGATCCATAGGAAGGATGATTTGAGTAGCATAGTCTCCACCACAGCCACCTCACCAGGGGCTCGACACTGTCCGGCTGCCGGCTTGAGAGGTCGCTGCATGAAACCTCCCAGGATCATCATCATTTCAAGTAAGCTTGAATACAACCCTGAGGATTCCTTCCTAATCTGTGTTCCCCCAGAGCAGATCTCCGGTAGAGTTACGGTCCCTGTCTAACGCGGGAAGACGTCTCGTGATAGTGTCATGGCGACCACAACGTCTACATATTAAGGGCGACATCCTCACTCTCGGTGCTCCTTTCCCCCTGCTCATCATCGCCTTCGCTCATTCGATATTATAATCCAGCGTCCAGATTCTTCATCTACATTCCTTTCCTCCGCTCAAAGTCCAATCTTTCCTTTCCGCAGAACCCAGGAGGTATTCCTCCAATGGCGTGGTCAAAAGCGGTCATACCGGCCCTCCTAGCCTTCCCAGCCACGATAGCAACCGCCGGCTTCACCGCATTCAAGGACTCGCAGTGCACCCAGCCGCTGAAGATCATATCAGATGGAGAGGAGGTCGTGAACAACACGCTCCAGACCGACCGGTCGATCATGGACTGGACCGACGCTGCGGGACGATGGTACGACGCCATGGAATACTCCAACGCGACCTTGTCGGGGTCAATGAGCGGCACAGGGTCGGCGAACGTGTATTGGAGCGTGGGAGACCTGGACCCGGGCTGCCAGCTCATCCTGATGAAGGATGTCGAACAGGCATGGCAGACGATAAACCCACTGCCAGGGAATCTCATCCTTAGCGTAGCCATGCCTGGGTGCTACTATTCGTCGCTAGTAGTATGTTTTCATCTCAGTGGGACGAGAGATGAGGTTGAGCGAGTGTCAATCAACTGACAATGACTTATGTTGCAGCCACAAGAGGGTCTAATCACCAGCTTCTGCTGCGGCAACGACGACTGTGAGCGAGTCCAGCTCGAAAGCAATGGCGGGAGCCAGAAGAGATCAGTCGACAAAGTAGCCGTCGATGAACGGTACCTTGTCGATCCTGCACAGGAAAAGGCAGACATCGCCAAGCGTGCCCCCATCTCCAATGCCGGTCGCGCGGTCGACTACGTGAAGGCCGCGAGGAGATTCATCTCCGGCGACCCCCTTGTCAAGCGTGACGATGTGCCCGAGTGTACCATCTCAGGAGATCCTGGAAGTCCCTACTACACCAGCGGGATCCAGCGTTCCGTGACGCAGCCCGAGACCTGCGACACGGGTCCCGGAACGTGCTCGCACTCTGTCTCGGTGAGTACGGAGGCTAGCACGGCCCTGTCAAAGTCGTCGTCAAGTTCCTGGACCGTTACTGGCGGAGGCTCCGTAAGTACCACCGTTCATCTTCTGGCGGTGACGGTTTACTGACGTACATGTGGCTACAGGTCAGCGTCGATGCCGGAGTCGACTTCATTGTCGATACCAAGGTCACGACAACCCTAAGCTTCAGCGTTGCCAAGGCATGGAGCAACGAGACGGGGACGACACTGACGACGGGCACCACAAACGGGACGACGCAGACGTTGGTGCAGCAGGTCGGGACCACGGCTTTTCTCTCGTTTACGCCTCAATACGAGTGCTGGCAGAGCGATGCTACCTGTGGTCAGGACGCGGACGGTAACGATATCGTTGTTCAGGGTGTCGACTTTTGCCAGCCATTGACTGGAGGCGATGGGAAGCTGTCGGGAACTTACAGTGTGGTGTATATCTCGAACTGAGAGTTGTTGCTTGTAGCTATGTCGCGATGAGCTGAGCTTTGCTGCTATCACCTTCTCATCCCTTTCCTTCTGGAATTTAATTATACTCCTGCTATATGTACATAGACCTGGTCCGAATCACAAGTCCTTGGACCCTTTCCCTTGCTTTAACTTCCGTGTAATGTGTCAACCATGCTGAACGCGACTCAACGAGAGCTCGTGAGGTGTCAAAGCCTGGTGCGAAACTAAAGGGACAGAAGCCATGTTATGAAGATCATCTTCCATTACGGAAAGCTATCATCCTCGTCGTTCCCCTTGCCTCTCGTAAGCCACACCTTCGCAACCTCATACATGCCCAGATACAGCCCGCTCCCCACAGCCGTCCACACAGACCGAAGCAGAGCACCGCGAAAGAGCCCAGGAACGCCCCTCTCGGCAACCACCTCGCGCGCAATAGCCAAACTCCCACGAGCCCGCCTCCTCCTCGCCGTCTCCGTCTTCACGTCCTGCTCGTCCCCCGCCCCGAGCATCAAGCGCGTCTTCACCACATCCATCGGCGTCGTGATCAGCGCCGCAAAGCTACCCGCGAGCCCCGCGCTCGTCCCCGTGACCACGCCCGTCTCGAGCAGGCCCGGCTTCCACTTCTCGCCCGCGCCGGACCGCCGTCGCGCCCATATCCGCGCGCGCATCGCCTCGAAGATGGGGAACTGGATCGCCGTGAACGGCAGGTTGCGCGCCACCAGCGCAGAATAACCCGACAGTAGTCTGCGGCCCCCACCACGACCGAGCTGTCTGAGCGCCTGCAGCGAGGTCGACTTGCTACTGCTGCCACCGGAGCTCCGCTGCAGCATCTGCGCGTTCTGCTTGATGACCTCCGCGGGCGTGAGGACGAGGCACGACGCGCACTCGGCGATGGCCGACGCGCCGGAGTGAACAAAGGGCTGCGGGAGTCCGACCTGCGCCGCGTGTTTCCCCAAAAAGGTCTTGGCTGCCTCGTAGGTAGTGAAAAAAGTGCCGGCGGCGGGCAGCGTGGCGACGACGACGATGCCGATGCCCTGGTACAGACCGCGGAAGAGCTGGCGCGAGGGCAGCTTGGTCTGCGTCGATGGGTCGGCGAAGGTCTTGACGAAGTCTTGGCTTTGCTGGCGCGTCTTGAGGGTGTCCAGGGGATATATCATCAGGTCGACTGTGAATGCCGCTGCTGCGCCGGCCTGGCAGTAGGTTGTCAATATACGCGTTTTAGATCTTGGAGTTATGAGACTCACCAGTATGACATCGACGTGCGTGTTGCCACTCATGACGGGCTACCGTCCACACCGGTTGCCTTGAGTGAGTGAAGCCTTATTTCATTCGTTCACGGAGATGGTGTATAACGTTTCCGGTTTGCGCCAGGTCAACAACTCATGCTAAGCTGGTAAGGAGTTAATGTTGTTCTGCATGCTCTCAAGTTGAGGCAGAAGGAAAATGACATCACCCACTTTCAGTTGATTTTACAGTGGATAGTAGTGCTTCAAGCCAATCAGATTGCGACTTGGCTTCCTCAAATACATAGTTCCCCCAATGAACAGGCACAGCATAACAGGGACAGCGGAAGAGATGGATGGAAAGGGTTATTATAAATGAATTATGAGGCAGTACTAGAGAACATATCATGTGTGCAGTTCTTCAGTGTTCAGACACAGCGAATTCCTGACATATCTGACACTTCGACGTCGCTAAGCATACTCCTGAGGGCCTCGCAGGCCCCGGCACGAATGCCAATAAAGGGGGATATCAAGCCAAGCCATTCCATCACCACCCGCATTCACAATGCTAACCATCTGTTCCGCTGCTTCTGAAAGTCGCACATAACGCAGCATAGTGATGGGTCAAGTCGAGCACATTTTGAGGCAGGCTCGTGGCCTGGATGATCGACCGTACCTTGACCGCGCCCTCTTCCTCGATCAACACACGTATTGCGTGAAGCAACTCGGGCGAGAATTCAGAGTACCACCGGTACTGCCAGGTGACGAGCCGGATGATGGCAGCTACCGTGTCCCTCGTGTTCTTCTGCTTCTCAAAGACGCGCAGGATCCCCGACAGCGCCTTGGGGCTGAATCGTGCTGCGAGACATGCCCTGTATGCCTCGACTGCCTCATCGTGGTGTTGCAAGCGCTCAGCCAGAGCACCCAGGATCTCCCACTCCTCGGCAGACTTCTTGTACTGCATCGACTGTGCTCGGTATTGAGCCATCTGCGTTCGCCATATCGTGTAGACGCGTAGGTCCTCGTACAGTACCATAAAGAGGCTATCGAGCCATCTCTCGCACAGGCGCTTGTTGTTCAGCCGCGAGAGATGTTCATCAGTAGTGGCGCTCTGTCAAGATGGTCAGCAAAATCCCGCAGCAGGTGTTTAGGAGAAAGCTTACAGTATCACCATCGGCCTTGATCTCGCCTGGATCGATGGTGTGTATCGGTTTCTCTACTGTGTTTCCCTCGTCGTCTCCATTGGTCAAGGTTGGCGCGGTAGAGTCGGCATCGGCTACCTTCTTTTCTTGCTTGTCTTCATCTGCGTCTTCCTCCTTGTCAGCCTGATCGCCATTGGTCGACGGTTCTGGAGACCCCCGCAGTCCATCCGTGCTAGGATTTCGCTTCGGAGGTTGGCTCTGTGGAACTGTGTCCGTTCTCTCACTTCGATACTCGTCCTCCATGACGAAGACGGTGCTGCGTATTTTGAGCAGTTGGTCCCACCCAATCTTGGCAGTCATCTCAGTAAGAATCTTGTATGCCAACTTGAAGGTGCCCTTGTAGGCTGCCGCTCGAAGGTTCAACAAACTAGGCTCAACCTGTTCCGAGTACCTGGACTCTGGCTCGCTGTCGATCTCGTCCAGCCGGGTTTCAGGTAGGGTGGGAAGGAACACGTCCTTGGGTTCCGGCATGACCGGCGCGTCCTTGTCTTGGTATGTGAACATTGGGCATGAGTTCAAAATGGTGAGGGCGTTCTCCCAGTCCTCCATGGCGACATAAATCTGAGCTAGTCTGGCCCAGGTGCCGAATTCGCTAGGGGCGGCGACGGTGCTGCGATCTGCACAGCCGAGAGCCATCTTCAGTCTCTCCTCCTTCTGCGCGGGTGCCTCAGCTGCCACTCCTTTCTTCAGGAGAAATTCCGCCTGCGCATCGAGCATGACATAGTCCATCGGCGAGTCTTTCAAGGCTTGGTATAGTACTCTCACACCTTGCACCTCCTCATTTCCCATGAAGAGGACCTTGGCGAGTAAAGACGATACTTCGACGTTTTGCGTTCTGAGCTTCTCGAATAGGTTGATGGCGGAGGCGAAGCGCCCGGTCGTGTGGAAGTACTTCAGGAGGCCGGCTGTCAGATGGTTGGAGACGTTGTTCGGCACTTGGACGACAGAGTCGGAACCCAGCTGCCAGCCTATGTAATATCAATCAGTACAAGTCCCAGCTCGCTATGGCCTGGCCGCGCGACTAACCTCGGAAGAATAGAGACTCGGCGGCGCTGAGGAAGCGATGCTCCGTCTCGGTGTTGGTCACGGGGTTGAACCGTCTCACGCCCATGATCTTTCTTATGGTATCTCCACTCCCGTTGTCGGCATACGAGTAGGCGCGCAGCACACTGCACAAATACGTCTCCAACCACAGGTCGTCGGTCGCCTTGCGCTTCTCGCCTCGCTCGTCGACACAGTAAGCCTCGACGGTTCCGGGAATGGTAACGTGTACGCGCATGTCGAGTCTGGAGAAGGCATTGTAGCAGCAGTATACGCCTTCCACAATCTTATGCGTGGCTGTTTGCCCATGTTCTCTGTAGGTAAGGGTGTTTATATAGGCGGCCAGACTGGCCGAAGACGAGGCGTCGACGCCCGTGACATGGTGGTATACTCCGTTCTGGGCACGTCGAAGGCATCAGCACTGGGGCTCGGGCGGGTTGGGATTGGGCTGTAGCTACCTGTCTTCCGGCGTTTCTGAGGTTCTGCTTGAGAAGATGGACGAGGTCGGGCGGGCCCAGTTCGCGCAAGGACACCAGAGTCTCGGTACGGGCATCAATTGACTCATGCAATACCTCCTCGGAGATTCTGACGACCGTGTTTAGCTGTCGCGAGTCTTCGGAGAGGGGATTGCTTGGGCTAACTCACTCTGGTACTGCCGGCGCAGGCATGGCGAAGGGTGGGAGCGCTGCTGTCTCCTATCTCAGCACCTGCCCGATATCCGTAGAATGCTCGGCCCGCAAGTAAATGATTCTATGCCAGCCAGGACCAATTATCAACGCGTGCACTTGGAGCGAGTGTATGATGTGGCCGATGGGAAGATTGCGCGCCGCTGCTGTTGTTGTTGAGCGCCAAGGTAGGTATGCGTACCTTATAGTGAGATTTGGCCTTAACTGCTAAACAATTGGGTCGCACGCGCCATCCTTGAATTCCAAGGGTTCTTTGGTGGGGCGCAGGTGCCCAGACCTTCAACTTTCAGGGACAATGGAGCCTGTGGGTGCAAGTGATTCCATAGCGTCCGATCCCGGTGGTTATAGCCTCCAGCTGGTCAGCCTGTGCTTGCAGGTTTCATTCAATTAACGGGCTATCATCGGTCATCGGCCATCGCGTCTTCCGACTGCGATTACGCGACAGCTGCAGCTACTTTTACCTCATTGTCGCATCTCAGCTCCAGTATCTACAGTACCTCGATTAACCTGACCTTTAGCGACATGTACATGTACCCATCCATAATCTTCCTTTACCACAGCATTTCCATCTCCTGAATGCTCAGGAAACTATCATCACTAAATCGCGGCGACCTCTGATGAAACTGGCGGCCAACCGACGATAGACACCATAATGCCATAACTGAGTCCCTACAAGCTCCTCGCAAGCGGTCCCACCATCGCAAACTACATAATGCCTCCCTTTTCTGCGATAAACCTCGAGCCCGAGGAGAATATTGACGACGAGGTCGATACTACCCGGGAGCTGCACATCGACGAGGCCTTGAAGCGCTTCCAGACTGCCTTGAAGCTTCATGCCCAGGGACCCCGACACTACGAAGACGCCAAAGTCGCATACGAGTCGCTCTTCGAGTCGGACATATTTCAGTACCCCGAGAGTGCCACCGAGTTCGAGCGAACCGAGCGCCAGTCCGACTCTCGCCATCTGCCCCTCGACGCATCGCTCGCCCAGTCTCTCGACGACGCCCAAGCAGACATAGATGGCAGTGGCAGCAGTCTTCCCCAGACACTGTACCTGGCATACAAGAATCATGGCCAGTTTGCGCTAGACAGGATCAGACACCAGACAAAGACGCGGGAAGGCGATGCCGTGTCCATACTCGCCGACGCAAAGGTATTGGCCCTGGCCCAAAAGGCCCTCTACGAGTTCAGCGCAGCTCTGGACCACGACCCTTCGGATGCCGAACTTTGGAGACGGGCAGCTCGCGTAGCCGCATTCCTGAGTAGTGCTAGGATTAGTCGCTATTGCCTCGAGGCTGCCATCGAGCTCGACGACGATCCCGCCATAGACGAGGTCGAGCCCCCTTCTCTGGCCGAAGGATTCGCTGGCGAACAACTAAAGGCGCAACTTGGCGTTCTGGCTGACGACCTTTCCTTGACTCACCCTATCATGGTCCCCTTTCTCAAGAGGTCGTTGCCGGGACCACTGAAGAAATATCTTGATCCCTTCCCCTTCCTCCCAAATCCCACCCACGCCCTAGCGCAACCCAAGACGGCACTGGACCAACAAGAGCCGCGTCGTCTGATCATTCATGTGCCGTTACCCTCGTGGACAGATCTGGGTATGGCGCTGGTCCACCGTGTCGCAGCTGATGGACCAGGCGGAGAAGCCATCACTATTGACATCCCCGTTGTGCCCGAAGGCCCCGATGATATGCAGATGTTGGTCGAGCGACCAAAGCCCCAAACAACTGAGGAGCCCATATCGGTTCCAACAGCCGTAGAGGCCGAGCCACCTGCGCCGTTAAAGGACGACCAGCTGGAGTCTCCGATAGAGGGCAACGCTGAGAACGAGAATCTGTCGGAAGAGGTAGCGGTTGAGCGGAGTGAATCTGTACTGTCGCGAAAACGGTCACAGTCGGCTGCTGGGTTCCCAGAGGGTATGGATCAAGACGTGATTGACCAGAAAAGGAGCAAGAGGATCCGCCGGCGAGAGACCGCTGCCGGGGATTCTATAGACACCAATACCCTCCTTGCAGCACAGCTCCAGCCGTTCCAAGCTGCTGACCAAAACCTCTTCCAGATGACGCGAAATATGGTTGAGAATCTCGGAGTGACGGATCGCGATACTCTTGACCGCCTTGCGGAAGTGCTAGATTCATGTGCATCTGACACACGAACCGCCAAGTTGACCAGGTCATCGATGGTTGACTTGCGGGATTCCCTGACCAAGTTCAGTGAGGAAAACACCAAGGCCATTCTGGGTAAGAAGGAGACACCCCCAATTGGTTTCTCGTCTTTCCTTGAACATTCCAAACCCGGTTCCCAGAACAAACCCCTAACGCCCATGTTCCACGAGACGAGAGGCTTGCACGATTTCGTTGAGAAGGTCAACGATGACTGGATATGCATCCAGGACGCTGCTTTCGAATGGGTGAAGCATGTTTGCGCCACTTATCTCACGAGCAAGTGGTCCGACTCGATGAAGACGGCAGTGGTCCAAGTCATTAGCCATATGGATGAAGACATATACCTTCGAGTGCAGCATGAGCTGTCGAGGTCTGAGTCTGGCCAGAGTTCACCGCAAGTACTCGATATGATTGACCAAACGGTCCAGATGCTGTTCGAATTACACTTGGACGTCTATGAGCGGATTACCAATCCTAACAGTGCCGTGGACTTCGCTATTCGCGTCGAGACAAAGGGAAGGATGGGACGATGGTTTGCTCTCGCTGCACGGATGAGCCGGGATCGACCGCAAAGGGCAGACAACTCTATATCAATCCGGTTCCTGTGGTCTGCCGTATTCGCTGTCACGCTCACCGAAGGTGTGTCCAGAGACCATATTCTCCAGTGCTGGAAGAGCCTGCGAGACAGACTAGGCGAGGAGCAGACGGCCATCGACTTACAGCTACCGAATAATGCGATCATGCCGGAAGTGTCAGCACATGCCGCAGATCGGGAGATCTCCAAACTGACTACGATGGACTTCTTCCTGGGACTGTTCCAGAACGACATGAAAGACCCCATATCCGTCATTGAAAGTCTGGAGCCCGTCTTGAATCCCTCTTCTGTCCACTCGACGATAGGCCCAACGGAGCCGTCTGATGCCATAGCCGTCGACGAGCACCTGGCACCCGCGACTCCCGATCAGGACACCATGCCCATCTTGGAGACAGCAAGTCAAGGTCTGCAGGATCTTTGGAAATTTCTGCTGGGCACGAGTACTGAACTGCGGCTCTTCCTATGGACGCGCCTTGGCGACGCGTATGAAGCTATCAATTACAAAACGAAGCAGTTCTCGTGTCTCTTGAAGAGCATCGAGATGGTGGTTGGTGATTTTGAGCGGGATGCCTACCTGAACGTATCTGCCGAGATACGGCGACCTCTGTTTTTGAAGATGCTGAGGTTTCTTGACGAGTTGCTGATAAAGAGTCTCTCTTCAGCTCTCAACGATAGTCATGCTTTTGATATTGTGGACGATGATCATCTGAAGTCGAGTATCTCGACTTTGACAAAACTCAGTTGCATCCTCCACGTGTCGTGCATGTACGAAGACGAAGTCCGTGTGGGCATGGCGCAGCACCGTTCGAACGGAGCAACATTTCAGTCTTATTTAACCAAGCTTCGCGAGATGCAGGTCCGGAACTGGTCCTTACTGTATACACTACTGAAGGCTGGGATTGCGCAGAACAAGTCCGGCTTTACTACGCCCGAGAACGATCTGGCAGACTATCTCGCAGCTGTTCACCAGGTCTTGGGACTACGGAAGTTCTGCAAAGCATCTAACAGGATCTTCCTGAAGATGATGCGGGTGGAACTCCTGAAGCAGAACATGATCGACAACTGGGAAGACTACCTGGGACAAGTACTCTATGACCTCTACGGCTTGAAGCTCGGAGTTGGTCTTTCCGAGGTGCAGGATCACGGATGCCCACCTGAGAACCTCGAGCGGCGGAATACTACAGCGTTGGTCGAGAGGGTTGCCATACTCGCCAATCGCATTCCCATGAAGGATCTGCTCAAGTCGGATCTGAAGAACACGATCGAGCATATGCAACAAGCCATTGGACAGACAAAATCCAACCAGCAGCTGATTCACAACCTCCGCATTTACACCCAAACCCTGCAAAGGGCCATTGACCCTCTCGAACTCTACAAGGCCTTCAAAGGCGATGTGGCTATCGATGCCGTGGAAGTCCACACAGCCGACAGTGCTCTGGCGAAGCATCGATGGTTCTTTCTACTTGGCATGATAGCATTTACCAAGTTCAAAGGAGTAGATCTGAACAGGAGACAGACACCAGGCGCTACTGACGACCTTCGTATCGGTGCCACGTTCCTCCGCCAGCAGTTGCAGTTCACTCCGGACCAATGGGACGCTTGGTTCAGACTCGCTGAGTGCTTTGATTATGAACTCGATGAGTCGGTTCTTTGGACCGCGGACAAGATGAACAAGGAGCGGGCAGAGCTGGTGAAGTATCAGAGGAACGCCATCCACTGCTACACCTTGGCACTTTCGCATTCCCACACTGCCCTGTTTGATACCCACGAAGAGAGCCTGGATGCGATACACGACCTGTATCACAAGTTTGGTATGCGCATGTATGCTTCAAGTCGGGAGCCGTTTGCCATGGAACCGTTCAGTTCCGAGTCGAAACGGTTCTACATCCATGAGACTGGTGCTGATACTAGAGAGCTGCACCCCAAGATGCAGGACTACAAAGTCTGGAGGTACGCGTCCAGGTTGTTCAGAAAGGCCATGGAAGTCAAGCCTACGCAATGGAAGTGAGTCACACCCTCCATGCAAATATAACCTTCCGAACGAAGTACTCACCGAGAACAGAAACTCCTACATGTACGCAAAATGCATTTGGAAGATGTACCAGAAGCCATTGACGTCCCTTGGTCACCAGGACAGGCGGGACCGACCAACTGTGCAGGTCGTAATCAACACCCTCGAGCGAGCAGTTGAAGTGGTCTCTGCGCTGCCAAAGCCACGCGGCAGCCAAGATCCCATCCTGGAGCCGCACTACAAGATCGTGTCCATCGTTCACAAGCTCGTCGGAGTCGGGGACCTGGGCCTTCAGGAGGGAGCAGACATCCTCCAACGCCAACCATATGCCATCCGAGATGGAGAGCACGTCGATATAGGCGACGCAGAGGACTGGGAGTCGTATGTCATACAAACACTAACCCACTTACGAGAAAAGGACCGATCCAACTGGCAACATCGTATCATTATGCGTCACGCCAGGATCCTATTTGACGAGGACTCTGACGAGTCGGGCTATGTTCAGGCAATGGCTGCATTCGGAGTGCTCAAGGAGTCCATGCTTACCAAGACTATGGTCATGAACGTATGGAAAACTGACGCAGAGCGTCCAGGGCGACACCACGTCTACACCGAGCAGTATGTAAGGTTCGTGGTGAAGCTGCTCGTTGTTCTGAAGGACAGGACGAACTTTGAAGCTCTACTTCGCCGCCTGCGCAAGAAAGGTGCTGATTTTTACCATTTTAATGACCTGTGGCAGACCTGTTGCGTGGCGTACTTGCGCCTCATTCGTCAGACGTATCAAATCTCCCCAGTCCTTGAAGACGACTTCAAGGTGACCAGCCCCGAGGAGTTTGAGATAGTCACTGCTAGAATTAGTGACTGGTCCTCAGATCCGGAAATTTCGCACCCTGGGTTGAGCGCCCTGCAGGAGACCGTGGAGCTGAAAAAGCTCAATTCTGGCCTGATGAAGGCCGGCGCCATCGACGACTTGATCAGCGACTGTTACACAGCCATGTATTTCGAGATAGGCAAATCGCTCCCGGGCCCTGCGGTTGCCACTCTTATTGCAGAAAGGGAGCAGGCACGCCTCCGCGAAGAAGCTGGCCATTCTGGCAAAGTACCAAATGGCAAACCGGCAAACCCATTCACCAGCATCCTCAACCCGCAGTCTGTCGAGAACTCTGGCGCAGAAGGCGCACCTGGAGAGTCGACCCCAGCTAACATCGAAGGAGCTCAGCGACCACGGAAAACTGGTATTAGGAGGGCAGATGTTCTCCGCAAGGCAGAGCAGGCCGTGCTGCGCGCTCAAGAAGGCCCCAAGCCCAAATTGCGTCGCTCTGTATCGAGCCACCAAACACCCACGGCCGATGAGGGGAATGATGGTGAAGCGATTGGCGATGCTGGAAGCGACAAGGGCGAACACGACGATGACGTGGAGATGAGAGACGAAGAAGCCGATCACGAGAGTTCAGATCGCGAGAGTTCGGTGCCAGGAAGTGTTCATGACTCCGCCGACGATGAGAGTGATCTGAGTGATGTGCCCGCGGAAGACCTCCTGGACGAAGACGAAGCTCAGCGGTTGATGTTCCCGAACTTGATACAGAGGAGTCAGCATCCTGACTCTGATGAGAGTGACGACACCGAACCGGACGAGGTGGACTCGACGATTGAAGAGGCAGAGGAATAGAGCTTCCGAGTTGCCAACCCCCATAGGGTGTCTACTTTCATCTATTACCCTCGAGTCAAGTTCGTTTGAATGAGGAGGAAAGCTACCAGTACCTTTATATGTAGCATGATTTTTACAGATACCCTTCCCCTGATTACACGTCCATGGTTCAAATCAAGTGATTGTGCAAGATGACACGCTCGAGTTACGTCTAATGAGTCTAATGTGCACAAAGCTAGCATCAATGGTATCAAGCAAAACACCCGCTGGTACTGGCATTTTCACCAAAGTGCCGACATCGCCGAACAACCTCACTCTCGCCACTCACCCTACATACTCATTCTTGGCCGGCTTGGTGATCTGGTAGGGCCCACACGATGCGGCTGCCCTCGCTTGCATAATCATAACCGTGGGCTCAAGGGTGGAAGGACTCCACCGCGAGCGCTTTTCCCCTTTGCTCCGTTACTCATCGCCCTGCCTTTCTTCACTTCCACCTTGCAGCCTCTTGCGCTTTCTTACTTTGTCTGAATCCTCAAACATCGCCTTGCTTCCCTTTTATGCATTATCGCGAACAGCAACATGCGCTTGGTCAATACACGCAGCGGCCACCTTGAGGCATTCGTCGAGCCACCTGATCATTACGCCATCCTATCTCATCGATGGACCGACGAAGAGGTCTCGTTCGAGGAGTACGAGCTGGCACTCCATCCACCCAAGTACTTGCTGGAGCGCGAGGCAGCCCAGGTCGCCATTGTCAAACGCCGCACTGGATACACCAAGATACAAGACTGCTGCCGGGTCGCCGCTAAGCATGGATTCGACTGGGTCTGGATTGATACGTGTTGTATCGACAAACGCAGCAGCGCTGAGCTGTCTGAAGCCATCAACTCCATGTGGAAATGGTACGAAGAATCCAACATGTGCTATGTGTACCTGGCCGACGTTTCGCCGCCCGCGAGAGGACGCGCTCTAGACTATATGGGACTGGAGAGGAGCTCGTGGTTCACACGGGCATGGACCCTGCAAGAACTGCTTGCACCGAAGAAGCATCGCTTCTATGCCAGCAACTGGCAACATCTCTTTGCCTTGACTAGGAACATGGCCTTTGGCGGTGAGACATCTCGTCACACATTCGCAGCAAATGAGAGAAGTGCCGAGCAGATGGCAGCCATCACCTCTATTCCCGCCAGTGTATTCCTGGGCAACCAACCGGATAAACGGTACAGCGCGGCACAGCGGATGAGCTGGGCGGCAAGACGCCAGGCCACCAGAATCGAAGACGTGGCATATTCTCTGCTTGGGCTTTTCCAGATCAACTTGCCGTTGTTATACGGAGAGGGCGATCGTGCATTCAGGCGACTCCAAGAAGAGATCATCAGACAATCTGATGACGAAACCATCTTCGCTTGGGCTTCTTCTGTCCCGTCACCGATGGAGCCTAGAGGGCTTCTTGCCAAGAGCCCTTTATCGTTCTACGATAGCGCAGATACCGAGATGTATAAAGCGTGCCAAATACGGCCTGCCTACACGGCCACGAATAAGGGGTTGGCCATCCGCGGTCCCTGTAGACGGTTGACCCGCGAAGCTCAGAAACCGGAAGACGCGAGGCTCAACCCCCGTCTGCGCGGTCTTCTCGGCGGTCCTTTCTACCACTTGGAACTAAACTGCTTGACGCCATTTGCCGACAGTGACGGCCGGACCGACAGTCGCATAGGCGCGCTGCTTCTCTACCAGAAGTTTGGCAATGAGACGTGGGGTGTATTGGGTCTACGGGAATGGATTCAAGATCTACCCGAAGCTCGTGATGTGGAGGTGCGAGATTTCTATGTTGCGTTGTAAGGTCCGTACCAACCAAGTGTTGAGATCTTCGGTGCGGCAGGGGAGGCGTTCTCTGCTATCTCTGGCAATGGAAGACCCTTGGATGCCCCATTCACCGTTCCCGATTTGTCAATTTGCAGATAATATTGTTCAGACAGGAAGTTTTCTTCTGTGCTTGCATCTGGGCCATGGGCACATCCTTGGTATAGTGCTCGCAAGCCGTCAAACAGCCGAGGTCTAGAAGTTTCAGACTTACACGCTTTGGCTACCTAGCTAGCCGTGCTCGCATTGTCCGCCCCGTTTCGAGCCCCTTTTCGACAAGTATCCCGATGGCAGCCGCTCCCAAGCAACCTATTTGCGCGCGGACGCACTGTGATACTCCGTTGCATTTTACTGTTTAGCACTTCATATACACAGCTGTGAAACTTGTCAGTACACTCTACGAGCGTCCTGGGGAGTCATCCTACCATTCGCGAACAAGGAATAATTGTCAGCATTCAAGAGCGCAAACGCTGGCGTGAGAGCAATGCTCTCATTGTAGGCATACGCGTAGTCGTTCGTATGCGGGCTATACACAGCCTCACAATGAGTAATCTCGTGTATCGTCGTCGTAGCCTGGTCCTGTCGGTGGCAACCCTGGGGCAGCGGCGGCAGGGTATCGTAAAACAAGGAGCACATAACTGACGTGCTGACGTCCCAAAGGGTGTACGCGTTGAGCGGCCCGCTGGACTCGCAGATGCCGTAGTAGTCGTAGCAGAAGTACCGGGACGGGCCCGAGTCGGTGGTGGCGCAGTCTGCGGCTACTGCTGTCAGTCGGTCGACGACGGTCTGGCGGGTTGTTGACGAGTTCGTTCGGAAGTACTCGACGAACCGAGCGGAAGACGGGTCTGCTGCATCAGCCGCTGCTGCGAGAGCCAGTATCTCACAGTTGGCGAGAGCCGCTGTGCTGGCGGCTAGCTGCGTGGCGTTGCAGCCCTCTTGGACCTCGGTGCGCTCCTCGAGAGGCCTGGCTGAGAGTGCCTTCGGCACAGAGGCCACCTTCTGCGCATCGACGTAGAGACTGATGGTGTTCGACTCATATGTCAGGGCTGGCCCAATCAGCTCGGCCGAGCCGGCATTGGCGAACGGCATCAGTCCGCTCGCCTTGAAAGTGTAGGTCCCAGATGCGGTGAAGTCGTGCACAGCTGCTACATTAATGACCATGCTGATGATTTCTGAGGCTTTCAAGAGCTGGAAATGCTCTGCCCTCAGAGCAGCATGCTGTATGCTAGCGTGGATTCCCCTGAATGGTGCTTCGACTCCTGCAACGCGACATGATCAGTTCGCGCGTCGAGTATAGGAGCATGAGTGATTATGAACTTACCTGCTTCATCCAGAGCCAATACCTTTTGGACCGGTAGCCGTTCATCAAGGAGGGTACCGACTTTCAGCAGGTTGAGGTCGGCAGATCCTACGTTCTTAATGGTTGCGACCAACTCAGCGATTCCCTCTGTTGCGGGAGCAAGAGTCACCTCCAGGGACGGGCTGCGTTTGCTATGGTTGACTGCTCCGGCAAAGCGCGCTTGGACTGTTGACGCGACGCTGGACAGCGCCAGTAGCACTCGTGCGCATTTCATTCTCAGGACCTCGCAAGAAAGCTGGACTTCCTTTGGCTTCGCTTCCGCCAGGCCATCGCAGAGAAGTGTTGGTTTTATAAGAACCTTTGCATCTCGAACAGATGCTCCCTCGTATTCGAGGGCGTTCCCCAAATGAGGTTCACCTCCGGGGTGGGGAAGTCTCGTATTCGGCGTCTACGCCCTTTCAAGAAGCTTGCGGCTTGGAACCGCAAGGGTTTGGACAACAATCAGAGGCTCGGAACATCGCGCCTGGCGTCTCATCAACCCAGCAACATAGCACCCCCTTATAATATAAGGTCTGGAGACCATCAGATATGCCGAATCGTGGTGAGCCGACATTGGGACTATGTGATGATTTCGATAAGTGGCACAGTCTTACGCTCCTAGTTGCAATGTTCTTACTATGTTCTGAAGGCCAACAACCTAGGCTCTGGTTCCAGAGAGGTCTGCTTGCCATCCGCCTGGTCTAATGGTCTGGTACAGACAACTTGGGTGTTAACTCCCTATAAACCTTCCGCTAGAAGAGAAGCTCGTGATTGTAACTTCAAACATGATCGGCGTAGTACTGACAGCAATATCTGGAAACGTGTAATAGACTATACGTGGTGATGCATTTCGCTACATGATTACATCCTTCATCCCATCATCCTGGCAAGGACTTGGCGTGTAGCTGGCATGCTGATATAGGCTCGGAGCTGGCCATTCGACTTGACCTAGGCCATGACACGATTCCGGCATGTATCATTTGCGGTTGAGATCCTGGGGAAGGAAGTGACCAGTACAATAGGTAGTATATTTTACTATGAATGTGTAAGCACCGCTCTTTGCCCTGTTGTATCAGTCATTAACGGAGACTTATAGCAATTCACACGATGGTATCCTCTTGCTTGTACACGAACAGACCTTCCAAACCGGACTCAAACTCCAACCGAAACTCACGAAGCACACCCTTTCTCCCCTTTCTCCTAGCCTTGCCACTTCACCCGCTTGTCTCTAAAGATGCTCACCATCCCAATCGGCAAGAGTCCAGGCTCGACGATATTGAGACCCCCAAAGCGGTCCATGGCTTCAGGACCATGGAGCTGGGCAATCCATCTCCAGTAAGGATCCATACCATGCCAGTTGTGGTGGATTCCCTTGAGGTTGCCCTGCCCTGAGAGCGCCTGGATTCCGTTCGTCACCTTACTGCAGCCGATTATGCCCTCCTCGCTCGGAAGCTCGAGTAACTTCTTGTAGACCTTTTCGAGGTCATTGTGGAAGTTGTAGTTCATGTCTTGGCGGTACCGAGCGAACTCGTCGAAACTCATGAACGTCTCTCGGTCCCGTTGGCTTTCGGGCTGCCAATTAGGGTTGTCTAGGCCCTGATGATGGACCCAGCCCTTGTCGAAGGCGGCCTTTCGGACGTTGTAGTTGTCTCTCTCGGCCTCGAGGAATGTGTCCAGGATTCTCGTTGGATCCGGCAGCACCGTGTTGCGCACCTGCAGAATGGATATGAAAGGGCTCTTCAGGTCTAGTCCGCCGAGTTCGATGGGGAAGAACAGGTAGGCGTCGGGTATGTCCGACACCCCGAATCGTTCCGCCATGAGCTTCTTCAAGTAGTCCACGACGCTGCTCACACCTTCTGAAGTATTGCCTTCGCCGATTAAGGATGCTGAAGATGAAGGAGAGAAGACCTCGCGCTGTATGCGTTGGTGGGTTGCCAGCATCTGGTCGACGTGGTCCTGCCCAAAGCAGTTGGCGGGCTTCCCGAAGTTCGAGGTGAAGAACGTTGCGGCATACGTGTTCCAGGCCTGGATGAACGAGATGATGCTCTTGCGCTTGTCGTAGAGTTGCTTGCGTAGGTCGGTGACGTGCTTGTCCACAATGGTCTGGTCGATCTCGAACCTTCCCGTCTGCGTTGAGAGCTTCAAGAATCCCCAGCGGATGTCGCCCTCGGGAAGCGACCTGTCAATGTCCAGCGAGACAGTCGACTCCCTCGAGATTCGAACCGTGCCACTCTTGGAGGGACTGATGTACGTCCCAGTCGCATTGACGAAATCTGATACCGACTTCCAAGCCGTCACTGCGACGGAGTGGTCTCGCGACCAGAACCAAAAGTCATCGTGCATGCGGAATAGCACGCTACCCCCGGTAGACTGGTTGACCGCGAAGTCGAGACAGAAGAGCATCGACTCCCCAAAGATGTCGCTCAGCACATGGGACGCCGGTGTCCCGCGGCATCGAGTGCGCGGAGCTGCTGAGGGCTCATCTTCGAGGAACTTGAGGGGCGCCTTGAGGAACTTGGTGAAGAATCCAATCCACGTCTTCGAGACTCCAAATAGCAACATGACGGTCAACATCGATGTGTGGGGGAGGAGAGAGTTCCAACTCTCAAACATGGAGTGGAATGCCGTGATCTCGCCGTTGAGCTTGGTGTTGACGGCAATTTCGGTCGATAGAAGGCGAATCAACCGTTGTTTGGCTTCCATTGGCCGCTTGGCCTCTGGTTCCCCGTCTTCCTCGTCGTCGTCCGGCTTCATGTAATTGACCGGTGCCATTCCCCTGCCTGCCCTCTGCGCCATTAAATGTCCCTGTCGCTGTTGCATCAGAGGTCCCTGTTGCTGTGCGTATCGCACGGCCTTGTTGTTATCCCTATCTATGTTGGTTCGGAATTCTACTTCTTCCTCGCCCTCGAGCGACTCGTTCTGCTGAGTATCTTTGCCATCAGGTTGGCCATGAAGTAGTGATTGCGATAAATCCCTATCCCTGATGGCTTGCACGCATCGCTTACGGTTCTCGCCGCCTAGATAGTATCCGCGACGCTGCATGTCCATCTTGGGGATATCCTTGAACGATGATTTCCAGGCTCCGGGGAAGTTTCGGAAATCTTCAAATGCTGACTTGAGGAACATCGACCACTTGACGCCGAGGTAGTGCAGGAACAGGGCTTGCAGGAGGTCCTCGTGCATGAGGACGTTGTATATGCCACTGATCTTCCGTCGCTGCTCAAGGGGGACACTTGGGCCCCAAGACCAAGTTTCTAACGCCGCAAGCCTCATATTCAGGACATCGGCAACCTCGGCCAGAATGATGGGGTTGTTCTTGAAGTTTCGCAACACCTCGCGTTTCTCATCCGTGAGAAGGTCAGAGGAGAGTAGACCATCAGCAACCCATTGCAGTGGCGGTACTGAACTGTTTCGGGGCAGCCATTTGACTCTCAAACTCGGCGACCCTGGTGCGAAATTGTTGAAGAGCCATGGCTTTAGCCGTCTTCTCTGAGCTGCGGAGGCCAAACATGTGATTCAGGTAGGCTCGAAGCCCGTCATCATTGACATTCGCCGGCTCGAACACGACTTTCTCCCAGTCACGCCGGGCATCTTGTTTCATCGTGTCTGCGACGTCCTCGAATCCCTCCATCATGGCCACATCGTCTCCTGCGTTGGCTTTGGACTTCTCGGTTGAGAGCCACTCAGTGACAAGCTGGGCGTACAGCGAAGCATACTGGAACTTCAGTGACTGCGTGTCGAGGTGGCGAAACAATGACTCTTCCCACGTGCGCATCAGCTCTGACGATACGGACGGGTCGTACTTGGACTGCGTCAAGAAGCGATCGAGGTACTTCAACTCGAGTTCGAGATCTGGATCTCTCGACTGGTCCGAGATGATCTGGCCAAACTGGTTGGTCTTGACACCAAAGCAGGTCTTGACACCTCGACTCAGAAGGCCAAGCCGTTCGGTAGGCCTGTTCTCATTCTCCAATGCAGAGATGATGTCTGCCTTGGTAGATTCGAAATCCGACCGTCTTTTGGACAGCTCCTCTAGTTTGGCGTTGATGATCTCCTGCAGCGTCTCGGAGAAGACGCTACCACTGGACGACGCCATGTTTTTTTAGTAGGGGGCTGCAAATAGGCACAGAGGGTGTATTGATGGGAGTTGAGGCAGGTGATGAAGATGGCGAGCACGAGGTAGTCAAGAGGTAAAACGCCCGCTTTCATATTTACAGACGAGTGGCTAGGCAAACTGGGGTCTTGATGCCTAGAGCGTCCGTGGCTGTGCCGGCCAACGGTGCGCGACCTACCCGGCTCAGTCCATATACCCAGAGCCACGCCTTGTGACGTCGTGAGGCACTCATAGTATTTTGTCGATGAAACTTGTCAAACTGTACTCCAGACAATGGTCATGATAACACATAAGTGAGCTGCCGCGGTGTCCTCCATAACCCGTCATCATCCTCTGGCCCCTTGATGCTTCATGGCCGACTCGATTCCATTCTCAGTTGACTTTCGGATGGGTTTGTTCTGCTGCTTTTGATTTGACCTGCATGTCATCTCTCACTCACCCTCGACATTGTCATACCAGATTCCAGCCGCCGCATACCAAGAAGCAACGGTTCCAACATGGTCAAGTTGACCTTCATCTTGGGCGCCATCGCCATCGGCGCCACCGCCACCGCCATCTCCATCCCCGACACCCTCGCAACGAACCAGACTGTATCCAAGGTGGGAGGCTCTGGAGAGCACATACCTGCACCAATAGCACGTTACACGGCACGGCTATGCGAACACAGAGGGGCGCGTACCCCTTCGAGTCGTCACCTGTACAAGACTTGGTACTATTAGTTTGCACTTAATCGAACGCCTTGAAGCACTCGAGCAAAGTATAGTGTCGATTGATTTGGAATCATGGTGTGCACCTAAATACCTAAGCTTCCAGTAGTCCATATCGTACCAATTTGACTGCAACAACTTCATTGTCACGTAACCCTGACTCGATGCAGCATGTCATGCGTCGTCGAATAGTTCCTATCACTTGCTCCAAGCACAAACTCCTGTAGCCGGTACCCGTGTGACGAAAAGGAGATGGGGTATTATCCGAAAACCAATGCAGTAGTATATGGCCAAGACAGAAAGGAAACGGCGTGTTCGCTGTCGTCATCGACAGCGGCAATTATGCATTAATATGTATTCGTCTGGCGGTCACATTCCGGACCAGCTTTGTGATGTATGCGTCGACGAGGGCCACACCTCGTCGCTTCACATGAGGCTTCTCACCCTTTCGTACAATGGCAGTATCTCGAAGCTGCTTCGGGAGTGGAGCCTGATCATCCCGCGGGAATCATATGTCCAACGCTCCGGTTCAGAGATGGTGGACGCTCGCGACGACACTGACATCGCTCTTCCGTGTCTGCTGTAAGGCGACGTGCGGCAAATATGGTCCGGAGAGCGTGGTGGATACGACTGGGTCGTTCGCAACCGTTGCTACCGGTTGAACACAAGCGCATTCACTATGTGCCCCTTGCTCCAGCCCTGGCTCGGCAACGACGTGTTTTCCTTTAGGATCTTTCCCATGTAGGCCACACGGATACGTTTTGTCGATGGCAGCTGTATCCTGTCAGTGGTGTCTCGCGGGGAGGAGGAAAGGCGACCATACCCCTGACTTTTCTGCAATCTTCCTCGCCATGCTTCTTACGCTCTCATCGGGCCCCACGTTGATGGTGACGTCGGGATAGTTCTCGCTGAGCCTGGCACGGACCTTGACCATGTTCTTGACATCCACGACGCCCTTGCCCTTCTCTTCTCTTCGTCGAAGCGCTTCTTCTTCATCATCATCATCAATGTCTTCTGTGGTGTCCTCGCCTGCAAGGTCTTCCTTTCCTCTCCGGCCTCCGTCGACGTTACCCGTCCGGGTGCCGCTGTCTTCAGCGACATTGACTGGATCGCATACAATCCATTCGGGAAGCGCATAGTAGTTTCCCAACGAATCGTAGGCGCCATTCGCTAAGTCGCCAGTAGGGAGGGTCACCTCGGCAGCCTTCAAGATGCTCTGGGCCGTTGCCAGCCCACCAGAGCCGTCGTCGTGCTTAGGCTCCCCGCCAGCCGAGGTGTTCGCGTCCACTGCCCACATGATCTCGAGTGCAGTGTGTAGAACCTGCCAAATCTCAGGCTTTCCCGTCACCCTCGTATCGAAGAAGTCGGCTCGCTCGGTGTCGAGATTGGCGCGTGTCCATGCGCGGTTGCGGGCTACCCACTCGTGGCGGCATAGTGGTTTATCTATATGCTGCGACAGCGGCTGCTGGCTACGAACTCGATGGCGATGTGGTTGGGAAGCCGCCGAGCCATCTTCGGCGGACGAGGAACGCAACGGCGGAGAGTTGATGGCTCGGGCAGACGGCGATGGCGCACCACCGGGATACGGGGCGTTTGGGCCCTCAGGCCGCGAGAAGCAGCAGCCCTTGAAGGATCGGTGTTAGTTGGAGTTGGCAAATATGAGCATGAGGGGAGCAGCTAACCATTGCTTTTGCGCAGTCTCAGACAACGATGCGGTCAGCGCATCGTCCACAGTCCACGGTCCAGCAGCAACGAAGACAGAGTCGTCGTATTCCGTGTCGCGAGGTCGTCACTGGGCTTCGTTCCTCGAGGCAGAGTCGAAGGCTGCCAAAAGAAGAGGGGAACAACAAAGGTTTGGATGTCCAAGAGCGATTAGAAGTGCAGTAGGCTGTAGCAGTGTAGCAGTTGGAACATTGAATGCATTCATTGTAACGCAGGCGAGGCCGACCTTTCACGACGTTACCCCACTATTAATTAGCATTTGGCACCATCCATTCCAAATGTTACACAACCTTACCTTACGTACATGTACCTACGTACCTGCCTATAGTCGGACCACCCCGCCGCCAGCATCACCCCATCGCTCCCCTTTCTATGTACATGTACCTTAGTCAAAGGGAGGCTCAGAGCCAGGCAGAGAATACTTGGTGTACCGACTTGCTTCCAGTCAAATTATTCAAGATATGTCTTGAGGCGGGCATAGGCCTTGCGCTTCGGCTCCGGCTCCGGCCTGGTCTTGGTCTATCTGGATTGGGCTGCCTCCATGCACATAGTAGACGACGCCGTGGTCCGAGTGCACATGCAAGTACATGTAGTGAGACGGTGCACTGCCGAAGGACTGTGACCCTCATGATCCCAATTTAAGGGTCCAGAACCTAGGTCCGTCATGCCTGTTCCACATGCAATGTACAACACCAAGCAAACCAATATCAGCGGCAGGGAGCACACCCATTGTCATAACATTGGGCAGGTTCGCCTCATTCATTTCGTATAGGCCTGATATCATCGGCAGCATCGCGTAATTGTGGTATGTGCCACTAAGAACCCTTCGTGACTATGAAAAAACTCGTCGAACGTATACCTTGCTTACACATAAATTCCCATTCCCATGGGTATCATGAGCATAGTGCTCGACTGGGAAAACTACTCTCACCAGAGGTAGCCTCTGCAACGTTTGCTCCCACACAGACACCGCGTCATATCCTTTTGCTTCTCCGGGTCCAGTGCATCCTTCTCTGAATCGTCGACCCCGTCGACGTAGTCAAACGTGAGTTCCTCGCCTCTGGGTATATCTCTGACGGCAAAGAAGGCCAGATCGTGGATGTGCTTGTCCGCATGATCGCCAACCCGAGCAAATATACGCAAGTTGGGCTCGCAAGAATGGTTGACAAATCGACTCGGCCCAGACATGAACTCGCCGTCTACTTCCAATGGAGCACCCCGTAGGCGCTCGTCGAAGGAATCCGGATCCGAGAACTTGTCCAGTGCGAACAGGTACACATCTTTGCGCTGCGCAATGTGTGATTTCGCACGCCGTCTGTCGGCCTCCTCGGCAGTGATGATCTCGCCCATGTATTTGTCGATGAACTGACCTCTCTTGATATCCGACGTGCTCCGTACACCCCATCCCCGGTTTGGCGTCCTGAAAATCTGTAGCGGGATCTTGCGGCCTCGTTCCACCACGCGGTTTGGGCAGTCGGGCCCGCAGGCACAGCTCTCGTGGCACTCGTAGATGGGGTTGCGGGTTGAAAGGATCTCGGAGCGCATGCGGCCGGCCTTGACGCCATGCGAATGATAGGCATACGCCTTCTTGCGGTACGTTTCGCCATATGTGCCGTCGGCGCCCTCCTCGTCGGAGCTGTCGTCCTCGACGTCCTGCAGACAGTTGCAGGTGTTGTATTGGCAATCTTCCCCGTCGACGCATTCGCAGCCTGAGAGAAATTCCTTCCTAGTTGGTTCTACGTCTCGGGCGCGGATCGAGGTCTCTACGAAGCTGAACTTGGGACTAAGGACTTCGTCATCTCGGTCGTTGACGATGGTGATGGGGTATTGCTCGTGGGTTTGAAAGGAGCGGATCTGGCACCAGTGGCAATGTCGCTTTCCGGTCTCGAAGCCCTAATGACAGACTATGATCAGGTACGCCCATTCATCGCGAACACACTAGGAAGGCTTACCTCATTGCCCGGTATGTGACTGAAGAAGTGCTGTCGCGTGGCCGACTCCATCGCGAACACGTCTCAGTACTTACTCTCTGTACCAAAGCTTGGGACATATGCTGTCACCGGAGATGGAGAATATGTAGAGCCCGGCCAGACGGACCCATGGCGGACCCGAAGACTACAGAGGCAGAAGGTGATGAGAGACAAGACAATCGACAGAAGTGTGTTGTGGCTGGCAACTAGTCGTCCAACACTGTAAGTCTGTAACAACCTTGGAAGGACGGTGGATTAATTGTGAGGGAATGCGATCGACGCGTCGCGTCCTCAGTAAATTGATGCCCCGCCAAATGCCCGAAATTCGAATGCGACGGCCCGGGGGTTGTAAATTGTCGAGGCACCCGACGTTTACATGCATGGACTCCTCCTTCAGCTTCTACAGTAGGGGTGGGCGCGCGGCAAGAAAAGTGGGGGGGGGGGGGAAGGGAGAAAAGGAGTGCATCACAGACTTCAGGTCAGCTACTTCGGTCATCTTTCTACGTCCCTAGTTCCTAAGGTCGTTCTGTACACGTCCAAGATAGCTACCGGCAATGGTCTCATGTGCCATACGGCGCAGAACCTGTTGAAACCCCGGGATTCTAATAATAAGAGGGTTCAAAGTAGAGTCCATGTTGTCCGGACACGCATCGCGGAGACGATGGTGTCCCATAGGATAGCTCCGGCCGCCTCCTCCGAATATCCGAATGTGGTAACTTATTAACGCCGGTTTGGTACGTTGCCTCCCCGGGTCTATCATCCAATAGACCCCGGGTCTCTCATCATAGACCGGCCTTCCCCGCCAGCCCCGCGTCCTGACATAGCATACTCCATCATCATCACCGTCCTCGATATTTTAACCGATTGGCCGTTGCTATCATGACGGACACAGGAGAAGCTTCCCCGTCGACCTATGTGTCGCCATTCCACAAGACCATAAGCTCCCTACCCAAGCCAACGTCGGACTTGCTCCGCTCCTACGCACACATCCCGACCGAAGAGCAAGCCGAGCACGTCACCAAGATACGCGACGAGGCATATGCTCGATTCCCATACCCATGCATTGGCAATTTCCGCTTCCTCGATCTCGACTTGGCATCTCATCACGCCTACCAAGAACACGTACTGTCACCCCTGAGCCGTCCAGCAGTGGACCATGATCCAGAGCCCCTCTTCCTCGATCTAGGCACATGCTTCGGCCAGGACATCCGAAAGCTCATCCACGACGGAGCACTAGTCCAGAGGGTGTGGGGCAGTGACATTGAACCAGCCCTGATCGACCTTGGCTTTGACATGTTCAGAGACGCCGACAGGTTTTCACGGGACCGGTTCCTCTGTCCGGGCGATTTGTTGACGAATTCGCTCGAAGACCGACTCAGGGTCTTCAATGACAGGGTCACCATCTTGCACATGACGGCCGTCTTTCATCTCTTCAACTTGGAGGACCAGAGGGTCGTGGCGGATCGCTGTCTAAGGCTACTGAGAAAGGACACCTCGTCACCGATGCTCGTTCTGGGAGGGCAGGCAGGAAGTGCCAAGGCAGGCCACTACCTCCGGCAGAACTTGACTTCGGAATGCAGCCACAAGTATCGCCACAATGAGCAGAGTTGGGAGCAACTGTGGAAGGAAGTCTGCGGGAGAGATGAGTGGAGAGGCAAGATCAAGACTATGGAGGTGAAGTCGAAACTACTGACTCGGGTCCGGGGTGACAGCGATAATCCTAGCACGTCAGTAAGTTACAAGGAGCCGGGGGCCGATAGTGGTGAGATGCTGTGGCACATGTTTGAGGTATGGGTGACGTTCACGTAGACGCAGAAGGGATGAATTTCCACATGGACACACATCCATCTAGATACTAGTCAGGGGTCGAAGCGAAGGTCCAGACCCTCGTGGGGGTGCACACCAATGGCATTACGTAGTAAATCCCAAGTAGGTAGCCTTCAGCCTTACCAGTATAATAAACCTACCTCTATCACACATTTCGGGTCCGACTTCCCAGTCTTGATCAAGCCCCTTATCTACGCACAGTCAGCGCGACGCTATAAGTACCCTAATGGCTAGCTACTCGAGACTAGCTAGTAGACCTCGGTCCTTGGAACCGAGCCATTCCACTGGAGCGTGCTAATGAAAGACACTATAATTTGACAAGTGCTAGCACCGGACCACAGACTACCAGAGTGGTTCTGCCGTCGCTTGCCTGTGGGCCTGACTCGTGAGTCGACGCTGTCACGTTGCAATCCAGACGGACCAGGGGCTTCTCCGTCGGCCCAGGCCAGATCGCCGCCGGATCTTAGATCAGCAAGAAGATCAGCCTATGTCGGAAATCAGTTCTCGCTTATCAACGCACCAACGCTGATCTAGATCATCCGGGGACGTTCCGGCAGGCTGGAAGAACCGTCATCTGGGATGCTACCGTTGTATCGGGTAATCCAAGGCCAAGCTATATTCGCTTGATCTTGTTCTCAGCATCACTAGGTAATGAAGTCGGTCTTCATCCCGAACACCAAGCACAGCGGATCCAGGCTATGCGGAGCCCCATGCACTGAAGATAGTCTCTGTGCAGTAGAATGCAAGAGGTTCCTGCGGTATGGGACCGTGAGGAAGGCCGCACCATCTGGTGGTGGTAGCCTGGTAACGTTGGGTACTGTCAGGCCCTCGTCGCGTCCATTAATATGGTTTGCCCTCCCCTGTTTGAGAGTTCTTGGAGTTCTTCCGCCAACCGTTGTTCACGACCAACTCGAGACTTCTACATTCTTTACTTTTACGGCCAGTTGATCATCCACGGCCCCCAGGGCTCCTCACCGCCGCCATGACCGGCTTCCTCATCCCGCCGTGGTTCGTGTACACCGAGCCGTCCGCCCTCGATATGAACGTAGCGTCGATCATCTGGGGTGTCTCGCTCGCCTCGGCGGTGTTCACGGCCGCGAAAGCGTACAGGCAGACCTCGACAATATGGAATCGAAAGAAGGGCATAAACGGCTACGTCGCCGCGATCTGGCTGGAGTTGGTCATGAGCGTCATCATGAGCATTGTCTCTTGGTTATATCTTTGGGGGGCTGTTGAATCATCGTAAGCAAAAACCACACATGAAGTCTGCGCACTCGCCAGATCAATCTCTAACTCTTGTATGTCGCTGCTAGTTTCCCCTTGTTCTTCATCATCCTTGTTCTATGGTGTTTCCAAACCCAATGCGTCATCCAGATCATCATTAACCGGATCGCCCTCTTGATGCGAGATCAGAGGAAGGTGAACAGGATGAAGTGGGGGTTTGGACTGGGTCTCGGTCTCGTCAACATCAGCGTCTTCTGTGTCTGGCTCCCAGCCCGACTGCAAATCTCGAAAACATACATCAACGTCAACGAAGTCTGGGACCGTGTGGAAAAGGTCATCTTCTGCCTGATAGACGCCAGCCTCAACCTCTATTTCATTTATCTTGTACGGTCGAAGCTCATCTCCAACGGGCTGGCCAAGTACAACCGGGTGTTCCGCTTCAATCTGGCCATCATAGCCTGTTCGGTGTCTTTGGATGTAAGTCATATAGTGGTCCGCCCATGCGTTTCTGCCCCTTCCTATTTCATTCGAAGCTAATGGAGCACTTGTCAGGTCATTCTCATCGGTGTCATGTCGCTTGGACAAGGATTCATCTACGTCCAATTCCATCCGCTCGTCTATCTCCTGAAGCTTCACATCGAGTTGAACATGGCCGATCTGATCGCCAAGGTCGTCAGCAGCGAGAATGGGGGTTCTCACCCCTCTGGCTCGGGAGACGTCTACCACAGATCCCATGGTACCGGCAAGGCTGACCCTCGTGGCTTTCACATGAACACTCTTGTGACGGCAAACCGTCAATTTGCTCACGATCACGACGACGATAACGAAGTCGACCTGAATGCTCGGCCGAAGGGGGGTATCCAGAAGACTGTGGAGACCGAGGTACGACACATGGACGATGATAATGCAAGTCAAAGTTCGACTTCCGAGCTGCAGAAGAGCCATGATTATATTGCGGGGGCGTAGACAGCGGATGATGCAAAGAGACGGGGGAATACTAGAGCTCACGGTCATTCGAACATATCTTTTACATAGGAAAAAAATTGTAACATACAAAGTCATTGTAATCATGATAAATTCAGGAAATCTGGACGGTAAGAGCTGCCAACAATTGCCGCGGATGGCCGTATACCTAGACAGGGTCAGGGTCTGCGCCCATTTCAAAAACGCCGTCTCTCAAGTAGGAGCACTACCTAAATCTAAGACTCAAGTCTATGGCGAGTCTAGAGACTTGATAAGACGTATAAAGAGTCCAATTTGCAAGAATCCGAAGGGTTCAATGGTAATATATCCCACTTGTCGAGTTTATGGCTTGAATTGGCCATTGGGATATGGCTGCATGATCTGCTCAAACGTGATAGGAGAGGCGGCACCTCCCGCAAGTTTGGGCAGACCAGAACATATTGCCTCATCCACGAGCCAAACCCAGTGGGAAGAGGGCTCTCTCCTCGTACGCAGCTTGAACATAGAATGGGAAATTGTACGGATGGTGCGACGTGAAGAATCTCGATTTCCAAGGAAAAAGGCGTTGAGATTGGGGTTGAGGTTTCCTCGTCCCCGGCCCCTATTGAGACTCACAAGAGATGGCGGGGCACGGAACCATTCCGCGCGCAAAGAAATGCGGGGCCGAATTTTTATTTTCCATGCTCAACTTTCCGACGGGACCAAGCATCAAGCAGCAAGCAGCGCGACACAACCACCGCAGCCAATTTCTCGAAACAAACCGACCACGATACTTTGTGACTCAAATTTCTCGGAGCGTGTTACCTGACATCAAGATCTCACGCTTACCACACCACCGAGAACTCAAGGCGCCAACAGCGCAACCAGCCCTCACCATGGCGGCAACCGACGAGTCGAACATGCCCTTCATAAGGAATCTCGCATCCAGCGGTACGTCCCCTCCCCTTTGCCAATCTCATAGCAACTACCTACCTAACGTCACCTGTCCCCCACAGACCGCAAGACCCGCACCTCAGCCCTCGACACCCTGCGCACCTTCCTCTCGGCCTCGACGACGTCGCGCCAGCTCAGCGCCCTCGACAACCAGAAGCTCTGGAAGGGCCTCTTCTACAGCCTCTGGATGTGCGACCGGCCGATCCCGCAGCAGAACCTGTGCGGGGAGCTGGCGGGGCTGATTAGTATACTGCCTGACGAGGCCGTCGTGCCGTGGCTCGGCGGGTTCTGGGCCATCATGAGCAGGGAGTGGACGAGCATCGACGTGCTGCGCATGGAGAAGTTCCTACTGCTCGTGCGGCGCGTCGTGGGCGCCAGTCTGGCGTGGGCAGGCGGGGACGGCGGCAATAAGAAGAACGGGGGTAGCAAGAAGACGACGAAGGGGGAGGCGCAGAATATCGGGCGGGCAGAGGCGATGATGGCGCTGCTGGCCGCCTGGCCGCTTGAGCCCACAGGCGACCTGTCTAAGGTGCCGTCCGGGGTGCGGCTGCACGTCCTCGATATCTGGGTCGACGAGGCGGAGAAGCTGCGGCTGCTGGAGCAGGGTGCGGATGAGGGGCAGAAGGATCTCTTGGACCGGATACGGCAGCTCGTCGAGGCGCAGAGCAAGTCTACCTGCAAACCTGTGCGCGTCAGGGCGAAGGAGTCGTTGGCCGATGGGCGGTTACCGTGGAACGCGCCTGGGGAGGCTGGCGACGATGACGAGGATGGAGCACCGAAGACCAAAGATGCCTCTGGCGATAAGAGTAGCTGGGACGGCTTTGCGGACTGACTGGAGACAACATTCATCACGGGCGGCAAATGGAGTTGGGGCGTTCAGACAGGAGATATCCAAATTCGGATCGGAACCAATTAATGTCTTTCTAAAAGTGTGAATAAAAGCGACATACGCTGAAGCTAGAAGCTAGAAGCTAGAAGCATGGACACATGCAGTGCCTACTGTACAATATGTCGAGATAGGTATTCCAAACGGAACATAACTTCGACATGTGCTTCTCGCTTTCATGGGGGTATCTCAAAAAACACAATGAATCCCTCCCAGTCCCCTTTCAGCTGCATATACAGCAAACCTCCCACTCTAAGCTGCCATGCACGCCACGCGCCCGCAAGCGCGCAGCGCGATGCCACCGATTCCCAGTCTCCTATTTCTCCCAGCCCAAGGGCCCGGGAGTGGCGTATCTTCCGCTCTTGGACAAAACAGTGGCAAGGCCCTGGTGCACCTCTACCTGGAAAGGTTCGAAGGGGACGCGCTCGCCATCGATACTGATGTAGCCGTCCTTCTGCTCGCGAGGCGTGAAGCGGTAGGCCACAATCTTTCGGTACGATATCAGTGAGTTGTCGAAGAACTTGTTGGTCTCGACGGACATCATTAGACCCATGTACTTCAAGGCCGCGATGTCGCCATCGTTGATCACGAGATCCATCAGTCCATCGTTGGCACAGGCGGCCGAGAAGAAGTTTGCGTTCGGCGCCATCCATGCCATCTGCAGTGCCCTGTTAGCAGGCATTCGACATTGAAAGGGGGTTCTCGAGGCACTTGCATTTCCGCAGTAGAAGTTCCCTAGCTTGTCGTGCGAGCCAGTTTCCCAGTCTTCGGGAATCTTGTCGTTGACGGTACCGAACCTCAATGGCGGTAGCCCCTCTCCCGCATCAGCTTCACTAGAGGTGGATTCGCCAGTCGAGGATGACCCCTTCGAGATCTGGCCTTCCTTCCTCTGACTAAAGTCCTCGGCCGTCCGGTCCCGTTTGTAGTGCGCCTTGACACCACCCTTGCTTTGGATTTCGACCTTGACGGATATGTCACACGGGTACACCTTCTTGCCAAAAATTCTCTGCGCAACACCGACATCAAACCGCTTCGCGCCCAGCCAGCGCAGGTGTTCCGTTCCCAGATCAGCCTCGGCAATGATACCGACCGACTGGCTCAGGAAGCTCAGCATGCGGTTCGATCCCTGGGTGATGCTCATCAGGTCCATCGGCGTCTTGACGCCCTTGATGACTGCCAGCGCTGCCAGGTTCGGCCTGTGCGTCCCGTTCAGATTGATACTCATCGCGTTGCCGCTTCCGCAGGGTATGTGCGCCACGGCCAGCTGCTGCAGAGCCTTGCGCGCGTCGGGCCGCCTGCCCAGGCCGTTGAACACCTCGTACGGCAAGCCGTCGCCTGAGCACGGAATCACCACGTCGTAGGCGTCGATGTCGAGTTGTTCGCAGAGGTCAATGGCCTCGCGAGAGAAGCTGGTTCGAATCACATCCAGACTCATGCGCGCGGCCTTAAACAGCGGCTTTACGTCGTGTTCCCATATGTTGTCGGCGCCGCCCGGTCCAGCATGCGGATTCACTAGCACCTTGGCCCGTTTCCGGCGCTGGGCTGTGCCGTATGCGCGCGCAAGCAGTGTCTCGACCCATTTATCGACGACGTCGCGGGGGAGCTCGTTAAGCGGGTAGTTCAGCTTCGTCGGGCGGAGCTGCGTCTTGGAGGTTGGCTCGGCGTAATCGATCGCCAGCGCTTGTCCGGCAGCCTCGGCCCAGAGGATGTTGTATGTCGGAATGGAGAAGTCGGAGGGCGCGCTTCCGAGGGGAACGCCGCATACGTTGTTCTGGTGACGTTTCGCTTGTGTCTTGTCTGAAGATGATGGTATTTGGGGTCAGCATTGACGGCTGGAGCTCTGGGGGAGATGATTCGCAGTAGACACCTTTTACGAGAAGAGTCTCGCCGGCCAGAGCAAGAGATACGCCGTTCCCAAATACTAGGATGTCGTTGGCGGAGGGCTCGGCCGTTGGGGCAGCCATGTTATCGCTGTAGAGAGGCAGTCGTCTCGGGAGCGCGGGACGGTTTGGTTATGGGAAAGCTGTAAGCCGAGGATGATACAATGGTATACTGTCTAGAAGAATTTGGTAAACGAGTAAACCAGTTGGCGTTTCCTACCTTCTCATAACACGATAGCCTCACGAATGTAAACGAATGGATTGTCGAACATCAAGAGGAAAACAACTGGTCTAACCCGGCTCCAACGGGATATGTAAATGTTAAAGTTCGATTGACAACGGTGAGTCGTGACGCGGCAAGCTGCCAGCCACTTTAGCTAATAATAGCTGACCTTGGACCCAGAATAACAAGCCTCCATGGGCGCCGATAGGCTGACGGCAAGTCCCGAGTACGACTGCCAATACCTTAGTCAGAACCAGCCCGAGGTCCTGGTCAGATTCATTCGATCCGCGGAATCCGAGGAGAACAACTCACATGTCATCAGTAATGATGATAATATTGAAGACAGAGGAGTGGCTGCAGTTACGACTGTTTGTATCCATGCGGGAGACCCCAATCTCTACATTCGGGCCTCTGGCTCTAACTTATGGCCTGTCTATACGGTAGTCTAAACCTCAGATCTTGCTCTGACCCGTGATCCTCTTCGCCGTGTTCCGCCTCCCGTCCACAACCAGAGCAATATGGTGACTGAGCGCAACAAGCTCACCGGCCTCGTCTCTGACGACAACCTCGTAGTCATACCGCCCATTCCTGATCTGCTTCGACTGCACGCGCACAAACAGCCACTCGGCACCGCCAGGCGGCAGCGCCTTCTTGATATCGAGGTTCAGCAGCAGCGTCGGGAACCACATCCAGGGCTGCGTGCCCGTCACTTTCTGCCGTCCCTCCAGCCCCTCGATCATCTGCGGCCACATGTCCGCCACGAACCCGATGCTCTCGTTCGTGAACTTCTGGCCGGACTCGAGACGCATCCACTCGTCAATCAGATTGGGCCGGACTTGCCCGTTGCGCGGCAGGTGCATGTGCACGCGGTTGGTCGCCTTGCGCAGCTTGGGATACGGCAAGTCTGTAAACTCGACCCAGTTCGCATCTGAGCCCTCGGCGGACAGCCGGGGGAGGTCGACGGGGGGCGGCGGCGGTTCCAGCGACCACCCCGTCGCGTAGCTCACGCCCGACTCTTTCTCGAGGTTCGAGTTCGTGATGTACGCCGCTACCTCCTCGCGCCCGTCCTGGGTCAGAGTGACGTGGATGGTCGACGCCATCCGGCCCAGCTTGACGTCGCGGACCTGTATTGTCGCGGGGCCCTCCTGCGTTCGCCGGAGGAATTCCGAGTGCAGCGCGATGGTGTGTGGCTGGTTCAGTTTTGCGAGGGTGTTGTTGAAGTGTGTAGCAGCCACTCGTAAAAGGACTGATGTAACCACGCCTCCATGGGGGACTATGATGCTCGCTCAGTAAGAGTAACTGCCCATACATGAGAAGTCGTGTAACGGCTCCAATCGCGGCGTACCTGAGCCAATGCACCACTCCGTATGAAAGTCGGCTGTGTAGGTGTGAGAGCCCTGAGGCTTCACCGCGGTCGCTTCGGCGAAAGTGGGCGCCATATTGCAGCATTCAAAACAGTTGTCGCGCGTCGCTCATTGCATGCGAAAAGCTGATAATCAACTGACTATGTTGAAAGCGAAAACGTGATCATTGACGGCGATGTTGAAAGATGGATGAGTCTGAGTCAAGTATCGCCGGTGGGTATAGTGGGGCCGAAGCTCGCATAGGTACCGTAGGCGGCTGGGCCTCGGCACGACTGACATGCCCTTACTAAGGTATGATACTATCATCCTAGACAATGTCACCAGTGATGTGAAATGAGGATCGTTTGAGGGATTACAGGTAACTAATCGACACCATTGATTTCTGTTCTCTCAGCTCTCCAACTCCTCAAGCCAAAGACTTCATACTCAACCCAGCAGGACAATTGAGCTGTTGAGTAAACAGCTACCTAAATTTTACCTCCCAGAAGCATGACCCGTCAAGGACGTCCTACTAGGCTACCTTCTGCCGCTATGTCTGTCTGTGCAATAGCTCTGGTGTCCTGGAGCATGCTTGGTTTCCTTCTTGGACGGATTCGGGGGTTTATCCTGCTTGGGCTCGTTCCTCTGTCTCTCTCTCTCCTCTGCGTCTCGCTTCCTCTGCGCCTCGATCTGCTTGGTCAGCGCCGACTTGCCGGGTCCGGACATGATGACTGTTGTCTATGTCGATACAGGTCGTTGTGGTCGTTGTGGTCGCTTTGTTGTTATTGGCGTGTACTATGCTCTTGTGCCTGGTTTGTGGTTGCGGGTTCGTGTTGTGGGAGATAGGAAAGGGGAGAAGGGGAGAAGGGGAGCAGAGTATTTATAGATTAGAATTGGCAATATATTTGAAGTGACACTGATGGCAAGGTACTCAACAATGAGCCTACGTGCGTAGCCTTACGTATGGTTCTTCTATTTTGAATCACTGATACCTTAAGAGGACTCGCACTTCTGATCACAAAATGGTCAGTCCGTCCTTATACAAAGAACCAGCCGATTATCCAGACTTGCTGATAGTGTACTCCAGCACGACCTCGAGCCTGTTGTAAGTTAGAAGTTTTGGTTGGGGAAGAATAGTCTATGGCATAGAGTCTACATAGATGATCACAATGAGCTATAGCCTGGTCAGAATCTCAGTATCCAAATTCTATATTCATTGTTTCTCCACACTAATCACAAGGCCGGCACGAGAGTCACGGGCGTTTTGAAAATGAGAAATGTGATTTTCATTTAATTAGAAGGAATACCTAACACAGATCATCGCGTGCAGGTCTCATTGTAGATTCATGGTGACCGCCTGTGTCCCTCCTCGCTCTCTACTGCTTTTCTGTAGCACCACACGACCGTGATGTAGGACCTGTGGTTGCCAGCTAGGCTTTGTAGTGCAGCTCTGAAATGACCGCTGATCGTCCGTAGATGACGCCGATGCATTTCTATACACTCCATAAATTTCACTCGAAGATGAGGTCATTGGCTGTGGGATTGGATCGTCGACTAGGGCGCGACGGGACTGCGTTTGGCGTGTTATGCAACGAATTGACGACCACATCTCGGTCCTCGGACATAGCATCTGTATATTTGCTTTCGTTCCGGTTAAAGCGAGCTTCCCGTGATATGTACAGACTGACGACATTTTGTAAACGAGTGTAATGTGACGTCCACAACGGAGTCACCATCTCTCTCACCCCCCTAATATGACTCCATGATATGCTCAGTATCCAGCTAAGTACATAGATGAAGTCTTCGCAATTACGGTATGATAATCTAGACATCGACGGTAGAGCCGATGGGTCCAAACCTGATGTTGGAGTAGATGACCTGGCTGTGAAAGGTTAGCAATTCCATCGGCATGCAAGGACAAGCTTTGCTACTTACGCGTCGGGGTAGCTGGATTCGACATCGGCCGGCACGCCCGAGTCTTGGGGGCAGTCGCCACGGTCGCCACCAGGCTGGCCGGCATCCTCGGGCGGGTAGCTGGAGTCGAGCCAGAGCATGTTGGCGTAATGCTGCATCTTCTTAGTAATTTCCTCAATGATCGGCCGCGTAGACTACTCACGTCGTCCCAGATAGACATGACAAGCACCAACGGCCCGGAAACCGCGTCGTTGACCTGAGGGAAGCCTCCAACCTCGGTGAAACGGTCTCGGTCGCCGAATACTGTGGCTTCGGCTGTGCAGTAGTCGGGGGTGATGGTGCTTGAGTCGGGGAAGCCATCGAACGTCGGGGCAGGGATTTCGATCTTGGCGCCATTCTGGACGAAGAACTGGGTGAATGCGCTCTCTGCGAACTGAGTGACGACACTATGACGCGTGTGTGAGAAAAAGAGGCCAGGCCATAGGATTAGGAACGAAGGCAGTGAGTGAGTGTACTTACGTGAACTTGGAGCTGGTGTCCAGAGTCTTGCCCTTACCGTAGAAGTCGGTGTTACCCATGCGGTATGGGTTGTAGTCGCAGCCGTTGGGATCGCAATCGCCGGCGAATCGGTCTTCCGAGTATGTGCCGCCGCAACCATCGGTTTCGCAAACGTGGTACGCGTTGTTCTCGCAAGGGTGGGGAGTGAATGCGAAGGAGTGTGAGTTGGATTCCCTGTGTGCCATGTCAGTCACTCATTCTCCCCATAACAGTTGGTGCCATGGCCCCATACCAGACATCGATCTCGGCACAGCAAGCACCATACGGACCAACACCTGCGTTGGCGTCGTTGCTCGATGGTGCCCATCCTTCGATGTTGGCCTGAGGGATACTTTGATCAGCACCGTCCCGCAACGTGCAACTTGTTTGCTTGGGTGTTTATTGAGGCTTGGACATACCTTGCCGCCAACAAACTTCAAGTCTCGCGCACATTGACCATCACAGTAGCCAGTGCCGTACTTGGCACCGGCCTTGTTGTTCGGTTGGCTGGACATACCGCCGTCCGCGTCCATGGCGACGAAGTAAAGGGCAGCGTTCAGCCCGCACTCCATGGTCGAAAGGTCGACATCGAAGGTAAACTCGTTGCCCATCAGTTCGAAGGTCTGGTACGTCGAGGCGTCTTGCATCAAGTAGAAGCGGGAGCCGACGTTGGTACCGTACTCGCCCTTGGTGAGGAACTTGAGGCTCAGGGCGTTGCCGCTGGCCGAGGCGCCGTAGGTCGCAGCGTAGTCGGCACCCTCGTAGGCGCACTTCGTAGCGCAGTCCTCGGCGGAGGAGCATACGTCGGTCCACTCGTTGCCATCGTAGCAGTTGTCGGTGCTATCGACGTCGTGGAGCCAACGCCAGTTGGCATCGATGGTGACTTCACCGCTGACAGAAGTGCAGCTGGCTGAACCGGTGCATTTGCTCCAGGTCATCTTGGGATGGGTTTCGGTCTGCTGCGTACCCACAGCCTGGGACGAGGCGAGCCCGAACAGGGCTGAAGCAACGAGAGGCAACATGTTGACGATGTTTATCAGGAGTATGAAACACAATCTTGAGATGGCAAGCCCAGGTGTCTGACTGGATGTCCCGTACTGAGACTCGGTAGGTAGGCATGTCTTATACTTTCAAGGTCTGGCAGTAAATCAGACTCTTGCTGGTTTTGCCGGTGGCGGAGTTTGTCTCGCCATGATCAGATCGGGTCAGGACGAGGGTGCTGCTCATCAATATCGCGGCCACGATCGTCTCACTGTTAGATTGGCCACCCGACTCTCGCCGCCAAGCCCGGTGGACGTTGTTTCTTCATTTGGAGCCTCTGAGCAAACGCTCGACATACCAAGCTCGAGGGCAATCAAGGACATGTTTTTGTTTTTCGGTTAATAAAGTCCGTTGGGAAGAGACGATATCGCGAATCAACCACCCAGTCTGAATTGCCATAACAAGCCACTTACCAATAGGATGAAGTGGCAATGATGGTGGTGATGGTCAGTGTCACTGTGTGGTCCTGTACTCGTCTTCATTCGTCGGGTCGTAGCACCATGCTTGGAGGCTTCGGAATGTAAGGGTCTGGATCCTCCGGAGCAATATAACGTTGACATTAGACCTCCTTTGATGACCCAGGCCTCACCCAGAAACCTCAGGAGGCTGCGGGGTAAGGACGGAGGTCATGGCCGGTAATTGTCGAGGGTGGTATGACAATGTTCTGCCAAGGGACTGATGGGCCTACCGGCTGTGAAACCCACTTGCGGAGATCCAGGCACCGTGACATCGTTGTTGGAGATGCAAATGGTGGATCTTGTATGAAGGGATCTACAGTTAAGCTCGGCACGATACCACCCTCTACGGTCTTAGCGAGACGAAGCGAGGCCGACGAGGTGGACAAGACGCCGTGTCTGGACCCACTAAACAGTCCGGGCCCGAAACCCGGCCCCGCCGGCTTGAGGACCTCAGCACCAGAAGAGAGCGAGGACGACAAGTGAGTGAATATACGAAAGTCGTTAGGCCTGGAGGGCAGAGTTCTTCAGGTACTGGTGGAAAGCGCCCGATCTTGATGAGATCTAGTGTGACATGGTGAACAGGTACGGGGATGACCTGTCAGCAGACTAGCAGTTGAAGTGCCGGCCAAGGCGACGATGCCGAAACTGGGGTCATGGTCAATATCCCCTATATATTAGCCAAGTGTAACAAATGCCAAGTCGACCTCGCTCCGCACTGATGTTACGGTACCAATAGAAATCAGGACTATCAATGTATTTAGCCAATTGCCAACTCAATCACCTGAGTTGTGTTGGCGGCATCGCATACGATAGCCGTGTGCCGTCCAACACCACCAGCCTGACTGTCAATAGCTTGGCGGCATCCGTCGACGGTGCCTCTAAGGGGTGGAATCAACCAAAGCCCTCGCCGCCGTACACCATCATCGCCAATACTACAGACCGGTTACTTCGAGGTCACAGGGGATATTTACTGTCTTTCGCTCGAGAGAAATTCACACCTTAGGTTCTGAGTGGACAGAAACCTGACCTCGCTCAGCCAGGACTGTCTTCACGTGCGAATACCGATGGGCGAGGACCGTCTGACTATAGTTCACCGTCAGGAGTAGGGAGTCGAACCACAGAGTGGTGCTGTAGGATGTGTTGTACAGTTTCAGATTCGACGGATCTTGTCGCCGTCCCCGTTCTATTGGGGATTGGAGCCGGTGGGAGCGATGAGAAACAAGTTGCCCATGTAATATGGGAGCTACACCCTGGGAAGGATGATATTACTTGATCGGTTCCGTTGGTGTCGTTGCCAGTGGTCATTGGCCAATCTCGCCGTAAATATATGCATCCTCAAAAGAAGTGTAATCGGGTTGGTCCGCGACCATGTCGGTGAGTTAGCATCCTTGATATACTCACTCAGTCAAGCACACGCACCTTCAGGATGGGCGCCAGAAGTCCGGGTCGTATGACGCATTCGGGAACGGCGATCTGAGGCGCGATGGAATTAGACGTATACGCTCGTAAACAGCCGCGACACCTCGGGCCTTACGCGCTCGATATACCATTACCCGGGTCCTTCATACAAGGCCCAGCCGTTGGTATTAGAGAAGTCGAAGCTCGAGACCGTGGCAATCACAACGTCCTCACCCGTCTGGGACTGCACAGTGAGTATCGTGGGCTTCATGACAGTAGTCTCGGGGAGCAGCCTGCAGCACGGAGATACGTCAACGTCAGAATAGGGGTTCGTTGGGAGGAGCGTTCAAGAATTGACTGGTACGACTACGAGCCTGCTCGACATACATGAGACAGGAACAGGAAATCAAAGGCGCTTCGCATGTATCAAGAAGTCTCTCTTCAAGAACCACTAAGGGTTTGTCGTGACCTCGTATATGTCTCTGATTCCCCCGAATGTCATAACCTTTCGTCTCAGCGTCATTAAGGTCTGCTGCACCTTAACGATCGTCAACGCCGCGGCCAGTCCGGCCTTTATTAGGAAAGCAAGTGCGGTGACGATCCAAACAGCCCATATCTGCTGATCTCCAGACAGAACCAATGTGTTTTCCAGGTTTTGGCAGTAGAGGTGGTAGGTTGCCTATCGCAATGAGGAGACTTCCGATGAACAGACCTGCTGCCATGATAGGGTCCTTCCACGTATCTTTGTTGCTCGGCCTGTCTGTTCACCTTTGCCAGGCACCATCGCGTTGACATCTCCAACTCTACGCTCAGGCAAAGGGTTTGATTCGCAGCTCTAGCAGGTACTTACCAGCTCCCATCCCTATCTCCCCAACTCGGATAGCTCAATTCCCCGTCCTCGCCTCGCTCACATCTCAACAATGCCCGGGTGTGATCTATCACCACCGAATGTCATCTTCATCATGGCTGGGACAGAGTCTCCATCGGTGTTGCCACCCTACCCGTCACTTGTGACATCAGATAAGTGACGAGTCCTCCCGGAGTGGCGTGGGCAGCTAGGGACTTGTCACCAACTCCCAACTGTGCCAGCACACTGGCATACCAATATCTTCACGGCAGTCGACAAGCTGAGATAAGAGAACACGAGAAGGGTAGTAAAACATGAATTCCCATGCACAAGAGAGACTCCTCATTATTAACAGAACGCAAAACTCCCACAGTAATTCTACACAAAAAAGAATAGGGGTATCCTCAACTCGAGACCAACATGCTCAAGAACCAATATCACCCAGACGGTAGACCTCCTATGCCTCGACAAGGAGAAGCCTCTGTCCATTCATGACTCCCGCAACTTCAGCCAACCAGACAACCATTGTCCCGCGTGTCTCCTCACAGCAGGTCATCATCAACATCTATGCTGTCCCACTTCTTCGCTGGCAGCTTGCGCATCTTCTTGGTTGGACTGCCTGTGCTAGTGACCCTGGGCGCCCTCTCATCACGGCTGCCACTGACTCTAAGCTGCTCCATCTTGCTGCCGAGACCGGGTATGTCCGCCTTGACACCCGACACGTCGCCTCTCTCCTGCAGCGGCGCTCGCTTACTCGGGGTTCGGCTCGACAGCTCGCGCTTCAGCACGGCCACCTCTCGCCTGAGGCGGTCGTTCTCTTGCTCGAGGTTCTCGATCAGCACGTTCTCCTTATCCTCGTCCTCCACGTCGTCTTCGTCGCTAGGCGCTGTCAGGACTACACTGACGCTGCGGGCGAGCACTTCAATCTTGCGATCCCAGTGCTCTTCGCCCCGCTCCTGTTCGAGCGAGAGTGAGGCTTTCCATCGGCCCATCTCTAGAGCTAGGCGGTGCTCGAAATCAGCATAACACTCCTCACGGATTTCCTGCTCGAGCTCTACAACGCGGTCCTCCATCGATAGGAGGTGGGCTTCAGCCGCCATGCGACCTTCCGATTCCCGGGACAACTCGGCGTTCAGCTGATCGATCATATCTGCCATACGGGCAATCTCCATGGCGGCGTTCTCCATCGTCGCGCGTTCCGTATCCGACATAGGCGAAAACGTCCGCTGATACGTGGCTGAAGGCTGTTGAAAGAACGGCCTGTGGTGGGACTGTGGCGAGCCTAAAGGACTGCTGCAGCCTGGACTAGGTTCTGGGAGGTGAAAGTGGGCTGTAGAGCTGGCGTTGGCCAGTATAGTTGATGTGATGGAGGGAATTCGAGGTACCGTGACCTCGCGGGCCAGCGCACTGTATCGTAGAATCTGAGAGGTCGCGTTGAAGTCGCCCAGCGGGTCAGCGGTGACGATCATGACGGCCTTTTGGGGGGCGCGACGATGAGAAACAGACTGTGCAACTGAAGCCGACGGGAACGAGTTGGAAAACAGGAGCTCAGTCAGCTTGCATTGGCGGAATGGTACCAGATTCGGCTGTTGTTCAAGTAAGTTCAAGTGACCAGCCCAGGTGTCGAGTCACATACCTTTGCACTGCTGCTGGCGTCGCTCTGCATCTGCAAACACTGGCCGAGATACATTAGACTCTCGTTGATCTTGCCCGCCTCGGCTAGTGTCGCGCCTTGGGTCTTTGCATCTCTCGCCCGTTCACTGCCGGCCAAGTCAACAATACTCAACGTGCTGGTACCCCATTGGCCGTCGGTGCGACCACGGCGTCTCTTCTTGACCTCGACACAGAAGAAACCATGACTCCGCGACGAAGAACTGTTGCTGCCGGTACCAGCCACCCGTCTCTCGTGAAGTCCTGCTTCCAGAACCATGAGTGCCTCTCTGAGGTTACCACATATGACTTTTCGAAGTCCCGCCACGACTTTGCGGTCTGGCGATGATTCAGTCGGCTTGAAGAGGAGGGCTCGCCGGCGGTACTCCTTCGTGGCGTTTGATTTGACCGGCGGTGTCAGTAAGTCGAAGATACGGTCATTGTATACTTCGTACATGGAAATGACAATGGCATATTCGGCAGATGGATCGATGGAGGCCCTGATGGAACTGATGTCAGGCATCTGGGGGAGCGCCGACGGACGTTGTAGTTGGCGCCTCGGCGTCGGCGGCGGCGGATAATCGCCCTTGATTGGAGTCTTAGTTAAGTTCTTGCTTTTAGCCGTGGATGTAAGAGACATGTAGTGCTTCTTTTGGGGAGAAGCGTAGGCCAACTTTGGCCTGCTAGACGCGACTGGCATCTGGAGAGGTAACATGTTCTGTTTGCGCTGACTGGGAGGTGTTGAAAGCATCGTGATGTGAGACAAGTCATCTTCATGACAAACAAGCCGCACGCTATTTGGACTGTCTGGAAAGTGACCCGGCAGCTGAGGGCACATGTCAAGAAGGGAGGGCCGAATGAAATCATGCTGGGGTCGTACAATCATTGGTGTGGCTGCTCTTGATCCTGCCCGCGACGGGCCCTTAAAGTCGCTGTATACGTTCTCGAGAAAGGCTGGCGCAGAATAGATGGCTGCTTCCGATGCGTCTGCGGACCGGAGGCCCGCCTCCAGTGTAGGACAGGTATCGCAGTCGACGATGTTTGTGTCAATGGACCGGTATACGACATCAAGAGCGAGTTGCGTCAAGCCGCGCTGGCTCCGGGATCCAAGCATCGTGTGTGTCTGGAAGCCTTGTCAGCTGACTGATCTTCTTCCACCATGAACCAAAAGAGGAATCAACATGCCTTGCCTGAACCAGTGACTCCAAGGGTCGCCAACAGCCCATCCGTCCCATCGCCGCCATGGGGAGCAAGCACGGCCTCTACCAAGGGCAGCACTCGGGTGCCTTGAAAGAGATCCAGCTGTGTGGCATCCTCCTCAAAGACGCGCGTGAAGGCGAATTTCTCGATAGCCCGTCTTCGATCGTTGGGAGGGTTTAACGTGATGTGGGTAGGCGGCGCATTGTCCTGCTCGGGCTCTTCGACGAGTACGGCTCTTTCAGCGCTGGCGTTGCCTGCTTGCGGAGGTCGCAGTCGCAAGTAGACCTGGAACAGGCTCGCCTGTGGTCTCTGCGGAGGCTCCATAAGGATGGATTGTTGACAGCGGAATGCGACTGTGAATGCGACAAGTCTAGAGGTGATCAAGGACCGAGGACTCGAAGGTTAGAAGCATGCAGTTACACACAGGAAGACAGAAACCGAGGAGGTACGATGCAAGTCGAAGTATCAGTGCAAGTCAGTGACTCGAGTGCGAAGGTGGATTGGATGAATGCAATCTGTATGTTTACTTTGTAACTTGTGGCTGCAGCTTCCCGTTTCATCGGCAACGAGAGCCAAGCTAAGCTTACCCAGCCACAGCGAAGTGGATGGGGCTGATGGACGTTCCAACGTGGCTTCGTGCCCCGCGATGGATTGCGGATACTTGCATCCTGCATCCACTTCTGGCATCCATGGCCCCTGCATTCTCCAACTCAACGTCAGAGGCACAGATGCTTACTACATGTATATACAGCTTCAACTGTCAACTTTTCGACCACAACAAAACATTTGATCTTACTCATCTAGCGATGAAGTACGCGAAGTCGTCTTCATCGTGCTTCATGATGACCTTCAGCTCCTTTCACTCTGTTACGTGGAATTCACCCTCGTCACACACCAAGCACGTGTACACTTACTCCAGTAGGACAACACGAGGCTAATGTCGGGAATAATGCATCTCGTTGTGCACGATGAGACCACCCACGTAGTGAGGCACCTACCTGACCTGTACATAGAGTTCGTGCGAGTCAAGCAACGGCATTGACTTCAATGTTTTCAAGTTGCAGCGGTCTCGTTGCCTGGCTATCTACCTTAGTTCTACCTTAGGTAGCTGCATGTACCTCAGAGTTGGCTGGCTCAGCGCCGGCGAAGTCAGATAAACCATCTCTTCTTAGCGCAGCCAACTAAGGTAATATTGTGTAGATGAAGATGCATCTCTCGCAATCACCTGTTCATTCGCGTCTACTAATGTCATGCAGGCTGACCATCGTAGGGGGGCAGAGACATTCGATGTAGCTATGTACATATTGTACCAAGTTACCAACAAGAATCACAGCAAGAGGGCAGGGGTTCGAGTTTTCATTTCTTGAAATGCAGGAGGGGACAGGCCGGAATACATACCGAAGGTCTGTATGCTACCAGGTATCCGCTTTCATCGAAGATCTGTGTCGTCAATCTCTTCAAGTGAAACGAGATCGGAAGAAGGAGTCCAGGTCAAAGCTCCCGAAAGAAAAACGGTTCCTTGTGGTAGGTATCATAATCGTCGTTCGTCCAAAGTCGAACCGGGCTCGGGTACTGGGGGCGTGTTTGCAACATCTACATACCCCGAATGAAGGGTGCATCATCTGGACCTGCACCACTTCAGCGTGTCATGATCCATTTCAGGTGTTGGCCAGACTGCAGGTGGTGAGATACATCCGGAGAGACGGCATCCGATGCACGAATAATCAATGAATTTGGAGAAATGCAACCTAAAATAGTAACCCCTCAGGCTGAGATCAGCCAGTAGCAACGATATGCCCCTATTCACGCTGTATGCACGTAAGATGACGGGTTCGCTACCAGCTACCCTGACCGAATCCCATATTCCATTATTGTTGAGATGAGGGCGCACTTGAGACTATTCCGTCTCTCACATGTGACTAACAGTACCCGCGAGCATGTATGTAAAAAGTTTGAAGGGTTTCCGTGTGTCACAATTAGATATGACTCCTCAAGGCGAGTCACCAGGAGGCAATATGGGAAGTGTTGAAGGCTCGCGCGGACTCACAAGGGGTAACTAGGTCCACGAGAATGAGTCTATCTAGACTGGACCGTTCACTTTGACTGTTAAATTAAAAACAAAAAAAGTCAATAGGACCACTTGCAGAATAGGAGCGGACGAGGAAGATGGATGAAATTGAACTTCTGGACGTCCTCGATTTCTGCTCTGGGAGTTGGGCTGAGCCCCGGCCTGCGATGCGGCTTCGAATTAGCGCCGGCCAGGCGGCAGAGCGCACTGACAGTCGTTGAAATTGCCCGAAGACCAATCACAGGCGCAGCAACAGTAGGTAAGTAGTGACTGTGGCGGGGTCTACAGTGAGCGGGTTGGCACCAGGCAGGTACCAGCGCTCGAAGTCGAGACCAAATGGCGGTGACGCATCGCTTAAACGGGGCAAGACTCGTTCCACCTCTCGCACGGACGAATCAGAAACGTGGAGGGGCATCGCAGCACCTGCAGTGACAGGGGTGACCCCACCAAGCCTAAGCGGGAGCATGGAGAAAAAGTAAAGAATAAAAAAAGTTGAGGCGCCCGGCGATTGGCAGCAGGTGGCAGCACATGCAGCAAGCAATTGGACTACCGTATCCATCCACGATGGTGCATTTTTCCCGGGCTCGATTCTCGATTCTCTTCCCTCTCCTCTTCCTTTCCCTCCAACACCAATCCACCACCACAGCCCAAGACAACGAAGTCGCACTACAACAGTCAATACTGTCGTCCAATAACCCCATTACCACTTCGTCGAGAATCATGCCTTCGGCCGTCGCTGAGCTGTAAACACCCACTGCGGGACTTGCCCCCCCTGGGCCTGTCCCGCAGTCCGTCAGTTCACCGAGATATTCAACCATCAATTCGACCTCGACGAAGCCAACCAGACTCTCACTGTCCTGCGCCCTTCCCTGCCACGGAAGGGGACCCGGGAGTCTGAACATCAGACAGAACCATTGCACACATAGCCCCGAACTCTGGGCTTTGCGACACCATCTATCCCCATCCCTCACTCCGTACCCATTCTCGTCACCCTCTACTCACCCGTACCTAGAGGCCTCTGCAGCCCGCCCTGAACCATTTATATTGAAAGGATACATTGCACTTAGCAGACCACCTATTTTCGGATCAGTTTTACAGCATCTGGTCCGGGAGCCCATTTCTGCCTTCCTCCGCTCCGCCGAGTATCAATCGGGCTTCACCGCCGTTTGTCTCAATATCCACACTCCCGAGTCCGAGACCGCGGACCCTTGTATACCCCTGCATATACGCATATCAAACGCTACTCTGTACGTGACAATGTCCCGAGACGTACGACAGAAGCACCCGACCACACCCGTCAAGGTCGCCAAACGGCGAGGTTCCGACACCTCGTCGTCGTTGGACCTCTCCGACGACGGTGGCTACTCCGGCGTAGAAGACATCAGCGATTCTGAAGATGACAACGAGGACGATGTAAACGCGGCCGAGGAGGAGCATATACTCACTCATGGAGTGCATCAAAGCATTCCGAGCTCCCCTCGGCCCGTCGAAGACGACGACGACGAAGGAGACGACGAGGAAGATGATGGCGAGGATGACTCCGAAGGAGACGATGACGATGCCGAAGAGAACAGAAGTTGGAACGGCATTGTCTCTGAGCCTGACTCCGACGAGGGTGCCATTGAGCAGGAAGAGCAGGGAGACACTGTCATCCAACGTCGTGTCCGTTTTGATGTCCCTGAGTCTTCGGACGGCGATTCAACCGAGACGGACGACGACATCGGGAATGATTTCTTCCCAGATTTGTTTGTCGATAAGAGCACACTCGACCCTTCGTTTCGTCGTGAGATCGAGTACGACCACGACCCCTACGATTCCTCCGAATTGGATGCATTTTGGGATCCTGACCGCGACGGCATCACTTTTAGTGCCGATGCTCTCGTCGACCACACCAGCACAGATTTCCATGCCCTCATGCACGCCATGGAAGATGATGATAGCACCCCTGTCGCCACGCCCATGACACATCATGACTTATCGTCGACTGCGGTTTCGACACCCGCGCCATCACCTGAAATAGATGACGAATCCCTCAACGGGTATCAATGTAAGTTCAGGTTGGTCGACAATCAAACTCATGCTAACCGGCCGACCCCTAGCCGATGGTGACACTACCGACGAAGAAGATCCTCCTGAGAAGCCTCCCCGACGTAAGACTCGAAGAGAGGTTGTGGAGAATGATTCCGACTCGGACGTTGTTACACTCCTCAGGCCTCGTCGTGGTCAGCCTCGTGTTGGACGCTTCACCCTCGACAAATCCTACAAGAAGCCCATTGCCATTGTCAACCCCAGGACGGGCAAGATGATGATCTTCACCCACCAAAACATGGGAAGAGGTTTTGATCTGTCACCTGAACAGTTCAACTTTGACGAATTCCTTGGTCATACCCAATCGTCTCCTATGTTGAGCAATCCTGGCAACATCATGATGAGTGGCATGATCTCCTCTAGCACCTATGGCGATTTCATGAATACCCATGCGGTCGGTCCTGCGGAAGCCTGGTACTCTCAGACACCAGACACCAACACCATAGAGGAGTCATCCGAGTCTGGTGACCAACTCGTGGACGAAGAAGAGAACAATCTCACATTCGAAGACTTCCTCACTATTGATGATTCATCCGAAGATGAGAATGACGACAACGAAGGTGACGACGTCTTCCTTACTCCCGGACGTCCCACTACCTCCGGGAGTGACATGACCTCGCTGCTCGACCATTTCGAGCAGAACTCGAATCTTGTCGGCGCTTTTCGCAGAGATCAAGCGAACCATCAGTTGATTAGCCGTAGCAAAGCTACTCGCGAATCGCTTGCGTTTTCTGGGCCGACGCTCGAGGGTACGCTTCGCGGCATCAAGACCGGGAGACTTGCTACCACCAATGTCCCCATCTCGCCTTTGCGCAAGCAGAAGCGGATGCCCGAAGTGGCCAGCAGCCCGTTGTCATCCTTATCGCAGAAGAGAAAGGCGTCGTCCGAAACCCAATTTGGTCACAAGCGCCAAAGAAGCGTCCCGGATGTCGAGCCGCTCAGAATCTGAGCAGTCAGTCACACATCCCTACTGTCGCCTCTCGATGCCCTCCCACATTTCTTTAGGTTTCCTTAAAAAACGCCGATGGACGGCATGACCTTTACCAAGGTCATCCCTGGCCACGAACACCAACCCCCCAGCGTTACCTCGGTTCTTTCCCAACCCACGCCCTCGACCCTGTTCCATCCCTTCCTGGGATGCTCGATGTGATCGAAGGGCCTGTGTGCGGACAGCTGGACGATATTCGACTATGTCTTCGCCGACAAGAGTGGCGTGTAATCGATCATTTTATCGTATGCCGCGAGCCTCATTTTGTCGCAAGACTGGATAGAAGGATTACAACAACAGGACGGTCGAAAATGAAAGTTTTCTTGGATTCCTTGCAACATCCCTAACCTTGAATTAAGGAACACTGGCTAGAGCAACGATACCCAGGAGGCAAGAACGCCTCACATTGGAACCCACGTTGGAAGGCGTAGGAGGACTTGTATTACAAGCCTGGAGGAAGCGAACTGTGTTCGACGCATGTCGAGTGACTTGCATCAAGACTTCATCCTTACCCATATGTATTCGCTTTGCAGTAAGTTATCCAACTGTTGCGAGTAGCAAAGGCGAAAAGAAAATCATTATCTGGTAGTGAATTGATTGCGATACCCGCTTTGATACTTCAGCACAAGCCTGACTGTCGCATGTTGGCTCTTGGTGATCGTGGTTCCACCATACCGCCTTATGTCACAATCTCTGACAGCCGTGAATCTGGTCTTCCGTAATCGATGACACCTGGTAAACCATATAGCACCATCGCGAACTCGAGAGCGTATGTTGCGCCTTGTCACGATACCCCTCACACTAGACTGACTACCGGCACGGGATTGACAATTTGGTCAGAGCCATCGTCTCCTCTCCGGGCCTGATGATTCCGGCCCCCAGCCTATGCCACAACCAGGGGTCAGTAAGGCTGCCGCCCCAGGCAGTGGAGTTCCATACACGGAGAACGCATACTCAGTCAATTTGCTCTTATATCAGCCCAGTGTGCCTTGAATCGCATGTCTCGGCACCACGTAAGTGAGAAGGGAAGCCGCTATGTTCCTGACGGGCCTGACAATTGTTGTCAAATTCAACCATGATATAAAACCGGAAGTAAACACTTATATTGACAAACCTAGGTGACTTCCCGGGAGTCTTCGATTGAAATCAGCGACTTCGCAGCCCGGATAACCGGATCACGTGTGGGTATTTCACGGGTTCAGTAGTGAAAGTGGTCGGAAAGCTGCCAGACGGTCGGATATGAAATCGACTGTAATTGCTCTACCACAGCACCCAAGATATCTGCAGGCCTCTCCCCGCCGCTCAAAAACACATAAGCCTCCTCCGATACAGTCTACCCGTAGAGGTTGTTGGCTTCCTTCGACTTTCCCCATGAGTGAAACCTTCAACAAATGCGACAACCTAGGGCCCCAGGAGGTCCATGAAAGAAACATGCCCAGTCTTATCTGCGTCCTTGCCGCTACCACACTCTGATCTGCCACCAGAGTTGCGCCGCATTGATGAGGTCCGTTATACCCTGATCATAGATACCAAAAACACTTTGAGATCCATTCGAATTGACCTTCCAGTTATCATGCGTCCAAATGATTTCTTCGTTGATGAATGAGGAATTGATGTAGATTTGACCCGAAGGCGGCAGGTGCGTGACGGCGAATAGGAAGCTGCAGTCGACGGTTGGCTTGGTGCACGTTGCGTTTCTCGCGTCATTGCTGACAAGCGAGTGCATGATTTCGTTCATGTTGGTATTGTCGTAGTTTTGGACCCAGATGCCGCGGGGAACAAAGCGCGGACGTCAGCTGCGAGCTTGTTGGAACACGACTTGATTGGACCGACCGGAAACGGCGAACCGGAACCGTAGGTGGACGGTGAATAATTGGCGATTCTCGGAATTACATGAGTGCCAGAGAGGTCCTCTGGGAGCAGAACACATGATCCGCTGGGGCTGGCAGACACGGGGCCGTTGCAGTTGTCGTTGATGTTGCCCAGCCAGCATGGTGTTACGGCCCTCTCCAACAAATTGGACCCCAATGATCCAGTGACAAGGAGAGCCATCAGGCCGAATAGCATGAGTTGAGTGAGTATCATTGTGTTGAGAACCATATTCTGTCGATTCGGAGTTTGATAGTAGAGGTGATGATTGTGGAGTTCGATGGTGTGGAATGGCTTGGAACAGCTGTGCGTGAGCTTATTGACAGGTCTATATAGCATGACTTGAATCCACACCTGTATAGTCCATAGGGAGGTCGAATAGTCACACAGTACTACATTTAAGCGCTCATTCGAGGCTGAATCAGGGCTGGTGCAGTTGGTGACTCGAAGTCTGTCTGCTATCCACGGCTTTCTTTGTCACTCGACAGCTCCTCGGTTGGCAAACGATCTTGTGTACGACAAAATGCCAAACTGTGATAAACCGCCTGACCATTCGGTCTGAAACCCCATCCATTTGATGCCCAATTAAGTACTTGCTATTCACCGAGAACCTCTTGCCAGGGAATGGCTCTCCATTTGATATCTGGTACACATGTCATGAGTGGTGGCTTTCGCCACCTACCAAACACTGTGGACAAACATGTACAAACACATGTTCGGTGATGTACTGATCCTTCGACATATCGTTGGCAATCAAGCAAACTTTCCACCCGAAGTCAGTTGAACCTGTACCCGTTGTGTATACATGTAGGCTGGAGCGCACTCAATGCAATGCATAACTTACTCCACCTTACCCCTGAACCATCCCTGCTGGAGTACACGATGTAGTCCAAGCCGACGATGGAAAAATAGAGGGAAATTCCTCATGCTACGGTCAATTGTATTGCTACATCCCCCTATGTCCTAAACAGGGGAGCTGTCACAACACACACGGGCGACGTCTTCTCAAGGGCGGGATATGTACGCAGTGGTTGAATAGCCGAAATGAGCTATCATCCAAGTCTACAGATAGCAACAACCAGTCAACAATATGGCTTTGCGCATTTGACAACACTGCCGATCTTTAACCGGGGGAAAGGGCAACAAATTGTACGATAAGACCGTCGCTATGTAACTTTGCAGCTCTATGATCAACGCGAAATAAAGGGGGGCATGCCCCTGAATCGAAATCGTAGCGAGCATCTATCTCCCGTAACATGAAGGATATGGGATGAGCCTAAGGAATGCATAGCCAGACAATCAATAAACAGAGGGCTATGGCTGCGAAGGTCGTATGAATGTAATATGAATGGTACGCTGCACATCAAGTGAATGGTTCTTAAGCTAACAGCTCCAGCTGATACATCATCCACGGGACCGCTATTGAATGTAAGGGCTCACCCATCTTGGCCAAAATGAATGGAGCTATAGTGAATGCAGATAACTCTAGTCAACTTCAGCAAGTACCTGGTTCGAATCCGGACATTCCATGTTGAGTCTACTCTTAGGAGTACTGGAAGAGCGAATCCGTCGTCGCCCTCCAGGAAGACAAAGCAGGGAATAGGCATAAGCTAGCCCAGCACCGGCATAAATACTGAACGAATGACTAATGTCTCGGAGCTAACGGACTCCTGGTGGTTTACGGCATGTCATCGTGACTTTCCGGAGAGGATTGGGTGGTATTGATGCATCTAAGCTGAATAAATGTGTGTCAGGAGGCTGGAAGTGAAGGGAAAACTGATGGCCCCTTCCCATGAGATGGACATGATTCTTTGTTCTCTACTTCGTCTGTCATCCGTGTAACCTGCCCCCCAATGTTTCCAAATTTCGGCCCGTCGGTGTGGTACTCTTGAGCAACTTCCTAGCCCTCCTGCCCAGCAGTGTCTATGCAATATCCTCAATCGCCGACACGCACTTGTCCCTGCCACTAATCACCCGAATTGAACTTGGTTGGCTCGGGACAGTCACTCCATTGACGAGTTTTGATTTGGCGAGTAATAAAACCGAATGTAATACTCAATATGAGCCGAATGTATATATCCGGTCATGTTCGGTGCGAAACTCCAGAACAGTCCCTCGACTAAGGTAGTGTTTTGTGGTTGATCAAACACCTATCGGATCTTGTCGTGGATCAAGGCGGAGCTGATGAAGATGGGACCAGATGCTGGCACTTTCGCGATCTGGAAATCGAATTCACAAGATGTCCAGTTGCTGTCGGGTGCGCTCTTGATGGCTGAACGCAACATCGTAAACTCCGTCCCAAGGACGCGGTCGTAGCTATGCACGTACATGCCTCCTGGTGATAGTGCGAGCAGGTCGTTGGAGAGCTGATGGAGGCATTCCAGGGCCACTGAAAAGTCTATCTGCACTCCAGCGGATTCCGCCTTCTGCGTCTCTGTCTCGGAGCCTTTCTGATCGGGGGTATGAGGATCGGTACAAGATACCCATGAGGGCGAGCAGGGCGAACTGGATGAGCTGCATTATGATTCGCGTCTCGGAGGTTCGTGGTCGAGAGTTGTGGTTGTAGTTGATGCTTTCGAATGTTTCTGTAGTGAGATGTTGTCTCGCAGCGTCCCTGAGCAGGACTATATAGTATCTCAAGGCTCTACGTATAATAATGTCAGCTCCTAGACCAGCCGGATAATCACAAGGTACTAGGTCCATGACTGACAAAGCGCTGGCATGTTTTTGATGTTGTTGGTGATTTCGAAGTTTGCCAACATCAGCTTTCTTTGTTCTTCGACTCCTCCTGTGACTAATGAGCGTGCTGGGGTATCACACGACACCAACTCGTGACCATCAGTACTGCAAACATGTCAATTGCAGACACTGGTCAAACAATCCGAAGTCATCGGGGTCGCCAAAGTTGATGCCATACTGACCATGGCAGCCCACCTAATGACCACCTAGCAGATGGTCATCTGCATCCTGAGGTCATGAGAATACGAGTCTCTTACAGCGAGCGGACATTGCCTCTTGTATTCATCTCCCACTGCAAGATTCACTCGACGCACCAGGAGTTGTACTTTTCCATAAATGTTCATGTCAAGGCCGTCACGTTCACTTCCCTCCTAAACGCATGTTGCAGGCCAAAACTGCAATGATGTGGTTTTCTGCTATGTGGAAAGAATGGAGGTGGTGCGTAGCTGCGGTGGATGTGGGCAATATGCCAACCCAAGTGGGTCACGTGACCACGCAACAACGCACAAGCAACAAACCCCACTCAGCGACGACAGAGGAGATTCCCACTATACCAACCAGCAACTACATACATTTGATCATCCTCTTTTTCGCCGAAACCGAGGAAACGAGCCGAAATGTCCATCAATCCTTCCCACGAGCCGACCCCAACCAGCTCTTGCAAGATCAGAACGTCCAATTCCACGAGGAAGGGTACACGGACATGCGGTTATGCAACGTCTCTGGAGCCAAGGCAGTGTCCGATGGGGGCGACGGAGAAGTTAGTAAGACGTTCGTGGACGATTGCATATACTTCGCCTGCGTCGTAAGGAAAGGCAACTGGATCATTGAGTGGGTGAGCCCCAAGAACAATACTCACAAGAGGTGGGCCCTCCTGCTCGACTGTGGTCTTTGGGTTGCACGCAAAGATGCCGAGAGCCAGAGCTTTTCGTAAGTCCCAATGCACTTTATCTCTTAGCTCCCGTCTGTTTCCCATGAGTTTTTTGCCTCTATGTTGCTGCGGCTGGGCGAAGTTGGTGAAGTATCGCTAATCTGTGGCAGCATCGGTAACCTGGATGCCATAACGATGTTGGAAATGGCCAAGAAATGCTATGCCAATGAACCTCTCATTGGGCGAGTGCACGGAATGGCCAGAACTATACAGGGAGATGTACAGCTGGAGTGGATAGTTGACAAACCAGCGGTGTCGTCGGTGGACCCGAGCGAGGCGTAACAGCCTCACAGCAGTAACTCTGCTGTATGGTGGCAGCATAGGTGGAAGCAGGTTATATTGGGGTTTCTTGGAGATTAAGACCTGCGTCTAGTTGAAGATTTGCAAGTCGCGGCAGGCTTCGGTCGAGTCGGACACCACTGCGGACATTGTAAGCTGTCGTCCGGCACAGAACCCAACAGCTTTCCCAGATGTTGGCTATGAATATCATGTGTCACCCAGTCAAGGACTTGATGATCTTCGCTTCTCCTCTGGCACCAGCGACTTGTATGTAACTCGCGCAATGGCTGGTGTCGACCACGACCGCATGCGTATTGCCATCTTAGCGGAGGCCTTGCCGGGGCCACACTTGTGAATGCACTCGTGGGACATCGTCATTCAAAGCACACGTGTAGGAATAACCGCGCAGCTGCGGAGCCTGGTGCAGCTGTTGGTCTTGCAGCGAGAACTGGAACCGATACTTCCCTGCGGAGAAGACAACCTTTTGACCAGAGCTGGGGCAATGCCTATGAACCCATCTAGCATCGTCGTGGTGTTCAAAGACCGGATTGCCAAGAGGTTTGACGCCATGATCGGTGCTGGTAGTATATCCGGTTCAATGCGTTCGTACGTTCTCCGGGACCATGCTATCAGCAAATTCTCTGCACCAACGGCAGGCTTCTGGAATTGCAGGAATCACTTAGGATAGATCATAGGCACTTCGCACGATCGAGCTTAATCAGGCAGCAGGGGGCACAGCAGTACGTCACGGTCGCCATAAGGCTTGCTTGGACCATGATGCGAGGACGTGCAATTTGAGATGCATAAGCAGCAATGGATGAATGTTCTTTCCGGACAATTCAACTTGTCCGAGGTGAGGTTCAGGGGAGGCATTCTGGAGTTTAACTCATCGAGACTTAAATCCGTGACAGGCTTATGGATGTTTGTAAGCTGTAGGGCGGCCAGTGGGGACATCTTGAGGCGTATAGACATGTCAACCAATCAGAAAGTAAGATTTTTGGAAAAGTTCCAACCAATCATGCAGTATGTTTTCGAAAAGGGGGCTCTTCTGATTAAGCAGACTTCTTTGCTGACCTGAGCACCTGAGCGGCACTCGCTACACCACGGTCAGGTAGATATATAGACGAGTAGCTTGCAATAAGAGCTCGAGTACATCCACCAGAGCATAGGGAAAGTACCCATCACTCGCCTTGTATTTCGAACTCTCACTGTATCTAGAACATGGCACCCATGGTCATGCGTTGGATTCTCTCATGTGGCCTGTTGGCTGCGAGTCACCATGCCTTCGTGCAAGGCAACGATGGTCTCCGTCCTGCCTTCAACACAACCTCGGGCATGTTCGCACCTTATATTGCCGATTCGCACCCAGACGTTGCTTCGTTCCTGGACATTCCATACGCAGAAAACCCTACTGGTGCCCTCCGATTCGCACCACCCGTGGCGGCCAAGCCCAGGACTGCCAACGGTTCGGTGGTGCTAGCGAAGAACCTCCCAAACGGGTGTTTCCAGTATATTTCCACCTTCTTGCAGGACACCATCATTCCAGACGTCGTAACCGAGTTTCTGCTGCAAAAACGGGACCACGCAAACACAACCGAGGACTGCCTGCACCTAACCATCTACGCACCCAAAGCCGCCGTCGAACAGGCTGCAATTGGGCGCAGAAGCCCCCGACAGCCTGCCAGAGATGTAGGGTACAACCCGAAACGCGAACAGAAACCAGCCCTGCCTGTCGTGGTTTGGATACACGGTGGCGGCTATGGCTTCGGCGGAAACAACGTGCCCTTCCAACTCGCGTCGGACTGGGTTCAGCGTAGCCAGGAGCACATCGTGGTCCAGGTGCAGTACCGCCTCAATTTCCTCGGCTTTCCGAACGCGGCCGGCATGGCATCGGATGAAGCAGCCAGCCAGGGCCTCAACCTCGCGCTGCTCGACCAGCGCCTAGCCGTGGAGTGGGTGCGTGACAACATCGCCAGCGTTGGCGGCGACCCATCCCGCATCACGCTCTGGGGCCACAGCGCCGGCGGGTATTCCGTCGACGCCTACCCCTTCGCATGGCAGTCGGACCCCATCGTGATCGGCGTGATCGCAAACTCCGCAAATGCTGTGGGACTGGGCCAGTCTGCGACGGACAGTAGCAACCACACTGTCTTTTCCACGGCCGCTAGTCGTCTGGGGTGCGGCAACACGTCGTCGCCCGCTGAGGAGCTCGCCTGCATGCGAGCCGTGCCATCCGCTGATCTCAAGGCGTTCATCCAAGACGGAGGCGCCTTGGCCGACGGTCTCGCTTTCTTCCCGGTGGTGGACAACGTCACTGTATTCAGCAACTACACCGACCTCCTCATCAGTGGCCGGCACGCGCATATTCCCCTGCTCACCGGAACCCTCACGGACGAGGGCAGCGCAGTCGTGCCCGCCGACTTCGAAGGTAGCGAGACGGCCACGGAGCTCCCGCCTGCTCTAGCCCCAGCGGCACAAGGGTACAAGCTCACGACCCAGTGTACGACATTGCAGGAAGTGAGAGCCCGCGCCGAGTCGAATCTGACGACATACCAGTATTACTACGCAGGGAACTTTAGCAATATATCGCCGCGGCCCTGGCTGGGCGCATACCATAGTTCCGAGCTGCCTCTGATATTCGGCACGTATGATCTGCGCGGCACCGGGTCAGAATTGGAGCACAGCACAAGTTTAACGATGCAGGACCGGTTTTCGGCATTTGTAAAGGATCCGGTTAACGGGCTGAAGAACGGAGGTTGGCTTCCTTCCACTGGGTCTGCTGGGTCGCCCATGATGGAGTGGGCAGCGGATGGTATCGTCGAGCAGTCTACCGATATCGATGGGCTCCGGGAGGAATGTGTGAGTAATGGATATACCGTCTAGGTCCATTGCCTAGTGAGATATATTCGGAGGTTTCAATCCATCAGAACTTCAGTAACTTAAAGCCTTGGGCTGTAATTTAGTCAATATAGTCACCGTCTCGATACCTGGGCTTGTACCTACTTGGATATCTAATTGGTCAGGCGCGCTTCTCCAGTTGTGAGTCGTGACGGCGTGACGCCAGGCGACGCGGCGCCGTTCCCCTCAGAATAAACGGTGACCAGGCCAAGCATGACGCCGTTGATCTTCTCCGCCCCTAGTGATGGAAGAGCGCTTTTCAACTTTCCCATCTTCAACTTTCCCATGTCATGTCGTCATACAACATGAGGGCTGGTGGCGCGCGGAACCGAAACACCTGCCCGATCTATTGGGACACAAAACCCCTCCATTGGACGACAGCATGAACACGGCCTGGGATCTTGTGTCGCTTATCTCGGGCCGCATCTGAATATCTGGAACCGGCGAGTCAGCTGACGAGGAATGCAAGCGACGTTATCTACCCATACCCAGGTACATGTGTAGCTTCTCCGCAGATCTACCTATGTCTCAGCCATCCGATGCCACGATAAGGTCTCCTCTGCTCAGCAAACACAAGCCCCCGGAAGACCTCTCGAGATGGCATCCGACGCTAGAGAAGACGCGGCGCGCATCGATGAGTCTGGCAAACAATTCATCGAAACTCAAACCCCCATCTACAACCCCCTAGAGACGGTCTCCTCGACCGATCTCTCGGTAGGCGCAATACTCAAGGGGAAAGCGGCCAATCCGCTCACCAAGTTCGAGAAAAAGGCCGCTCTCATCAATGTCGAGATCGACAACTTCGGGCTCGGCAGATACCAGATATGCATATGGTTCCTCTGCGGCTTCGGCTACTTCCTTGACCTGGCCTGGTCGCAGGGTGTAGGCCTGATAGCGTCGGCCGTCTATCAAGAGATGAACGTTGCGCCCGCTCGTCAAGGAGACCTCTTCGCATGCGCAAACGCCGGTCTGGCTGTGGGAGCCCTGACTTTCGGACTGCTTGTGGACATTATCGGGAGGAAGTGGGCTTTCAACCTTACGTGTTTGATCACTTCAGTGTTCGGACTGATCTTGGTCAGTCGCCAGCTTCAGAAACATGTCTCACTTAGCTGACCAGTGTGATCCAGGCTGCTCCCAAGTACAACTACGGCGCCGTCTGCGGGATCTACTTCCTCGCGTCACTTGGTCTCGGAGGCAACATCCCCATTGACGCCACCATTGCCCTTGAGTTTCTCCCCCAGAGTCGGCGCTTCCTGGTGCCGCTTCTGTCAATGTGGCAGCCCATCGGCGTTGTTGTCGCATCCGGTATCGCCTACGGCACTGCCGCGAAATGGCGTTGCGATATCGAGTTGCCCTCGTGCAAAGCTGTCGGCGCCGGAGAAGCTTGCTGCACCGTCGACAGCAACATGGGGTGGCGTTACGAACTCATCGTTCTCGGCTGTATGACTTTGGTTGTGTTCTTTCTCCGCTATGTCGTCTTCACCTTCCATGAGTCCCCGAAGTTCCTGCTCAGTAGAGGGAGAGAAGCCGAGGCAATTGAGATTTTGCACAAGATTGCCAAGTTCAATAGCGCTCCGCCTCCTACTTTGACCCTGGAAATGTTTGCCGCGATCGATGGCACGGACACGCCGACCTTGGAGAGCGACATTGTACCTGCAACTGGTCCACAGACGCGCAAGGAAACAGCCAAGACAGTCTGGAAAGGCTTCTTGAAAGAGCTTGCCCGCTTAAAAGGCATTTTCACGAATAAGCTACAATGTTTCATCTTCATACTCCTGGCTATCGCCTACATGGTAAGCCCGGTCACTCACTCCCTTGCCTCCCCATTGGAGTCATAATTGACAGTTCATAGGGCGACTACTGGTCCTTCAACCTCGCAGGGGCCTTCCTACCAATCATCCTGCTCAAGAACAACGTCTCCAGAGGCCGAGGCACCGTATCTGACACGTACCTACAGTACATCATCATCTACACTCCCGGCATACTCGGTGCAGTCTTCGCCCTGGTCTCGGTTCAGATGCCCCTGCTTGGACGCAAGTGGTCCCTTGTCTTCTCCGCCCTTTGCCAGGGCGTCTCCATGGCCCTGTACACGCAGGTCAGGACTACTGCCGGCTACGTCGGCCTTAACGCTCTGGAGTACATCATGCAGACGTACTTCAACGCCGTTCTGTACGCATCGGCGCCCGAGCTTTTCGATACGAGTTACCGCGGCAGTGTCAGCGGTATGCTGTCGTGCTTGGGGAGGATAGCTGGTATCGTCGCGCCGTTTGCTGGGGCGAGCTATCTTGCTGACTATAGCTCGGGGATTCTATGGCTTGGGGCTGGTGGGATTTGGCTGGCTGCGTTTGTCATGGTTTTCTTGCCTGTCGAGATGAGGAACCGGCAGATGTTCTAGAACTACTCCACAGAATCTATGTGAGCCTCTGACAGGCCTTTGAATAATGAACATTCACGCTCTTCAATGACAACGTCCATATGCAGGAGCGAGGATCAGCTCGACCCGGTATAGAGGCTACTTTCGATGACCCAGACGTGGCTCTGCGATGGCCAAGATGATGAAGAGCCGTGAGTGTTTTTTTACTCTCACCCGCCCCTATAGTCGGATTCAGTGTGCGGACTGACAAATCTCAAGTTGGTCTGTACAGGAACCCACCACAAGCTACCATATCTTCACTGCATGGACGACCAATTCTTGAACCGGACGCCAACGTCACAGTTGACTCTCCAGCATTCGGTCATTCTGTTCCCTCAGTTTGACGAAGAGGAGCACCTGTAACTTGGCGGGCCAGGTATCGCCAATGCGACCGGAATCCACGAGCGCTGGGAAGGACCATTCTTCGACTTTGTCGTAGCCTGGCGTCCTTCTACCAAGGGCTGGGCTGAATTTCTTTGTTACAAGATTCGTCAGCAATCGCTTTGAAAGTGAGGCAATTAAGGGAAGATGCTTTGTTGTTTGCCTCCTCCTTTCAAGAGACATATGTCTCCGGGATGTTGTTACCCGCTGGGCCGCCCCTTCGTCGGATATCTATCTAGTCCTAGGCGCAGCCCTTCCACACAATCCGGCTTTCCAACCTCACTGTCTCTTGGGGTCTAACAGCAGTAAGCATCGTCTGCTTGGAACCTGCGCATCAATATCACATCGTTGGCAGTCTCCGAAACCTCATACGCGACAATGCACTTCAAAGCAATCGCCGCCAGCATAGCGGCCCTCGGCGCGCTCGTGCTCGCCCAGACCCCAGGCTTCGACGCCATCTCGCGACCGGGCTACTACGAGACCGTACCTGCGGGCGAGGCATACAGCGTCCAATGGGCACCCAACGACGTCGCGGGCACCGTGACGCTCCAGCTACTTGGCGGGCCTTCTCCGGCGCGGTTGTTCGTCTTGGGGACCGATGCCGTGGGTGTGGATAATCGGTTGGGAAATGTGACTTGGAAGGTGGACAGCGCTTTGGGGGATGATGATACTTACGGTGTCAGAATCCTGCTTGATTCGGATCCGGGGACTTTCCAGTATTCTTTTCCGTTTCATATTGGGAAGTTTGTGCCATCCGCGGCGGCTTCCACGGCGGCATCTACAGCGGCATCTACGGCGGCATCTACGGCGGCATCTACGCCAGCGTCTTCGTCAGTATCTACGCCAGCGTCTTCGTCAGTAGCTACGCCAGCACCTTCGTCGGTGTCTGCGCCAGCATCTTCGTCAGTATCTACTACAAGACCAAGACAAACTTTCACGTTCACGTCCGCGCCAACGACCTTGCTGACATCAACCGGAACACCATCAAAGACACCGTCACCAATCCCATCATCAACTTCATCAACAAGCCCGTCAAAAACACAGTCGCCAACTCCATCATCAACCTCATCGACAAGCTCATTGAAAACAGCATCGCCAATCCCATCATCAACCTCATCGACCACGCCAAAGTCATCACCAACAGAAAATTCATGTCCGGTGCGGCGATAATCGACGACCTGTGAGCTTGGTCTTCGTGAGGTGCAACTCAGGTTTCTTTTTCATTCGCATTGGGTTGAACGGCAGGATCTTAAATTGAAGCTCATCTTACAATGGTCATGTTAAGTAAATACCCATATCAAGGCCCGTTCTTTTGATCGAGAGTTGCGTTGCGAAGAATTTTCTCGCTTTGGGATTGCCGTCCAGATCACACTTGGACCAATACATCACTTTTCGCCCCTATAAGCGACAACATGCATACATAACCCCCTAAGTTCAGACCAAGCAAAGGATCCATCACAACTGCTCCCCCTGGTTGAAGCTATGGCCAGCCCCTACAAGTCAGCGTTCGTGCCATCTTCCTGGTCCCAGAGCTTCTTTACGTAGACTGCAGCGTGCCACCATTGAGCCGCCGCGGACGAGCTGTGGAAGGCGCGTGACCCTCACGGCGCGTCGTCAAGGTATTCATCGTCAGTGCCTGTGATAGGTCTGGTCGCCATAGGAAGGCTGGGCGCTATGGGAGGGTTGGAAGCCATATGGCGACTCGGGCGACACACCAATCATAGCTTGCTTGTGCTGATGAAACTGGGGCTCAGGACTATAAGGGCCATCGTTGACGAAAATGTTGGTCGACTGGATACCCTGGCCAGACTTGCGTCTTCGAGCCTTGCAGAGACAGCTAGAAACCCCGGGTGTCAGTCATATCCTAGAGTAGATAGGGCTCGAAGGGGGCACTTTAGGGGTTGGGCGACTTACAAACACAAGCTGATGGCAGCAATCAGCACAGGCAATCCGACGCCCACGCTAACACCGATGATGACCTTATTCGAAACGCCTCCTGTGTGGCCGTTGACGAAGTTCTCGGCAGCGCCAGTCGCGCCAGGCTCGTAAGACGTCGGGGTCCCGGATTTAGAGATCAGGTCCTTCGCGTTCGTGCCAAAGGGAATCGTGCTGGTGACGGATGTAAATACCGTCAGTGGGAAGGTCGGGGTGCTCCCCGACGGTACAGCGGTTGTCAGCTCGGTCTTGTACGTGGTAGTCGTCTGCAGAGACGCAGGGCAATTAACCAGGCCGGAGGACTTGCAGGCTTGCGCAGTGTAGACTATCTCGGTGGAGGTAGTACTCCAGTCGTGATCTCGCTTAGCGAAGAATCCATCGTCGGTGGTTGTTGTGACGGGGGCTGTCGACGTCTTTGTGCCCTGGGTCGCGCAGGCGTCTGCTAGGGTGGTGTAGAAGATGGCTGTTGTTGTGTTGGGGGTTGGGCCCCAGGTATTAGTTCCTAGGTGGGCGGTCGCGCCGGCGGCGGCACCGACGGCGAACTCGTAGTATTCAACTACCTGCAGGTTGGAGTCTTCGTGTCAGTCAAGGCATTGACAACTTCTCTGGGTCTCGTATACGTCGCCCGACATGCTCTGCGCTCGGAAGACACGGCATTGGAACTTGACACAGTGGTTTAGTGCATAAGGGTGTCTAGAAAGGAGATGGATGATGCAACAAGCGTGAAATAGTCCATTACGACAGTGCGTGTGCCGTCCACAGCGAAACACCCTGGGCACTTCTGACATGAGCTTACTTGTAGGTCGCAGTCGCTATTGCCATCTCCCGACGTTGTGACATTTGTCACAAATTCAGCAACGTTGGCAAACACGCTGCCCTCGATTCCTGCGCCGATGCCGAACTCTCCGCCCAGGATCGTGGTCGTATCGTAGTTGAATGCGATGCCAGCATGAATACCGACACGCAATACGGCTTTGAGTGAAGCCCCGGGTGTTGTGATGGTCACAGGCAGGAACTCGAATTGTCCGCCCGGGCTGCTCATGATTAGTCCAGACTCATATAAGAGCTCCCCCAGATAAACAGTCCACTCACAAGTTCAAATGCGAGACTTTGGTGTTGAAAAGCTCAATATCAATGGAGAGGCCGTCGTCGAACTTCAAGTGAAAGCCGCTGCTGATGTCAATCTCGGCTTCAGCATCCAAGATAATGTCGATGTCTAAAACGACGCCGAGAAGTAGCTCGTCACTTATGGCATATCCCAAAGGCGTCTCGCTCTTGAACAAGCTCAGGGTGTAAGTTGATCCGATACTCAAGGAGGTGTCAAGCTGCATGTACAACTCGAGGTCGTCGAATCGAAACTCCAGGGAAATTTGGGGGATACCTTCAATGGCGAGGTCGAAGTCAAGGTCAATGGTGGGAGGTGGGGAGTCGAGATCAAGATCGTCGGCGAAGTCTTTGAAGACATCTTGAACAATATCCACGACTTGGTCGGTGATATTCTTGGCCTCCGTCTCAAACCGATCTGCAAGGTTCTGGTAGGCCTCAGTCGCATTGAAGTCACCGGTGATGGATACCTTGCCAGTGACTGTGCCCTTGGTGTAGCATGTCGTGCATGTGATCTCTACGTCAGCATTCAGTGATGCACTGCTATTCACCTTGCTGGCAACTTCTTGAGAGCTGGTTGTGAGTTAGTGACCATGTGGTTACAGTAGAAGGGCATCACGGAAGCGGGCGAGGTTGAGGGAGAGTAAGACATACAAGGCCTGCTTGTACAGAACAGCGCCGTTCCAACTCTGGTCCAAGGTCGACGAGTTCTCGAAGACTCTATCACGGCCAGTGATTGCGGAATGGGATAGAGAACGTCTGAGAGCTTTGATCGTGTCTAATTCTGTCTTGCCAGGGGCATTGCGGTACCGCAGTCCTGGCTCGACTGGAGTGCTGGTCGCCTGCACGACTAAGCACACACTGGCCCATGCGAGGATGGACAGAGAGGCTGGAAACTTCATCTTTGGTGCAATTCTGTACGCAGATCCACGGAGCAGCCTGCCCAACATGAACAGGTAATGAAGCTGGAAGGTTTGAATCCGGCATAAGCTGTACAGTGAAAGAAGCATAAAACTAAATGCCCTTCCGAGGCGACGCCGTTCCTTTAAGACCTCAGGCCGAATGCCGGTTCACAGCCCCCAAACGGGGGTTAGATACTGGCTGTTCCATCTCATGCAGAGAATGGGCATGGAAGGGAATCCCACAGCCTCGTAGGGGAGCGTGGGGAGGTGGTGAACCGAATGCTGCCACGTTCCAGCCGACAGGGGGTACATAGATATTTTCGCAACCTAGTACCACCATACGAGTAGGTGATCCTATACATAGTAGCATCACGACGTCAAGGCGCCATGCCACACGGAAATGCCTTGCACCTGCAAGGCTTGCAACTCACTTACCAACGATCTCGGTCAACATCTTCGGACTCTATCCCGCTGGAAGGCTGCAGCTGGAGGGGGCAGTGGCTTCAATAGTACCAGGGCACGTGAGAAGCTGAGTTGTTGGACCCCCTCATTGGGGTCTATGCATGTTCAATCAACACTGAGTCTCATGTGGCATACTCCTTGGTTCCACCTTCTTATCTGGGTCTAACAAGGTGTGCTGGTACATAAATCCTGCAGCAAAGGAACGTCGTGCAGGCCCCGGCATATGGCACTGGAAGCGGAATGGTTCCGGCTTACTGGGAGGCATGCTGCGACAGGGACCTCACCGCCAAGGTCAGCCGCAAAGTGCACTTACACCACAGGCGGAACAGCCTCATCGCTGCGCCTTCTCACTGCGCCTTTACCATGAAAACAGCCCAGAGCTTTTGCTTACGCCATCTGATATCGATTGATTGAGTTGTGGAAGGAAAGACAGACATGACGACTCAAAGATCGCCCACGAGATTGCCACCGCCTGGTCCAATTCTCGCAGATAGTCGGGATCCAAGCCTAACAGTACTACACACACTGAGCATCTGACCGAAAACCCCTGATCTTATGGAGGTCGCGAGCTTCCTTCTTGAAGCCGATCTGAGATGTGCTTCCCAGGACCATCCCAGGACCATCCCTGAACTGTGATAGAACACCATGTTTCGCATCCTGACGTGTTGACAGAATTCTCTGCTTGAAGGATTCTATGCATGTCATCGGAAAGACTACGCGTGGGATCGGAGATTAACAGGAGTTTCCTCCCAGTTTTGGTGAGCTTGAGGCTCTGCCCATAATAGGATGGGCCTGCGTTTAGTGTAGAAGTTAGACGTGAAGTCTGCGGTGGCCATTCAAGCTGAATAGGGGTTAGTAAGAGCGTGTAATGATATGAAGGCTTCCTGCACTGCTTCGCTTCTCCAAATGTCTGAAATTAAGAGCTGAATAAGAACGTTAACGGCGGGGCCATATAAATGGTGTTAGATACTAGCACGAATGTGTTGAATGGGAGCCGGAGATAGACACCGGAAGATCTCCAGTGGGGCAGAGACGCACAGGGCATCTGACCCACCAAGAAGACAGATGATCAATCTCTGCACGCAGAGCAGAACAATCCATAGAATCAATCAACATCCGTGTATTCAACAGGATAGGCCGCGGTAGGGGTCAAAGGTTAGCACTTCTGTGCCTATTTAAAGGGTAATAAAACCCGTGCTCTTTATTTATTTTTAACTTGGTAAAAGTTTTCCGTTTTCTTTTTTTTCTTTTTTTCTGTAAGCATTAAAAGCTTTAATACATTAAAATGCCGCTTTTTTCACTTTAAAAAAACCTCGCAAAGGTAATAACCGTTATAAATAACGATAATTTATTCTTTTGTAAGGCTGTTTAACGCTATAAAGTACCGAAATTAACCTTTTTCGTAAGGTTAAGAATACCGCAATAACTTAAACGCAAACTAATTCTAAAGGCGCTTACATCAGGCAAAAAACCAGCTTTAAGTAAGAAAAAAAGGTTATTTTATACATTTTATACTAAAAGAAAGCCAGCTACGCGCTAACTTATTACAATTTAAAGGAAAATACGATCATTCTAAAAATGAATACACACAAAACTTTATTTGCAAGCACTTGAAAATTAAAATTAAAATCAAACGAAATCTTAACTATAAGCGTATTGATACTGTTACGCCTAAAAACGTTAATAGCTTTTATAACCGTTACGAAAATGTCGTTTTTATTGAACTTAAAAACCGGACAAATATTAATAAATATAGCATTATATAAAGTCGTTGATACGTAAATAATTTAATTTAAATAGTCCTTAAACGGGTAATTAAGAAATTATAACTTTAATAGCCTTATAATAGGCAGTTTTAGCTTAAAAAAAGCTAACATTAAGTTTAACAACAACCGCACATAAACTACTATAATAAAATTGATTACCGCTATTAAAACAAAGCTCCGGCTTTTAATTATTCTTAAAGCGAGGTCAATTTAAACGCAATAATGTGATGAGCTGTCGAACCTATAAGGCTAAAGGGTTCTATAAGGTTTATGTTCTGAGATAAGTCAACACAAAAGACGATGAAGGCTTCTGTCAACTAGAAGACACTAAGATACTGGGGCTTAGTCTGAACTGGGTTCACTGCGTAGTCGAGTCGTCAGGAGATTTCTCCCACCTTGGGGTTGGCTAAGATGCTTAGATTGATTACTGAGGCAGAGACTGTCTATCTATCTAGCTGGGAAATGTCTGTCCTTATATATCCAATCTCTCCCTTACTGATGAGATATGATCACCTTGTCCCAGAGTGATGCTCACTGGCTCACTTCTTGATCCAGTGATCCTCGAAGGCTCAATTTGTGATCTAGTGATCTGTCACGTGAGCTTTGTTATGTAATCCGTAATACCTATTATTCCGTTCCCGGCTTCTGATTCCATTGGTTCTTGATGTACTCCCCTTGGCCCTCCAACAGGCCGTGGTATTTGTTGGTTTATAACAAATAGTTTAAAAAGCAACTTATTAAAAAGCAAATTCTAGTAATAATTAAATAATAACGTACTTTATTAACGGCTAAACTTCAAACAAAATTGCGCTATATTAGTTAAAAAAGGCAAGATTTTTTTAAGTTATTAGTTATAACTATATGCTAATTAGGTTCTAAGTGTATTTACTCAATTTTATTCTTAAAGGTTTTTTTTTTGTTTATTAATATTCGATAGCTATAACAGCTACTATTCAAACGAGTTTATATATCTTTATTATACAAATAATATATACATAAGCTTTTTTTTATCCGATGAGTAATATGATTAATTAGAAATTATTTTATTAATAAAGGTAATCTTATATCTTTTAGCTGTTAGATTTAACCGTTTTTTTAGTTATTAAAGCCGCTTATCACCGAGTAATTACCTAGCTTAATTAACGTAATAATTTAGCTCTTATTTCCAAAAAGTTATTTATTTATTTATTAAAAGCTTGCAATAAAATTACGCTAACTATTATACGTTTAAAATAGCATGATACCAAGTTTTAGCCCATAAATAAGCGAAAAACGCTAGCAAACAAGTATATAATAAAAGCAAAAAAATAATAAGTAGTAGCAGCAACTATAATAAACCTTCAAGTACTTTAAGAATATTAAAAGCCATTAAATTAAGACAAAATATAGCCTTAATATTATTACAAATCGCTAAAACCTTTCAGCAGCAAATAACAATCCGCTTAGTTATAAAGTTTTACAATAAAATAAAATAAGCTAGCGCTTATAAAGAAGTTATTAAAAATAAAAGATAATAAAATCGAGCATTTCTAGCTAAAACAGCGCTATAAAGCACTTTGAAAAAACTTAATCAACAAGTTTAAAAATTTTAAAATGTTATTTAAAAACAAATCAAATATATAAAAGCTGCACAAGCTGCTATTAAGCAGTAAAAAAAGCGACAATGAGTTATACGTAAATTATAAAACTTAAACCTAAAAAAAAACTTTCATATTTGAATTCTTTTTGGAGTAAAAAAAATTTATTTTTTATTTTAAGACCTTTTAAAGATAAAGAGGTTGTTATTAATAAAAGAAATAATAATATAAATAAGAAATCCGATAAGCTATTGTAATACGATCTTCACGCCGCAACCCGTTATGATGGATCTGTGACGTTCCGTATATGTGAATAGAACATAGAAGCCCTTGTTTACTATGTACGTATAACTTTCTTTGGCTGAAGAGGAAAAAGAAGATCAAGCGGCACAGCCAAATCTTGTAGGCAACTAGATAAGTGTGTTCGCCCCACAATTCAGAGCCCTAGTAGGTCTAGAACAACCAGTCGTCCAGGAGGTCACGTGCTGTCACGTGATCCATGGACTATCACCGATGGTGTCACGATGCCTGCGGCGTTGTGTTGCAATATGGTGGATTGACGAAAATAACAAGGTGAGTGTCACGAAGCGTAAATAGGATGAGGACATAAAAGTCCTGATTGCACTACCTACGTGTAAGAATCTCTTGGTGGGGAGGGAAAGAAGGATCTGACCCGCCAGCCAATTCTGGTGGGATTAATGATCCTTCCATCCGCCCCACTATTACCTAGCCTAGTACAGTTGTGGCCACACGTCTTGTGCGCCAGGTCATGTGATGCTGCGCACAGGCCACCCTGATGGGTTGACAGACTTCCAGGAGGTCAGACCGTCACAGTGAGGAAGAAAGGAATCCAGGTGTGGGCTAGCCGAATGGCAGCTGTCACGGCGAGCGTACTGAGGAGCTGGGACATGGCCGGCAGCAAGCAGCTATTACTCTATTGACGAGAATATCAAGACTAGAGAGGAAAGGAAGAGAGAGAGAGATAGGTACAGTGGGAGGTTGCCCCTTTTAAGGGGATCCTCTGGTCAGATCCTTCCCTTAATAGGAAGTATCGGCTTGTCATGTGGGAAGGTCCGTGCAGGCCGTCACACTACTCCCCCCCTTATTAGAGTCGGTTTATGACGATGATTTCTTCCGAGTTCTCCTTACTCCTTGCGCAGAGCCTCTTGCAGGCAGGTTGTCTTCCTCGTGATCAGTTAGGTCCTGATCATCGGCAGCGGCCTCTATCCATTGCTGTAACCTTTGAGGGGGACCTGGCGCCTGGGGATTAGCAGCACATATGGTCCCTTCCTCCTTATCTAATCTACACGTGACTGAAGGTCACCTGACCGGGTGTCATCCTGTGGACCGTCACAGATGGTAGCGACGTAGCAACTATTACAGGATCCGACACCCATCAGGTGGTTTGGTGGGGTAGACGCGTTGCCCTATTACACAGATAGATGGGTAATTGTAGATCGGGATTTGGGATCTATCACCCCACCAGATTTGGCTGGTGCTGCAGATCTCTCTTCCCTTCTTCACCAAAGTATTTTTGCACAATTGGAGATATTGATGGGCACTTTCGTCCTGGTCTCCAAGCTGCCCCGTGACACCCGTCAGCCTGCGCGCTACCGCTGAAATACATAATATTTATGGAAAAGATCGGTTCAGTGGTTCAGGTCATCATGTTGCTTACATTCTGGGTGCAGATCTACCCTTGGGTCTTGGGACCTGTTCAGGTACTAAATACACATACCAACTTCAAAGCAATGCCCAGCCTTTGATCCGGAAGGTAAAGATCCCTTGTCCCAGATACACTAAAGCTCAAAGCCCGCTTCCAGGCTGTCCCTTCCTTTCAGTGCTGCTGTCAGCCTTGTCAGCCTTGTCACCCCTAGAAGCGTGCTACAGCACACCTGTGAGCCACCCGACTGCTTACAATATTGCTAAAAACTTTAAAAAAGATGTGAGAATATTGGTGCGTATCAGGTGTGTGCTGCAGCTGGCAGCAGGCGGAAAGGGGTGAAAGGGACCCAAAAGGGGTGAAAGGTCCATTATGGTGACCACTGGCAGGTCTGTTGTCTGCTTTCAGGCAGCCGGATATCAAAGGGCTCTCACAGCTGTATTTAGGTGGGAATATCTCCCATGGATCTATAACCAAGACACCGAACCTGATCCATTCCATCCGGACCCTATCTGAACCCCTGAACTTCACAAAAGGCAATTTAAACGCACTATATAGATTATTTAAAGCTTTAATTCCGATTAAGTTATCGGTGGGTGGAAGTCTAGCCTTTTGGTGTGAAAGCTGTCCCACATATGGGGGTGTCCCATTTATATGGCCCCGCCGTTATGCCAAGGATTAGCTTGCGTTCAGCTTGCCCGTGCCCCTTGCGGCACCCAACCCTGCATATTATTCTCTAACAGAACTTCCTCGGCTTTCCCCGCACACCTGAAACTCAACTCGTCACGCATCCGCTGTTCATAGGTAATCTCATTCGAAAGGTGGACGATGCCGCGCTCAAGACAAAGTAACTTATCACCAGTGGATGTATCATGGAATATGCCTATCGCGATGGGGACACAGAATATCCAAGAGGGAATGCTGGTCTTGCGGGCTGGATCTCCAAACTCAAGGTCAGTGAGCACTATAAGCTAGTAGTGCAAGGTATACTCGGCTGGGAGTGCATGGTCGAAGGCCCGTTAGCCTCATTCTCGAAGTAATGACGAGTCCTCCATCATTGACTGAAGAAGCGTTTGGTGGCTTTGCCGGCGGGTAGCCGCTTGTGTGGCTTCTCGGCAGCGTTTGCAAGCGAGAGACTTATAACTCCCACAGCGGGATTCGGAATTTTATCTGTACGCTCATCTCTACGATACCACAAGACCGAGACCCTGTCTAAACCCCCAACAGACCATTGCAGCAGCCGAATCCGTTGACAAGCACTTCCTGTCAACATGGGGGACCAAGAGCGAGATCCTGAGGATCTACTCTCCTTCAGCACGACCGAGAACACTGCAAACTCGCGTTTTGAACTCCAGTCGCGCATCAAACTCCAAGTGGGCGAGCGACAGTTCATCACATCACGGGACACCCTCAAGGGCGAAAGTACCTACTTCGCCGCACTCCTTTCCGGCCGCTGGCCTGCAACAGACGCAGATGGCAGCTACTTCATCGACTCGGATCCCGCCTTGTTCGAACACGTCCTACGTTATCTCCGCACGGGCAACTTCCCCCTGTTTTTCGACAGCGCCACCCATACCTTTGACTACGGCAAGTACGTGGCCCTTCTTGGCGAGGCCAAGTACTTCGGCATTGCGCAGCTGGAGAAATGGATCGAGAACAAACGGTATCTGGATGCTGTCGAGATCGAATACACCACACATCAGGCCGAGAGCACCGATCTTTTCCAGCAGCCCTACAGCGGCCGTCGTACCGTCAAGGCGGACGAAAAGCTGGAGTTCACATATGGCTGGGGAACTAAGAAGGTCTTCATTTGCCCCCGGGCTATTGGGGCTCATCGGGGCAACCCAGATGCCTGCGGCGCGAAATGTCACAAGGCACAAGCGGGGTCTATGGGAATGTTTGAGGACGAGCCGGTGATGACGGGAAGGGTCATCAAGACGAAGCTGGTGTTCAAGCCCGAATCCTGCCTTGGTCTTCAGCAGGGCTGATATCGTTATTGTCGGATCAATCTGAATAACTATCACACTTGGGTTAGGGTAATCATGATCTGGATTATCCGACAAGATCTAGGTAGTCTTCATAGTATCCGAAACTCAACAGGACCAGAGGACCAGGAATATAGGCCTGCTAACTAATGACACCTGCCAGCCGTGAACCCGCGCCCTCCGTAGGACTAGATTTCTGCAAAAAGAGAGGCCTTTACGCTAGATAGCTACCTCCGAAAAACCAGTTAAGTGTTTTCCTCAAGCACGCTGGTGAACCAGCACTCCAAATCGGCCATTAGGCTTCTTCGGTGCGATGGAAAATTTGCTCGTATTTTAATATATAAGCAACCCCAATCAACCCAGGTGCATCTACACTGGCCAGCTCTGCATTATTAATTGCAGTAGGTTTACTGTGATGCCCTGCATGTCACGGCAGAATACTTTGTCGGGCTGAATTGTCCCGAACAACCATGCGGCCGATCCATAAATGAGGTCGATGCGGAGTCCAACGGTCTCGTGCATGCGGCCGGCGTCGGCCCCCTTTCCGGGTTCACGATGGATGCCCAAGATCAACATATATACCGAGGTAATTGTCCAACGATTTCCTATAACTTATCTGACACGAAGTCCAGTCGGAACAAGTGAAAGTCGTACTCCCAAAGCAAGACCTGAAATAGTTTAGCCAACAGTAGTAGCACATCCACCGCCACCATGTTCGCCAGCCCAGAAGAAACCGCCATAGAATACCGCTACGACTCGGAGCTCCTCCGCATTGAAGCCTGGGGCCCCAACGCGCTCCGCGTCCGCGCAACCCACGAGCCCGCCTTCCCACCAGAGAACTGGGCTCTCACCGAGCCCCTGCCCGCACCCACAGCCGTCCAAGCAACCGTCTTAGACTCCCACGCCACCCTCCGCAACGGCGCCATCACCGCCCACGTCAACCACCGCGGCAAGCTGACCATCACCAACACCCGCACGAACAAGGTCCTGCTGCAGGAGTTCGTGCGCCAGCGCCTCGACGTCACGGACCCGGCCTGCAGCGCCCTGCGCATCGTGCCGCGCGAGTTCAGGCCGCGCCTCGGCGCCGACTCGTGGCACCTCACGGCGCGGTTCGAGGCGTCGGCGGACCCGCACGAGAAGATCTTCGGTATGGGGCAGTACCAGCAGCCGTATCTGGACCTGAAGGGTGCCGACGTCGAGCTGGCGCAGCGCAACTCCCAGGCCAGCGTGCCGTTTGCCGTCAGCTCGACCGGGTACGGGTTCCTGTGGAATAACCCGGCTATCGGGCGGGCCGTGTTCGGTAAGAACGTGACGACGTTTGAGGCGTACTCGACGAGGGTGCTGGACTACTGGGTCGTGGCGGGGGACACGCCGGCTGAGATCGTGAGGGCGTACGGGGGCGTCGTGGGGAGGGCGCCTGAGATGCCGGAGTACGGCCTTGGGTTCTGGCAGTGCAAGCTTCGATATCAGACGCAGGAGGAAGTGCTGGAGGTGGCGAGGGAGCACAAGAAGCGCGCGCTACCGATGGATGTCATCGTGGTCGATTACTTCCACTGGCCCAAGGAGGGCGAGTGGAAGTTCGACCCGACGTTCTGGCCCGGTCCGGGTATGTCCCAGACATACACAGCATGTAAGCATGGAAAAGGGGATACAAGCTAACGCGGAATGCAGACGCCATGATCGCCGAGCTCAAATCCCTCGACATCGAGCTCATGGTCTCCATATGGCCGACGGTAGACCGACAGTCGGAGAACTACGCCGAGATGCTCGAGAAGGGGCTGCTGATGCGGCAGGATCGTGGCTGGAGGATCGCCATGGAGGGCGAGGGCAACTGCGTGCACTTTGACGCGACGAACCCGGCGGCGCGCGAGTACGTGTGGCAGAAGGCCAAGCAGCACTACTTCGACAAGGGTGTGCGTATCTTCTGGCTTGATGAGGCCGAGCCTGAGTTCACCCATTATCATTTTGATAATTATCGGTACCATGCTGGGCCGGACCTGAGTGAGTAGCGGCTGAAGTCGTCTTCACCCCTGTACCCCTTTGTCACAACTCTGTCTGCCTTAGTCGTGGAGCCCCCCCCTGAACGACTACACTCTGCCCCCCGTACTCTCAAGCCTTACTTGGAAAAAGATGACGTGCACTAACCCAAACCGCAGTGGTCGGCAACATCTACCCCCTAGCCTACGCCCAAGCCTTCCACGCCGGCCAGCTCGCGGCCGGCCAAACCCACATCGTCAACCTAGTCCGCTGCGCCTGGGCCGGCTCGCAAAAGCACGGCGTCCTCCTCTGGTCCGGCGACGTCGCCTCGTCCTGGCCGTCCCTGCGCGCGCAGCTCTCCGCCGGCCTCAACGCCGGCCTGGCGGGCATCCCCTGGTGGACGACCGACATCGGCGGCTTCCACGGCGGCGACCCGCGGGACCTGGCCTTCCGCGAGCTGTTCGTGCGCTGGTTCCAGTGGGGCGCGTTCTGCCCCGTGTTCCGGCTGCACGGGGACCGCGAGCCGAAGCAGGAGCGGCTCGGAGACACTGGGGGCAGTCATTGTCTGTCGGGCGCGCCCAACGAGGTGTGGTCGTATGGCGAGGAGGTATATGACATCTGCCGGTCATATTTGTTCCTGAGAGAGAAGTTGCGCGGGTATGTGAGGGGGTTGATGCAGGAGGCGCATGTCCACGGCGATCCCGTCATCAGGACCATGTTCTATGAATTCCCTGTCGAGGCACGCATGTGGTCTGTCGACGACCAGTATATGTTTGGTTCCAAGTATGTCGTCGCGCCGATCCTGAGCGCTGGGCAGAGGGAGAGGGTGGTCGCACTCCCCGGGGGCGCGAGTTGGCGAAGGCTGTCAGCTGAGGGGGAACTGGTGGGCGATGTTATTGAAGGTGGTGGCTCAGTCACCGCCGAAGCGCCGCTTGGATACATGCCTGTGTTTGAGAAACAATAAGTTGCCAGCATTGCAATATTGCATGTCTGCGTTATCAATAGGAGTGGGTGTTGTAGGTCTCGAGGCCATGGTGATTACTTACAGCGTCTGATACGACAACACTGACGCAAATTGTATCACGACAAAGGACTGACGAGGCCTGGAAAATATCTCAATTACACGAATTGGTCCTTGGGATCCTAGTGACCCTCACGGATTTGTGCAGAAATCACTCGCATGGCGGTATCATTGTCCTTGTCCGATCCGCGCAGAATCAACCTAGCCATACACCCCTAGTCGAAACCCAAGACAGCAAGCAATGCTTTTTTTATTGTAGTAGAACACGGTTCGTCATAATGCGTGTCGTCGTAAAGCACAAGTGGATCCCGTCTCAGTGGAAGGAGAGAGTAGATCGCTACTTTACAACTCCTCCTTGACGTTCTTCGCCTTAGACTTGGCAGCCTCGGAGCCAGCACCAAGCTGACCCGCAACCCAGTTATAAGCGCCCTTAACGCTCTCGCCGATCTTGGCAAAGGCTGTGCCGGTAGGGCTGGTCGTTCCATACTTGAAGTAGGTGGACTGCTTGCGCACCTCGGCCTTGAGCTGGTTCAGGGTTGAGCCCTGAGGGACAGGCTGAATGAGAGTTAGTAAATATCCCGTCTGCTAATAGGGATGGATGACAACAACTTACAACACCGTAGCTGTCCAGGTAAGACTTGAGATCGCTCTCACTCCAGGTGTCGAATGTGCTCTGCTTGGCGGAACCGGTAGCCTGAGCCAAGAAGCTTGTGGCCGAGGCGTATGAACCGCCGCCTGCACTCGAGGCCGAGGCATACGCCGATTGAGCGGCATCGACCAGTTCGTCACGAGTGGCAGTGCTGCTCTCGCCGACCTTCTTGGCGGCCGAGTCACCGCTGCTGGCAAGGTACTTCCTGAGGTTCTCTAGAGAAAGATCGCCCCAGCTCCATGCAGCGTTGGGGTGAGCGGCCTTGTGAGAGTTACGTCGGACCAGAGCACGCAACTCGTCGGTCTTGGTGCCCTGGGGGACAGGAACTCCTCGTGCATCGAGATAAGCCTTCAGTCTGCTATCAGACCACGTGCCAACGGTGGCATCGAACGCTTCCTGAGCGGCGAGGCTGACAGTGTCGGTAGCCTTGGTGTATGAGTTGCCAACGTTGCTGGTTGCAGCACCAAAAGCACTAGCGGCAGAGGCCGAGACAGAATCACCGAGTATCTCAGAGCGGTGCTTGCGGACAAGGGCGCGGAGCTCGTTGGTCTTGGTGCCTTGAGGGACTGTTTGCAAGTGTTAGTCAGTACGTTGCCCAGTTTGTTCTAAGTACGTACCGTTGATCCCGTTCTTGTCACAGAATTCCTTGAGTTGAGACTCGCCCCAGGCATCGATAAGCTTGTCGGTGACAGTGGCATAGGCAGCATTGGCGCTGGCGGAAGCCGAAGCGGCCTGGTCCTGCGCCTTAAGGTACGCAGTGCGAGAGTTGCGGCGGACCGCGGCAATAAGCTTGTCACGCTGTGAAAGATGTTAGCTCAGCTGTGTCGAGGCAAATTGAAGGAGCGCATTGCTTACGTTGGTAGGCTGGGGAGCAGGGATACCGTGAGTGTCAAGCCACTCCTTCAGGTCAGACTCGGTCCACGATTCGTAGAGCCAGTTGCCGGGGTAGGACGCAGTCTCTCCGACCTTCTGGGCAACGGTCTCGTAGTTGTTACGAACCGTTTGCAGGAGGGTATCACGCTTTCGGGGCTGGGGAACTAAGCAATAGATTAGTAAACTTCAATCACGTGCCAGCTCATTGCATCGGAACATACCAGGAATGCCATGCTTATCGGCAAACGACTTCAGGGCACTGTCGGTCCAGGTGTCCAGGATCCAGTCCTTGGCGCTGGTCCAAGACGATTGAGCCTTGTCCTCTGTCTCGTACCAAGATCCGGCAACTTGGCTGATCAAAGAGTCCTTGCTGGAACCAGCGGCATCCTTGGTATCGACGCCCTTCTGCTTGAGGTACGAGGTGAGCTTCTCAGTATCCCAGTTCTTGTAGGGCGCGACGGCATTGTTTTCCCAGTTCTTCTCGATGAGATTCTCTAGGTCCTTGCGATCGGCGGGACTCGGGTAAGGGACGTCGTGATCGGAGAGCCAACGCTCAAGCTCTGTCTCGTGCCACTTGTTGTAGGCTGGGTAATTCATGGATTAGCTGACGGTTCAGGATGCGTGACACCTCTGTAACATAGGAAGTGTTAATAGACATACCAGCTTTGGAGAACCAGGTGCTGGCCACAGCGACATCAGTCGCCAGGGCGAGGGAGAGAATGGTTGACAACAACCTCATGATGATATCGTGGTGGGTGTCGATTGTTGTTGGATGGTGCTGTTGTTGCTCTACTCCTCTACTCGGTGCAGAATGCAGATGTTGATGCTGATGGTGGTTGAGGAGGTGATGAGGGTGATGAGGGAGTGGAAGAAGTGGTCAAGGGATGGGAATGGGGAAGATTGAGGAGGTGTTGCGGGAGGGATGATGTAGTTCTGCCCGTTTTGTTTGACGTCCAGCTACTACGTCAGCAGTACATAGCAGCAGCAGCCGGGGCTGGCAGAGGGAGTGACAGGCCTTGGTGGTGCACAGAACTGTATGGATGTACTAATGCAGGGAGGCTAGGCTCAGATGGGCAAAGAGCTTGGGCCTTGGTTCTCTTGGCTGCCTGGTTGGTTGCTGGGGGTTTCATCAATGGTATGCGTCAGTGTGGATCCAGCTGATTCCAGCTGTCAGGTGTCTTGTCGGTTGGGCCGGATTGTTGTGTATGCACGTATGCAGTGGGAGAATCAGGTCGTGAAAGAGACAGGAAGGTTGTTGTGATGATGTCTTAACAATGCATCACGTCACTGCGCTTTGGTTACACATACTGCTGGAGACAGCTTCACTTCAAGTAGGCGGCAAGTTGCTATCTACAGGTCACGTTCTCTTGATATTATAGTGAGGGTGCATGTGTGCATTGCTCTTTCTCTTCATTGCCAGGAAGGATGAGACACCAAGGTCGACCCGTACCAGACTACGGGGACCTCGGCTGATACCTCTGTATTAATCAACCATGTTTCCCAGGTTTTGGTGCTGCGCTGCTGCGAGATGTAGGTAAATATTTCATCGACAGAGGAAGCGTGACGTACGTCGGGTATGTCAACTCGCCATCAGAACAGGCCACAACGACATCCATCTGCAGCCAAAGAGAGAAGAGCTTGTGGCCCGTAATCTCGATCGTCGCCGTCTTGGGCCTATCTCGCAGGCCAAAAAGTTCAAAGGAGAGAAAAGCAGGCGTCACGACTCGCAGAAAAGGTTTGACAGGCCAAGGAAGAAAAGCTCCGGTGATGTCATGATAGCTAGGGGGTGAGAAGTCAAGCCCAGGTTCAAGCCACACCCAAGCTCAAGTCCAAGCTCCAAGCTGCAGTGGGTCTAGCCCGATTATCGTGGGGTCAAAGAGGTCTGACAGGTGGAGTGAGTGGGGAACGAGACACTGGACCCTCCCAGCCTCCATAGACGGGAAGCTTCACTAGTAGCATGGGACAATCTCTCTTCGGCTGATCCTTCCCTTCCATTCTGCCCCTTATTATTGAGGTATCTTCGCCATTCTAGAGAGATACAGGCCATTTGCTCCGAAGAAGAGGCTCACCCGATAGATGGAATGTTATCAGTCTTCTACACTAGATTCAGACCCCATCTGTCGAAAACGCCTCGCAGTACTGTAACCATGCAGCAGGGTATCACAATCTCTACAATCACGCAGAGCTCCCATTCGTCCTCCTCCGCAGCCGGACATTGGCCAATCCGAAGCTATGTATCCTGCTCTTCTTCTTCGGGGAGTCGACATTATTATCGTGAACATCCGCCTCTCCACGAAGAGTCTCCAGCTTCACGTGAGACCGCGGGAACAGTCCCGCTCTCCCGTTCTTCTTCGTCCCCCACCAACACCAGTCGTCTTGGTTCAGCCCTATGAGAGACGAGTCAGCACGAGTCAGCCGGCTCGAGACGAATGGTGAGGGACGTCACGTGCACGCTCCAATGTAACCGGGGAGGAAAGACTGACAGCTGACATTCACGATCGTCTCGTCCTTATCGATCGGCAACCACTGCGCGGCGACATCTTTGACATCCCACTTCCACCGCACTGTGACGGCCGGGCCGGGGCTCATGCTCGGGCCCGGGAGATGGGTCGGCGGCTCAGGAATCACTAGCTTCGCGGGAAAGGCACCCCAGACTCCGTCGTGCCACCCAGTGCACCACCTGCCCTTCCACTTCTCAGGGAATTCGATGCCGACGATGCGTGCACCTTCGACGAACTTGAGCACATTCTCAGCCCCGCCGTCCGGGCCCTCTAACTCTCTTCCATACCGCTTGACGTGGCTCTTGAGGGCCGCTGCGGATGGTAATGTGGCCAGGAACGTGGCGTCTGGGAGATCACTGGCTATGGCGGGAAAAGGAAAGTGCAGGTCATAATCCTCCGTCTGGGGAGCGCCTGCAACAAGGCCTCCATACATCACTGTGACTCCCTGTATATCTGGCAGAGGCTGTGGGTGACGTGCTAGGTGCCGGAAGAACTGGTCCTGTGTTGTGAAGACAGTGGCATCATCGGCATGCACAGTGTGGCCTTTGTGCGCACAGAAAAGACAGCCAAACTGCGTCGTAAAGGCTAATGTGGAAGCTAGGTGCGATTTATACAGAAACCGAAGGCGGAACGAGACGCCGAAGCTGCTGAAGTTGGCACGCGCTGGCTGGTTGGTCAGTGATTGCCTCCCGGTAGGTCTACTGTGTGACTCGGACTCACCGTCCTGCTTCGCATCCAGCTCCACGTCGAATGAGCTCTGCGCGAAGTCGCAACCTACGCAACGAGCGATACTCCGCTGTGTCGATGCCTGAGCATATCGTGTCAGCAAGCTCTCAGTATCCAAGTGATATAGTCGCGCCTTTGTCCGCGCCTATCACTCATTCGAAAGTTATACCGCACTTACATATTCTATGACGGGTTTAGTCGCCGCCTTCTTGCCCCTGACCCTGAATTTCTGCGCTCCAGGGCAGAAGCCCCTTTGCGAGTACAAGCTGCTATCCAGGCCGATTTGGTGGCCATTTGCCACGCTTGGTGGTTCGTCGGCTAGTATCAGTCCATCCTCATAGATCGGCGCTGTGGGCTGAGGATGTGAAAGGCCTCCATCTGGCGCGTCTTCACTACTCGTGGAATAGGGTGCCCGGGGCAATGAGGTAGTTCTCTGGTCGCTCGTGGGCACAGTGAACGACGACCGTGGCACAGATGCATAGCTGCCGGTGCTGGTATACCAGGAGGCCCTGCTACCTGCTGTTGTTGGGCTGTATGGGAGGCTCAGGAATTTAATCACCGGCATCTCTGGATCCTGCAGGGTAAGACTGTCCAGGTTATGGTCGATGTACCCCGAGATAGGTTCGTCTTCTGGAATGGTGTTGTTCACGGACCATGACCCTGCAGTGGCCGCTGTTTGGTCCCTTACCCACGCCGTGATTCGCGATCCGGGGGTGGATGGGCTCGGCGCATCTTGTGTCGGGCTGTTGGGTCTAGATATCAGGTGGATACAATCCCGTTCTGCTCCCAGGATGTCCGGGCTAGAGGGTCGTCTGCCGTCAGCGTTGAGGAGTTCCTGGTAAGTAGCACTGTGTCGCACGATCGGGTCGCGACTGTTTGTGTTCAGTGACCGCCCGGGTTGTGGGAAGGAAGGAATGGAGATCTCGCTCGGCGCTGATGCAAGCGACGACAAGGAATAATCCGTGAACCGCATTCTCTTCACAGTCTCCAGGAGAGTCAGAGCAAACGACTTCGAGGCCGCCTGAACCTGGGAAAACCTGTCGCCGTCGAACGTGTCGACCTCGATGTAGTCGTCGAGGTCGTAAAGAAGGTCTTCCAAGCGTCGTTGGCTCTCTAGAACATTGTCTATGACCCGGTCAGCCGTTCTCGCACATAGCATGTTCCTTCGAGGCCATATGAGACTCACCATTGTGCCGTATCGCATCTGTGAACACCTCGCCGTGCTGGTCGACTTGCGAATTCCACAGTGGCATCAGCCGCTGCAAGGCGCGCTCACCTTCTCTCACCAACGACCGCGCCGATCTGAGCATGAGCGTAGACGATACTGCATCATCGTCCCGGCTGGCCTCGGCATTTGCGACCGCGTCTTTCCCTCGCTCGACCACCTCTCGGAAGGGCTGGATGACGAGCTCCTCGGCGTCGATGGCCATTTCTCAACAGTTGCTCGAGTTAGTGCTGTAGATGGGAAGTTGGACAGATGTTTGCTTCGCGCCTTGACTTGACTTTACATGCTGCTTCACCGTTCCTCGAAGGACAATCCTCGACTTGCTGGAACACCGACAGGAGTAGACCTTCGGTCAACCAACACCGCCGCAGTCCGAAAGAGGCAGGCACAAGTTCGGATCAAGCCATGTGGTAGGGAAGCAGGGCCACAATACCCCGGATCCATGGTGTTAGCAATGCTTGCTTGGGCTGACCATGGCGGCGGTATCGCATCGGCCCCGACAAGAGATGGGTCAGCGAGACCAGGTTCAGCTCATTTGGGAGCCAGGCCCCAGCCCAGCACAGGCGATTCCTTCCCATTTTCGGGATTGGACCTCGCAGACTGACGAACCAGGCGGTTTCCTCTCGATGCTATCTGCGTGGAAGGATTCACGTGTGTCACTGTGGAGTTTGGGAAGCTTCACCGAAGCTTCAATGCGGTAGCCGGGGCCGCTTGGCGGTGTGGGTCGATACGGTGTCCCCGGCACAGCCCGGCCTCCTTTATTTCAGGGTTCAATCGCCTCACCGAAGCCACGCACCGCTGAAAGGCGATATCGCCGGCTTACCCAAGGTACGTTGTCCACCTCCAAATCATTCTATCGTCGACTTGAACATGAAAGCGCCCAGCTTTTCTACCTCGAGTATGCCAAAGTCCTCATCCCCTTTCCTAGACCAGCCTACCGACAGCGAGACTAGACCTGTTCACCCTTGATTCGCCAAAGTGGTGCGCTTGGTTGTCGAGCAGCGGCGCCCTCCGTCTGGTTTCGCGGCAACCAGCGCAAGTGAATCATCCTCCAAAAGGACCTGAGGCTCCCACCGGCACGGCAACTGCTTTTCTTATCGATGCTCTTCATGCAAATGACAGCAACCCGCCGGGTCGAGAGGCCCCAAGAGAGAGTGATCGCCATTCTGTACCGTCAGATGATGCTTCCATCACTGCTAGAGGTGCCCCTTCTGACCGCGATAGCCGATGACATTCAATTATTATGTTACTATCCACTGCGATGGGCCTTTCATGATGTCTACCTACGTGACGCCGTTATTGACTTTGAGCAGATTAGTGTCACGTACTTCTTCCCGGTGCTTTGAGACATGCATGGCTTCGGCTTAGCAGACATATATCTCAAAGTGGCTTAGGACGTTACATGCGTCTCCGGGCTATATATTCCAAGGTATCATCACTGGGCCGACAGCATTGCTGAACATGCTTGCCGCAAGCCCAGTCGGCTGGGGAACGCTTTCCGACCGCTGGCAAAAGCCCCGAGGGTCGGCACCAGATTCCGTCGGAGACTGGCGGTCTGGAAGCAGTGGTGGGTCATTGGATCAGCTTCCCGGCCATGCTGGCAGAAGGCACAGTCGACGTGATCCTTTTCGCCGTTCGGATTTCACGGCATGCGTTGGATAACGTCCAGCGTGTGATTCCCCATGGCACGCCTAATGGGAGCGTACGACATTCGGCTTTAGATGCAGTTGGCAATCATTGGGTACGTCTATACCTGTGGCCAAGTGGCGGTTCGAGGGGTCAAAGGGGTTTGGCCCGGAGGCTCCCAATCTTGAGAGATGGCCCAGCCACTGTGACAGTCTCATGGAGACTGTGGACTGTACCGGAAGAGGGTTTCAGGTGGTTGAAATCCTTGGGACTTCACACAGCCGGCAGTTATTCACTACACTGGGTGAAAGGGTTACCTGCTGTCGTCGTATTGGTCGACTTGAACTAGTCGTTCGGGTCAGCCATGCGGTGAGAGCTGAGGCAAAGCATGTCGCCTATTGTCAAGACTATGCTGGAGCCTCCCTCGGTGAATATTTTGACCGCAATCGTTGCATATGGGATACGCAATGGTATCATGTGCTCCAAGGTCCTGTAAGACGCCTTCGGGTTCTCTACTATGTTCGAGCCGTTCATTGTGGTGTGTTTCAAGTCCAACGGCTTGAAGGTTCTCTCAGCCAAGGAGTCCCAAGCACACTCGGGAGGCATCCTCGGGAGCAAGATGTAGTAGCCGTTATTCGGTTTGCGAACTTGTCTTTTTTTTTTCTTCTCCTTCTTTTTTGCTTATCTCTGCTGTTTGTTTTGTTTCTTAAGACAATGCTCGAATGCCGGTGGCAGGAAGACTCCGATCCACCTCTATGTACTTCAGTCAGCACGATAACTGCGGGTGTGTAACAGTCCGCTACTTATACGAGTCAATCCTATGCCGAAGTAATACTATAAAGCATCATACATTCAAGTGCTAGGCAAACAATACGAATGAGCGTGGGGAATACTGCTATAGTCAGGGCAACTTCTGTTACGCGAGGATACGACTGATGTAACAAGCAGCCTATAGCTACCGTAGAATCGAATCAAATTCATGACGCACCCGTACGGGGTACGTGCTGGTATCTAGTGGATTTCATGCCTGCGTAGAATTCATTGCTGTGCTATACGTATCTCTTGATCATGCTCATAGCCGTATAGGGAGCTGTGACGCGCTGCTTCACAGTCTCGCCCTAGTCTGCCTAATAGAACATACCTCCTGGCGCGAGTGTTAGCCACAGTTAATAGTCAAGTTTTCGAGCAAGGAATGCCTGGCTTTACGTACCGACCGCCTTTGCGAAAAGTCTGTATAAAATCCGTTCCACAACTCTCTGGCCGAACAGTCTTCCTGACCGCCGCTGGTGATGCATGGCGGTTGCTTGTCCTCGCGCAATGACTCGGTCATGGAGATCCAAGGTTTCGGTACGGGCCAGTCCGAGAAGTGTAGATATTTGGCCTCGTTGTAAACAGCGACCGGATCCCACTCCTCGCGATCAGTGCCTAAGTAGTTCTGATGGTCGTCGCCACGAAACTCGCCTGTCAACAGATCGTATGGACGGTGCGGTAGGATCATGGCCGTGTCTGCGTAGAGCTGGTTCACGATTTCCATGTCATAGTCGGACAAATCAGCGGATTCTATCTTGCGCATAATTCGATTGAATTCAACCTCGCTGGGCTGCACCAGCATCAACTGGGATGACAGGGTCTTCTCGTCGGGAAGAAGCCAGTACGCGCGAGGCATGGCAACGGGAGAGGGTGGCAGGAGGAAGAGCTCGTCCATTGGCTGGAGTATGGTGGCGTCGGAGTCGACGTTCAAGACGCGATCGTACTGGGTCTGGTTGAAAGCAAGAAGCTTGGTGAAGGATTCGGCCCATGTAGCTAGATGAAACACTTCAGCCAGAGCGCAGGCGGGAAGGTGGATATGGGCCCAAATGGTAACTTACCATCGGCGCCAGCCTTGCTTTGCACCGAGACGGGCACGAGCTTGACCTTGTACACGTCGCGGGCCTTGACCAGCAGTCTTGCGTCTTCGCCTGTTGGATTTGTCTCGGCCGGGTCCATCATAGTCGCGGGATACATCATGACGCGGTCTGCCTTGCTCTTCAGGCGGAACAGGGTCTCGAAGATCATGACCGAGTTGCAGAGGTATGCGGCATTGGTGACATATTGTGTGTATGCGTATCGCGACCAGTTGATCTGGGCGTCTTCGAACGTGGGCACAACGGCGGGCGCGCCATCCGTCTTGGACTCGGCACCGGCACCGGCATCTACACCAATATTCACACCTCCGCCTCGCAAGTAGTCTATAGACGGCAGCCGGTCGTAGTTGCGGAAGGCGAGGAAGAAGAGGGCGAGGACGGCGAGGGCGGTGGCCGAGAGGCGCACGCGTTTCGAGGTCAGGATCTGTCGCAGGCTTGGCTTGAGGTCCAAGTCAGGGTCGGCGGCGGGGCTGTTTGATTCGGCATTCTGCACTTGGCTATAGCCAGAGAGCGAGCCCCAGGTCGAGGACCATGATGATCCCAAGAGCGGCGCCATGGACGGGAGTGGGGTTTTGTCGTGTTGTCGGTCGGCTCGGCAGCTGGAGGTTCGATGAGGCTCGGTAGGTATGGTAACTGTAAGGTAGGACAATGCGATACAGCACAATGCGACAATGCGTAGCAAGAGTTCAGGGACGGCAATGGTCGAGCACTGAAAGCCACGGTCGTCACATAATTGGCAGCTGAGGCGTCCGGGTGGCACAGAGACAGCGAGACAGCAAGACAGCAAGACAGCCTCCAAGGTGGTGGTGGTGCCCCCTCCAGCTGTGCCTCCTCAGGTGCTTATTACATGTACATGGAATGTAGGGAGGTATGCTTGTGCCTTGTGGTAGCGGTATCCAGAATAAGGACCAGGGTCACGAATGGTGGCTATTGGTCTGTATTCCCCCATCCCAGAAGTAGCTATCATCCCAGTTGGGTACGAATCTGGTACAAACGGGTACCAGTTGGGCTCCAAGGTACCTTGTACCCTGATCCGTGACCCATCCGTCATTGTGGCTGGGAAATGGGTTGAGGAGCCACATGCTTAGGTATCTGCATGCGCGGCCCGATAGTCAGGAGTTGGAGAATAGGGACTAGTGTGCTAGCTCAGCCGGTCAGATCAGATGGCCCGGGGGTGGACCGTATTGTGGAGTGACAGCTACGGGCACCTCCAATTGGATTCGAAGTTTTGATCCTTTCTACCCTAATCCAGTCTACATGCGCAGGGCACCCGACATGGATCGTAATTAAGGTTGTTACTATGCCTTGCCAAGGAACATCATTGATAGGTTGGCAGGCATCAATGGCCATGGGCACGGGCAAACGGGATACTTCCACTCCGTGTCCAAAACAGTAAAGGACCGAGTCACTGGTGAAGTCTCGCAGCTTCAGAGAACGAACTGTACGATAGTGTTGTACCAGCATGCCAGTTTTTGTTTAGTACAAGCCAAACGATATCATTATACCGGGGTCGAGATCCAGAGCCTTCATAAGGTACCAACGAACAAACATCGTACCCACAATCATACGCCAGCATGCCACGGCCCACGTGCCACTCAAGCCGGTCTCGACTCTCTACAACCTAGGTAAGGTTAATAATACCTATGAAGCGCAGTCGGAGCTGGAGGTTGACAACACCGGCAGACGGGATCCACTGGGCCGATCGAGTTTGCGCCAGGCAGGCATTCCATCCTGTCTCGCCTCGGCCTCAACAACCTCAAACGCGCCTAGAGATCCTTCAAAGGATCAAACCTGATAGAGCACAGCGTGGCATATCCTTGTAGGCTCCAGCAATCGAGGTCGATTCGAAGTGAGGTCTAGGTAACAGTCTAACAGACCACTCCAAATGACTGTCGACAATTGAACGGTAGCGACGCATATTCCCGTGTGAATCAGGCATCCAAAGGACAGGGCTGCTGCAAAGGAAGCACCAGCACCGCGATGCTCCTTACCTAGTCCAGGAGGAAACTGTCCTATTGACGAACCGCTGACGACGTCATACGCCAGGCCCCGGAGGATCGGGTACCCTTTTCCATTTCAACTAAGGTAGTAAGGGTTACAATGCCCAGCAAACCGTATCAACTCGACTTGCATGTCGTTTCATGCTGCTTTTGATAGAATCTTTGATAGAACCAAACAAGTGTCGGACCATCTTGTACGACCTCGACCAAGAAGTACAGATCATGAAGTCCACATTGGTCCCAATCGCCGTGGCGCTCGCGTCCATCACCGGCACCCTGGCTGAGAGCATCCAGTACTTTGACCAACTATTTGCCCTCGAGGTGAGGAACGCCTTCAATACCTATTCACCACGTCCTCACAGCGGTCGTGTCGTCGACCTCCCCCGGACGCTCCCCTTTCCAGACCGTCGCGTATTTCATTGACCAGAGGCTGAACTGCAGCGTGGCGATTTAAGCGAACGGGGATGGAATGAATGGCTGAAACACGATCTGTCGACTTTTACCGACCCTAGCCCACCCTCGGACTACGATGAGCATATTATCCTCCTGGAACCTTCGTCTTCCGCTAACGCCCCGGACCTAATCAAGTTGGCATCCGCCACGGAAATCGAAGCCAAAGATCTTGTCAAGATCAAGAAAGGCGATCTACTCAAGCTAGAGGGCAAATGAGAGATGGGCAGCCATGGTGGAAGTTTGGGCAGGGCTGTGAATGGGGAGGATATTGCACGTCCAAGAGCAATGCCAAGGGATCCTACGGCTGCAGCGCCTGCATCAAGTTCGTCCCCGCGCTGCTCACCAAGGACGGTTCCTACGTATTCTTGTCGAATGTTCCAGGGAGGATGTTTGCAGCAGATTACTTGTAGAGAGTGTATCACGAAATACGGCCACGAGAACGGGGTGCGGCAGGGTCTTGCCCTTTGGACGACAAGTCCTGAGGGGCTATAGCTTATGGGTAGATACGATACATGCTAGAACCGGAATTATCGTCAATCCGAATCATCCGTGTGACAAACACGGGAGTCCATTAATAATGCCAACAGCCGTGGAGCGGGGGCGTATTGGTCCTGGTTGCGTTGCTCATCGTAACCAGAAGCTAAAGTCCAGCTTATTGATGAGTCTTTCTAGCTTTGACCAAGTTGCGTTCTTCAAATTATCTTTGGTGATCATACGTGATTGAAGGCATCACATAGATCCTATGCTACTGCCATGTAACTATTCAAACGGTCATTTAATACGAGCGTCGTGGATATTGGGCAAAGCGTTCTGATCATTTCGATGGAGGCGTCGAGACAGTTCTTCCAAGCCGCAAGTGAAGGAGCCGCACAACGAGGTCAACAAAGCGTTCAGTTAGTGATATATATTCATGGGTAAAGTGTAGGTGTAATTAATTCTGCAAGATGTCTGGGCACGCTTGCCCCTTGGACACGCAACATCTCCTACGTCGAAGGCTTCTTTCGGGTTCTTATGCCAACTCTTTTGCCAAGCTCTTCATGACTTCATCCAATTCCTCAGGTTCCAACCCGAATCGCTTGTAGTCGACCACCTTGGCGTTGTAGTCGCCGCCATAGCCCTCCTTGAAGACAAGAGCGAACAAGGCCATCGCGGCCCCCATCATATCACCTCTGGCCTTGGCCTCCCTCGACTGCGCGATGACATCGTCGGATGCCACACTGCTGACAGCCCAGTCCTCTTCCTTGGTGCCGGTCGTGCGCGCCGCACTGGCCAACAAGTCCCGCTGGCTGACGTAGAACGAACTGGTGTACAGCCAAGCGTTCTTGTGCTTCTCCAGCTCCTCTTCGGGAAGGGCAAACAACGCGGCCAGGGTCTCGCCCACACGAGTCAAGGTGGTGAAGTTGGCCTTGACATTCCCGTCATCGAAGAACCTCATAGTCTTGTTCTTCAGGTCGATCCCGTAGACGCCCAGACGCATGCTGAACTCCACCCAGGGGTTGTTGGTTACCCCGATCCAGCTGCTGACGCCGAGGTCCTCGATCAGCTTGCGGAAGGGCGCCTTCACGTTCATCAGGTCGATCTCGGCGTTCAGCTTCGGGTGTGTGGCGTCGGAGCCGAACTCGGCTGGCACAATGTAGGGCACGCCTGCCTTTGCGGCCGCCTTGATCAAGGGGATCTGCGCGGCGTAGACGTTGTAATTGAGTGCCATGATCAGCGCATCCTGCCCCTTGAGCGCGGAGGCTACGAACTCCTCGTCGGAGTAGTCTCCGGTGTGGACCTTGGCAGTCCCGGGGAAGGTGGCGTTGGATTCGGGGCGCGTGAGCACGCTGACTTTGTGTCCGGCTGCGATGAGAGCACTGAGAATTGGTGCGCCGACTGTGCCACTGCCGCCCACGACGGTGATGTTTCGAGACTGGTTGGGAGCTGCCATGTTGATTAGAAGGCTTGTCTTGATTTGACCGGTTTGATAGTAGGGGAGTAGTGATATCGGGAGTGTGTAGACTGTGGAATAGTGATGAGGTTGCACGGGAAGAAACCGCCTGGTAGCTGCGATGACAAGCCTCTTATATGCGTACTCATGGGCACGCAGTCATCCTCATCGTGTCAATAAGGGGTAGGTATCCATACATACGGCATCCCAAGTGGAACTCGCCTCACGGGGTTCGAACGGCGGACGACCACAACGCTGGGCCTGAATCCAGGTCCGGACTCCGTATGGACGGAGATACAGGGGGGAAGCGAAGTGTCTCGGCGCCGAGATTCACAGGCGAGACAGGCACTTATCCACGACCTGCATTTGTAAGCTGGCAGCGGCTCCGCTTTCCCGACCCTATTGTTCGCACTACGGCGCAATCACTACGGCGCAATCACGACGACGAGGCCAGTGGCTTATTAATGAAAAAGGAGGACATACCCTCGGGTAGGGCTTGGGCCTCAAACGTTTTGGCGCACGTCGTCGTCGTCGCCTTCTTGAGCAATGGCCATCGTCACCCAAAGGAAGAACGGCCAGGTCCTCATCAATATCACTGTTCGGTACATTGCTGCACGAGATGGTGCACGCCTACTTCGAAACCGGGGCGTGGCATGGCAGCTGTGTGTCTTCTGTCTCCTGCAAAAGGACAGTGGACGACGAGGTCGGGCTTGTAGGCAGGGCACGGGATAGCTGGTAAGTGTTTGGCACAGGCAGTCATTCGTGTCTGGAGCGCCACATGCATGGTGCGGCAGGCTGGCAGCTGAAGGTGCTGTGCCTCTCTACACAACCGTGTCTTTCTCTTTCCTCTCACTTTCCCTTTCTACGCCTTAAATTGGACTATAAGGTAGAAGACCGTCAAGTTCGTGTCTTTCGAGCACGAAACGATGCCACCCACCTACGGTACAGAGTCAGCTTTCCAGCGCATTGCCTCCGAGAGACCAATCCAGCTATAGTCCATGAAGTACGACGACACAGGGGAGGTCTACGAGCCTACCGTGCAGCTCATCTCATTTGAGAGGGTCTGGTCCTGAGGGGACCAGACTGGCGCCGTCCAGTCGCGAGACGACGTAGGCCACAGCTGGACCGCCGACATTGTGCTGGTAGGAACGCCAGGTCTCACAGCTGCCACTCGAAACACCTTTGAGGCCCTTCCCAGCAGACTGGTAACGTTACCGTTGGATGCTCTCAATCATGCCGACACTGTCGACTTCAGTACGCATCATCACGATACATATTTTCCAGGAAACAAGACCGGTGTCTCTGCGTCAATGTCCTACAGCATTACTGACCCTTGTTTTGGCATGTTCTGGATGTGGTGCCCATCTATGCGCTGCACGAGAAGCCTGATGTGGTGGCAAGACAAAGATGCAACGAGCTCATCATGAGCCCGCTGCGAGTCCACTTTTACTTGGCACATTCGCACTCGAGGCCGAGACCATGGCAATGAGGCATTGGATACAAGACCAGAGCCATCAGTTGTTCGCTGTCCAAGAGCAGACCGGGCATCACCTATACCAGAACGTCCCCCAAGAAGATGTCCTTGATAGCATGGACTTAAGCATGCTGTCAAAACGAACTTGTGGACTGGCAGTCAACATCACAACAAGCGCTTTATGTCTGCAGCGGCTCGTTCAGCTCGGTGACTTTTTGATCGAGGAGAGTAAACTGCTGACAGAAGAGATCATGACCTCTTCACAGCAGCCTGACTCGCACCAAGCTGGCCAACGTACTTGCGAAACGATGCGCACAAGGTCTTACATTCACGGACAAGTACGCACCTGGAGAGGCCAAGCGAAAGCCCTTCTCGACGAAGCGGAAGCGTGGCGGCACAAGACCGACATCATCGTGCAAACACTTCTTACTCTGACTACTCAACGCGATCAAACCATCGGCATACAGATTGCTCGAGACTCTCGCACATTGGCTGAGAAAGCGACGAGAGACAGTACCTTAATGAAAGCCATCGCGGCCGTTACCATGTGCTTCTTACCTGGCACCTTCGTGGCTAGCTTGTTCGCAATGGACATGTTCGACTGGAGGTCACCGTTGCGAAGCACTGTTAGTGAACACTTCTGGGTCTACTGGGCGGTTACCGTATCTCTAACGATGCTTGTGGTGCTCGGATGGCTGGCCTGGTCGAAATACTCGGAGGGTTCTGGAGTCTGGCAGAGGTGGCGAAAGGTTTAGGAGTCTGCTTCCAGCACCGATCAAGACACACAGGAGCCAAAGACAGCCTATTGGGGAAACACCTCGTTTGGATCTTGTGGTCCAGCCCAGTGCTGGCTTGGGTGATGTTACAGCTTGTTGCGAGAGCAGTGCAGGTGCTGACTTCATGTCTTACGAGTGTAATCTCCCCATCCGTGCAGCACGTGCATTCATTTACACGCCAATTGGATATGTTGGGTGGGAAGTCGGAGCACGTGCTTTTTATCTGAGAGCTGGATCCGACGCTCATTACACGACGTTTTCTATTTGATGCCACGCCCCCGGAGACTGAGCAAACAGTATAAGGTCGCATTCGCCCGCCATGCCCCCATCCCTCAAGCATTCACTGCCTCTCGACTACATGGGCTCGTCAGGGAGCCGCGGTTCATCCCAAGTATCTTAGAATCATCTGAATCGTGTAACCTCATGTACTGTTCGCTGATGCTGATTGGGTCATGTGAATGGTGTTCGCCCCGAGAGGGCGGTTCAACCACTGTACAGCTGCGAACTGACCGACGAGGAACCACATTGATTGCAATGAATGGCTGCCTTGGTCTTTCACATAGGCCTCCCGATAAGTTTCTCTATATTTTCATAATAGGCCAGTCTGCAAATATAATTGAGCACTGGTCGGCAACCGCGAAAGTACAGGGAAGCCTGGGACTGACCTGAGCATGGATAACGAGACTCCTAAGCGCATCATGGATACGGCTGGCAATGCGGGCGAGGCGACCCCGAGTAATCCGATACCGAAACCTCAAGTCAGCTCTGACATCAGATTGGACCCGGGTCTAATTGAAGGTAACATATGTGATGCTCGAATGCGTCACGGCTCTAATATGTCGGCAGCGCTCCCTTTGTCTGTATCGGAGGTCCTCTCGGCGCGACACTACGGTACGTCTCTATGGGGTCAGACGGTAAAGATCCAGATTCAACTACCATGCGGGGGCCAGAAGAACTACTTGCTGAAGGCATGACTTTTCTCGTCATAGTGTACTCACTGGTTGCTGATACAGAGCTTCAGATAGTACGTCTTGGTAGTAGGGGCCGCGCAATGATAGAAGGAGAGTATGAATCACTGAAGGCCCTTTACGCTGTCTCGCCCACATTCGTACCAGTTACTTATTCTTGGGGCAGTTACAAGAACAAGGCGACCGGCGTGCATACACACTTCCTTCTCACGCAGTGTCGTGAAATTGCCGACCAGCCTCCTAACCCGGTCAAGTTCACCGCTCGCCTTGCAGAACTCCATCGAAACTCCAAGTCGCCGACGGGGAAGTTCGGCTTCCACATCACCACCTGTCACGCGAAGTTGCCGCAGCTCACCGACTGCTGGACGGAGTCATGGGAGACCTTGTACAAAAAACAGCTTGCGCACATGGTTCACGTGGACGAGGAGGAACATGGAGCATGGCCCGAGTTCCGACAGATCTGCAAGCTTATTCTCGACAAGGTCATACCGTTGCTGAGCGAGAGTCGCACCATCAAACCATGCCTTGTTCATGAAGATCTATGGGATGAGAACACAGCTACTGATATGGAGATCGGGGAGCCTTTCGCGTTCGACGCTGGCGCCTTCTACGCCCACAATGAGTACGAGTTGGGCAATTGGAGAGCTGCGCGGAATAAACTGAGTGCCAGGATCTACGTGGATAACTACAAGAAGAACTACCCACCCTCTGAACCAGGTACATATGTTTACTCTTATGCAGACGACCATACCTCTTCTCCGTTGAGCAGTGTACTGACTTCTCGGTTAGTGGACGAGTGGGACGACCGAAACTTGCTGTACCCGTTGCGATACGACCTGGGTTATGCAATCCTCTTCCCCGGCTCGAACACGCGTCTGGTGTAAGTTCCCGGCGCATTCAACTAGGGATGGTATTGGGCTGACCGCAGTACGTAGCATGAAGGAAAACATGGCTCTGCTTTGTGCGAACTACTTCCCCGCAGACTTGCAAGCCCTTCAGACCCGTCACAGGTAGATAAGGCTGCCTGATGGGGTGTGAAGAACTTTTGGAATTGGCTGGAGGAATGTGTATATAAGGGGCTGTGTTTCCGCGCCCCACGTAAAACCAGGCGTTGAGCAAATCCCTGCGGCGCATTGCAAGGCCAAGACACGTCAGGCAGACTGTAGGGCTGTCAGCCATCCTTTAATAGCGCCTTGGTGATTCAATGGAGACTCAAGTAACCCGTTGTGGTGTCATTTGGCAATTGAAACCCCGTGAGGCGCTTCTAGACGCTTTCTACGCGGTCGCAAATCTCCTAGCCTCCTGTCATTCATCCACATTGTTCTGTGCGTCTTCGTGGGCTCGGAGTGAATGCAACACGACCACATTCTTTACTTATAAACTCAGTCAAAAGGCACACTCACCCACTCCCCATCGAGCATATTACCGTACACCTAAAATCGGAAGATACGAGAACACACCTATCACAACCCCAACGAGATATAAACGGGCAAATACATTATCTCGACGATGCGCAGCTTCTTGCGAGTCTCCACACTACTGTTAGTAGCTCTCTGCGTCGCCACTGCAGCCCAGAACTCAACGGCGACTACACTACAAGCCGTAGCTGTGCCCTCAGCGACGAACGGCGAGATACACGAGAGCGACCCGGCCGTATCCATAACCAATCTCCACATTCTCGGCCCGCCCCAAGACGACGATGACGGGGAGATCAACTACAGCACCGAGGACGGCGGCGATGTCGATCTGCAACAGAAGAAAGGGGGCGACGCCGGCGGAGGTCATGGGTCCTCATCAGGAGGCGGACATGGGACCGGAGGCTCTGGCGGCAAAGGGGGAGGTGGTGCCGTCGTCATAGGCTCGGGGTCGACGCATCGTTCAGCAGCAACCCGTCGCGGACGTTGCGCACTACCATGCGTTCTGATGGCGATTGGGAGCCTGGCTGTCGTCTTCTCTGCCCAGTACATGCTGTAGCCTTGACATCAGCTTGGAAGCGGGTAGCGGACATTTTTTTGGAAGGGACACCAAGCGAGGATCGGAGTTTTGGCGGTAGCTTGGTTTTTTGGTTGGGCTTGGATTAGATACCATGGCATAGGCGCAAGTCATTTGGGGTTTATGTACTGGGCTATACCCATCACTTATCCATTTCAATGAATTCATACTCATATTTATATCTTCAACCTACATATTGGTGATGTTCAATCACAAGTCTCAAGTTCGACGGAACCTGCTGGCATTCTCACGGTGTTTGTATACGGGGTAATTGTTCAGAATGTACTTGATTAATGGTTTACACTTGGTCTCGTTGGTCTCGCATCTAAAAGCAAGACGGTACACCACTCTTCTCTACTTCGGATCCTGTGCCCACGCATTCTCCGTTCGCAACTTCTCCTCTCCCTCAGGGATGAAGTCGTTGACAATGCCGAACTGATTGCGAATCTCTTGGGTGGATTTGCTCTTGATCATGTTGGCAACTATTCTGCAACCATATGCGAGAAGCAGGGGGATGTCGAGGTAATTGGCGGCGGTTATGACAGCGAAGAGTATATCTGACTCGACCTTGAAGTAATCTTGAACCCATTCTGGGATCTCCTCCGGAGTCTTGACCTTCTGCTTGAAATCATCTTGGTCGGGCTGCGCCTCGTTGCGAAAGTGTTCGCACCACTGCATGACCTTGGCAAGTACATCGCCCTTGACGTTCGGAATGGGAATCGCCGCTTCGAAACCCATGTCTCCGAAATTTAGAAGCAGATTGTGGATGAGGATGCTCTGGTTTGCAGCAGGGAGGCTCGCGGTGACAATGACTTGGTCGTTGCTTGCAAGCACGATGGTGGGGGCGTCGTTGGCCATTGTGGACGTGGGTAACTGAGGTAGAGTGCTTGCTGACTTCGTGGAAGGATGGTAGTTGCGTTGATGTTGTCGACTGACCAGATGATATTGTTGTGTGTTGTGGAAAATGATCTGGGAATTGGGTCCAATGTATAGATATACATAGGTGTTTCGTACGGTCGCACAACAATGATAGCAGCTTCTTTGAAGCCACAAAGCCAATATACAATCCGTTGTCCTTCTCATCTTTTGTCAGAATACCTGCTCAGTGGCTTATTTAGCGTAAGCACACAACTACCTAACATTGGTCATCCTGATTCCTGTATAACCACCTGATAAAATAGCTGTCAGAGGTCACTTTCCTGCTTATTTGAGTGGGAAGGTACCCCCTTCGGCTATACTTTTCCTCTTCTAGTACAGACCGGTCTTAAATTTGACATGTCTTGCTTTGTTACCTCATGGTGAATGACCTCAATAATAAAGTCGTCCTTGTTCACTCTATCGGCTTATGGCTCGTGGAACAGCATTTTAATGAACAGGTCAAGTAACAAAGGGTATTGGAAGCTATCAATATCCCTTCCATTTACCTAAATGTCTTACCGTGCGTGCGCAATGGACAACAAGATGTGAGATCCTGTTGTGCTTTCTCATATACCTTTATCATTTATGAAGCATTCATTCATCAACTTGACACAGACCAGGGGCCAGGTAAATAGAGTACGCTTCCCTTGGTCGACGGTATCCAAATCTTGCCAGCTGCAGCGCCACGCCCGCTCAAGAGACAACGTCACTCTGGAGAAAACTCTATGTCAAAGACTCAAAGCCAAGACCGTGTTCTTCTTCAGAGTTCTCCAGTAGTCCCCGTACTGCTACACTGTCCTTCAAGATCTCATCAAGTTTCTGCGACTGCAAACTCTGATAAAACGTCTCAGGAGTTAGAGATACTCCCCCACAACCCTCAACCCTTGGTGACGCCGTCGTTTGCCAGCAATTCGCCGTGAAAGGCTTAGCTAATTACGGACCGGCGGCATGCCCGCACGAAACCCACATGGTGTCAGGGAACTGGAAGCGAAGCTAGAGATAAGGTTTTGGACCGTCTCAAGCCGTGCTAACGTGATGGGGTCTGGCGATGTCGATGGCTTGATCGATATACGCAGATTATTACCAGGCCACGGATCGATCACTGATCAAGATTGGACATGACTCTGCAACCCGCTCCCGCACGTGGATACGGCGCGAACACCGCCAACGCCAACCTTATTATAGCAATTTAGCAGTCTAGATCCCGCCTCCAGGAACCCTAAAGCCCAACGGCTCTTTTCTCGGGATGCGGGAGAGTATTTACGCTGAATGTTCTTCATTCCGTTGTTTTAGTTGCGATAGCTGCTTTCTTCTCATTGTGACATGTCCCTGACGACTCCCGCGTCTGAACGTACCCGAGCCATGAACCTACCTTCCTGCCAGCGTAATGAGCAAGTTCAGCGAGCCTTTCATATTGCTCGGCGTCGGCTTAGCTGTCATCGGTCTGCGCACCTATGCGCGCGCCAAAGCCGTCGGGATCAAGAATTTCATGGCGGATGACTATTTGATGCTAATAGCAGTTGTAAGTTGCTACCCTGTCTTACGCCTTTACGAAATCTGTTCTGATTCCGGACGCTTCAAGCTACCATACGTGGTCGAGATCGTTCTCGCCTACATCGTAGTCGTGAGGTGGAAAGCTCTCGCGAACAACAGCATGACGGGTGCACACCGAGCCACCCTCGACCCTCACGGCGAAGAACACATGTTGAGGTGGGTAAAGTTGGACTAAGACCTTACCGGGACAACCGCTGATGTTGATCAGGGTCAATGGCTCGAAAGCCTCAGTCGCCTATTGGGTTATCTACACCTTAATATTATGGATCATGAAGTTTGCCATGCTCGTATTCTGCCTTCGTCTGACCGTAAGTCATCACCACGATCCCCTGTCTCATGAGGCCGTGCCGACTTTGGGACATCGCACCGCTGACGACGTCTAGGAACGACTGGGCAAATACAGGAGACGAATACAGTTTGGATTTCTCTTCGTTGGGATCACGTGGATGATCGTGTTTTGCTGCATCATGTTAAGCTGCCGGCCACTGAACCGATATTGGCAGATGTACCCCGACCCTGGTGGTTCGTCCCCATATCCGAACCTCTGGGAATCCGATACTGACACGGCTATGAAGCTCATTGCCACCCAGTGGTCTCTCCGATCAACCTCTTCGTCACGCTGAGCCTGAACGTCGCGACCGATATCTACATCCTGGGCATACCACTACCGATCCTGTGGATGGCCAACATCAAAATTTGGAAGAAGCTGGGCCTCATCACGCTGGTATCGGGTAGCATCTTCGTGATCACGGTGGCCAGTATTCGCTGTTACCTTATTTTCTCCAATACAAGGACGGGCGCTCGGCAAGCGGGCCCGTGGACGGTGCGGTCCACCTTCGTCTCGATCGTGACGACCAATCTGCCCTTGCTCTTCCCACTATTTCGTAGGTGGATGACACCGGCCCTGCACCTATTTTTCGGTCGGAGATGGAGCGAGGAGAACATGCGAAGCTTGCGGACCATCACAACTCTAGTTGAAGAGCCTATTGTGACGGGTCAGCTCCATGATAATGCTCCACATTCCAGGAGTGCAGACAGCCCGACCGCAATGGTCATTATTCCGGTCAAGAGCGTGGAGGATGTGGACGTGGAAGATATACCCCTTGACATTAGTAGCATTAGCGAGGCGAGTGGAGGTAGCGGTGCAGGAAGTGTGGCCAACATGGTTTGATTGACGGAACTGAATGAACGATAATCATAATACGATGGATACCACTGAGCAGGTGACGATCACATCTGCCACTCTAGACCCGTGGTGTCCTAAACGCTGGTCCCGTTGACTACCGACCATGCACCCTCCAAGTAGAGACGATCCAGCTCCCCAGCGACAGTCGTATTGCTGACCGCCATCTTCAGCCAGTGCCGGTCCGTCACCGCCTCATCGTACACCCACTCATTAGAGCCGTTCGGATGTACGTAGTTATAACCGTACTTGTTTCCATACTCGAAAAGACTCCCCAGTCCATTCACGGTGTAGAGCACGGTCAACGGATCCCACGAGAAGCGTGGCGTGCCATACGTATACCATATGTAAGCCTGTCGCACGGGGTCGCCGGGGGGCCCACGACTCATCAAGGGGCCACCCGACGTAACATTGCCGCCTAACTCGGTCCCGGAGAAGACCATGGGCCCTTTCCAGTTATTGACCACGTGCGCGGTAAGGAGAGGGTTGTCTCCCCAGAAGTTGAACTCGTAGCCTGAAGGATACCCGCCGCCCATGACGACCAGCTCCGTTACCTTCTCTGCGATCAGACTCGGTCCATCCAAGTCGGAGTAAGAGTCCGCCGTCGAATTTAACAGGCCGGACAGCTGCCAGCGCTCACCGTCAGTCACCCTATCGGCATTCACGGCATTCATTGCATTCGTGGTAAGAGGATGATTGGTCGTCACCCACATTCTCAAAGAACCCGATCGAAGCAATCGTCACGCTCCCGTCCTCAGCCTCGGCCAGCACCTTCCGATACAGCGTCACGGGATCCCAGGCCTCCCCGGCGCTGCCCCACGGCAGACTGCCGCCGGAGTAGCGATACGCGACCTTGCTCGCATACTCGCCCAGGTCGAAGGCCCACGAGTCGAAGAACGACTCGTTGGTCAGAGGCCGCCTGATGCCGATGGGGACGTGCGCGTGGTCGTAGTGCGCCAGAATCGCGGATGCCGCGAGCGCGGAATACGTCGAGGGGTAGTTGATGTTCACTGCGAGCAGGTTCACCGCTGGTGAGGTTACGGCTAGGAGGAGGGCGCCCGAATCGCTGGTGGGAGCATCAGTAGGAGATAAAGCGCGAGAGTCGGGAGGCAGTTTGCTCACTCGACATCACTGAAGAGATCGGTGTCTATGATGAGGTTCTTGGCGAGGGGCTCGCAGAATGCCGCCGTCCACAGGCGTGAGAAGCAGGCCGTCCAGAGGACGAGGTTCCGCATCATGATGACTGCTGAGGTGCAGAAGCGGTTCCCGGATGAGAGAAGCATCGGGGTAGCTATCAGGCATCAAGGACCTCATTGAAGTACTTCATCCACCCCCGGCGCAAGGACCCGATTCCTCGGTGTCGTCCGAAGGTATGAAATGAATTCGTGCGTACCCGATCGGCAGCAGGTGGGGAATGCGAACTTATTACCCGCCCTTCTTTCGGGCGAGTCGGGGAACTTGTTATCTTATGCAGGGGTTGGACCTTACTCACCCCGCGCCAACGCCGACAATTGTGTTTCGATATGGGATTCGTACCCCTTCGAAAGACGCCGTCTCTCACACAACAACGAGGTCATAAAGCTGGATACGAATAGGTATGGGGACTCGGGGAACAAGTCTGTCCTTGACGGTAGAAATCGAAAGACTGTTAGTTCATGGCCAATTCTGACCAGGTAACAGGGTATGGAAGGAGCACTGCATAGTAATGACCAGATAGGGGGTATAAACTGTTGCTGGTATTAAGAAACTGAAGTATGTTCATATATATGTCCCAATCCCCTTCCTGCCCGTCGTAGTAAACCAGACCGCCGGTCAGTTGTGAGATAAACTAACACTCCACATGTGTTGTACATCCCATTCGAAACCTATTCGAGCCTGAACCGAGCCCCTTTGGAATCAACGAAGGTCCCTAATACACCAGTGTCACCACTGAAACCGATGACAGCTGGATCATCGCCCGCCGTGCAAGCTGATCGATGAAGAGGCTGTTGAGATTGAACTCCTTAGGCGGTGACACCGACGGGGGTCTGGCACAGGACGTCCTGCCCGAGAACGGGCAGCACGCAGCAGCGGGCCTGCTGGCCGATGGCCGCGCACACCGCGCTGAAGTCGGCGGCCGAGGTCGGCACGGCGGACGGGTTGGCGCAGTTAAGGTCGGCGACGCCCAGGACGTCTGTCGCGCAGCACTGCTCGGTGCCGTAAAGACCCGAGCAGGGTGTGTATGTCTGTCGGGAGTCGAGGTCGGCCGGGGCTGCGAGGGCCATGCTGGCGAGGAAGGTGGCGGCGAAGGCGAAGAACTGCATCTTGACGGTGGAGTTGAAGTTGTTTGGTTTGGTTTGGCTTGGTGGGAAAAGGTTGAGCGGGTGAATGGGCTTTGAAGCTGGGCTGTTGGTTGGATGTATGTTTGAGATGGTGATGTTGATGATGATGGAAAACAAGACAGAGATGGCGAGGAGGACGACGTGGTTTTATAGACGATTGACCCCTTACTGTCTATCCTGCTCAGGCTGCCTCCTTTCCACCTTCGTCATTGTGCTCCATGGCTGTTCTGTTCATGGAGGACAATGAAGAACTTGGTTGGTCCATCTACCCATGTGTTACCGGCCCAGAGTCGATACGTGCGGACCTTGTTTCTCGAAGCCTTCCTGGGTCGCAACCAAGTGACATTCGCATTGCCACAGGAGATTTGACGCAGATCGGATCATAGAGCTTGACCAGTATAGCTGCTGTCCAAGGTTGGGTATAAAAATGCAGATCACGGTGCGCTTACCTTGTTCGAAATTCGATATGAGCCCCCCTGCCCCCCTGGACCAGGCGATGAACGAGCCCATCGATGTCATTCATGCAATATCAATGCAGTGAAATTGTTGATGTGATGTCAATAGGGCATCACCTCGTAATTGATACCTGCTTTGGCATGGTAAGAGCGTCATGCTGTTCCCAAGGTCCGGAACGAGAAGCCATAACCCTAGCAACACTGTTGACGACGACGTTCGAATACGGCAGCGAATAGTAAGCAGCGGTCGAGCATCTGAGCTATGGACAAGGCCCTGATGAAACGGGAGACTCGGCCCCACAGCCAGGGGAAGGATACGCGGCTGCAAGGGACTGAACAAGGAGCAGCCGAGCAAGGAGGCCGAGTATCGTGGCACCCAGCAACAGGCGTCACAGGTCAGCCCACGATGCACCCTTCTTGCATCAACGTGCATGAGAAAGCCCCCGAGAGCCGCCGTCGAGGCTGTCATATATCTCACAGATATCTCCTGTACCGGTAGTTGCTGTAGATTCTGCTGGCGTACAAGAGGATCAGAGAGACCGGCGCCAATGCCTGTTGTCTGTTATGGGCTCAGAGCAGGTACAATGCCAGTGTCATGCCGGCTTGTAGTCGACTTTGTGACCGGCCGGCATTGGAGATCCAGACCATCTGAACAATTGGTGAGCGTGTCGTACCACGGTCCACCATATCCACCCATCGGAGGGTCGAAGAGTCTGGATCTGATCTCCGAACAAAGTGGCGAGAGTGGATTGCCCGAGCCCCCGCGAGGATTGCTCATGGTCCAGCCCGCAAGGTGAATACGGTGCTCGCATTAACACCGATAATCTGACGATGTCGGCCATGTTGCCCAGGCGGGGGCTGATCGACATATGGCCGGCGAGACTGTAAGATTCAGGGGAAGAGGCACAGAGAGAAGACGTCAAAAAGATTGCATGGGAGGCTTGTTCAGGCATGGAAAACAGGAAAATGCGAGGGGATCGTCGTCGGCATTTCCCCATAGGACTTTGGACCTGGAACGCCAGGCTGCCCGGCTGCCAGCCGCTCGTTGGATGAGCCACAGAATGAACGACCTCGACGACCAGAAGACAGTCGCATCGCAAGCTCACTGCCAAGTATCTTGAGGCTCCAGGAACCTAAAGCGCCCCTGATGACTGGCGGACTTGTGGAACTGTTGAGGCCGCCGCTGGGCACACCCCACCCTTCACTACTCCATCCTCACCGGCCGAAAAACTTCGTGCTCCGCTGTCTTCGGTTGAACCCCTGCGCTACATCAGATTCAAAGATCGGTGACACCACGCCGACAGCGTCATCGCATTCCCTTTCCATCCAGAACATTACCATGAGAGGAAATTGGCCCCCCATAGGCAGGCTAGGGTAATACCTGGTGTTTTCCATATGCTTCGTGTCTGTGGTCGACTGTGACACTGGATATCCGGCGTCCAATATCGACGATGCGGACTGCATGCCGGCTCTGTCCCCATATTGCCCAACGTTGAACGCCCTGTCTTGGCGCAGGCTGTCGTGTGTTACGACAGGTTGCGCTGAGGGCTTCCAGCAGAGCGGCTAAAGTCTGGATCAAGACGTCAGAGAGCAGGCCGTCGTCAATTCGAAACGGGCAGTTGCCTTGTTTTTCTGGCTCACAACTGGCCGACCTTGACCAAATCTACCCGTGTAGTCTCAAGATGCGGTGAGATGGGCATCCTCGATGCTTGACATCTGCTGTGCTGCCTTGCATCACATGCATTTATGTTGCACTGCCTCACGGAGCGGCATTGCACAACAGGCCAGATCGCCCTCGGAGAATAATCATCGCAACCTACTTCTATCGTCGCCCTCCGAAGGCGAGAAGGAGCCTGTGAGCTGGCATACGGTGCCGGCGCGTCGCAGTTCGTGGCACTCCGTCGGTGGCGCTGTAGGACGACGATGCGGAACAGGCTCTCCGATAACTGAGGCAGGCCATCCTGCCAGTCTGCATTCCCACTTCCCGCATCCTTCGTCCCGAGCGGTGACTCCAGACGGTCGGAAGGATCGTGGCTGAGAAGATCCTATTCAGACGGCGAATCGCGCGGAATAGTCTCTTTTCGTCTGTACACCAGGTGGCTGCCTAAGGATGATGCAACCCGTTCCTCGGCTGTAGCGCGCGAACTTCGCGATGGCGAGGAAGGGACCTGAATCAACCATCCCTTAGCGAAGAGGGAGCCCTATCCCCCTCCATGAGATCCAGGCGCTGTTCGAACCTCATACTATATGGCTGATATCCGAGGCTCACGATCGTGGCTCCCGCAAAGCTATGAGGTGGGCATGTGAGAGTCAGGGTCTCATGCGAAGCCCAGTCCATTCAAGAAAGCTATCGATGTGTCGAGGAGCGTACAGCCCATGATCTCGAAGGACTACTGGTAACTCCTGTGGCAAGCTGCCGCCTCTGTGTCGCTTCAAGAATACTACCGAGACTACTCTTGTCCAAGGGTAGTCTGTTGGTTCAACGTGTCTCACCGTCCTGACGATGCGCAGGTGTTCTGGATGATGCCGAAAACCGATCACGATGATGTCACGGCCAGACAAGCCGTCCGTCCAACAATCCGGCAGACACGACCTCTCACCCGCGTGCAAATGTAGAGAGTGAGACATCTGTCGGCTGATAGAGCTCACATACTGAGCCACATTGCCACTCAGGCGGTCGCGAAAAGCCATCCAGCATTGATGGATCCTTGTCCATACCACTTGGCAATCGAGCGTTTGGATTGGGTGTCCGGTAACAGAAAGCAGGCGGCTGATGGAAGAACATCCCTAGAGCTCATCACTCGTCCTCGAACCTGGATTGTCCACGGGTGTGGTTGAGGGTGCCAGCCGCGAGACTGTGTGGGTGTTCCAGAGATGTTCAGAGTGCACGACGGCCCGAAAAAGATCGTCGAGCCGGCAAACCGATGAGAGCAGGACACAAATGGCCGATAGGAAAGCGAAAAGCTACAACAATGGCAAATTTAGGCATCGAATGGTAGGCGGACGCCAAGTACTATTACATGTCTCTCTTCGTCTATCGTTGCAAACTATTTCCCATGCCCAACTCGCACCACTCACCACCGGGCCCGATTATGCGTAGAAGTTGACCGTCTGTGAATACTGTTAGCCTGGCAGAACACAAGAGCTGAGTATAAGGCGACGAGCTTACCTCCTTCTTCTTTGCCTGCACCTCGGCGATGGCATCCACGTAATGTTCGTGGCTGATCTTGTTCTTGCCCATTCGCAGGGCAATCATACCAGCCTCGACGCAGACAGCCTTCAACTGGGCACCACCGAACTCGTCCGTACTCCGCGCCAACTCTCCCCAGTTCACGCCACCATCAACCTTCATCTTGCGCGAGTGGATCTTCATAATCTGTGCTCTAGCCTCCTCATTCGGCAGGGGGAACTCGATCTTGCGATCCAGACGACCAGATCGCAGAAGGGCAGGGTCAAGAACATCGACACGGTTCGTTGCGGCGAGGACCTTGATCCGATCATCCGAGGCGAAACCGTCAAGCTGGTTGAGCAACTCCAGCATAGTTCGTTGAACCTCGCGATCACCGCTCTTCTCGCTGTCGAAACGCTTGGTACCCACAGCATCCAGCTCGTCAATGAAGATGATAGCTGGCGCCTTCTCCTTAGCTAATGCAAAGCAGTCGCGCACCAGCTTCGCTCCATCACCTATGAACATTTGCACCAACTGGGGGCCGGCGAGCTTGAGGAATGTGGCATCGGTCTGGGCGGCGCAAGCTCTGGCGAGTAGGGTCTTGCCCGTTCCCGGGGGACCGTACATCAAGGCGCCTATAAGTATTTCAGTGAGCATATAGCACCGCACTGTAGAGGCCAGCACGACATACCCTTGGGAGCTTTGATTCCAATCTTCTTGAAGCGTTCAGCCTCCTTCATGGGCCAAACGATAGCCTCGACCAGCTCCTCTATCTGTTTGTCCAGCCCACCAACATCGGTGTACTTCTCCGTAGGCTTCTCATCGACCTCCATAGCTTTGACTCGCGAGTCGTATTCGGCTGGTAGTGTGTCGAGGATAAGATACGAGTCCTTGTTGACACCGATTAGGTCGGCGGGTTTGAGAGTATCCGCATCGACGAGACCGATCAGGGGGAGGAAGATAGTTTGCCGCGTAGACGTCTTGATGACAGCCGACTTGCCGACTCGTGTGGCGTCCAAGTCAATGTTGGCACCTTCTTCGGAGGATTCGGCGGTAGGGTCGAGGTCGAGCAGCTCAACGACGTTGCCGACCAGGTAAGGTAATTGCCTGCAAGAAAGTCAGCAAGACACAGTGGGAGACACCAGAGTATGAGCAGGACGAACCGGTTGTTGGCAATCTTTTCCATGTTCTCCTTGATCTTCTCCCCCATGGTCGCCTTCTCGTGTGATAACCGTTGGTACTCGCTCTTCATGATTCTGGCGTCGTTCTCAAGTAGACGTTTGCGGGTTTGTAGATCTTGTGTGCTGAGACCCAGGATTTCCCCATCCAAGATCTCGTCTTCCTCCGGTTGGGCATCCTCCATCTCAGCATCACCGTCGACGGCCGCTTTGTTGGATATGTTTCCGGCATCGTCGCCTCCCTGGGTATCCTTGTTGTCCTTACCGTCGTCGGACCCACGGCGCTCAACGCCCTCCGTACCTTGGGTGCTCGACATGGCGAATGTGCTGCGGGAAGACAAGGAACGGCTTGCGAAGATGGTAGGCTAGATGGACTCGGTAATCGCAGGTGCAGGCTTGAGGAGTGTTGGAAAGTGAAGTCACTGCGCGATGTGGTGTGTTGCTGAATGGAGGATGTTTGATGCTGATGCTGATGCTGATGGCAGCCCGAGATGGCAGATGGACGTTCAACGGAGCTCCAAGCTGCAAAAGCGCAAGGCCAGGCCCGAGCTCCCCAAGGCACCTGCAGTCAGTCGTGTCGCGTAATCAGGTGCACTAGACCAGATATGCATTGAAAGGGCATAGGCAGATTATGAAAGAGGGTGTGGCTCCTCAACCCATTTTCCAGCCACAATGACGGATGGGTCACGAACCAGGTACAAGGTACCTTGGAGCCCAACAGGTACCCGTTTGTACCTGATTTGTACCCAACTGGGATTATAGCTACTTCTGGGATGGGAGCACCACCCATCCTTCCTTTCAATCAAGCAACTTCCAGAATACAGACCAATAGCCACCTATCGTGACCCTGGTCCTTATTCTGGATACCGCTACCACAAGGCACACAAGTGTGGATCCAGTGCATGGACCCATATGGAGTATTCTGGTAACCCCACCAGATATGTTGGAGGTTACCTGATGAAGGCTGCCTGGCAACCCTTTGTTGCCCCAGGTACCTCACCACTGTAATTTAGGTATTTAGATACATCTCGGATGGAATCCTTTCCATCCGACCTTTTAATGAAGCACCACCCAGACCACTGATAGATTACAACAAGACTTGTGATTTGTCAGCATCTGGGAAAGCTACCAAAAGGCACACAAGGGTCTCGACTAAACAGTTTAGCTGCATATTTCGTACCTACCCGCTAAAGCAGTACGGGCCCCGTCACCTGCGAGTTCCGTCCCGTCATCACTTCCAGGGAGCTCCCGCGGCGCGCCAGCTCTTCCGAGGTCCATGTTCACCTCAATGCCGTCTCTTTCAATGACACAATCAGCAGGTTGCGCTTGATTCCAAATATCTGTGGATTGTTTTTGACTATACTTCCAGTCGCCAGCCAACCAGCAACAGATCTTGCCGTAAATCGTCACGCTGGCTAGCTTCATCTGGTCTCGAAAACAGGCTCCCGTCACGGATGCCGCCGATGCGACTATAGGTAGCGCTTCCACCTCGAGAACTGCTCGTGATACATGTATCATGACTGAGCCTTCTACGCACCCCAAACTGACGCCGCAGTTCTGCTTCACAACTGTAGCTCTCAGAGGTACGATCGCTACGGCCTGTACTATGGATAATGCTCGCTAACACCTGCTCCTTCAGATTTCATCCGCGTATCCCGGGGCGCGATCGACGACACCATGGTCCAGAACCTGAATGCGCTCGTGACGCCGGCGCAATCAGGTTTCGACCCAGCCTCGACGTCTGTGCGAACTCCGAGGGCGTCTCCGAGACAGATCGATCCTCGGTCATGTCAGTCGTTTAAAGAGAAGGTCCTCTTTCCCTCGTGGCAGTCGAGGTCCGACGTTTTGACATACTGTGCCTATGTGGCGACGAGTCCGGACCCCGATGACCCAGAGATTGGGCTGCGAGCTGCCGAGACGGAGAGGAACCGGGAAAAGGTAGTCGACGAGCGGCTGGATCCATATTCTGGTCGATATTTCCCCCGAGAGCCTCGTACGGAGAGACTGGCCTTGTTGTTAAGGCAGGAAAGAAGTGTTGAGAACATTGTTCGAGCTCGTACCTGGGGCCTTGTTCGGGAGCGGTGCGATGGCAGTCCAGACGAGGCCGAAGAAGCTTTGAACAAGTGGCGGGACAGCAAGGGGGGCCGCAGTCGATGGCAAAGCATGAAATAACTGTGCCCAAACGGAGCTTGCTGGTGCCTGATAGATGTCAGGATACATTCGTGTATAATTGAAGCTAATAATACCCCCCACCTCTACGATGTATTATACATGTACTCTACCCAAGCGGTGTATCCAGGATCCGGGACTTGGATAGGTTCGGAAATCAATGGCATCATACCATTTTTGCCATCTTTCCCACCTGGGTTCATGCTTGCAAAATGTGTCTATTCTGCGTTTTGTACTACAGAGTACATAAGCTGGGAGGTTTCTGAAAATTTGCTCTGATAGTTCGCTTCATTGGAACTTCAATGGCGCTGTGAAGACGGCTGAAGTTCTGAACGGCTTTGGTCACCTAACGGCTGCGACGCTCTCCTCCCAGATTCAATGGATAAGCCAAGCCGAACGTGTAGGTACGGCTCAAGCCTAATGTCAAATTAGAATGATATCGAGACGCGTATATCCTAATGTAGGGACACACTTATCTAATCTCACCTTGGTTAAGAGCGCATATTATGTAGGGGGGGGGATTCTTGAATTCGAATGCATACCCAAGATTACCTCTTATTAGGTATGTATATAAACGCGGCAGATCCTCGGTATCTGAACCAGGTAGCTCCAAAATTCCTGAGACATCCCACTTCAAACTTGACGCTACCAGGCTGCCAGCGCCAAATCGCAAAGCTCACCCCAGCTGCCCAGTAGCCTACCAGTCACCAGTCACCACCAGTAGGCCCAGCTCGAGTCGAACACATTCTTCACTGTTCAGTGCCGGCACACCAAATCTACCTAGGACTGCCTTTCCCACAGCCGTCGCTCCTTTTGACAACACAGGCGATCCTGTAAGCATTCTCTGCCCTGCAGTGGAAGACGGAGGGTCACGCGCCTAACTTGGAGTTCAAACAGCTAGCTGCCTGTTGCACTGCCGCTTCCGCTTCCGCTCCCGACGTCCCACGTACGAACCACGCACCACGCACCACGCACCACACACCACACACCGGAAGCTCTCCCGACGGCTAGCCTCGACAAGCGCGAACACCCCGAGGCAGCGTACCCTACGGCGGTCGAGTCGAAGCGATCCCCAATCATGCCTCAACCCCTCAGCACCAAGGAGAACTCCCTCTTTCGGCAAGTCATCCGCTACTATGAGGACAAGCAGTACAAGAGGGGCCTCAAGGCCGCCGAGCAGATCCTCAAGAAGAACCCCAAGCATGGCGACACCATGGCCATGAAGGCCCTGATCATGAACCAGCAAGGGAAGACAGACGAGGCGTTCGCCCTGGGCAAGGAGGCCCTGACAGCCGACATGAAGTCGCACATTTGCTGGCACGTCTATGGCTTGCTCTACCGTCATCAAAAGAACTTCGAAGAGGCAATGAAGGCTTACAAGTTCGCCTTGAAGCTCGAGCCCGACTCCCATCAGATCCAGAGGGACCTGGCCTTCCTTCAGATTCAGATGCGCGACTACCAAGGGTACATCCAGAGCAGAACCTCTATGCTGCAGGCGAGGTCCCAAGTGAGACAGAACTGGACTGCGCTCGCAGTTGCACACCACCTGGCTGGCGACCTGTCTCAAGCCGAGAAGGTATTGACGACGTACGAAGACTCCTTGAAGAGCTCGCCCTCCAGGACCGACTACGAAAACTCCGAGGCTGTCATGTACAAGAACTCCATTATTGCGGAGATGGGCGACTATCAAAGAGCTCTGGACCATCTAGAATCCATCGCCAAGTACAACCTCGATCGATTGGCCGTCCTAGAGATGCGAGCAGAGTACCTCGCAAACCTGAAAAAGAAAGACGAAGCCATCAAGGCCTACCGCGCTTTACTAGACCGTAACCCTGAGCACCCCGAGTACTACAATAAGCTTATGGATGTGATGGGGCTAGATGCGAACGATCAGTCGGCACGCAAAGCTATCTATGATGAATATGCTAAGAAGAACCCCCGTTGCGATGGTGCGAAGCGGTTACCTCTGGACTTCCTCACCGGTAGGTAAAGCAAAACGCGAATTGATACGTAATGTCTACTAACGGCTTGAACAGGCGACGCATTCCGGGAAGCAGCTAAGAAATATCTGACGTTGATGTTGGACAAGGGGGTCCCCTCCACATTCGCGAATTTCAAGCATCTATACGTTGACTCTTCCAAGAAGGATACCCTGGGTTCCCTGGCACAGGAGTATCTGGACGCGAAGCGCACGAGCGGAGACACATCATCCAGCAATGGAGACGCACTGAAGGGTGAACCAGCTGGTCTGTACTTCCTGGCTCAGCATTTCAACTACCATCTCTCCCGCGATCTGGCCAAGGCCATGGAATTCGTGAACAAAGGAATCGAGCTGGTACCCGATAGTGTGGAATTCCACATGACCAAGGCTAGGATATGGAAGCATTACGGCAATACACAGAAGGCGTCAGAGACCATGGAACAGGCCCGCAATCTCGACTTGAAAGACCGATATACCAATACCAAGGCTGCCAAATACCAGTTGCGCAATAATGAAAGCGACAACGCCCTGAAAACGATGGCGCTTTTCACTAAGAACGATACTCCCGGCGGTCCCATCAGCGATCTGCTCGACATGCAGAGCGTGTGGTACCTTACCGAAGACGGCGAGGCATCCGTGCGCAACGGGAACATCGGCCTAGCTTTGAAGCGGTTCCACGCGGTCTACGATATTTTCGACGTCTGGCAAGAAGACCAGTTTGATTTCCACAGCTTTTCCCTGAGAAAGGGTCAGATTCGGGCGTATGTAGACATGATTCGCTGGGAAGACCACATTCGCGAGCATCCGTTCTACACGAGAGCCGCACTGGGGGCCATTGCAGCCTACCTTGGCATGTACGACAGCAAACAAATGGTCAACGGGGTCAATGGTTCTGCCGATGCCAGCGGAGACGAGGCCGCTGAGAAAAAAAAGGCCGCGAAGAAAGCCAGGAAAGAAGCGCAAAAAGTTGAACGAGAAGCCGCCGAGAAGGCAGCCAAGCAGGACCCAAACAAGGCCAAAGGAGCTGCCGCAGAGCCCGTCAAGAAGGACGATGATCCGAACGGCCTTAGGCTTGCCGCAACGACTGAGCCGCTAGTTGTAGCCACTAAATTCCTGGCGCATATTCTCGAATTCAGTCCGAAGAACATCGATGGACAAGTTGCCGGGTTTGAGGTGTATCTGAGAAGAGGTAAGGGACTTGGCAACCGACATCAATTGACTGTGCTAACTCTCTCAGAAAAATACCTGCTCGCTCTGCGATGTCTAACCGCCGCTCAAGCCATCGACGCGAGCAACCCCGCCGTCCACGAGCAAGCAGTGCGATTCCGCCAAGTACTCAACTCAAAGCTGTCGTCTCTGCCGAGCAAGGTTGCCGATGTTGCGAAATCTGACTTTACTGCCATTGACGCTTCGACAGACTTGAAGAAGTACAACGTCGACTTCCGAGACAGGCACAAGGACAGCGCACCTCATGTCGTATCTGCTACCAAGGCCAGCAAGTTCCTAGGAGAAGACCAGAAGAAATGCGAGAAAGACTTGCGCGGAGTGCTCGACCTGGAGAGTGCGAACTACGAGACAGCAGCAGAGGCGTTGGGGTTGCTTATGCAATGGCGCAGCAGCGAGGCAGATGCGTTTAAGAAAGCTGCATACGACAAGTGGCCGGAGGTCACAATCTTTGCGTCGTAACGTCGTTCACGCCTATACCTCTCATCCTCCCTTGACTTATCGTCCTGCGAAATATAGGTGGGTTGCCATCCACCCTCACAAGAAGATGAGGAGCATTATTGGATTGCATCATAGTTCTACTCGGGCTCGTAGAGACACTTTGGTGCCACACTACGCATACTATCATGGGCGTCTCGGTCAGAACGGAAAAGCTGTACAGTAGATAGTCACTTCCCTGGCAGACAGGGAACAATAGGACAGGTGCATTATAGACCTCGTAAGTGCGCGGACGGATATGAACTTCGTTCGTGTAGTCTTATTTTCACCAAGTTCGCACCGCACTACATCCGTCTTCCAGAACAGCCAACCCCGAATTGCAATGAGACACGCCCATGCTTCCTCTGCATCGCGCCTTTCCACCTCTCTTTCGACCCCTATTGCTCCATAGCCTCGTGCTGTTTTGCCATCGCCTGTCATGATTGTGTGCGCCGCGTCTTCTGCTTGTTAAAGAGCAAGACATGTAATTCCGCCACAGCCTTTCAGGGTGTCGACTTGCTAGTAGGCATCTCCTCCTGGTCGTGTCCATCCATACGCACAAGCCGGACTTGGCCATTAGACAACCCCTCTTGATCGTTTCCATCATCAGGCACAAGCTTGATATTCATTCTCTGCACAAACGGCCGGCGAATGACGTCCAGAGAATGATGGGCGAGGCTGTTGAATAACATAGCCATCCCTTGTGGTTCCCGCCAGACATCCTGCCATAGAACGTGATATGACACGACACGAGGGAAGGTCTCCAGGCACGAGATCAGGGTATCAAAGTCGGGCACGGGCGCGCCCAGAACGATGCCGACGGCTTTGCGCACCCGCGCGTGCTGCCACAGCCTCTCCGTGACGATCCACGACGGGCCCCTCGCGATGCCGGTATCCCAGATCACCTCGTGACGGATCAAAGGCAGCTCCAGCCACTCCATCATGGTGACCGTGTCGTGATCCAGGTTGAGGTACACAACCCCGCCCTCTAACCCTTCGCGCCAGTTGTATTCCCGCGGGTCATGGATGTAGTTAGACCGGCGCGCTGCCGGTGGCCCGCAGTACACTCGGAGGCGCGTCTTGTAGAACTGCAGGGCTGCGTACCGGCTCTGTCGATCCACGGTGAGGAACGGTGAGACGAGGGCTCTTCGGGGGGCAAGGCGGTTGTGCAGGTGGTCGTAGAGGACATGGCGGCGCGGGCTCTTGGCTAGCAGCGACTGCTTCTAGATCATCTTGCACAGCTCGACGGGCAGATGGGGGAAGCTTGGGAATGTGGCCATGGCTGAGCAGTCGTGTGGACTAATGCATTTTGTTGGAGATGCTTGCGGGGACGACATGATTACAGAAGATCTGTTTGACGATTCTGAATATGCCGATGTTGGTGCTGTGGTTGCGGTCGTCCGTCGGGTAATGGGGACACAAAGACAGGAATACCACTCGCTGCCCTTGCCCAACCCAAATACACACTCGAAGGGAGGCGCAGTGCTGCAGATTGCGATTACTGTAATACATGTCAAAGCAGATGTATGGTCCAAGTACTTACTGCAGGTACATATCGCAGTTCAAAGGAGAAGCTGGGAAGCGCGGGCATCGCCGTCCACCTTCCGCCTCCAGCCCTCTGGACTTTTCACTTTGAAGTCAGCAAAGATATCTCGATCCAGCAGGCTAGGATGCCTTTGAATTAGTCAATTGTCCTGGTCCATGTGGCCGTTTTGTCGTCAATGACTGATGCCATGTCAATTGAACGACGCGGGTTAGTCGAGCTATCGGATCATCGTCAAGCTTCGTCAGCGCCGTCGCTCACATCTGGTGGCGTTCATCACCTCTCAGATATCCACAGCAAGCTTGCCATACTTGCGACCGTCCGAGCTGCCGTACGCCTCGATATGCTAGCATGTATGCTGGATACGCGACGATCACTAGACGAGCATCTGGTAGCTGCTGCGCCTTTGCGTCTCCAACTTCAACCGCGAGGGGAACAGACGGGAACGTCTGATCCCTGGGCCGCCGCAAAGCCCGACGGAAAGAAAGCCACAAATCATCGCTACGGAACTTCCACACCAAGACGGCACAATGCTAAAATGAGGGTTATGTCTTTGAGATGGTTATTCTTCAAGCTTGTTGGAATCGCGGATGTGTAGATGACCTCAGGATACACCTCGGGCTGGAAGTTGCGGACACTTAGAATATAGGTGCCCAGAAAACCAAATTTTCATCCTCCAGTTGATCCTTGAATCAATTGGCCGGTTGGCCTAATGGTAAGGCGCCACTTTCCGGCTCACGGAGCATGGTGGAGATTGCGGGTTCGAGTCCCGTGCTGGTCGCTTTTCACTTTTTGTGCACATGCATCCTAGCTGCACAACTTTCTATGCTGGACATCCGCTTGGGGGTTTTCTTTTTGTCACGATCGTTGGCAAGCGTGGATAGTTGTTGAATTCAACCAAAGCCCTGGAATCAATCTCATTTGCTACAGAGCCTGACTCATAATTTTCAGCCCGTGCTGAAGGATCTTTTGCCTTTCGCTGTGTGGGAAGGTGCAACGCAAAATGGGAATCCATTGTATCTTCTTCACTGCAGACCTGGAGCAGTCAGCTCTCCAGCATCAATACCACCATCAATCAGCTGTGGTAACAACCTCTGGCGTTGGAACACGAGACGCAAGCACCACAACGCGAGCTTGACACGCACAGGCGCCGTGTACGCGTATATCAGTTTCCCGAACTTGATGAACCTACCCACCTACTCATGCCCTCAACACCCTCGCCAGAGTACAGCAGCAACGATGCCTTCTGAGATAACGACCCGCAAGAGTGCGCCAATGAAGCCGGCGCGTTACCACTATCCATCCGACGGCGAAGAACAGAGGCCAGAGATCGCCACCAAAGCAGCACGCAAATGGCGCCCTTCGCAGCCGCCACGATATCATTACGATTCGGACAGTGAGGATGTGCCTACAAAGAAGCGAGGTCGTCCTGACTACGACTTGTCGAATGCCAGGCCCGCCAAACGCATCAGCACCACGCCCCCTTCCCCGTCGCCTGCATCTGGATTAGATGACAAGGACTCTCAGGATGTGATCACAGATCTACAGGCGCAGAATGCCGAGCTGCTTGATTTTATTCGGACATCAAGTCTTGCATTGAAAGCGCCCCCTTCCATCCGCAAGCAACTCGAGGGTAGCCCCAATGGTGCTTCGAAACTCGCGGAAGCGATCAAGCGTGCCATCTCGGACGTTTACTCCCCTCTGGAAGAGGATTTCGATGACCCCTATTCCGGCGTAACCAACGACGACATTAGCTCTGCAATGGTTCCTTTCATCGCCGATATTGATAAGCTTAGCTATCTCACTGACACGAAGAGCACCGACCTTGCCATCGACTGCATGCTTTTCTTAGGAAAACATTCTTTCGGCCAGCTGGAAAAGGAAGACGGCAACGGCAGTAGGAAATCTGACGTGCCTGCCGACGAGCTCATGTACCGCCTCGTGCGAGCACGACGTGAAGCAGAGCCTGACTGGGACTTCTCTGCAGTTCTTAGTGAACTCAAGAAAACGAACGAACTTCTGGACCAGTGTGTTGGGATCGAAGGCTACTTCGTGCGGAGTATCGCGAAGATGGAGAAATGGAGTAAGGCTTCATCTGGGTCTGCCATCGACAGAGACCAGCAGTCGGTAATCGTACTGGATTGAGGTGTGGGAAGCTTCCATTGCTAGGTGAGGAAGCTGTTCTGTTTCGACCACAGCGATCTTCGCTGTGATTTTGTCGTTACATAGGCAAGGAGCGAGGAAGTATCGATTTTTGTGTGTAGGAGCAATGTATTTGTATCGCAAGACCCAACGAATTACAAACCCGGATCAATGCTACCACTCACAATGGTCCGACGCCAGCAAAGTCCAGCATTCATTCCTCTGCTTGAACCGTCTGCTCCGAAACGTGAAGCGGTGGAAGAAGAGGAAGAAGCACCCCCTCAATCCGCGGTTGTCTGCTTCAGCTTTCCAGGTCGCTGCTGCGTTGTTGTGGCCGCTGGTATGTTCAAGCCCAAACAAGAACACTTTCAAAATATGATACGATGTAATCAGTGAGGAGGAATGAAATCAGCGACATGGAGGAGACAAAGAGGCATATCAGGTGACGGCGAAGAAGTCAAGATTCGATACAAGCGGGTCTTCAAAGGCTCAAACTTGGGAGACTCTTGTACAGAGGTTGAGCTAACGGCGGCCTGTTACACAGCTCTCATCAATCTGTCAATGGATGCATGCCGGTAGGAGTTGGTCTCGCAACTTCCACGACGCCCTTGAAGCTTCACCTTCGGCGCGTTCCTCCCAATACCGTCCGCGGATGGCCCCGGACACGGGCGGATCGCACGCCCACACGTTTCCAGTGGCCTTAGCCCAGCGAGGCAGCGGCGGCCCTCTTCGCCTCGTCCACCTTTCCAGTCGCCGTAGAAGTTGTGTTGTCGTAGCATTGAGCGTCGATATTGCACCAGCAACCCGCGTTGCAGGCGATGCACAGCGCGGAGGAATCTACGGGCTCCAAGCTGTAAAAGGCACACGATGAGCTCTCTCGGCGGCAGTATAAGCATTCGCTGCATGTGGCGTAGTCGAGGGGAGCGCTGCAGCCTGAGTTGCAGTATAGACCACAGCTCTGGCAGTCGGGGTCGCAAGAGGGAAAGTCTGCGAGGACGGGCGACAGCAGACAGAGGCCGAGAGAAAGAATAATTGAGAGTTGCATCTTGCCGGTTTTGTTGGATTGCGTGGTGGGTATCGTGAATGCTGGCTCGCGTGCTGGAAGAGAGAGGTACGGGCAGGTTCGGCTGAACTTGGGTAGCTCGTGATGGATGCATATAAGCCTGGAAGGACAGAAGCTGTGCCTTTTATGTCTCTATATTCATAGGGCCCAGGGGGTGGGTAATTCCCCTTTCGGGACGGAGATGCAGCTTGAATCCTTCAATACTACGCTGAAGTGAGCTGAGGTGAGCCTGGACCGAACCTTTTTTGCCATCTTGTACCATCGAGCCACTCAGAAGCTGACCATTGCATGCAGAGTAGCGGCAGCGTAGTATCCGAGGCCGCTGGCCAAAGAATACGAGCTTCAGCCTTCGAGTGATGGTGACCTTTGGACACCGAACCTGAACCGGAGTCTATCAAGGGGAATGACAGGCCGCCTTACCCACCTATGTCTTCAGTCGTTTACCGCCACAAGATGTCTTCGCCTGCCGGGCTTGGGACATGAACATACAATCATCTTTGGGGCAGATCGTGCGTTGAGGGTTTTGATTCTAAGTGCTGTGTGGTGTATGTGCAAAAGGATGTAGCATGGATGGCTTTAAAGGGGTTTATGCTGAATACGGGCTTGCATCAAGAGCCAACTGAGCCACAAATCATGGCACATCGTAAGTTGTGGCTGGTGCAGTCCTTTTTTTTTTTTTTTTTTTTTTTTCTTTTCGAATCTTCCTCTGACCGGGTGCATTTATTGCCACCATCGGAGTATCATCTTCAAGGCGGGCAGCTGAGGAATGGGACTTGTCTGGGTTCACGTTCTCTGTAGTGTCGCAGGGTGAGCTGCTCATCGACGCCATATGATCCATCTCCGGGCAATGCCAATTGTGATCACAAGGAGCACACCGCCAACGTCCGAGTGAACTCCCACCCTTTAATCCTTTTCGCGAGGCGCTTCATGGAAGAGCTTCCAATCGAGCCGCGGGGCATTTTCTGGCAGTCCGACTTCATCACGGTGGACCACGAACAGAAGCTCCTGCAAAAATTTCGGCATGAGTTGCAGTGGCCCGACAGTAAGGGGTCGTCAGCCCGTCTATCTCTGCACTACGGCTACACGTTCGACTACAAGACCTTTGGCGTCGATCCAGACATCCCGTACAAGACATTTCCAGACTGGCTGGAGCCCCTGATCCCGACCTCGGAGGGCCGGCCGCCAGAACAGGTGTGTCTGCAGTATTACCCGCCCGGCGCAGGTATCCCGCCGCACGTCGACACGCACTCGCCGTACGACCAGCTGTATGCGCTGTCTCTGGGCGCGCCGGTGATTATGCAGTTCCGCTTGGGGGATCAGCGGACAGACGTCGATTTGATACCTCGCAGCATGATGCAGATGTCGGGCGACTCGCGCCTGCACTGGACCCACGGTATCAAGAAGCGCAAGAGGGACACGCTGAGCGATGGCATGATACGGCTGCGCGAAGAGAGGTGGAGCATTACCTATCGGTGGTTGCGGAAAGAACCAGAGTGCGACTGCGGCGATGAGAAGCTCTGCGATACGGCGCAACGGCGGCTGGGCATCGAGCGAGAGTATCGGTGGAAGCAGCAAAACGACGACTCGGCAATACCAAACTCTTCCTAAACAATGTCCAACATCACATGTGATCATGTGTTTCATCCTTCGACCTACGCAAGTCACGGCGAACTAATAAATCCGGAGTAAGAGTCATGAAGTCAACAACTGAGCTACATCTAGTCTGCCTACCAGCACTTATCTTCACATGGTCATGCTTGGCGACTCGGTAAGCCCTGCGGAAGATGTTAGTATTCGTGACTCCAGTTGTCATAGACAAATCACTTACATCTTTTGACATCCTCCGCTACCACTGCGACCTCATGCACGCAGTAGCCTGCTCGAGCACCTAGCAAGTTCCCTGAAACGTCACCCGAGCGCGCTTGGCATCCTTGTTCAGTTCCCCCAGATCCAACAGATCACCTGTGCCGGCAGGCGCAAACCGATACACGCCCCGGTCATCGGCCGTGGGTACAACACGCTCTTTGTAATACAAGAGAGGCAATATCGAGCTCTTCCAAAGCATGCTCTCGTCACGAACCCCCAAGAGAGGCTTCACTAGAGTCCAAGTGAGCGCCAAGGCAGTGAACAATGTCAATGCGGAGGGGAGGAGAAGCCATCGCCAGTCTACGGCGAAACACGTCGTTGTCTGCCAAGCCGATCCATTGACGCCCGACATGCTAGATCCATAATCATCCGGCGTTGCAGACTCACCACGGTAATCAGGCGTCGTAGATTCGCCGCGGTCTATACCCAGGTGGAATTTACGGGTGATGGACTGTGTGAACGTGCTCATATATGCATCGACGGCAGACAGTGTCGAACCACTCTGATAGACTGGCTTGATCCAGAAAGGATCACAACTGCTGTCGGGATAACGCAACTCGCCTCCATACTGGAGTGTGCAAGCACCAGAGAACGTCGATTCGGCGAACTCCTGCATGTCCTCAAACCATCTATAATGATCCATGCCGTAGAGACACGGCGTGGGCGCTTTGACGTTGACCATGTCTCCAAGATCTTTGTATTCGTCCTCTTGCCCGTTGTAAAAGGGGAATCGTATAGGGGTCGTGCGATTAAAGCGACGCCGCGGGAGCGTCGTGGCCTCTGGAGCTGAGGAAATATTCTCCTGGGTGTACAGCGAACGTTCCACGAGGCAGGGTGTTTGGATCGATATCATGTCCGCGGGAAATATGGCTATTTCATGACTTTCTTCTTGGTAGACATCACCAAAACCCAAGTCTGGGACATCTTTGCCCCAGGGCAGCAGTGTTTGCGTGGACACGACGGATTCCTCGAGCTCACCATTGCTAACTGAAGCGAAGTACGACTGGACGCACGGGTACAGCGTACATGCAAAGGCAACCCGGGGGACGGTCTGGTTGCCAGCACCCGGGGCCATCAGAATCGTGATGTTCAGAAGCGAAAACGCTGACAAATTGAGGAATTCGGGGCCGAGGCTCTCGGTGGCCCATGACAAATTCATCGCCGAAGACATGTCGGTATTGTACATGACAGTATCGTCCGTGCTCCAGTATCCTGCCCTAATGTCGATGAAGGTGATGTTGTATTGTGTCGCCCACCATCCGCGTTCTTCGTAGGAAACAGTCTGGCCGTGTGGTAGGGTCCAGTAATCCGTGCTGATATTGCCACCGGGAGGCTCATCGGCATAGTGCAGGACCCCCTCTTCTTCTTCCGTGTGAGTCCGGTTGATGTGGGAGGAAATGTCAGCACAATAACTACAGAAGGCAATCGACCTGTGGGTAATCTTTGGACCCCCTCTTGGTCTTGGAAGCTTCTGAATGTGCAGTTGCCGCTCGTGCAAGTTGGCTGGATTCTGGAGTCGCTGCTGTTTGGGTCCGTGAGAGACGATATGATGGCGCCTTTGACTGGATAGCTGACTTCGAGATTGGAGTACCCCACCGTCTGGACGTTTGGGATGAATGCTGTCTGTGTGGGGTCGACGTATGTGCAGTCGATGGTTCTTACGGCTTGTTGCGAGAACGGACCCATGGCTATTGACAGCAGAACGGCGATAAGTGACATGAGAAGGACTGGATTGCGAAGGCCGGTTCCGATTAGTAGGAGCGAGCCCAGGGGACCACGGCTTGCCTTGTCGAAGGTCTGCAATCCGCTCAAAGGTCTTCCGCGGCGGGCAGGCTTCGACCTGGAGCTCCAAAACCACGACCACTTGGCTTGCGATATGATCTCGGATGTCACGGCCATGATGGTCATTCGGCCTACTGTAGACAGTGTCGCCACGAGAGTCGTAAGGTTGATCGGGAGAGTCCAGCTGGATGTTCGTTGGCTGTCGTACGTTCCTAGCAGAGCATAGATTGCTGCTATCAGGTCGATTGAGACGAGTGTCGCGATGATCTCCCAGATCCAGAAGCGGAAGACATGCTGTCTAGGGCGCCAGGCTCCGCTGCTGCTTTCGTGCCATCACCGACACCAGATGCTGATCCTTTTTCATGCTCATCCTCATCCTCACCGTCGTGTGCATTTACCGACTGCCGCCCATCGTGATCAATGAGCGCCTGGTTTTGGTGATGAACATTTTCCTTGGGGTCTAGTTCATCATCAACACCATCGGCAGCGCTGTCAATATTGACCTCGCGCAGCTGGGCGTACCCCGCGGTTGTTGTGCTCAAGCTGCTTATCGAGGGTCGCGTCATCAGTGTTGGCGATGGGCTTCTTTGCATATCATCGTAGAATGAGAAGTGCGAGTCGCCGTCTCGGATTGAAGCTTGGCCCTCGCTGCCGAAAGAAAGTCGTCCTGGTTGGTTATCGGCAGCCATCTTCTTCGACCATCGAGTTTCCAAGGTAGATACTAAGCAGTAGATACTAAGTGGGAAATGGACTGGGCGAGGACTGAGTTCCCATCTCACAGAAGGATCTCTGGCTGCGTGATCTCGAACGTGCTCTGCATTCTATGTCACATTGTGGCGCGAGGCCATCTGCAAGCAAGCCAACAACAGCCCATCACTGTAGCACCCCGATTCTTTATGCCACTATACGTCGCCAAGACCTTGTGTAAGTCGGCCAACAAGTGGCATGACCAATAGACCACGTTCGCGAGCCCAGGAAATGCTACACAAGTACAGGCGGGGTCCTATTGGATGATGGTTCGGGGGTCGGGTCTCGTTGGGTGGCGCAGCAACGGCAGGTCGTATATGCACGGTATGTACAGGAAGTCTCTTCCATAAGACATATCTAATGCGAGTCCCATGGGCTATTCGCTACGACGGATACGTAGCAGTTCATGATCAAGACGCAGTTGAACGAGCCTCGCATATTATACTAAAAGTGAACCGAGCCTGCCTTTCAAAACCCTGGCAGATCAGATAGCCGCCCCTTGTCGGATCAAAATGAACGAAACGCTTACCAACCCTACAGCAGAAAAGTTGGTAACTCCCATAATTTGGCCTTCCACACGAGGCCGTGTACAAGGCCGTATGCCGCATCACTGTAGGCACAACCGCCATCAGAGCCGGAATAAACCCTGTCAGACAACACTGGGTCAGCAGAGAAAAGGGAGATCAAAATGTGTCTTTTTTTTTACTTACGCTACAAGTTTCCGTAGGGAGAAGCAGCAGCGTGTGGGTCGCCCTTGGTACGTGTGTGGGTGTGTATGGCAAACACCGTGTTTATGTGGGTGCTGGTGATTGTAGTCGCATACCCGTCCTTTGTGTGAGTCCTGGTGGCTGTGAAGTCGAACATGAATTCATCTGTTTCCGTTTCCATAGCTGTGTATATATCGAGATACACTATTTTCAAGGTCGGTTTCGTCTGTAGGGAGCCCAATAGTTCATATGGGACGGCGCTGTCAGTGGAGTGCCAGGTTAGCTCTGGGCTCTTGTGGGAGGTTGCGTATTCTGTGAAACAAGTAAGGGACGAGAGACTGTACAGGACTGTAGACCCGATCAGGATATAACTGAGGAAGGTTCGATGGAGCATCGTGGCAAATGACTCCGAAATTTCGGGCCGATCGCCGTGACAATGATGAAAGAAAGAAGCTGCGCCTATGCTGGCCAGATAGGAGCGTCGTATTAGAAAGGCAGAAATGCGCGGTCCAAGAATCCCCCAGGAAGACGCCACGGGAGCAACCTTTTGATCTAGTATGTAGGAGATGCCCATCTCGATCATGGTCTGGACATGGCGACTTTGCCAGATACCATGAACGCTTTGGGCATACAGACTCGAATGATCACTGCAGCTGTGGTGAAAAGAAAACACCATAACACATTTTCTTTTGTAAGAGGCTGGGGAAAAACCGGCTGCTGCCTAGGTACTCGCCTAGGGCAGCTTGTCTACAATACTTAGGGGAGAGGAGCACAGAATGGGCAAAATTCGTGGAGAAGAGCAAGTTCTTTTCAACAATCTGCCCCCGATAGATAGCTTTTCTAGAAGGACCAGATGGATGACCCCAAGGTCATACCGCCACAACAACGGGGATGGGCCCGTGAGCGGGACTGACTGTACTTATCTTGAGACCTCCACAACCCTGCGATACAGAGGCTCTGGGAGGCGTGGTTTGCACTACTGAGGAGCTACCCCCCACGTTAAATACAAAACAAACAAACAAAACATCTCGATCATGGCACACTCTGTCGGACATTTCGAGTGAACTGCGGTGGAAATGATCCACGTACGATCGGCTCTGTGTACACATCCGGCCCCCTCTTCGTGTAATAGGTTTTGTTGCGCATCACAGCTCGACCGAGGCCATAGGTTACTCTACATCTGAGTTCAACGATGGGCGACCGAAATGGATATTCTTTTGGAGGTTCTAACGTCTTCAAGTGGATCGTCATTGAAATCCATGGCTAATTTACAAAACGAGAAATTCGTCATTACAAGCCCGTTGCATCAGCATGGTCATGCTCGGAGTCGCGCCGTAAGACTCCAGCCATCCTGAATTCGGCCGAAAGGACGGCAATCTCCACATCTCGGTTGGTGCTCTCGAGAGAAATTGGGCAAGTCTCCTATGATATGTTTGTGTTTGTGCCTAGTCGCACAAGAAGCGAGCAAGTACGGGGCAGCTGGTTCAGAGATGAAGTGTAGCCAACGGATGTCATAAGTTACAGTCGGTTCGTGTGATAGGGTCTAATCATTGAATGTGATACACTATGTTACAGAGCGTTGGCTGTATGATCCGACGAGGGCTCCAGAGCAACCTCCTCGTATCTCAAAGTGATGATGTTGTGTTGTCCAAGCATCTGAGCCTGCAGTGTCAGATGGGTGTGATCAAAACCAGACTGGATGTGTCAAAAGCTTCTTTTCTGCCTACCCACGTACTCCATCGCACTCATCAGCGCTCCCAACCTGTGCTCTTTGGCAATAGTCAAAACTGATCATCTGTACCAGCATACACATTGATAGCATCATGAGGCTCTCTCGATGGCACGCTGCTTTGGTGATGGTATCTTCCGCCTCAGCTTATAACGGTATAGTAATACCACGCCTCATCGAGTATCGATGTTCTTCTTCTTACTAACTTATGCTTACCAGGCGATCGACCCTTGCTCCAAGAAAGTCGCGACCTGTTCCACTCTTTCTGTGCGGTCTGCACCGTGAACGTCTCGCTGCCAGACAGCAACCAAACCGCGCTTCAGCGTCAGCTGCTTCGCGGATGCAAGGACCTGTTGACGGTTCCGCCTGCAAACTACTTATGCGATGGTTGATGCCGGCAAGCCCCGCACCCATGAGACAAGCGGCGAATTCTTGCGACTCGGAGACACCATGCGGGGAGTGCAATACCGCGAATGCGGATGGAAAAGGCCGAAACGAGTTGTGAAGGTCGGCCAGCAAAACCGACTCAAATGGATTTGGTGCCGACCAAGGTTGACGCGGCTCATAGAGTGAATTCAAGCCTGTTGATCACGGAAGGTGTTGCCGTGCCTTCTTCGAGCAGGCCGAACCGGTAGTGTGCACATTCAGATATTCAGATAACTGCTTTGCGATAATCCATCTTCGCCATTTCCACGTCGAGCGCTTGTCTAGCAGTCCGTAGTCTGTGTGCCCGTTCCCGCCAGTATATGGCGATTAAGGGGAGCAATTATTGACGCGTTACACAAACCCCTGACTCGTGGGCAGTTGCAATTTACCTGCCAGACGCAGCGGTGACACTTGACATCTACCCGTACATCGGAAGGGAATTATGGGTGATACATGAGCAGCTTTCTCGAGATTCACCGTGACAACGCCTGTATCACCATGAATGCTATCTTTGCAACATCTGCGATTGCCCCCTGCTTGCCATCATATGACTTCGTCCCAATCAGAACACCCAAGTTAGCGAGTGACGTTTGAGTGATGCAAAGATGCCGTATGCGACGTGCAGACTTTGGGATAGAACGGCCATGCTGTACAGAACTCAAATGTGCCTTGAATGGTATTAAACCTACATGCAGACTATTGATACGAGAGCTTCTTTCGGGTTCTCCTAATGCGCATATGTGATGGACCTCGCGCACAGCCTGAGACTGTAGATTCATTCAATATTCACCCTTGAACCCTCTCCAAACCAAAGCCCCTGTAAGATATCGTTCAACATCTCCAGCTCCTCCAAACCGCTCGATTCGCCGCACCAGCCACACATGAAATCAACTTCAATACTACCATCATGTACTCTCCCTACAAGTGTGCTCTGGGGCTCGCTTTCTTAGCATCGTTTGTGTCAGTCCACGGTATGCCACGACCGCTTGCATCGGCGAACGAAAACGACTAACAGCTTAATCCCAGCTCACCATAAAGAGTACGTGGGGAAAAGGCCAGGCGTTCATCAGCAAGACTACGACGGCGATGTCATCATCATTAATCGTAGAAACCACCCTGTGATTGAGGAATATGAACTAGGGGGCGTGAACTATAAGGCCTACGAACAGCTTCGAGAGATAGTTTTAGCATTCCTCGATGATACGATGGCTATGATCCAGGAGGAAGCATACATAACCAATCAGTAGGATGCTTATCCTACGGGGTCCAGATTGTACTGTTTGGACTTCCCGGAGATCGAGCAACAAGAGAGCGCGCGCGTGTGTGTATGGAAGCGGCCAATATGGAAGCGGACAACGCAGGGGGTATGTAATGGATGTAATGGGTAATCAAGTCGACCGCGAGCCACAACACCCCCAGCTGTCATGAGCATCGTCGTTGATCGTCATGCTAGAAGTTTTTAGTGAGCTTGAATCTCTTGTAATAGAAATATCCCCCCGGGATCGAAGACGTCCTAACCCCCTCCCCAATTCTTCATCGATTCGTAGCAGCTCGCAGTCACAATTGTCCGCGACTCTCCATACGCCGGGTCAAGGGACAAGGCTCTCGTTTTTCTCGTACCAGGTCGGCAATCGCCGTTTTCCTCTTTGCCGGCGTTTCCGCCGGAGCATGATTGCTGCATCTGCTTAAACCCATTAGACTTGTCTTACAGAATCGGCAAGGGACTGATGGCCTGGAACGCCGAGGTCTCGTGAATTCTCATCAATCCGCAGATCATGAATGTTCACTAGCTATTCTGTGTCCTATCTCGAGCGAAAGGCTCCTTGGTTCCACGTTCCACATAGCGTCCTTCCGCTAGATCTCTATAATGGAAATAGGAGGCGCGTCGAAGATGTCAGACCGGTCTGTGTCACTGGTCAGTGATCTCTGTCGTCGATTCCAATTTCAAATACATGTAATGTGTTCATGAGAAATTGACTTTGTGCTACTGTCGCCACGTCAGTCTACAATATTCAGTGACAGTCAAATCTAGATGATCCCGTGGTGTGTTACATTCCCTGCCGAACCGCTGAGTCAAGATCACTTGCCACGTTCCTTCGGTCCTTCGTTGATCTCCTTGTGTCTTATTCATGAAATGTCAACTGGAGAGAGCTTGGCGTATCTGGGCAATCACCTTGATACCGACGCTGACTTAGGCAGCCGAGGTACACTCGTTCACTGTCGGCGACGTGATCCTTCCTGATCTTTCGTGTGGTATTCAGTCATCATCGACTCCTATTCAATGCCAGAGACGTGCTCTTACAGCACAGCATGTCGCTATTTCGGTTGTTTCGCACACACTGTGCATCTTTCACTCTCTACCTACGTCTTGCAACGAGCATGAAGGAAATTTATACCGCCAACGAGGAACGAAGCAGCAGCGGTGTCATCTCCCCTATAGCTACTTCTTTCAAATCGGTATGTTCCGCACACCAGAGTTGGCTCCTGGGTTGGAGTTCATATCCCAAGGCCAACCTTCGGCACAGAGGTCCGATATCAAAGCTCCATTGTTGGACATCAATATCCACGATAAGAGAGCTTCCGAGAAGTATATCTTCGCCAGTCCGCAATCCCCCTGTTACCAGTCGGGCCCTACAATCTACGATGCCCGTGGGGTGAGTTACTGATGCCCCCACGATCCGATGGACACGTAAAAGGAGGCAAACCGAACATTGTATATACATACATAAAGGTCACTTGCGCTAATATATAGGAACTGATTTGGTCGGGTGCCGCCGACGGCTTCGCATCCGGCGCCTACGCGTTCCACGCCTGTGACTACCAAGGCTCAACGGCAGCCCATCTGTGCATGGTCCACAGTGCCACGATGTTCGGGAACGGCTGCGGGCTCGGCCTCATCCTCGACGCGAGCTACCGTATCGTCAGGGTCATCCAACTGCCGGGCGGCACGGATATGCATGAATTCAGTCTCGTCGATCATGGAACGCGAGCCCTGGTGACGCAGTACCCCGTGCGACACCACGACTTCGCACACGCTTTCAACCCGCAAGGCCTGCAGACGGTGTACGAGAGCGTTTTCATAGAGTTGGACCTCTGGACAGAGGGCGGAAGCGACGTCGATGCCGTCACGTACCGGTGGAACTCGCTTGACCATGTGAAGGTGAAGGACGCGGCGCGGTCTATCGACTTCAAGGCCGGCAAGGCGCCGCACTATGACTATTTCCACATCAACAGCGTTGCGAAGAATGCGAACGGGGACTATCTCGTCTGTGCTCGACACACAAGCGCGGTGTACAAGGTGTCAGGCGTCGACGGTAGCATTATCTGGACACTCAGCAGTGGGCCTGAGTCCGATTTCCAGCTTGTCGACTTCGTGCTCTGGGGTCCTCATCATGCACAATGGCGCTCGGCAAGTGTGCCCAATTCCATCTGTCACTTCGTACCACCTTGGGTGCTTTCTAGGAAATTCTAACAATTTGAATAGGTCAATGACAGTCACACGGTTCTGACTCTCTTCAACAATGGTCGCGACGGCCCTACCAGTCGCACGAACTATTCCTCGGGCATGGTAATCGCATTAGACCATGAGTCTTCTCGTGCGACGCTGTTGAAGGAGTACGGCTTAGTGCAGCAATTGAGCGCAGCCCACCAGGGGTCCTTTCAGACCCGCCCAACTCCAACGTCCTGCTGGGTTGGGGTTCGCAACCACACATCACCGAGCATCTAGAAGATGGTACTCTAGTGTTCCACGCCTCCATCGCTGGAGGCGGGTCTACCTATCGCGTATCCAAGTCCGACTGGGTGGGCCGTCCGTCGGACGCCCCGGCGCTCTGGAGCTACGCCCGCACCGCGGAGGATCAGGGGTCTCCTACCGTGTTCTACGTCAGCTGGAACGGCGCGACGGAAGTTTATACCTGGAACTTCTACGCGGTCGGTGATCGCGCCGAGGACATAGATTCTCTCCGCGTGCTGGGCTCAAAGCAGCGAACTAGTTTCGAGACTAATTTCACCATCACGGAGTATGTGCCGCGATCGTTCGTGGAAGCCGTCGCCAGGGATGGCAGGTTGCTTGGCAACTCCTCTGTCGTTCCGACATGGGTACCTGGTGATCATATTAGCGAGTGGTGCGATGACTGGGTGTGTCCAGAAAGAGAATCTGAGTTCCGGGTGAGATACAACACGCTCCCGGACCTTCGACGCCTTCCGGCCCCCGATGATGGTATTGGGGAGTTTACGAAACCATATCTGGGGTCTCAGAATTACACAGACTACCCAGAGGTTGCTTTCGTCATTTTGAACGGGTTGATAAGTGGTACTGTTTTGTCAAATGCTGAACCTGAGGAGATAGACTCAGCAAGACCGATCGGACAACGTTCGTAGAAACTCCCAATACATTAGGCAGATAGGATGAGTATAATCATGAGCATCGTATTCTTGACTTGTTGCGCTTCAACTTGCCATGTGTTCAGTGTTGGCCGCCTTGGTATGGCTTCGTATCCAAGAGGAATCAAGTGATGAACCGTGAAACCCTGTCTCATCTCCCAAGCTATATGGACTGGGTGTCTCTTCGATTGGCGGTTCAGACCGACTGCGAAGTCGAAGTTTTTGAAGTTACAAGTCATAACATGGCGCAAAGTCGCCAGAAGCATCCCGACAACTGGGTGCCTGTTGAGCAGGCATAAACCCTTACCACCGCACAGCCTGAATCAAGTGCCGCTTGCCTCCAGTGCCTTGCGCTTTCGTGCCCTGTACTTTCGTGCATTGCGCTTCTGTTATTCGCTCCGGTGACTTCCATGAGAATTAGCCCTGTGCTCAGACGTAGGCGTCGATATAGTGTTTGTTGGCGCAGTCGGCGATGATGCTTTCGACTCGGCCCAATCATAGGAAACGGTTGCGACCTTGTCGGCTTCTTCGTCCGTGATGGAAGCGCCGCTGGTAGTCGGGTCTGTGACTGCTGTCGAGGTCTCTCTAACAACCGATGAGGCACCGCCCATACCACACTCGGGCGACCTTCGGGCTCTTGAGGCACATGCCATGGCAGAATTTTCGTTGTTCCGTGATGCCGGAGCGGAAACAGGTGATGTGTGGGAGCGTCAGGAATTAGTGTGCATTATGGTGAAGCAAGCATATGACCCACATTGCCCTTTGGTCCCGCCATTCTCAACCATTCCTTGCGTGTCAAAATCTCCGTTGATGACAGAAAGGTCCGCCATGTCGTCGGCAGTATCGCGTTGATCCTTGTCGACGTTGTTCAGGTTATGCTGGTCCTTATTAGCACTAGTGTTATGGGAACGTTCCCAGAGGCCTAGGAAATTGCCGCCATAGAGTCGCATATCAGGAAGCTGGAGTGTTCACGAAGTCACATGAGTCTTTGTTCCATGTGTTTTATGTCATCAGGGCCACAGTAGGGAAGAATATCCTTGGGCCGGTCCATGCGTGAGTTGAGCCTGACAGTCCATGCTCTCGCGCCCATTGCACTGTTGCCCGAGGGGGTCTCGAGGAGTCGCATCTGCCGAAGGCGACCTTCTGAAAAGGCAACGGCGGCCACTTCGATACCTGTGATTGATGGGGAATATAGCACCGCAAGTCCCCCAGGATAAAGTGCGTCCTGGAGCAAATCTCTCAGGTGGTGAGCGGAAGAAATATATAGAACCGCGCAGTGTAGAAAAGGTTGATTGTTGGTGCTCTTGAGTCTGGCTCTCAGATACGTCGCTGCGGGAGTATGATGGAAGTCAACATCGAGAAGGTAAAGTCCCTGAGCCCAGTTTTTGACGTTATGGATGGCCGGTGGAGTTCAGATCAGAGTCGGCCGAGTGTATGACTACTCGGCGACGGGCTAGATAACGGTGGTAGATATCCTTCATGTCTGACGACACGGAGAATGTGATGGGATGGGCAGCGTTCATCCGCAGGGCCGGATCATGCCGAAGAATATGTTCCCGGAGTCGTGGCGGAACAGGTGGGTTGGCTCCATGGACAGCCTGAGCTAAATGTAGAGTTAATGTTCCAAGTCCAGTACCGGCCTCGAATATTTCGAATGGCGCGCGCCGAACCGGGTCCAGATATTCTTCTGGGTTAGGTAGATGCAAATCGAGTAGTGACACAATGCACTTCGCGTCTCCCGGTGAGATCTATGGCGACATGAGCGTTGGCCTGCGACAATAAAGATATTTGGCAACAAACCGGCGTAAGCGTGGGTTTCCTCTCCCGACTGTCAGTCGGTGATGGACGAAGCCTCGACATGGTCATCTCGACGCCCTTGCATGCCGTAGGAGGCTGAGTACGTATTGAGCCAGGGTGATGCCGGATACGATGTACGTGACACCGTCGCTTGCGACAACACGCGACCGAGGCCACAAGCCAATGAGTTGCGATACCCGAGCGAAAGCATTGGACTTCACGTTGACAATGGTATTAGGTCGAATTGGCGGGGTGACGGTGCCAGCGTCAGCATTGTCCAACTGTTTATATACCGGTAGCTGCGGCCAAATAATTGCGACATCAAATTCTTAGTGAGAAGTCAGTCACGCCTGCGCGTGTCGACACCTGTTATTGAGCGGGAGGCACTCACCTTGTAGTTTTCGGCGAAAGGAGATGTACCGCTTGAGAGCAAACCCCCATGGGCGTGTCAGCCTGGCAACGGTGGCCCCTATCATCATGCGCTTTACCGATGCTGCCTCCGCGCTGCATGGAGAGACATTCCCGAGTGCACTTTTTTGTTGACTTCAGTGGAAAGCGTGTTCACTTTGGCGAGCGACACGTCTGTGGCTGGTCGGATTGCTTGGCCAGGGACCCGGCACCCTGGACACCAGGATCGGCCCGGGTTTTGCTGCTTTGAGATCGGGATGCACGAAAAAGAAAAGTGATGCTTGGACCCCCACCAACATCCACGCTCCCTGGCTGCCTGGCACCTCACCACTAACAAGGCGTTTCGTTTCTGAGCATGTAGCATTGCTCGACTGTCCATATAAATGCGCGTTGTGGATGGGTGTATAGCTAGCTCCCTATCTGCTCCGAGCCAACCATGAGGACGCCCGTGAACTGCAGCTCGCGAGACCTACAATAATATACAGCTACGTATAAGCTAACGCCTAGTAAGCCGTGATCAATAAGCAATACGTTTGCGTAGGGTATTGCTATCAGAAGTCCTGATTCAGGACTCCTCGCTCTCCTCCATCACCTCAAACCGGCATCCCATTCTCAAGCACCTTGTTCCCTTTTGAATCGTACGTCATGACGCTGAAAGCCTCGTAGTCGTTCTTATCCTCCAGATCATCCTCCTTCAAGTCCACGCCAGCCAGACAGCCCTGTCCCACCTTTGGCCAGGCAGGCGGGACAGAGTCCGCAGAACCCTCTCGCGCTGCCTGGTTCTGGGTCTCGGCAGAAAAAGCCGCTTTCACACTCGCACCCCCTTTGCCGGTTCCGGTGTGGTGGTTACCGTGGGTAGGAGTCCGATCTGCCGTTGACGACTTGCGCACATAGTGAGCTGGGCCACTCAGGTTCGTACTCGTTGGCAGAAAGAGGCTATCGGCCGCCAAGCCCAAGGGTGTGTTTTGTGGGCCACGTCTTGCTCCTGGCCCTGGTTCGTGGGCTGGGAACACGGGGAGATCTGGGTGGAGCTCGGTGCTGTACATAATGATATTGACAAGCTGTGCAGGCGTGATGTTGGATAGATAGGCCCGTTTCTGAAAGATCTGTTAGCTAGCTTCATTTACCACTGATAGAAGATCATAGAGAGGACATTCATCTTCAGCGCCCCCCTTCAAACACGTTGCAAAGAGGCACTGGGTCGAGAAAAGGTGTTTATCAGACCCTTAGGGTTCGTGGGGAGGAAACACAAGCTTACCTGCTCTACGCTCTTGCCGGCCCAGCTAACACCCTTGAACCCATCCATCGTCTTCTTCTTCGCAAGGTGCTTCTCGCGCTTCGCCGCGCAGCGGCCACAGAACCACGAGCGCCCCTCGTCACTAACGAAGTCGTCGTCGATGTAAGGGTCGTGACAGAGCTGGTGCCAGCACAGGTTGCAGCCGTCACAGAAGACGATCTGGTTGGAGACCGGGCTCAGCCCTCTTGTGCACACCTTGCACAGCGCCTGCTCTGGCGTGCGCTTGCCCCAGTTCTTACGCTTCTGCTGCTGCGATGAGGAGCCGGCCATCGAGGCTGGGTTGTACTGCGTCGGCTTCTGTACCTGCCGTCCGGACTTTGTCATAGTGGGTACGGCTAGCTGGTCCTTGTGCTCGACGTCGCTGTCCGAGAGATCGCTCAGACTGGAAGACTCCCCATCGTCATCATCTTTACCTCGCTTTCGCTTCTGAATTCGTACAGCCTTGGCTTTGGGCTTCTGTGCTGGGCCTTTACTGCTTCCCTTGGCGGTGGTTGCCGGCTTAGGCGGCGCTGGTGTCCGAAGCTGAAAGGCGTCGCCAACGCGTATGGTTGAGGAGCCATGTGCAGACGAAACAGGCTTCGGCGGCGGCATAGGCATGGTCATAGAGGTGTTCATAGTCATGACGAGTCGTCTCTTAGCGTCCTCGAACGTTGACCTTTCGATGGTGCTAGCAACCGATGAGGCCGACGACAGCGCTGCCGACAGGCTTCCCGGCTGGCTGTTGATGCGCTGCAAGATCATCTGCGTGGCGGCGGTGAACTGGGGTACGTAAGGCATGCGACCTGTCGAGCCAGGCGTGCTGGGCACCGGGCTTGCTACCGAGCTTCGTCCCGGGCTGGGTGCTGAAGGGACAGGAGGACCGGCGGTGGGAGGCTGTATGGCTGGCGCCGGCGCAGCAGCAGCAGCAGCAGGCTCTGCTTGAGAAGATACGCCGTCCATCATGTCTTCAAAGCCCTTGGCTACTTCTTCCCGGTATGGCAGAGAGGATGGCGATGATGATCGTCATTGGTGCAGCTGGGGATGGTGTGTTAGTTGGTTGCGCAGATATTCGGGGTGGAACGAAGCAACGTACAGACCAATATCGCCCACTCCACACAGCATGCACAATGGCAAAGACTCGGAATGAGTTGCCAATTGAGATCGATTTCTCTTTTCCTACAAGTACAAGTAGTTTGCGTCAGGTACGGTTGGCTCAAATGTGATGTGAGGAAACGCAGGTGGAGGCAAAGCACGTGACCTTCACGTGACCATTAATGCGCTCTTGGCTCTTGGCTGGCACTTGGCACAATCACGTACCTATAGGTACACTGACTCGCTATAAGTCTTCGAGCATCCCCGCATTTACACTAAAATGCCCTACCTTTACGATTTTATAACTAAAGACTTAAAGCTTTCAAAAGCGAGATTTTATAAGAAACTAATACTTGAAAATGCTGAAGTTTTCGTAACTAATTATTGAATATATAAAAGTAAAAATTAAAGATAAAAATTAAAAATGTTAATAAAGTTATATAAAATGTTTGAAAAATCGTTTAAGTTGTAATAAAGTGATATAATATTAAGTAACATAATATACTTATAAGACGTAAAACCTTATTCAATAGGTTACTTAAGAATTAAATATCTTAAAAAGCTATTTTTATCGAAATTTTAACCTTCAATAAAGTAATATTTACGACCTTTATCTTTAAGATGTTAAAGTTTTTAAATAAGCCATTTTAACAATCCAGTAAACTTAACTATAAGTATTGTAGGTAGTTAAGTTATATCTATTTTACTCGATTTATTACGATAGCGTAAAGTTGGGGTGTTTTGGTGTAAAACAGGGATGCTCGGAGACCTATGGCCGGGGAGTGTGTACCTTAACCTCCAGCGTTGGCCGGGTTCACTTTCAATAATAGACACCTCACTTCAGTAACAGACTAAATCGACACGTGAACTGACCCAAAGAGGAAGGCCGGTTCTATTTACATTACCCTAGGTAGCTTGTTGAGTCGCCTACCGTATGGCACCTTTCTTTTTCAGCGCAGCTACTGCACTTTCGTCGAGTCCAAGTAACGTCCCAAGGACCTCGTCAGTATGCTGTCCAAGTGTCGGTGGTGCTGTCCGGGCACCCGGTGTACTTCCGCTATACTTGACCGGCGTGTTCACCATCTTGATCGATCCACATTCATCGTGCTCGAGTTCCACCACCATGTTGCGGGCCTTTGTATGCTCGTGATTGAGTGTCCCTTGAACATCATTGACAGCCGCATATGGCATGCCTTTGCCCTCAAAGACCTCCAGCCACTCTCCTGTCGTCTTCTGCGTGCTGACCTTCTCAATCTCGTCTTCCAGTTCAACTCTGTTGGCGACCCGGGCAAAGTTGACGCTGTACTTGGGATCGGTCTTCCACTCTGGTCGGCCTAGGCCATCACATAAAATGCCAAATAGTCGGTCGTTGCCGCCGCCGAAGAGGACATCCCCATCTTTGGTTTTGAACGACTTGTACGGAACGATGGATGCTGTTTCATACAAGTCAGCACATGACAAAGCCGATATCACGGTAAGCTTACGATGCGCAGTGCCCCATCGGCCTGAATCCTTCTTCCCGCTGACGAGACAGCTGCTCGCAATATTGGCAAGCGTTGCAGTCTGGCAATCACTCAACGAGACATCAATATGTTGACCACGGCCTGTTTTCCCCCGCGCTATGATGGCAGCCATGATACTGTTGCTTGTGTAAAGCCCAGTCGTCAGGTCGGTCACCGCAACACCGACTTTCACCGGCGGTCCGTCCCTGCTACCTGTGATGTGCATCAACCCGAACTCTGCCTCAACCATGACATCGTAGCCAGCCCGTTGCGAGTATGGTCCCGTCTGCCCATAGCCCGTGATGGAGGCATAAATGAGATATGGGTTGAGCTTGTGTATTGTCTCGAAATCCATGCCATATTTCTTGAGGCTGCCTGGCAGGTAGTTCTCTACGAGGATGTCGCATTCCGCAACCAGCTTCTGCAGTATCTCGACACCCTCGGGATGCTGGAATGACAGGCCGAGTGACTTCTTGTTGCGGTTGACCTGGCGCAGTATCAGCGAGTGGTCTCAAGATGAGGCACATGCCGTGTCCGCGTCACCTACCGCAAGGAAGTAGGCGGATTCGCCGGGGCCATCCAACTCGGACCCCTCTCGGTAGGTTGCATAAGGCGGCCCCCAAGCACGGGTATCGTCCCCACGAGTGGGATGCTCGACCTTGATGACTTCTGCGCTTGAGTTGGGTAAACGATTAGCTAAGGGTGACCTCACATCAGCTGATGGTGTCGTCTCACCCAAGATCACCGAGTATCTGTGTGCAATAGGGCTGCACAAGCTCGTAAGCAGAGGGAACGGACACGTGGTAGAAAGGGGGGCGTCCATCTACTCACACCCGCAAGTACCCTCGTCATATCCAGCACGCGGTAGCCGGCCAATGGGAGGCTGGATTGGGCGGCTGAGCTGCCATTGGTAACGGCAGAGTACCGGCGTACGAGACCAGCTCGATACTGGTTTCTGATAAGAAGCCTTGCACCATAGCTGCCGCGTGGCAGTGTGCGGGAGAACATGATGGCGATTCTGATGGCACGGGCCTCGGATCGATCCGCTGTGCCGCTATGCAACGAGCCGTCGATGTCTATTGAGTGAGACGTTTCACGGCTGCACGGTTGCCAGGTTTGGAGGATCCGGCTCAGGCTCGGCGGTCTATCGCAGTATCAATCGGAATCAATGATAGCCGGTAAAGATGAACATGAACATGAACATGGAGGTTGTCAAGGTGGGGAGGCAATCCGTCGCGGCTCCGTGGGTCTGAGGTTAGATAGAACCGAAAAGCGGCCGCTATGATCGGGGGCTATTCACCCCCACCACGACCCCGGACGAAAGCCATTCGTTGTTCTTGTGCAAGGAGAACCAACAAGTATCACTATTAACATCCTCCTATTATTTAATGAAGTACAGTAGGTACAACAAATCGGAGATTCACGCTACCCGCCAACTGTCGGGATGCCCCCGGTCCTGCGAACCATTGAGGTTACATAGTGAGGTGGGCGGTGCTGATATGTGTGGATGTTTGTGTTAGCAAACAAACCGAATCCCGATTCTTCGGGACGGTGTTCCAACTGTGATATTAATAGGTCTCCGATCTGGATCCTGATGTCCTTTGACGGTCCAAGTTCCAACATAAACCAGCTCAGCCGCACCGGTCGGCGCGTTTGAATCATGCCATTATGCTGCCGCTTTTATGTAACGGGTCGTGCAAGGTGCCGGCGGATAGAGCCACTGTCCAACTTGATGATGATGGCTGTGTCGCGCCCCCGACCGGTGCCCTCGTTACATCAAAGGGCCGAAGGGCATCACTCAATAGTCAACTTGGGGCTGCCCTTTGTAACCGGATCATGCGCTTTGCTCTGCATGCTGGGTGGACGTGCGGCTTGTATTCGGGCGCAATTGATGCCCTTTTCAGCAGGGATTATCCCGAAGTGCATCTTCACTCTTGGACAGATATAGACGCCCTGGGCCCAGGCCGCCTGGCCGCCTAATCGAGTTTCGGGCGGCCATATGCAAAGACTTTAACACACGACCAATTAGAGACAGAGCTGAGACTGTGCAGCCACCATATGGTCGTATCGAACCATCACGCCAGCTAGGCAAACCGGTTGGCCCTTTGCCCTTTGCCTCTTGAACGTTGAATCCCTTCTGCCGGGAATTGGCATCGCCTCAATCCCCCCTGTCCCATAGCTGCGGGAGCCGGGGTGTTCAGATATACAAAGGGACCACTTGGCTTCCGAATGGTCCAATTATAGGATTACGGAGTATTGCCCCCAACTCATTGGCTTTTGCCATTGTTCGTATTGCTCGTTACGCCATACATGGTTAGTCCAGGCATCTAAGGCGAATCAGCGATGGATGTCCTAGACACACACGCGGGGAAAGCCAACACATATAGTACGGATACGACCGCCACTCGTATCTGACGAATCCCCGGCAACTCAAATTCGCCTCATCCTAAATATGTGGTAGACCCTTCCACCGGGTCCTTGCCTGACAGCATCTCTTTTCCTTCCCTTGATACATCCCCCCATCTACACCCCATGGGCTCGTCGTTCGATCGGCGCATGTCTGCGGGAAATCCACCCGCAGACCTCGACAGCAGACACCAGTCCGAAGCGCGGGCAGATGATGAAACCAGCTTCACGATGGACCCTTGGTTGATAGCGGTCATCGTCACCGGGATAGTCATCGTAATGACGCTACTCGCCTTCATGGTGATATACTACATACGGTCACGGCGATGGAAAAGAAGCATCAGAGAGGCGGACCCTATCAGCCACCACCAACAGCACACTCACAAGCGGAAGATGAGTTCGGCAGACCGACAGCGAGCAGAGGAGCTGGAGAGAGATATGATGATCCGGAAGTCCCTCGCGAGCCGAAGCAGCTCGTCGTTCAGCACCCTCAGCACCCACAGCTCGCGCTTATCCGCATTCTCCGAGTATCCCTTGGTTGAGGTGTCAGAAGAGCCAGAGACGGTCAACCTCAGAGACGACTGGAAGGAATGGGAGGCTCAGATACAGCGTCAGATGGGGACCGCGAGCCACCAAGCTTCAGGGCTGCATGAGCATCCGGCATTCGCCCCTCAACTGTCAGTTCCACGACCGTCACGCATGCCATCGCCAGTACGAGGTGTGATACAGCCCAGGTGAGTCACGCCTCCGCCACAGCTGATCACTGTGACACGATCGTGAACCGAGGTGTAATTCCTTCAGTGAGACTTCTGTCAGCCGACGACAGCGACTCCTATATGTGCTCCTCGGTGCGCTCTTGAAGATGCGTCTTGCGCCGGCTGCAGCTCGGATGACGGCGTTCAGTATTACCGGGTATGATAGTGTGGGTGTTGGAATGGGTTCGGGCTCATGAGGCGTGGTATCGCATGGCGTTGCTCGGAGTAAGGGATACATGATAGTTTTCTGGACTCAGTCGATATGTGTATCGTCAGGCACATTGTGGCGTTTGGAAGTGCATGTTCTGCGAGGACACACACAGCAGATAGTTGCTACTGATTTAATAGCTACTTAGAGATGCAAATACGACCAGAGTTGCAAATACATTACTGAAGAGACTTAACCAAGCGATGCATAGTGGCATCGTGACGTTGCGACTCCCAATCCAGCTAATCAAGACATAAAGTGTCAGCAGATAATCCATAGATCGAAGGAGAAGGGATGAAATTCTTCGGATAGCTGGGCTGTGTCCATCTCCCCCAGCTTTGAGCCCATCGTGGCCGAAGCAAACCTTCGCTGGCGGTGTCCTGGATTAGTCGAACAAAGCCTCATTCAAATGCATCTCCTGGCTCAAGTATATTAAATCAGGTTCTTCCCCGAGCAACACGCAATCTCACCCAGCGCAAAAAGCCGACACAGCACCTCAGCACATCGGCGAAGTGGTGGTCAACAGTGAGGGCTTTGTCACCTAGGGTGATTGTTCGCCGAGAAAGAAAGAGCAGGTGCTTGGAGACGGTCTCCCGTTCCCTTCATTCACAAGACTGCTGCGGCACTGAGCTCTCCCCTCTCCGCTCTTCGCCCTTCCTCCAACCTACCCATTACTCTCTTCCACAGGCTTCCTTTCGGGAGACGACCGCAGATACAGGGCACCTCGCGACCTCAGACATACACGTGTCCAGCTACCTACCCGATACATTGTCGGGTTACTGCGTGTTGTTTCTCGTTGCCCGTCAGACCATGTCGAGACCGTTTCGAGGTTGAGTGGGAATCAAATTGATTCTCTCATTTCAAGGTGGGCTTTTCTCTCCGTGCACCAGCGACGCAACTAGCCCACAGCCCATTCAAGCCACGCCACTGCACGTGCCAGCTGGAGGCCACGCAGCCCCGCCTCCGTGAGAAGCACCCACATCTGTACCTCCGTACCTCCGTACCTGCTGAATCATCCAAACATCGAATCTGCGAACATAAGGTTCCATTCCAGTCTCATTTCTGCCTTAGGAGTCCCAATTTGCCTCGTGAGGTCTCTTCAATCTTCGCCTCGACAACAGACCACGAACGTACCGTCGACACCCATCGCTATCGCCATCGCCAGCGTCGCCGCGTCGCGCCTCGCCAATTTAATCGTTCGCCACACTCGTCCGCGCCCGCCTGTAATCGACCATGGCGACAACGACAGCGCGCTCCGAGGCCGCCTTGATTGCCTCCATGGGCATGGGCAACACCGGTGCCGTCGGCGATGCTGCTGATCAGATGCCTTGGGAGGAGAACCTGAATCAGATCCTCATATGCCCAGACTGCCGCGAGAACCCGCCGAACCTCGTCGAGGAGTTCAGTAACGGCGACGTGGTCTGCGGCTCCTGCGGCATCGTTCTCGGCGACCGCATCATCGACACCCGTTCCGAGTGGCGTACCTTCGCCAACGACGACCAGAACAACGACGACCCGTCGCGTGTCGGTGAGGCTGCCAACCCGCTCCTGCACGGTTCCCAGCTCGAGACCACCATCGCATTCGGTGAAGGCGGCCGCGCTCGTGAACTGAGCCGCGCCCAGGCTCGTACGCAGAAAGGCGACAAGTCCCAAAAGGGTCTCAATGAAGCCTATCGCATCATCGGTCATTACTGTGACGCCATCAGCATTCCCAAGACTGCGCAAGACAGCGCCAAACACATATTCAAGATGGCCGACGATGAGAAGATCTTCAAGGGAAAGCCTGTGGAATCCGTCATTGCTGGGTGCATCTTCATCGCATGCCGACAGTCCAAGGTCCCCAGAACCTTCCGAGAGATCTACGCCCTCACCAAGGTTTCCAAGAAGGAGATCGGAAAGACGTTCAAGATGCTCGAGAAGTTCTTGCAGGATCAGGCCAAAAACCCCAAGAATACCAACAAACAACTTGCGAGTCTCACCGAAGACCAGCCGAAGACCAGCACGACGAATGCCACGGAGCTTTGCGAACGATACTGTAACGGCCTTCGTTTCGACAACACCCACCTCATGGCCAGGATCGCCTCTGAGCTGTGCGACAAGAGTTCGTCAGTCAAGGATCTCGCCGGTCGTTCTCCGCTGTCCGTGGCTGCTGCCTGCATCTACATGGTTTCCTACCTGATGGGCGAGAGCAGGACTTCTAAGCAGATTGCTGCAGTGGCCGGTGTGAGCGACGGTACCATCAAGACGGCATACCGCTTCTTGTACCAAGCTCGCGAACAGCTGGTCGACCAGACCTGGCTGGACAAGGGTGGAAGACTGGACCGACTACCCGTGAACTAAGAAGCCGCAGGAAGTTACCAAGTCTGAGCCAGAGTAGCGGGAGAACATCTGGAATGATGATAGCACAGACGAAGCTCCTATGCACTGGACGACACGTCATAATAACCCGCACAAACGTATCTGAGGGGAAAGGAATGATCAACTGGCACCTTTATGTTCTGTCCAGCGCGGTTGTACGATCACGCCTCGGGACTCGTGGGGACTCTGCCTCGACGTGAGGATATGTCCTGGCTTGGTATCTGTTTGCACGGATTCACCTCTTCACCTCTGCGAACACTCCTCAGATAAACGACAGCACGCTGCCATGTGGGTGATTCCACTGGCCTTGTCGTCTATTTCGTCCGTCCCTGACGGATGACCGACTTTCCACCTTCTGCGTTACATGCATCCTTGCCGCTCTTGGAATACGGAGCTTCTCCTACTGCATCCTAGGTCGTGTCCATTGCACCTAGTTCTACGAACGATCCTGCTTCGACGATTATTGACCAATAACACGAGGTTGATCAATTGCAGAGCAAGGGGGGTTTGAGTTGGTGCTTGCGTCTGATCTTGATATAAACTGCGATATTCTACGGCGCCGCGCCACAGATTGCCGCGGTATAGTGGGTGGAGTACGCCTTCATGGGGGAGTGATTCACGGTCTACGTTTACGATCCGTTGGCTTTGGTCGTAGATGCAATAAACTGCATCCATGAAATGCCGTGTTGATGTTGCGTGACGTGTCTGCCGGACTGGACAGTGACAAGTTCAAGTTGCTGCCCTTCACTCCGCGCTCAAGGTGAGCACTCCGAACCACAATGGCTTCCGCTCACACTCCTACTTCCACAATCCCGCGAATCCTTCAGTGTGCCTGATCACTCTATACCACGGAGCGTTGCCTTTTTCCAATGCTCTCCAGAGGCTTATATTATATATTGTATAGTAGTGACAAGCAAAATCAATCAACAATGTCCATGACATCTCTTTTGCCTTGTGTGTTCATTTGGTTGCTGCTTGTTTCTGGTAGTCAGATGTCCCGGCAGGGAAATAATCCAACTGGTGCGGCCAACGGTCTCGAGCCCCCTTTGCCTGTCTCTCGTGCCAGCAGCCAGTCCGTCAGCGAGTAGTGCCATACACCGTGTGCATCAGAGCTGACATGCAGCACAGCCAGCATAGCATCTGTATCTCGTGGGTAACAAGCAAGAGGACAGGATCGCTATCGTTCAATGTATCTAGCTCCTACTCCATGTGTATATACAGCAGCGAGCCGCCCCAAAGTCATGCCTGCCCGATACCTAGGCATGCCCACGGCGTGGCTCAAACCCAGCCGATTCGGGGTATATGCCGCTTCCATCCCATAGATCCTACATAGCGCTTCAGAGTAGCCTAAACTTTATATTCCCACACATGAGTTTTTCCACATAATTCGTTACAAGCTCGTTTGCCGCCTTCAGCTGCTCGGCCGAGTCCGTCTCAGCTCTTTCTCAGCTCTTCAGTCGAGTCCGTCCGGCGCAGGGCTCTTGGGCTGTCGACCATGTCTTTCATCTCGAACTCGACGCGCACTGTGTGGTGTTCCATGATGTAGTTTTGGCGGCTGCTGGTGTCGTCGAGCGGCTCCCACTCGCCGCTGTCGGTGCGGCGGCGCGGCCCGCCGTGCACCGTCGCCAGCGAGTGGCCCTTGTTGGTCGGGTTCTGGAAGCGCCGCATCGACGCCGCGCTGCTCTTGCCGCTCCTTTTGTTGCTGCTCTTGTAGTCGCGGCCGCTGGGCATGCCAGGCGTGCCGCCGAACGTGGCGAACGAGAGCGGTGGCAGCGGGGCGGAGCCGTCGCCCGCTTGCGAGTCGGTGCCCAGCCAGCGCTTGAAGAGGCTGCGCAGCATGGGGAGGGAGCCGGCGATGAGGCCGACGCCGCATTCGAAGATGGACCAGAGGATCACGTTGCCCATGTGGACTGTGGTGCGTGGTGGTTAGTTGACTGTGTTCAGTGAGGACTTCTTCCTCGTCTAGGCTGGAGACTTACAGAGGTATTCATTGGGATCCTTGTAAAATCTCAGATACGGCATGCGAATGATGGTCGAGACAGAGGCGCTTGTGCTTCTGTCAGTATTCAAAGCCTACACAGCGTCCTAGTCCTTATGGAACGACTTACATGGCGCCCAGCCCCAGAATCAAGCCCACAGAGACCTTCATCGACGTCTGCATGTGCGTCTTCCACAAGATGAAGATGGGGAGAATGGCACATGACCAGTCCGTCAGGATAGACGAGGCCGAAACGAGGTAACTGAGGTTCGTGATCACGTCGGTGCTGACGCAAGTGCCAAGACTCGGGTCCCAGTTGGCAGCCACGGGCTTGCACGTCGTCAAGACGCCAACGAAGCCGATCAACGACGTGATGATGCTGATAACGATGATGCTCCAGACCAGGATACGGTGAACTTTCTGGACGGCGATGCGCAGGAGCGTCGTGCAGATTGCATTCTTGATGCAGCAAAGCGACGTCACGTAAAACACCTGCCAGAAGACGACATATTTGATGCCCTCGCTAGACATGAAGGCGTTGAGCTTCGCATCTGGTGTGCCCAGGCCGACGAAGGTGTCGTACGACACGACGCCGCAGTCCACCATGAATAGCATCTTATTACCAAGTCAGTCACACTCACGAATACCATCTTTCTGGAAACATACCAGTCCCGCCAACATAAGTCCATCGTCGACACCGAAACAACGGTGCGCCACCCTGACGGTCGTCCGCAGGATAACGGTAAAAGTAGACAGTACGAAGAAGGCTATTGTGAGCGCAAGTATGGCCGCTGCGAGCCCCTCTGGCTTCACAGACCTTGCGCTCGGAGCGGCTGCCATCTCGCACGCAGAGGCGCCTTACGCGCGATGAAACAAAGAATGGATCGGGCGGGCACCAAGATCTGACGACTGACGACACACTAGTCTTCCAGCTCCAGACTCCCACAAGCGAACAGCGGGAAAGGTAAGCATATAGAGGTTCAGAAGAGAGGCGGCGGTGAAAGTTGCCTTGAGGAAGTCGTTTGTTGTAGTTCATTGCCGAACTGAAGTTGTTGTCTTGACAGCTACTCGCGGGAACTGGTGAGCCAGTCGTCACTGACGAGCCGTTCATGCTCTCATGGTAGGGAGTCGGGACTCCCAAGGTTCAGCCCTCGCCCTGTTTGATGAGGGTTCCTGAGTTCTGTACCGGAAGCCTCGCCACGGGCCCATACCCCCGGGTGCCCCCAAGCCAGACACTGGGACATTGGGTTTTCTTTGGACGCAACAGATGGAGTTGTCCACTCGGACTGTAACCTGTGACACCCGGGCTCCGCAGCCCCAGATGCCCAGATGGCGCCGTTGCATAAACCAGGAGCGACGGGGTGGGTCTACCTGTCAGTAGCGCATCCCAGTGGACTGGGTCGTCCCCTTTGGTCTCAAGGCAGAGTCAGCAAAGCGAAGAGTGAGAGTCGGGACCGGCGCCCCGAATTTATCGAACGAGTTGTGACTGCGGGAACTTGGAAGCAGCGGTCTCCATGCCGGAGCAGCCAGCATTTTCCTGGAGTCTGGAGAGTCTGGAACAGATCAGCGCACAGCAAGATCGTGTCATGGACTATTGGTGGCTTTTATGGGTGAGGAGCATCAATGTATGCGTTCATGCACACTAGACATCCTGCTGTGAAGCCCAACAACTGTCCGTTTTTATGATCTTCTTAACAGGTGGACATTGTTGGTATTGATGATCTTGACGCCGTCTCGTTAAAGCAGCTGATGATGCCGCGATGCCTCTTCTTAGCGGTATGGCTTCAACGTCAAACTGTCGGTGTCGCAATAGGGGGTATCTACTATTGTGCACCAAGGCCGTGTCATTGCATTGTCGGAAGGATTTAGACCCTGCTGTCTATCGCGTAAAATTGCCGACTGCTGCCCTAGCACGCGGCACGGTAGTGGCCTACACGATGATCCTGGATGGATATATCCATCCTGGGCTCTAACCTCTTGTGAGTGGTTGAGACTTGTTGGCCTCGGGTGATCATGTCGACGATGCTCACACAGCCAACACACTGCAATCTTGATCGAGTCCACCCGATATCCACCAACGCTTTATCTCAGACGAATGCCCCAAGTCGCCACTGATGCAGGCAGGCAGGATATAAAATCACTCTACTCAGTTGAATATTGCACGAGTAGTACTCATGACTCGAGTGAATTGTTAATACCCTGCCTCCCTGCATTGATCAATGATGAGACCAACGTGTCGGCCTGCTCGTCGATGGGCGCCTCGGTGCCAGCGGTGCCAGCGGTCTGTCCCGACTGCCCGACAAGTATCCGCATATTGCTCCGGGTGTCGTGCGAGAGGGGACAGCACAGCCGGTAGTCGCTGGGGCATGGTATAATTCTGGGGCCTTTGGGCCTTGGATTCTAACGTTGTGAAGAGGGGTCTGACCAGGTATATGTATTAGGTAGATGCCAACCGTGCAGGTCCCTGACTGTCTGAGTATCTGTCGTGCTTCCAGCTTCCGACGTATTCAAATCTGAGATGGCTCCTTACGACGTCTCCGGCAAATATGCCGTTGTCACTGGGGGCGGCTCCGGTAAGCGAGATCTGGCGCAACGATCCCCCCTCATGCATGTCTGACATGCATCGCAGGTATCTGCCTTGATTTCATTAAACTGCTGCTCGTCAAGGGCTGCTCAGTCATTGTCGGTGACCTCGCCTTGCGACCGGCAGCTGAAGAGGTGGCCAAGGCATACCCGCATCCTCCTGCGGCTCCTGGCAAGGCTTCGCTGCTCTTCCATAAGACGGATGTGAAGTCTTGGCCACAGCTGTCGTCACTATGGAATACGGCCGTGTCAACCTTTCCCCAAGTTGACATCGTCGTCCCCGGCGCTGGCGTCTACGAACCGCTCGAGAGTTCCTTTTGGTGCCCTCCTGGTGTGGAAGGCGGGCCCTCCAAGGACCTCGTTGACAGCGAGGCTGGTACCTACGCCACCTTTGGCATCAATCTTATTCACCCTATCCGGCTGTCACAGCTGGCCATCAGCTATTGGACCACCAAGAAGCTCCCGGGTAACCTGTTGTTCGTGGGCAGCATCGCTGGCTACACTGCCACTGTCGGTACTCCGTATTACTACTCGAGCAAGGCTGGTCTCCATGGCTTCGTTATGAGCTTGGCGCCGCTGCACAAGCGACTAGGCATCCGGGTGGCGTGCGTCGCGCCCGGTGCTTGCAGGGTGAGTGCCTTGTCTCGTATGTACTTCAGAAGCGCAGACGCTGACGTGAACGACCTGTGACAGACTCCCTTGTGGGACCAAGAGCACTGCAAGTCCAAGCTTACCAACAACGATCCTGCAGTGAGATCCGACTTTGTTGCCGACGTCATGCTCAATATGTGCGAGAACGACAAGTATGGCGATGGACAGATCGTCGAGGTGATGGACTTGGGCACTGCGCAAGACTCCAAGCCTAGCGTTCGTGAAGTGCCCGTCCACCTGTTGTATCCAGCAGCCAGTGGTGTGGGCGTGCCGACGCTGTTAGTGGAAGAGGAGAAACTGTGGAAGCAGCTTGAGACCGAAGGCTTCAAGGCGTAGAGTCAGTGCCAGGTGATTATGTGTACCGCATATCTACCTCAGTAGCTCTTCTAGACCGAATGGCTCCAAGAACCATGAAGCTGGAACTCGTGCTTCGTACTTTGAGCTGTGTGCACCGTGTACAAGAGGCTGACCACGTCCTGCTCAGTTGCTCGTGATATCGAACATGAGATATGCGCAAGTCATCGCCGCTGTCTGGGATGTCGTGAGTACTTGCTGCGATTTGCACGGTCGCAGCTAACATCCATCACGCAACGGATCTTGTTCTCGCCTCGCAGGTTTGGCATGTACTCCTGGAATCTCATGGCGATCGATCTTGAATGATTTTCCACGACGGCTTGGTCCTCAGCAGTCAACATTTCCAGCGGGACCTCCCCGTAGCGGAACTCCGCAAACCCATAATCGTCGGGCTGTTGTTCTCGCGCCTGTGACTCGGTGATCATTGGAACCACGACGAGCAGGATCTCCTCGATATGCGGTCCCTCCAAAAGCTGTCGCACGTTAGGGGGTGGGTTGGTGATCAGACTGTGCCACTTGACCCAACGGGACAGTCGATCTGCTGGCGGTGTCTGGAAGTTCCGTATCAGGAAAGCAACCCGCTTGGCCCTGTGCATCCACGGAGCCTCACAGAGTTTGGTCAAAATGATGCTGACTTCGTCGTCGATGATGTAGATGAGGTCTCGTTCACGGTTCATAGCGAAGTGCGTCCTCGCTCTGCGCAAGTCTTCCGACAGCATGGCCTCGAAGATGGAACGAAGAACTTGGTCGGGCGATCCGCTGAAAATGGAATAGTGCTCATCGGTATGCCGTCTGAAGAGCCTATAGAGGAGATGGTGGTCCACGTCTCCGTCATTGGACCGGAAGCATTCCATATTGCCGATCTCGAAGATTTCTTGGAACATCGCGAGTGCCTCCGAAGAAGCCATTGCCGACCCAAGAACATGACAGCCTGCTGAGTTGGTCTCGGCATCGAGCCCGATATACTGTGGGCATGATGGATATGCCTCCCCGTGATGGAAACCCTCGCTAGGACCAGACGGCGCCGAGTGGAAGATATGGATCTGTGTCCCATGGTTGTCATTGAAATGCTGCTTCCAGATCTTGATCCTCAGCTCCGGTGGCAGATCGGGAAAGCGGTCAAATGACGCCGCAGACCCCGCCATGGCCTGCGACTGTGGCAAACTTGATACCTGCATTGGGACAACACTCGAGGTCCACTAGGTTATCCAGCGACGGTATCGAGCTAGGAGGTAAGTTTGGTAGTCAGGTGTTGGTATAAGGCAGTGTTGTGTGCGAGTGAAGCTGACATGGATTACATGGGAGGAAGTCAGGCTTCGTCTACTAACCTACCATGTGAGGCTGTGCTGACTACATGTAACATTGAACCTTGCCTTTGCCCCTATCCCCGCACACGTGTCGTCGGGCTTTATGGGGTACCGTAAGACAAGACAGCCGCGCGCAAACAGGTACCTAAATCGAGCGAGCGAGCTTACCTTGTCGACCCCGGAGGGACGCCTCGGCGTCATCCGAGGTCCAAATTCGGCAAGAAGCAAACCTATGATGCATATGTCAGTCAGTCTAAGGGGTATGCGGGAGAGGAACATGCTCAATTCCGGAGTCCGGACTCATGTGTCGAGCCGAACATTACAGCACCTTGTATCCTATCTTTCACTTCTTCAAAGCCCAAATGCCCTTCAACGTCGATGACATCGAGCCCAGATGCCTACCTTATCACCAACTCCCAAGTCCATGAAGGCATGGACTATTTCCCGCCGCGGCACTCCCCAGGAGGCTCTGAAAGCCGACCACCTGCCCGTGCGTACGGATCTCAAGCCGAACGAAGTCTTGGTCAAGGTCTCCCATGCCGCACTGAATCCCTTTGGATACAGAATGATGTGGGCGGTCCCTTCTTTCGTGCGAGTGAAACCTTCCGTTCCAGAATTTGACTTCTCTGGACGTAGCGAAAAGCTGGGCAAAGACGCTGAATCAGACTTCGTGTTGGGCGACGATGTCTTCGGGATGGTGACACCTTCTGAGGGCGTCAAACTCGGGAGTGGCGCTCTGGCTGAGTATGTGGTGGTGGCGAGGGATCACCTACGCCCCAAGCCCAGATCCATGTCGTTCGAAGCCGCCAGCGGTCTCGGTAATGTGTTCATGACAGCTGTTTCTCTCCTGGAGAAGAGTGGCTTGAAGAGCGGTGACCACGTCTTCATCAATGGTGGAAGCGGTGGTACGGGCTTGGTATTGGTCTAGATGGCTGGGGATATCGTCGGTGAGCACGGCAAGGTGGTCGCAACCTGCTCACCCAACACGATGAAGCTCGTGAAGAGCGTTGGGGCTGATGAGGTAAGTCTCCTGCATGTGGTTTCATGCTCCACCGGTCAGCATCACGTCCTAATGTCATTCAGACGATCGACTATACAGCCGTGTCCCTTCCCGACCACCTTGTGGATGTTTACTCTGCGCGGCCTTTTGACGCAGTCGTCGATACGGTCGGACAATCCCAGCCACTCTACCACCGTTCACCACAGTACTTGGCTCCTGAAAAGCCGTTTCTGTGCATTGGGACCTATTTGGGCGACGAGCTCACCTTGTACAACGTGTTTCTATCTGTCCGCCCGCCGCTATCAAACAGATTGTGGCCCAAAATCCTCGGCGGAACACCACGGGCATGGGAGTTCCTGAGCGGCGAGGAGCGTGTTGGAACGTCCCTGAAGGTGGTTCATTCTATGGTCGAAGCTGGAAAGGTGCAACGCAAGATCGATTCGGTTTTCGATATGGATGATGTAACGGCGGTGAGTTGCTTCGTATCCCTGTGAGTACTGGTCACTGATATATCACAGGCGTATGAAAGACTGTTGAGCCGGAGGGCGCGTGGTAAAGTGGTGATCAAAGTCCAAGAACTGTAACGCAGCTGTTCACAGCCTGACGTCCTGTACTCCGTTTATCATCTCCGGGGGCATATTTCAACACATATTATATATATATAGTAATGTATCAGATGACTATATGCTGCAGACAAATTGAGTCAGCCCCATGCTAGACACAACTACTCTACGTACAAACTAAGGCAGCTTTCGTAAATCTGTGAATTGCTGTCCGACCGCCAGTACGATTGAACGAAACACTTTCCTCCTACATCATACGAAGAGCCCAGGGTACCTGGGATGGTCACACTGAAAGCCACTCCCATCATCAGTGCACTGGGGTGTACGGAGACTCCCAAGGATTCATGAAGTGTAGCTCGAATTGAAATCTTAGTGCGCGACGACTTCAATGTTCTATCTGGATGAAACGTCAGCGATCTCGTCTCGGAGAAATACTGGATGAGGACTCACTTGGCACTGCTGCTCCAGCTCTGGGACGCAAGTAGTCCCCGGCGGCGCCACGCCTAACTCGTTAGCAAGGATGAACGAGACGAATGCATGTCGCGGGAAATATTCCTTACCCCCTGGGATAATAGACAAATTCATCCCGTCGGGACCGCGAGTCTTTATCCGCCGGTGCCACAACTTCAAGATCCGCAGGACAAGGTACCCCTTTTGGATGCGCTGCCGGCGCGGAAAAGCGTTGAGGATACCATTGTGAGCGCCCTGGTAGCGGAGTATGATAACGACGAAGACCGCGTGGTGCCGCGCACAGCTCCAACTCCAAGCCCGCTCTGGCGTATTTCCCGTCCGTATCGCAAGTGCTGTACGCAGCGATTTATTATTAAACCCAGTGGTGGGTCTGGCGCCGTCAGGTTGTCGTCGAAGAATAACGAAACGTAAGGTGACAGCGGCTGCCTGCTCGACGTGGGCGGATCGAAATAATACAAAATGTGATCTGTGATGTTACTCGATTGCTCGATGTGACTCGTTGTTCCCGTGTTGGACATAACCACGTGTCGTGTGTGTTGGGAAAAGTTGCCAGGCAACGCGAGGGGTATCGTAGGTACCTTACGCACAGCAGTGCTCGGCTGCGTTGGGTACCTCTGTCAACGGGCCTTCCGCCTAAGCCTTGACGTTACTCCTTCAAAATGGACGTACATGCCTCAATCTCGTTGCACGTCACCGGCAGTCACAATATCACTCAACCACGCGTGCCTTCGTACTCAGTATCGAAACCACCACCTATCCACCTCAAGACCGAGCAAGAGAAGCACAATCGCAACCAAAATGAAGGCAAGCCCCCTGATATTGCGCAGTGCATCAATAACTAATCAATTTATATACCCAGTCCTTCGCCATCCTGGCCCTTCTCGGCGCCATTGCCATCGCCCACACCTACGCCGTGCCTGATCAGGACACCGCAGTCTACCCCTGCACCCCGGATGCGCAATACAGCCTCGACTGCGAGCAACCCCCCGTCACGAATTTCTGCGCTCGAAGCAAGAAGAGCTGCTGCAACAGTGACGGCGCGCTGTACACCGAGGACCTCCTTCACTGCGGCCCCGACCAGTGCCGCTGTGTCGCTACCTAGAAGGCGCCGGCACCCGTGTGTGTCTGCTAGGCTAGATGGAACAGGGATCATGGGGGCCGTTGGTCATTGGGGTCTGGATGATCTGTCGGGTATGATGATGAAGATGATGGTTTGAATGGGCAGGATCTGGATCGCGGTTCTTCGCATTGTGTCAGAAACCCGTGGGCAATGCAGGCGGCGGTTCACAAGAGGTTGCTCGGGCTCATGTATGTATGGATGGCTTGTGATGCATCCAAAGATGCCTCATCCAGCATTCTCTCAAAATCCCCATGTGTCATTGATACTCTACCTGGTGCGATAAGTAGAGCAGCGACAACGCAGAGGCGCAGAGGCGCAGAGGCTCAGATGTGCAGGCCAACAAGCAGAAACACTAGATAGAAAATCGATTGCAACGCTTCTTGGTGTCCATGAATGGCAGGCTATGGCTGACTAGAGAGTATGGCAGTCGGGGTGGTTGATTCTTTGACATTGTGGAAGAAAAGGGGGGGAAGGTCGATCAGATACACTGTTAGCACTGTGTGTTAACACTGTGTGGGTTCATCTAGTGATTTTTAACGTGGTATGTGCACTCGATACCTGTACCTATCCAGTGGGGCTCCTTCGCACGGCTCATTGTCCATTCTCCACTCTTCATTCTCCATTCATTCTCCATCTCGCATCTCCAAATTCAACATTTGACAGGGCGTCGGCACTAAACTGCTACGCGACACTCGAGCTTGAATCGCCGACTGCGCGCATTCACACCTGTCCTCTGAGGTACCTCGTCTGTCTGCAATCAAGGCAGACACCACACCATTGACAGGTGCGCATCTGCAGGTCGAGGAACCAAGCTTGGTCACCAGTCACCAATTACCATCGCCCAACGCCTTGTCGCAGATTCCTCCTGTCACTGTCCGCCCTGCTGGACGCGAACCTCGCCGTCGCCGTCGCTGTCGCCGTCACTGTCGCCGAATCATAAATCGCACACTTCCACGGCCTTCGACTATGCCTCGTCGACCAGGACGCGCCGCTGCGAAGCGCGCTGCCGCAAAGCTTGGTAAGTCGCCTTTGCTTCAAATATGAGTCGGGCCAACATGCCCCCAGCTGGCCACGTACCGGGGGATACACATAGCTAATGTTGTCATTACTACTCAGAGAGCACTCCGCAAACATTCGACGAAGTTGAAGATGAGGCCATGCCTGACGCGGGTGTCTCTGATGGCGAACCCCAGCCAGAACCCGAGGAACAAGAGAACGAGGACTCCGGAGCAGAGCAGGACGAACACCAGGATTCCGATGCTGCTTTTCCCAAATCACCCTCTCCGCCGCCACAACAGGTCATACGAAGACGACGCCTTGGTCGCCCGCCCAAGAACAGACCACCTGACTGGGACAGCCTCCCCCTCGAGCTCCCTCATCGCGATCCAAACGATCCTCCCCGACGCCGAGGCCGCGGAGGTTGGAGAGGCCGAGGCGGCCGCAAGGGTGCTTCTTTCCAGCCTACAACGCAAGCCATTGACAAAGAGGGCAACGTTATGGACATTGTCGACGATGAGCTTGCGCTGCCAGAGGACCCCGAGGGAGAAACCAAGGTAAACAAGATGGGTCACCTCCAAGACGGTCGCGAGTACCGTTGCCGAACCTTCACTGTTGCTGGTCGTGGCGACCGGCTCTACATGTTATCGACCGAGCCTGCCCGATGTGTCGGATTCCGGGATTCCTACCTATTCTTCACCAAACACAAGCGGCTCTACAAGATCATCGTGGACGATGAGGAGAAACGTGACATGATCGAGCGCGATATTATCCCTCATTCATACAAGGGCCGCGCAATCGGAATTGTGACGGCCCGGTCGGTTTTCCGAGAGTTTGGCGCTTTGATTGTCGTGGGCGGCAAGAAGATCATCGACGATTACGAGGTTGCCAAGGCTAGGGCTGAGGGCGTGGTAGAAGGAGAAATCGCCGACCCGAGTGACAGACATGTCGACGGCGAGGAGTACAACAAGAATCAGTTTGTCGCATGGCATGGCGCCAGTGCCGTCTACCATTCTGGAGTCCCCTCTGCCCCAGCCCAGAACGGTAAGGCGGACTTGAAGAAGAGACGAGTGAATGTGACGGACGTCAACTGGCAGCTGGAACATGCTCGAGAAGCAAGGTACGTCCACGTGGACAAGTCATTCATGCGACCGACTGTATGCTGACTGGTAGCAGCCGCTTCAACGCAGATCTTGCCGCCATCCGCCGGCACAATCTCTCTGGTGTCTATGATGTCCATACCAACACCATGCAGTATCCATCCATCATGCAACCCACGCATGCCAGGATTGAGCAAGTCGCAGATTCAACTACTTCGAATGACAGTGCTCGCTTTCCGCCTCTGGATCCAAAGATCCCTCGCAACTTCACCATCATCGACACCTACATGGAGACTCCCCCAACGGGTATCTCCTCCGCTGTATATGAGCAGCGCGAAGTACCTGCCTTCTTGGCTGACTTCCAAGGACTTGGTGCCGTCTCAAGCGACATTTTGGATGACTTGCCCCCCGAGTGCCGAGAAGCATTCAGCAAAGCTGTAGAGAAGGAACACGCTTGGAAGTCGAAATGGGGCACCGAGAAGGAGGCAGCGCACCGGAGACCACCTATCATTGATGCCGCCATTGTTCCTTACAGCAAAGCCTAATGTAATGGTTGCGTTTATGGCTTGAATCAGTCGAAGCACCATGTTCTGCGGAACTAATTGCTTTTTGTCATTTGGATGCGGTGCGCGAAGACATTGTTCAAAAGTGGAATAAGCTCAGGCATACACGCATGGGAGTGGAAGGGATAGCTCCTTCAGCTAATCATCCGAACTGAGAGAACCACCGATGGCTCGCTACATTTGGCCGTTTCTCGTCGAACATCCTTGACAGCAGAGATGACACGTTCTCTGTACAATATGCGACTTCAATGCGAGATGGAGTTACCTCTTTCCGATCATTGATACCCCTGGGTTCCCCTCAGGGAGTTCGGACTGGTGAATAGATGGCGTGGAAACTCGAACCGCGTCTCAAAAATTGTATTGTTTGAGTATGTGGTTACGGCGTTATTGGCCAGGAAAGGGTCAAGGGCTTGCTTCGCGACGGATACCCGTCATTAGACGACTGGCTAGTCGCTATGTGGCCGGCGTTGGTTCTTCACTGGCGGTGTAGCTTACATACCGTAGCCCTAGACTGCGTCTCTTTGATTTTCAAGGGTTCACCTCTTAGGTAGGGAGCAATTGACTGATTGACATACCACATCTTGAGTTTGGCTTACCTGGGTACAATCTGACGTGACGAATCCAATGAGCAGTTCCAGCTCTACAGCGTGTCGGGCGCCGGTGCTCGTAAGTCTGTCCGCGCAATTACGTTCAGCAGCAGAGGTTTGTGCCCCTTCGAGAGACGGTGTTCTAGTAGCACCAGATGAACACATAGTCTGTCACATACCCAGTCGGATTGGACGGTAGTTGGGAACCAGGTAGGTACTTGATCAGGGGAGGCACGTCCGCGGCAGCGAGGTTGACGCTGGCGCTCTGAGGTAGTACACACGCTGGATGGCACGAAGTCGTCTTGTTTGAAATTGATTTGGTGATGACTTGATGATCACCCCTTTGAGCGGGCTGCCAGTTGTCGGAAAACCTAGACACACGCCTCTAAAGGGGTGGGACTTGGCAGTGGTATTTACTATTTTGTCAACGTTGGAACTGGGTGTGGCAGGGGTAGGTGCATGGGAACACTTGTTGGTGTTGGCTGTATTCAAGCATGGAATGCAACCCCCAGGCTGTCACCTCGTACAAGACTGCCCTGCCCGTCTTCTTGACGCCCCAATCATCCAACCCGAGAACCCTTTCATCTCAGTGTAGTGGACGTGGCTCAGGTCAATTGTGTTCAGCGTTCTAGCCACCACGGCAAGTGCTCTCTCGATCGCCAATATGGTCCTGGATACCGGTTTCGCCGCGGCAAGATATGCTGTGCTCATACTCGGGTCATATGTGCGTACACCGCAATCTCCGTTCACGTCCACTGTCCACTAACACATCCAAGTATCTCCTCGTCATCGGCCACCGTATCCTGCTCCACCCACTGAGGCGTTACCCGGGGCCGCTGGTCGCCAAGTTCACCGACTGGTATGGCGGCTTTCACGCGCTGTCGATGCATCTCCACTTGACCACATACCAAGATCACAAGAAGTATGGTCGTGTCATGAAGCACGGTCCGAACAGGCTGGTATTCAACTCTGTCCAAGCTCTGCAAGGTAAGCCATTGCGGCTCCATTACAAGCTGTCGCTAACGGCATCAGATATCTACAGCAACGAGAGAACCACGAAATCCCATATCTATCTACTCACCGTCCAGGCTAATGGTATTGATAGCATCTTCAACGCTGTTGACAGGAAAAGACATGCTTCCAAGCGGCGGCTTGTTGGCCGAGCCGTCACGAAGCGTGCAATGCGCATGTTCGGGCCCATCATGCATGAACAAATAGACGTGTTTGTAAAAAGGTTGTACGAGTAGTCTCGAGACTCCTCCCCGGTCAACATGACACAGGCCTGCAAACGGCTTGGGCTCGACATTGTCGGTCATCTGGCCTTTGGCTTTGCTCTTGACACGCAGACGGACCCGACATACCGCTTCATCATCGACGGCATTGCAATGGGAAACTACCGGGCCAACTCCTTCATGCAGCTGCCATTCCTAAAGAACGTCTGTTCGACTCGACGTTGCATCTCCTTTCCCGTTCCCGCAGGCTGGGATACCTGCGCGTATTGGAACACATGATCAGCACGCGACTGAGTATGGACAGACATGCCAAAAACGACCTCTATTCCTCTGTGGCCGATTATATCGATGCCGATGGGCCGGACAACATCCTGCTCAGCAAGCTGTGGTCCGAGGCCGTGTTCTTTTTCCCGGCAGTTTAGCAGCCGCGAAATACACTTCTACCATGTTCATGAACAGCTGTACTGACGACTCAGGGAGCAGGAGGGGATACTACAGCAACTGCGCTAAGTGCGCTATTCTTCTATCCATCACACAATCCGGTAGCCTACCGCCAAGTGTCTGAAGAAGTCCGCGGTACGTTTACGCATGCTGCAGAGATCCAAGGTGGCCCGATGCTCTCGGACTGCCGGTATCTCCGTGCTTATATCGACGCGACTTTGCGCATGTCCTCGCCAATATCAGGGACTTTATGGCGCGAACTCGCTAAAGATGAAGAGGCGAAGGGTCCCTTGATAGTCGACAGGCACGTTATCCCGCGCGGTACCCAGGTTGGCGTGAACATATACACACTCCACCACAATGAGGATTATTTCCCTGAGCCCTTCGACTTCCGCTCGGAACGCTGGCTGGTCGAGGACAGCAGCGAACTGCAGACCATGCACGCCGCATTTGCGACGTTCTCGGCCGGGGCGAGAGGTTGTGCTGGAAAGCCCATGGCTTATCTTGAATCTAGTTTGGTGGCAGCCAAGACACTGTGGTACTTTGATTTCCAGACGGCGCCGGGCGACGTGACCGGTGTCGGCATACGTGGCAAGATGGACGGGAGAGGACGTCGCGAAGAATACCAACTACGTGACGTCTTCAGTGCCGCGCATGACGGGCCGTACGTGGTGTTTCGCCCGCGCGGGGATGCTTGCAAGGAGTTGGGAGTGAGAATGAGCCAAAGCCAGTAGAGAGGAGACTCAGAAGGACGGTTAGAGGTTGTATCTTGGGGTGTGCTCAAACCATCCGCCCACTCAAGGTACTACTGTAGTCACAGCTAGGGTTCATACCAACATGGAGTTACTTGTGTTTACTCATACGTGTTGCCGTGAAGTCTAAGTCAGCTTGATGGATTGGAGCCTCGCAGGGAATTATGAAAGCCTTCCGCAATTGCTGTACATCCTCGGCCAGCTTGGTTTTGCCGCTTTCGGCTTCACAAGTCTCCACGCCCGACCACAAGACGGAGGGTGAGATCCCGCATCCCAGTCGTTTTGACTTGACGCTCCCATTTTCAAATCAATACATGGAGACACAGTTCATCTATGCATGCGCTGCACCGTGAGCTTATCGCGAGAGTCAGAGCGTTACAACACTGTTGACAAAAGGAAATGGGAGAAAAGGGTAGCACGGCATCAGCAGCTAAGTAAGCCTGTCAAATACTTCGCGAGATCTGGAGACGTGTGGTTGTATTTATAATATTAACACGACATCGCAAGTCATAGGAATGTTTCGTTTGTTTCAGCCATGCTCGTCCACATACCTGCCGGTTTTGCCTTTAAGTCACCCTTGCTTTCCACCTAACAGCTTTTCTAGACCCCGAGCGCGGTTCTTGAAACCACGACTCTCAGCTCCTCCTACTAAGGCGCTGTCCCCCTTGCCATCAGCATCACCCCACTTCGCATCTACAACCCCAGGCCGGACCTGCTTGAGGAACTTCTCGCAAGGCACCCACTGCCTGCCCGCGTCCTCGGTCCATCCCCTCTCCATAGCCAGAGGACCCTTCCCTATCATAGCAGCCCATCGCTCCCCGTCGCCGGGTGCCGCCAGCCCGGCCGTCTCCAACGAAGCCACGGCGCCCGCTGCCCAGTTGTGGCAGTTGCCGTCGCCGAAGTACGGCAGCTGGGTCTCGTCGGCGCCGAAGCGGGCCAGCACCGCGTTCGCGACGTGGGCGTCTTCCAAGGTCAGGTCGGTACGTAGATTGCACCGCCCGCGAGGCGCTGGGTCGGCGTCAAAGCACTGCTCTGGGCGTGACTCGTCTGGTGTAAGAAAAGATACCGCATTAACCTCCATAAAATCTGATAGAGGGAGGTGTGGGTAGTGCCCGGGAGAATCACCTACTACGAGATATCAGTAAAGGCACGAGAGGTACAAAGATACATGGTGTTGTAAGACGGATGTCTTCCTGCGTACCAAACGAAGCGTACTTGGTCCGGACAGCGCGCGTGGTGCAGGTGGCATGTTGCGGGCTGAGAAGCGCTGCGGTGGACGGCGATGGCAACATGGCCGCTGGGATCGTCGATGGGCTTGTCACCACCCCAAAGTACTACCGAAACTGTGTACTGACCTGCCGCGGTGTCGTAGGTCTCGGTGGTCATGGTAGATTGCCCGAGAAGTTTTCTCTCTGATCCTCATGTACTGTGAGGTATGTAGTCCGAAACGAGAAGAGGCAGTTTGGTGAAGAATACGACAATCAATCTTCTGGAGGAAATGCTGTCACGGGCTTGGGCTGTTCAAGTATGACTATCGGACAGGGTCAATATTGTGGGGTTCGGGGCAAAGCGCTTCGGCGGCGGGCCCGCGCTTACGGAACCTCAGTCTCATGTTCGGGTCCCATAGGCAAGTAAGTAAGCGCTCAGGGATGTTCCTACCCATAGGCCGTGAGTAATGAGTGCCGGAATGCTTAGCTACTTCGCGGTAAACGGGGAGCTTGGGCGAAATGCCTATCCAAGGATCTTGCTGTATATCTGATTCATGATTTCGGCCTCGATCCAGTACGGTGGGACAAACCGCTCGAGCTGTCGTATGAAACTGGGCGTGAACACGCCGTGCCAGGTGGCCTTGTACCATTCCCAGTAAGCAGGATAGAAGCCTGCCGTGTACCAGTCCAAGATAACCACGGTCAGATCATCCCGTATGAGAATGTTTCCGGCGTTCAAGTCGCCGTGCGTGAAGACAATCTCGTGGTTGCGAAGAGAGTGAACTAGTTGCCGGAGAGCATACATGTTGTTGTACCCTGGGGACTCGGGATCCGTGTTTTCGGGTGACGGGCTAGATCGCGACAGAGCATCTACAATGCCTTCGTTGAATCCATGTTCGTCGGGATAAGGCCCATACTTGTGGTCGGTCTTGTGGAAATCCCACTCAAACTCGCCCATAACCGAAGGGCTGCGATTGAACCCACCCACGTAGTCGCTTTTGAGGCTACGCAATTCGCTGAAGTATTGCTGCAACTTAGCGATGACTGCCTCTTTCTCTTGCTCCGAAGCCTTTTGCCAGAACTCGGGCAACAGCTTGCCATGTTCGAAAGACATGATGATATATCCACAGCCGTCAAGTACATATGCGCCGTGAACTGTTGGGCATTCGACGGAAGTGTGCCGACGTACATATTCCATAGCTTCGGCTTCAGCTAGGGAGACATGAGTTCCGTATTTGACCAGCATATCTTCCTCGATCTGGCGAAATTGGCTGCCCTCCTTGCCGGGAAACGGGTTGAATGATGCTGGGAGATCTTCTGGATCGAGAACGTAAGGAGGGAGCCCAAGCAAACTTGAGGTTATCAGTAGAGGCTTTTCCCGTTTCTCGGAACCTGCATCCGCTAGATTCGATTCCTCCATAGTTGTTGAGTTGGAAGTGTGTTCTGAAGTTGTTGCAGGACGAGTGGCGGTTGCTTTCGTTTGTTCTTGCTGCTCCATCGTTGATGCCGAGGTGCGCTCCAAAACTCCCGGACGGCGACTGACACCTGGTTCCGGTGTTTCCTGTTGCTCCATGATTACTTTCGAGGGAGTGCTGAGACCTTGGTTCTCGGTGGTGGGCAAATGATTACAAACTGGAGAACACAACGACGAGAGGTGCCACGCGGGTTCAATCGTGATCAAGGTATCTAATCTACACGTGACACTCGACACCGTAACAGGCTTCCAGGTTTGACGGTCAAATCTCGACCTAGCACGGCGACCCCAGGCTTCGCCTCGGGATGCCAGAGAGAGTTGATCAAAGTGTACCGTTTGATACTACTAGCCATGTATCAAGCCCAGAGCGCTTTGCATTTCCCTGGGCTTGGATCGCCAGACTCTGGCCTCCAACCAATGCTTGGCCAGCTTCGCCGTTACAGTACCCACCTCCGCATCCGCGCGCGTCTGGTCGGCTCAAAGGGTCGATAGGCTCTCTAGAAGGTCACACAAGAAAACGCTCATCACCAGTTGTTAGGCGCGCTGCGTTTCACATACCGGCGGAATCAACATCATGTGTCGCTCAAGTTGTCCAAGCACAAAGATGCGGTGCATACTCGCAATGGCGCCGCGCTTATGGTCCTCTCAGGGGAGCCCGAAGCGTTCAGGGGCGCTTTCCAGGCGCGTAAACATACGATATGTCGATGATTCAACTCATCTATAAATATGAGACCACGGCTTGTACGACACTCTTCAGTCACATTGATACTATCTTCTAGTCAGGCATACACTACACAGCTCCCGCATATCTATCCAAGTATTCTCAGCCTCAGCCCAAATTCCGTTACCTGTCTTGAATTCTGCGTTCACTATGCCATCTTCTCCTCCTTCGCGATCGAACAGCAGCGACAGCACTAAGAGTGCGGGCGGCAGCGACAGAGATCACGAGCTATCAGTCAATTTCTACAGCAGATGGAATGGCCACTGGGCTACTTACATGCGGCCCAAAGGAGCCCAGACGGGAGGGTCCATCACGTCCGGAGCGATGTCCGCCGTGATCAAGACAAGTTCTACTACCACGAGGGACAACAAGACTACGCATCTCCATCCTTATACGGCAGCACCGTCGTCGGAAAGCTCTCCAGCGGCGAAGCGGCCAGGGCGCAGGCATCGATCAGGAGCTACGCAAGCGATGACAAGAACATCCCCCGGATCAGCCGCCAGACCAACTGCCAGAACTTTGTGGGTGGAGCTTTGGGACGTCTCGAGCAAGACGGGCTGGTGAAAGGAGGCAACAGTCAATACTTCGCCCAGCGCTACGGCCGGCGCGGTGAAGACATTGGGAAAGCCCTGAAACAGGACGGACGCCATTTCGAACTGTCTCCCAGGGAAAAGCCCCAAGGCCCCCCCAGCAGCCAGGTTCGGCGAGCAGCAGAACAGGCAAGCACCGAAGAAGCTGAACATGGGTGCTTTTGCTCATCTGAGTTCATGATTATGTGTACGGCCTATGTTCTCGTTGACGAGTCGTTGCTTTCGGATTTTGGACACGGATCCAGCAGGATTAATCAAGAATTGGGTGGCTTGAAAGATTATATATTGACTTGATCTATTGTGTGTATATGTAGAAAACTATTGTTTCGTGGCAACATTACGTATATCTTGAGAACCGCTGAGCTATCCCATATACATGATGGCAGCGTCTTGTGTCCAAACCCTTATAACATAATATGCGATACATCCAGCGATACAGTTCCATAAGTCTATCTATCACAGCAATAACTGGGTATAAAGGAATGGTAGGTGGGCATGTTGGTGCGAGTTTGTTCGATGAACACAACATGACAACCGTCTTAACCACCTAAACAGAGCCATTTGAGGGTACCAAGAACGCAACCCACAAGGCTTGCGATTATCTAGCTGCAAACCATGATAAGAGACTCCTCAGATAGACCCTAAGCTGTTCTGTAGTGTTCTGGTAATCTAAGTACAAGATGACTTCGTGGTTTGGGATAAGGAAGACTAGAATTGCCACATAGGGAGATCTTGGATACGGTCGAAGCGATGTAAGTATACACAAAGAGCTATCTTACCCTGTCTAAGACTAGGAGGCTTCGCTGAGAGAAGGCATTCGACCTCAGGTTATCCCGGAGGCTCTTCCACGAACACCATGACGACAACTCCGAGCTTGTACATGATTTCTTAGCCGCCTGCCGCGTTCCAAAGCCACATGTGGCGCCTACCTGATCACCTTTATTTGAGAAGATAGTCAAGTTGTTCCTATCTGCAGAAGCTCGTGGAACGCGTAGTGAAGCTACATGTATCTGGCTTGTGGTTCCCATTTCACTGCGGCTTCGCGCGGATGACCACAGTGTCGCTCTAGCATTAGTGTGGGTATGGCAGAGCTGCCTCATCGAAGGCATGGACTCCACGATCAGCACATCCAACTTGGCTGTACTAGTAGGTTAAGGGACAGGATATAACAGACAAGCCAACCGATCATCCACCAACATACCACGCACCGATCTATATGGGGTACTCAGTTTGGGAGGGCATCGTGGCGTTGCTAGTTCTAACCGATTCGAGTCAGTCGCGGTGGTGGCTGATACTGCCAAGAGAGCAATGAGGAACATTTGAAGGCCGCCGCGGCCGACGGGCGACGGCCAACAGGACGCACTCCCCAATCGCTTGGGTCCCATTGCATCATTGCATCATTGCATCATACCCATTACCGGACCTGGATGGATTGTTCCTCTCAACATTGGTGTTGGTCATGAGGAACGTTCACTAGCGACATTACACCATCAAGGCCCGACAGGACACGATACGATCCGCCTCGGTGGCATATGACAGAAGCCAAAACCATCGAAATGGAAAAACTAGAGGCACAGTGTGGGCAGACACGCCGGACGGGGAAGGACGTAGCGTCATCGCGTCTCCGTCAGTGGCTGGCCGCCGATCGATCTGACATAACGCTCATCACTGCTCCTCAGAAGCAGGATGAACCTCTGGTAGGCTGATGATGGTAATGTTAGTGTAAGCCCCCCACGTTCGTTCTGCAGGTGATCGGCCGGACTATGGCATTTCGATGCCTAGTCTCTCAGTTGGAGATCGGGCTCTTGTCCTTGACTCCTTGAGGCTATCTGGCTTACAGTAGCAGACGTACTACCGCGCGCCGAGAATGCAGTTGGTAACAAGCTCAGCCTGCTAGCTTGCTATTGCGGATTGGTAGGATCACGGGCTGACTTTTTCTTTGCGTTTCGTGTCGTGTCGGCTGCTGGGCGGGATTCGTGCTCGCTTCTTCGGGTGGCTTCGTGTCTAAAGTTAGGCAGGCGAACGGCGAATGGCGGGTTACGAATGAACGAATAGGGATGTCATCTGGAAGTTGGTAATCAGAACCGGGGAGCAGCTCCAATCCGGTACGAGCTGGTTGTCGTTGCTTGGCATTCGGGATTTTCAGTGCGGTGTCATGACGGAGCGCGGGGAAGATACCTACCTACCTTAGCCAGGAGACAGCCGCACGGCTGGGAATTGACGAAGTCTTCCGCCATCTGTCGACTGTCAGGATCTAGTAGTGCAGGCGAAGCTGACCAGTAGATGCGAAAGCCAAGATCGAAACCCTCCCTGTCTGATATTCGCGAAAACCCAGCAGGCTTGGGAGGGCTGCAGAACACGTTCCCAGTGGCGCAACTGCACGCTCTTCCATTTGGACCGTCCTCGCCCCTGGAAACCCGCGTATGGCCGTGGGATGTGGATGGTGTGTCATTCATACGAGCGGTGAATTCGTACTATGTGACATGTTGGTGGCTTGTGGCCTGACCAGTGAGACTGCTCGTGATGGTGGCCACCGTTCCTTCTAGTTTGGTTATAGAGTCGCCTGAGCAGGAATTGTCAACCTGTGAGGCTGGACAGCACATGTAGGCTGGCAGACTGATAAGGTGGTCACGACGGCTTTCAGGATCGGTGTCCGCCAACTGATCAGTCAGCGATACCACCCCCCTTTTTACCATTACTCGGAAATTTGCGAGGTGGCCCTGCACGCCCATTCGTTGCCCCATCTGGCTGACAACTTTGCAACTCCCTCCACGCTGTGCCAACTCGCGTGAATGACCGTTCAGGAAGTGGCGATTCTTGAAAGACGCCCCGCATATGCCAGCTCGAAACCGGGTACGAATGACTCAATGTGGTTGTCGAACCCATTGGTGGGCATATGAGTATGATCGGGATAATCATTATTATTCGATTGAGGGCTTTTTGGTAGACGCGGGGGTAATGTCGTAGACCGTCTCGGCAACATGTAGGCTCTCCTGCCTCAATCAATCGTCGTAAGGAGGAAGATCGAGATGACACAACAGGCATCTCTCACTTTGAGGCGAGACCACCTCAGCATCCGGCTAGGCCAATACGTACCACCGGCAGGAGCAGCAACAGCAGCAGCAGCAGCAGCAGCGGCAGAGACCCCCCGATCAACGGACAGCGGATCAACGGTCTCGCTTCTGCAGAGCTCAAGAGTCAAGGCGTTGGAAGTTGGGCCAACGGTGCAGGTGGTGGTGGCCTGGGATGCGGAGACTGGGGACTTGCCGTGAGGGGAAAGTGACACAGCTGCCACTCACAGTCCAGAAACTCAGACTTTCACACCGCCTGAAAGCCCTTCATCCGGCTGCGTCTGTGCTGCTGATGGCGCCGGCGTCCGGGGAGGGGATCCAGAGACCAGAACGGAAAATGGGCAAATGGGGTAGGCGAGAGGCACGGTATGTCACTGAAGCCTTTGATGGTCATGTGCGATTGTCAATCAAATTATTATTATATTTGATGGGCTGGCTTCTCAGCCACGGATGCGCTCAATCAGGCATCAGCATACCTTACGGGTATTGCTGCAAGTCCACGTAAGTACGCAAGGGGAGAATGTATGGATATTCTCTCCGCAACCGGTACGACGGGACAGCGAGTAGTATTCGCCCCCGGCTACAGTATTCACCCATGCCTCTTCCGCTCTCAGCCTCGCCAAACATGAATTTAATTACACTCACTGATCACGCGTGGGGTCGCCACTTGGGAGGATGCATCGTCACCTTTGACCGGACACTGCCGAGTCGATCAACCAGTCAACCAACCCCTGTGCGCTTCGTGTCATCTTGCAGCATCCCAAATAGTCGCATGTACGCATTCTGCTACCGTGACCGTGGAGCGGATGACAAGTCATAGCCCTACCGCTCACACACCCACTGCAGACATGGTTAAAGTTATTAGTGAACCGCCGGCGCTGATAAATCGGGACTCCCACGCGACGAATAGCCTGATGGAGCACTGGAAGTTGGAACGTTGAAACCACCCGTCGACCCGCATGATGCCAGGGCCTGATCAGTGATGAGCAGTCTGGCAGTGAGGAGGTCGACGCTACTGCACAGAGATGGACTGACGACGAAAAATTTCTTCATCGGCTTGCGAGCGAAAGAGGGGAACCTGAACGGGAGATGCAATTGGGAGCCGACCGCGGAAGATCGGCTAGCCTCCTGGCTTTTTACGAGGATTCGATGTTGCTTGCTTCTCGGCCTCGGTGGAGTCATGATTGTTACGTCTTTCCTTTCGCGCGAGGTTGACCGTTGACACCCACGCCATGGCGAGACGACGAGACGACTCTGCATACAGGCTGACAGGTGGGGGTTGTGGATGGCACAAGGTTGGGGACGTCGTCACTGGCAGCCTGGAGACATTTGTCATGAAGGGTGTGATGATGACAGTGCGGGCATACTAGAACACTCACGGATTCATGGTACGTACGCAGTTCTGACTGCATACATAGCGGCTGCATCGATCCGGAAACTTGTAGGATTGGAGTTGCTTGCTTGCCTGCTTGCTGGCCGCCGGTTTTCCGCAGGCTGGCAGCGGCGAAGTGAAAGTGACAGGATTGTAGAAGTGGCATGGCAACCCGGTCGCAGGCCAGCAACTTCAGCAGACCAGCCAGCCCTGGACCCACCAGTCTGGCAGTGATGTGTCTGGCTGAGTCTGGTGCCTTTGCCCCTAGGCCCTTGGGTGGGCAGTGGGAGGACAGGAGGACAGGAGGAGTAGGGGTCCTACCTATGTGGATATTCATAGCAACATCCCCTCGGCCGGCGTCGACAGAGAGCCCGACGATTGAATCCGTGCAGCTGGAGCTGGTCGCACCATCTCATAGGGATTTCGTGGCTCCTGCTCCCTTGAGTGCCTAGCGACACCCTCCCTCCCCCCCTGGCCCCCTTCGTTGAGTGACCCAGAGATGATTTGAGCTATGACACACAGCCCGGCTCACTGTGGCGACAATGTAAGGGACACATCAGTTGACGAGTGTCTACCTTATTAGCAGGCAGAGCCACAAGACCCCGATGCTCCATGGCGTCTGGCGTGCCTGCCCGCCTGCCGGAGCCATGGGAAAATGGGGCATGTGGTATTCGGTTGCTGTAGCAGATAGGCGCCGGAAAGTGATGCAGAGGTGAGGACACATAATGTAGGCAGCATAAGGTATTTATTAGACGTTCTCGATGCTCGAGCTTCGTTATTTCCTGAGTGGCCAGCCATCCTGATCGAGGTTTGGCTGTAAGTACTAAGGGGGGGGGCGTGTTTATCAAAGGCTGCCCCTTTTATCACGCGCCGACTTTGATAGGCCACAACCCAGCAGCTGACAGCCCGATTGGGACTGACCTTGGCTCCGCATCCAGCGATGGTAAATGAATCTAGAGCCGTTATGGAAGTAGTCGTGGCTGATGTCCGTATTTCCCGACGCAAACGATGCCATTTCATTATCGAGCTTCAACGACTAGAACTGAAATACCCGCATCCGTCTGGCACGTCCAGCTCTGACATGCACATCCAGATGATCAACCTCGGCTCAGACAATTCACGAATCGTGCCATGGCTTCCCATCCACTATCTCCGTGAGACCGTTCAGCAAGCCATAACCTTTGAAGCTGGCTGAAGCTGAGCAGGCTTCACGTGTCATTGTTCCATGTCGGTGATCAGCACTAAACCACGCTGTCATATACCACACATATACCACTTGGTTGGTTGGTTGGTTGGTTGGTTGGTTAGTTAGTTGCAGTCTTTTATGGCCTGCGAACTTTACTGCAAAGTAGCTGCCCGCTTGCAGGCTACTCGGGCGATATAACGTAGCATATAGTTTGAAGTACTTATTTATTTCGTATGTTAGCTACGTATATATTGTAATGTTTTAACATTTAAAGCTAATTTATAACTTTATAAAGGCGAAGGTATCAAGGCCTTTAGTTTATTCTTTTTAAGATTATTAAAACATCGTTTTATTATCTGTTACTGCTATATATGCTAGCGTATAGAATAAGTTATATATATATTAATTTCTTTTTGATACAGTTATAAGTATAGACATTATATAGTTAATAGAAAATATTAACTCTTTTTTATAAACCTTAAAACGCTTTGGTTTATAAAAAGAAATAATAATGTTATAATAGTATTTTTAAATATTATCTTTCTAAGAAAAAGAAGTTAATATTGTACCGACTTTTTTTTGGAGGAAGTGTATTAATAAATACTAACCTTTTCTAAAGTAATTATAATAGTTGTCACGGAACAGCTGTCAGCTAAGGACGAAGATGCCCATCTATTACTTCAGATGAATAAGAATCTACTGGTGAGGAGGGAAGAAGGATCAGAACCACCAGCCAATTCTGGTGGGGGATTAGATCTTCAATCCCGCTCCACAATTATCTATAGTGAGTGCAGCGGGGCAACGCGTCCACCCCACCAAATCACCTGATGAGCGCACGTACCACCGTGAATGGATGGATGGATGTCAGATCCATCACAATAGTATTAATATTATAACTATAATAGCCTTTTATAGTTTAAAATGTTAGTTATAAAAAGTTAAGTAAAATATAAGCTTATCATTTAAATAATGATTAATAAGAATATTTAAAACTTAAAAAATGATTTATAAGTATATAATAATGAAAATAAAATAAAAATGAATAAAAATAAAACTTTTAACTTAATAAAAAGCTTAAGGCTTAACGATAAAAATATCAAATCGCGGTAATTTAAGGCTTAAAGTCGGCGCGTATATTTTAATAAAGTAATAAAGCTTTCATATAATAAAAAGCTTTTAAACTCCGAATAATATTTTAAATCTTTTTAAATCTTTTTGAACTTTGACAAGTTTTATAAAAGCTATGTATAATACGCGTTTCTATTAACCGTACCGGTAAACTTTTTTTATGAAGTTTTATAAGTCAATTATCTTTAAGTTGTTTAATATTATTAAGTTTAACTTTAACTTTAAGTAAGTCAAGTTAAAAAGCTGGTTTGAATCTTATTTTTAAATAATAAAGGATATATTAATATAATTTGGAAGATTTGTAATCCTTATAAATATTATTATAAAAACAATACATTTTAAAAATTCCGTATTTAAAATGGATATAATATTAGTTAGGATTATCGTAATTAAAAAGCTTAGTTAAGTATTTATTAAGTTTTAATTATAAAAGTTTTGATTTTTAAAATTATTTTTAAAGTCGGTAACATATACCAGCGTTTTAATGTTTTTAAGCTATTCAATTTTTATAGCGTTACTTTTTTAAATAAACTTTAAAATTATTAGTTTATTAAGCGTTAATTTGCTGTTTGATTTTAATTTCAACGATAGTTATAGTATTTAAAGTAATAAGTTTTATGATTTTAAAACTCAAAAGTTTATACTTTGCTTTAATATTTATTAAGTCGTTAATATTTTCGTTATTTTATATTTCTATATAGCTTCAATATTACTTATACTTATTCTTATTTCCTTTATTATGGATTAATTTATAGAAATCAAAATAAACAGCTTGGAAGGTAATTCTTACGCTTTTTTAAACTGTATCCAATTATTTTATATTAATTTTAAAAATGTTAATTTCTTGGTTAAAGAGCTTCACTACTTTTTTAATACCTTATAAAACCTTTGTTATTTCAACGTTAGACATTACACTACAAAAAGACATGCTGCTTTGGCCTTTAATTAATTTGTTAGTTTTCCAATAAATCTGACAGTTATATTTTAAACCGGTTTTGTTTTAAGAGCCGTTTGGATATTTACTAACTCAATAGTTAGGCTTTAAAAGTTCTCGCGGCTTAAATTTTTTTTTAATAAAACTAAATTAATAATTAAGTTTAAAATTTTAAGAACTATAATATTAAGCGGTCGATAAATAATATTATTTTGGGTCTAAATATTAGTCAAATGTTTAAACGTAACTGAAGCGAGCGAGTATCGGGGTCAAATATGTTGTTGTGCATGTGTTAGTTAGTCTAGCTAGGTAGGAGTGGAAGCCACCATTTATGGTGACACCACCCCTTATCAGCTAGTCTAGCTAGCTAGTGTGATTGACCAGGGACCCATTAGGTGGGTCCTCTTATCGCCACGTATCAGTAACCTATAAAAGCTTTTTTATTATTATTTCATAACATTAAGATAAGTTGGAAACCTAGTTTTAATAAATGCTTCATAAGTATTATATATATCTTATAGATAAACTAAAAGCGGTTCTATTTTAATCCGGTTCAAATAATTAAAAGTTTATTATTAACT